TCAATAAAAAACTGATAATATACGATTAAAAAGGTCAAAACTGGCCACTTTGGAAAAAATGTCAGTTTGTGACAGCTTGGGTTACGTAACGTTTGCCTCCTTCGCTCGAATAATAATACTGGTTGAAAAAATATCAACTGGAGGCCTTTAAAGATATGATAAAGCACAAAAATAATAACTGGAAAGAAAGACAAGAAAATTGTTTAAATATAGATTAAAGATTTATAGATGGCCATGGGGAACAACTAGACCATGACGACGAGTCTTGCTTTGATTCTGTCAACAGTAACCTGAGAGAATACCAAAAGCCTCTCGTCCCTTTGAATCTTTAAATTGGGATGTCCATGTGATTCACATGTCATGTGCACCACCTGAGACCAACACTACTCAGAAGCCAACTTGTCCTTGTAATCCCCTTACTTGTCTGCCTTCTCCTCTTGTTGAAAAGTTGGACTCTTCTTCATGTACCCCACTCCTCTACGTATTTTATATATACCTATCAATTCTCTCCATCTCCACCACTCTAAACAGACAGGCAGGCAGAAATATCAAAGCTTTCACCACATACCTTACATTGGCTGGTTTTTCTTCTTCTGCAAGGTACCTAAAAAAAACAAAAAAATTAGGGATGGGTTTCTTAGAATTGTTGGAGGTGGCTTCGATGCCAATCGTCCAAGTTCTGCTTATCAGCGTTCTTGGTGCCTTCTTGGCAACCGATTACTGCTCTCTTCTCTCTGCAGACACCCGAAGATCCGTGAACAAGGTACAACCTCCGCCCATCTCTGCTTTTTCCCCTTTTATTGACCATCCATGCACTAGAATACTAACGAATATATCTTTTGCAGCTCGTCTTCGTGGTCTTCACCCCCTGCATCATGTTTGCCAATCTTGCCCAGACAGTTACACTGCAGGACATTATTTCATGGTACGACGTACTGCCCTTCTTCACTCACCCGGCCCCTAGTTATTAGAAACCATATGGCTTTGATTATTTGAATTAAAACAAACAATACTTTTCAGGTGGTTTATGCCCATAAATGTTGGAATCACCTTTCTAGTAGGAGGCATTCTTGGTTGGCTGTTGGTCAAAGTGCTGAACCCTAAACCTCAACTTCATGGTCTCATAATCGCGATCTGTGCCTCAGGTAATTACATTACGTCAGACATAAAATGCTCAAAATTTATGCATTCCTGAAATCTAACATGAGACATGAATTTATACGATGTAGGCAATATGGGAAACCTTATGCTTATCCTGGTTCCTGCCATATGTGACGAGGAAGGCAGTCCTTTTGGAAGTCGGAGTGCCTGCAGAACCATTGGACTCTCCTATGCGTCTTTCTCCATGGCCGTAATATGTCAAACCAAACATAAATATATGTATGATCATCTTCTCTGCTATGACTTGTTCAATTAATTGTGGTATTTTTATGCCAAGCGCAGCTTGGAGGTTTCTACATCTGGACCTACAGTTATCAACTGGTGAGAAGCTCTGCTACACAGTTCAAAGCTCTTGCAGCCGCCGGCTTGGTCAAGTCTCCAAACAAGGACATGGACTCCGATCCCCGCACTCTTCTCCTGAAGCCACCCCAAAACCAAGACCTTGAAATCCAAGTCAAACAAAAGGGGTCCACTCGGACGTACATCAAGGACTTGCTCCATCAGATTCTTGAGGAACTCTTCGCACCACCCACCATTGGTGCCGTAAGTCTTGTTTTTTCTTTTTTATTCTCCAATCAATAAGAAATGACTAGATCCGCTGCTCTGATGCGTTGTTGTTTTCTTGATCCATATATAATCAGATTCTTGGTTTCCTCTTCGGAGCAACCAATTGGCTGAGGAATCTCATAATCGGGGAGAATGCCCCGTTGCGAGTCATCCAAGATTCAGTGAAACTACTAGGGTATGGATGGTTAAGAGAGCTCTGGGATGGTTTTTAGATATGGAAACATGTACATGATGATGGTTTTTTTGACTTGGCAGGGAGGGCACAATTCCTTGCATCACACTCATACTGGGGGGCAACCTGATTCAGGGCCTGCGTTCCTCATCGGTGAAAACATCAGTGATTGTGGGAGTGATCTGTGTGCGCTATATCATCCTTCCCGTGGTTGGGGTCGGGGTGGTCCATCTGGCATGGAATCTTGGCTATCTTCCTCAGGACCCTCTCTACCGATACGTTCTCATGCTTCAGTTCACACTGCCGCCTGCCATGAATATCAGTAATGACCCGCTCGAAAACATTTGGCTAGCTAAAGCCAAGTAGGCAGGATAAAGTAATAAATCATTTATGCTATGTATTGCAGGCACAATGGCACAGCTGTTCGACGTGGCTCAAGATGAGTGCGCGGTCATATTCTTGTGGACCTACCTGGTTGCGTCCTTAGCCCTCACCGTGTGGTCAACCGTCTTCCTCTCTATACTCTCCTGAACTAATCTCATGTGAATTGCAAATGGAGTTTCTTGCTTGTGTAAACAAACTCTCTTTTTGATTTGTTAAGAGTAACTCAATTCATGTTGTTTTCTAATAAAAGTAAACAGAGAAAGACATAGTTTTTTGTGGGCTTTTTCTGGGAAAAGGGGATAAAGTGTGGGCCTAAAGAGAGCCCAAATGGGAGAGGCGTGTTGAAGTTGTGCAGAGAAAGAAACGTGGGGTGCATCATCCATCCAACCGCCATGTAGCTTTGCCGCGACTGGTTCACACCTCCTCATCAATGTCAGAAACTTCTACATTTCTTCACACCTGTCCTCCCCTCCTTTCCCTATCCTTTTTATATGATTGTTTCTGTATTATTTTTCTTTTTATGGGGATGTTTTATTAAGTTTTTATTTCTATCCTAATATAGTAATATTCTTCTGATTCAGCAACAGCTCATCATAATTAATAAATCGGAGTAAAGACTTTGGTTAAGCCAAGTAACACGTGTGGGGTGATCCTCTTCTAGGATCACATGGCATTATAAGTAAAACTTGAAAAAAAACGAAAACATTCAGAGCAAATGAAACGAAATATATCTTTTTTTCTCAGATTACCGAAGACTCCTGAAATGTGGTAAATAAAGTTACGATTTTATTTTAAAAAGGGAAACAATAAAAACATACTCCGATATGATATCATTTATTTGGCCACACAGAAATCAACAACAAGACACCATAGCCCCAAAAAGAAGAGCAAAACCATCAGAGAGCTTCTTACCATTAACGAGACTGAGACTCTCGCTTCTCGCTTCCTTCTCTTCTTCTTCTTCAATCACCTCTCTCTCTCGTGCTCAATTGCCGTGACATTCTGTCCAATTTGAATTTGGATCGAATCGGGCATGGGGTACGATCAGGAAGCCGGATCGTCATCCCAATCGCTGCCTCGTGTTCCCACGGAAGACACTCCTCTTTTGGGGCCACGAACATTGTCGTCGCAGCCAAAGACTTTCGCGAATGTCTTCATCGCAATCGTGGGCGCCGGCGTGCTCGGCCTTCCCTACACCTTCAAGAAGACCGGATGGCTGCTAGGCCTGCTCACGCTCCTCTTCGTATCCTCCCTCACCTTCTTCTGTATGATGCTCCTCGTCCACACCCGCCGCAAACTCGAGTCTCTCTCCGGCTTCTCCAGCATCACTTCGTTCGGAGATCTTGGCGAATCCGTGTGCGGACCCGCCGGGCGCCTCGTGGTCGATGTGATGCTAGTCCTCTCGCAGGCTGGCTTCTGCGTCAGCTACCTCATTTTCGTTGCCACGACAATGGCCAATCTCCTCAGCCACGGCACTGAGCATATCCTCGGACTCGACCCTGCGTCGATTTACATGTGGGGATGCTTCCCCTTTCAGCTGGGTCTCAACTCCATCCCCTCGCTGACCCATCTCGCCCCTTTGAGCATATTCGCCGACATCGTCGACGTTGCGGCCACCTTAGTGGTCATGGTGCAGGATGTCTTCATCTTCCTGAAGCGAAGACCTCCGTTGAGAGTCTTCGGTGGCTTTTCTGTTTTCTTCTACGGACTGGGAGTCGCCGTGTACGCATTCGAAGGGATCGGAATGGTAAAAGTCTAAAAGAAGCACCAATTCTCGACTATTAATTGTCTCTCTCCTCTCTCTCTCTCTCTCTCTCTCTCTCTCTCTCTCTCTCTCTCTCTGTATTCATAATGGTTTGGGTGTGGACAGGTACTGCCGCTGGAACTGGAGGCGAAATACAAGGACAAGTTCGGAAGAGCGCTGGGGCTAGCCATGGGCTTGATCTCCATCATGTACGGAGGGTTCGGGCTGCTAGGGTACATGGCCTACGGAGAGGAGACGAAAGACATAATCACCACGAACCTGGGGACGGGAGTGGTGAGCACTCTGGTGCAGCTGGGGCTAGCGATCAACCTCTTCTTCACATTTCCCCTCATGATGCACCCTGTGTACGAGGTCATAGAGCGCCGCCTCTGCAGCTCCCGTTACTCCGTCTGGGTGCGCTGGGCCACGGTGCTGGTGGTGACGCTCGTGGCCCTGCTCGTCCCTAACTTTGCGGACTTCTTGTCTCTGGTGGGGAGCAGCGTCTGCGTGGTGTTGGGGTTTGTCTTGCCATCGCTCTTCCACTTGCAGGCTTTCAAGAACGAGTTGAGCATCGGAAGAATGGCGGTAGACGTCGTCGTTTTTCTCATCGGTGTTATTATAGCCGTTACAGGGACCTGGACAGCCGTACACGAGATCATGACATCCAAGGCCTGATCTCATCTTGTTTATTCTTCCAAGCATTGTTACCTCCACACATACCCACGGCCTGCAAGCACTCTTGTTATTATTCTCTTATTGACTTCTCCTACTCTCCTCACTTGTTTCGTTGAGTCCTTTGTTACTAGTATTTGTGTGAAAAGCAATAAGAAAATTCGTATGTGGTTTTATCATATGAAAACCATGAGATTTGGAAGAAACAGGAACAAGAGGCCACCAATTTGGGACTTTTCTTTCTCATCAGTTTCATTAGACTCTCAATAACAGAATAGAGTTACAAATGCAGAGGCCACATCATTTGAGCTTTGGCCGACCCCTCTTTCTAGTCACCTGAATCCCCTCTTTTGCTGCTGCTTCAATCAGTCTATCGGAGACTACCAACTCCTTGGCATTGAAATCTTCTTGTCTCTCTATCATGACGTCTCCTAGTTGCAGCTTGGAGGGTAATTCTTGGTACAACAAGTCAGCAGCAGCAACAGCAGCAACAACATTATTATTATTATTATTATGGGTGGGATTGGGGAAGGAGGCAATCAAATCTAGAGCGGTCTTAGCCGCAGCAACCGCTTTAGCTGCTGCAGCAGCCTTCTCATCCGCCTTAGCCCTGGCCACCTTTGCAGCTATAGCAGCCGCCGCAGCAGCAGATTTTGACGCCTCTGCAATCTCCTGAGGAGTGAGATCTGGGCTACTCAAACGGGAAGCTAAAAGCTGCTTCAGATGGTGATCAACTTTGTTGGAGCCATGTGGAACCTCTTTCGTCAGAGTCAGAGGCAGAATCACGCCGCCATTGCCGCCTTCCATAACTACGCATACACCAACCTCCCTAACCTACAGCAATTACCACCCTACTCTTCAATCAGATCTTACCTAGAACAAAGTGACAGAGAAGCCGACATCGGCCTTGCATTTCTCGAGAAATCAACGGAGTAAGCTTAGAGTTACCTTGAAGAATGCGCCTGCGGAGTGGATGAAGATGATAAGAGAAGACCGCCAAAATTAGGGTTTTGGAGGTCGAAATTCTGAAATATCAAAGGGACGCTTACGCTTGCGCTTGTGTTGATGTGTATATTATTCCTAATAATAATGTGTATTGTATTTGTAGGGATACATATTTAAAATCAAAAATCAAAAACGTGTGGATAATTTGACAAAATCCCCAACGTCATTTTTCCCGATTGCCATTTTCCGGCGAACCCTATGTCCTAAGTGGTGGCGAAGGTTAGAGTATCTCAGACTCGAGAGTATCCAAATCACACGATTGTCTAAAGAAGCAATTTTGTCAGAGCGAGTGGTCTATTTTACAGATCCCTTGCAAATTGCAATCAACTGCTACGTTTCAAATCCCTCTATCAATTCCGTTTCGCGACAATGTATGGGCCTTACTACTCTATTGGGCCGTAATATAGGCCCAGCGGTTCCGTCTTCCATGATATATTTAGGGCTATTTTTCCCATTTCGACTCGAATTTTCTGAATCGACGACGACGAAGGGTTGAGACAGACGAGCAGATCATGTACGGATCGAGAGGGTATGTGTTCACCGCCATCTTTCTCATTTGATTCTTCTCTGATTCCTTTATTTTCCTGTAGAAACCTGATGCCTGGTTGGTATTCATCGATATTGTTTTTGTTTTTAATTGAGAATCGATTTCGAATTTAGAGGGTTTATCTTTTTGATAAGGAGCGAGGAATGGATGGATGGGTGTGTAGAATGTTGAATGTTGAACATGGAACATATATATGGTTATAAGTGCATTAGAGATAAGAGAGGGAAGAGTGGGTTGGGTATGGTGATATTAACAGTGGTTGAGTTGTGGGGATCTTTTGGGGTTTCTTTTGTTTGATAATTGAAGGGCCATGTTTGGGAGCGGGGGTTACGAGGTGGGATCAAAGAGACAACGAATGATGCAATCAAATTCAAATTCAAATCCCTACTTGGCAGTTGGCACCGGAGCTACCAGCTTTCCACCTTTCGGGTATGCCGGCGGTGGCGGTGGCGGTTTCCCGGTGGTTCGCCTCAGGGGTATTCCTTTCAACTGCTCTGACCTGGACATCTTCAAGTTCTTTGCCGGCCTCGACATTGTGGATGTCTTGCTGGTCAGCAAAAACGGCAAATTCTCCGGGGAGGCCTTTGTGGTGTTCGCCGGCGCAATGCAGGTGGAGATTGCACTGCAGAGGGACAGGCAGAATATGGGGAGGAGATACGTGGAAGTTTTCCGGTGCTATAAACAGGATTACTACAACGCAGTGGCTGCCGAGGAGGGAGCTTATGAAAACAACGAGATTGTTAGCCCACCTCCAGCCAGAGCCAAGAGATATAGCGAGAAAGAGAAGCTCGAGTACACAGAGGTTCTGAAGATGCGAGGCCTCCCTTACTCGGTGAACAAAGCTCAGATCATAGAGTTTTTCAGCGGGTACAAGGTTATACAAGGAAGGGTCCATGTTGTGTGTCGAGCCGATGGGAAGGCCACGGGAGAGGCCTATGTGGAGTTTGAGACTGCAGAGGAGGCGAGGAGGGCGATGGCCAAGGACAAAATGTCCATAGGGTCAAGGTATGTGGAGCTGTTTCCAAGTAGGCGTGAAGAGTCTCGAAGGGCTGAGTCCAGGTCTAGGCAATGACTCACTATGTATCATTATATATCTCTGCGGACTAATTTTGTTAGGTAGTGAAATAAATATACAACCTTGGGATTCCAGTTACTGATTCCTTCCCTCTTTTACCGGCATCATTTTTACGTTTAATTACAGTACTTACTATTTTGCGGAGGGGATTACCATAAGAAACTTGTACCTCTTACTTGTTCAATCAGTCTATCAAACTGGCCCATTACAAAATCCGATGAGGCCTAATACATGTTTATATTCATACAACCAAAAACCCCATTTGCAATACTCGGCATAACAACAAAAGAAATTAAAGCGTAACGAAAGGAAACAAACGGATAGCTAATGGGGGTTCAAGATCTGGGCTTGTGGAGGCGAGGGCGGTTGCAGAAGATACGGCCATTGGCCCTCACGAGTGCCGCTACACCCACACTGATGCCCGCCCACACCAGTGCAAAAAACATATACTTATAACCACTCCCACCTGCACCCAAAGTCCAAACACACCCTTTTTTTTTGTCAATGCCCTTGCTTATTCCATCCCCAAATCCAGAGTTGAAGCGTACGTACCTCGTTTTGCAGACATTGTTGCAAACCATAAACTGATGAGAACCACCGCCAATGCCACTGGAAAATTCTGAGGAATTTTGAATCATGTTAGACCATGAATTATCCTGAATTAGTTGTACTAATAATGATATATTGGCTGATGATCGCTTACGGCTACAGCCTCAAGACCTCCCTTTCGAGGTACAGGAGCCATGTCCCGGCTCACAGCAACTATATAGTGTCCTTGCACAAGATCAATCGCATCCTTTGTACCGAACCATGATTATTGAAACAGTCAGTGCAGGTTGAGTTACCAAGTGTATATAGTATAGGTAATAGGTAGAGCCACCAACCTGCTTAGTTCCATCAGCAAAGTTGTTCAGGTAGTAGCGTGCGAGGGCATTCCAGCCATCATTAAGAACCCCTTGAACAGTTCTTTGACCATACCTAGAATCAAACAAGTCAGAGAGAAACCTTATTAGATGGCATTCGCAGGGCATGTGGGATTATTAATATTCCAAGTGTGTCCTATTCCTACCTGACGAAATCTCCTTTAAGTGCAGGAGTGCCCGAGTACTGAATGCTAATGTCATCACCGTGATTAGCCCATACTGAAGGCAAACACAAGCACCAGATATTCTGTGAGTTCCATCTTTAACAAGTGCAGAATCAGATGAGAATAAACTACTAACATATTTTATAGCGCTCGTCAAAATTTAGATGCGAGCTTATAGCTTCTTCAGCGCCAAATACACCAATCCTTTTGAGTTGTAGTTCCAACATCTTGCGACCTATCATGCTCTGCATTTGTCAGGCAGTATACCCTTGGATGAGCAAAGAGCAAAGAGCAAAGAGACGACGTCACATCTTCTACGAGCAACATCTTATAATTATTTTGTTCACTAGCCTGCGTGACATTTGTACGGTCTAAGCAATCTATGCAGTTTGTGCGCACAATACCAAGCTGCTCCTTCATTTTCTCTCCCTTTTCACTCAACAAAAAGTACCTGTGTAGTTTAACAGCGTAAGTTATGTTTATTCATACAACTCCAAGATATACAAAGAAAGCGGTACCCGTTTTTCTCAAGGAAATCCTCCATCTGCTTATACAGGATTGCTAAGCGCTCAAAGTGAATATGCCCACAGATGCGATGAAAATCAAAGTGCAGGTATCTACAGGATCAGGCATCATATCCTTGAGTGAGTTGGAAATTTTTACTAATTACACAGTGATCAGGCATTATATATATGTAGTAGCAACTAGCAAGGATGTTAAGAGGAACAGATAGATAGCTACCTTACGTCTTCACCTGTGATGTGCTGCATAGCACCTGCAAACCTCTCGCTTAAGCGCCCCTCACCTCCATGCTGGTTACACAAGAAGCAATTGAGGAATAAGAATTTCAAGTAGATCATACTTCTATTTACTGTTTGGAGTGTCAAGAAGAGGTCACAAACAGCAATCAGGAGAAGTATCGCATCTCATATATCCAAAGGTATTTTAAAGGATATGCACCTTATTGACAAGATCAACAGCCAAAACTGATCCATATTTTTTCCTTAGGTCCAGAAAGTGACGCTCAGCTATCCTCGCCTGCAAGAGGAGTTAAGGTTACTTTAGAGTGGTAATAGAAAGGGAAACTGGTTAACTAGAAACCATACTCACAGCTTCTTCAGGTTGGATAATCTCAAACTTGGGCTTGTAGGTCAGATCAACAATTTGCTCCCACATGAAAGGCATGGATCCTCTAACCTGCACGAACGATGATGTGTATCCGTTCATGCGTACAATTTGCTCAGACTCCACAAAATTAGCAACATAACCATCAGGGTCAGCTCCTCTTCGCCACATGCGTGTACCTTGAAAATGTTGAGAATAAGAGGCAGACACGAGATCAGAATGTATATTGAGGGTTGAGATATATCATCTGAAATCAAAATGAGACTAAGGTCCGGAGCATCGTGCTTCCATAGTACGACGAAGGTAGATTCATAGCGAGGTTCTACTAGTCATACAAACGACTTTACACCCTTACGACAGATAACTTACTCTTGTGGTTTTTTCTTTTTTGCCCACTTTTATTTGTAGATTGTAAGTGGAGCTACTTGATAACTAAAGTATTCACTAGGTGAAAATAATCTAGAGAGAAATGCATACCATTTCTTCTACTACACCTCCTAGCAATCAGAGTAATGTCAACGATATCTCTTCCAATGGCTGTTTGAAAACTATGGAAACGTGATTAGAGGTTAAGGAAATGTGTGAAGTGATGATCCAGTAAAAAGGAGAAATGATTGATGGAAAGAAAAAAAGGATATTCCCTTGAATTACTGGAAGCAAGAACTGATCAAGCTACAACAATAAAAACAAAGAAAAGGTAAAATTGGTTTGCAAACAGAGGAGTGAGCTTAAAAGGATAGTGAGTTTCACTAACAAACCTTATTATCGATAAGCAATTCTAACATATAATTGTTCCAAAGAAATCTAGGCTCGGCCTGCCATGAAGAAGCAAAGGGTTAGTATTCAGTCCATCCGCAAATAGGTGTCTGATGGATAGAAGTGCGTATGGACACCTGTCTCCACAAAGGAAGCGACTTAGACTCATCACCCAAATCATGCAAGCGTTGTGCACTGAAACAAGAAGAAGAAGAAAAATAATCAAACTGGAAAAGAAAAGCTCAAAGTGTTTGTGTGTGCTTCGAGTGTGGCTGTAGCACAAAGAAGAAGAGGGAAATGATGTACCTGAGAGTCAAGTTAATTTCATAAGAGAAGAAGAGACCAGTTGTCCTCTCTGCGACACTTAGCAGCCTGGAGAAGTCGGCCTCCATCTTTTTCTGCAAAAAACAGTTCAATGATCAGCTCCATTGTTGGTTCAATTCGTGCCCAATTAAAAGGGAAATGGAAGAAGAATGGGTGTGAAACCTGTTCTTCAGAGGAGTTTTTAAGCGAATGATCACAAGGAAGAACCTTGAGGGAAGTAATTTTGAAAATAGGATGGCCCAGAAACGAGCCAACAGATTCGCTCTCTGTCACGACGACCAAGTACGATCCTGCATTCAATAATGTCGAAAACCAAAACAAATTTACATAAACGAGCGTACAAGGATAGGGATGAGGATGAAGATGAAGACAAATTTATATAACCTGCGAGGAGCTTGAGCATCCCAACCACACCGAAAATGGAACGGATTTTAGGGACACGCAAAGAGTTGCATTCTGCGACTTGATCTGAAAAGGAAAGAGCAGAGATTAATGTCCTCCAAAGTAGAGAAAGGCCACACAAAAAGAAAACAAGAGAAACACACACCAATGAGCTTCATGGAGCCGTCAAGACGACTAATGTCCAAGCACGAAGCCGCGGAACCATCGGTTGGCTCGATTACGTACTGATCGGGAAATTCCCATAAACGCAAGCCAGAGTGTAATTTGTGCCTCGGAGCCTCCATCGCTTCAAGCAAGAGACAAACAATCCAATCAATCAATCAGCTTCCGTCGTCGTCCTGATATATGATCCCGCCCGAAGGTTGAGGCAGTGAGACTGAGAGCGAGACCCGTTCAAACTTGATTCCGTCCAACGCGCATCTGTTCTGTTTCTGATCAATAATGACTACACAGTACACACTATAATCTCATTTTATATTTTACGTTAATTTTGAATTTTGAATTTTTTTATATCCTTAATAATAATTCTTTATGATTCTGACTTCTGAGAATCAGCAACTCAAATTCTTAATAGTGTGTGTATGGATTCGAAGCTTTTTAATGGCCCAACTCAATTCTTTACAAACTGTTTTCTTCACTTTTAACGTTGACTACACAAAACAAAGGACATAAAAGAAAAAAAATGCGTATTATCTTGGCCCAGAAACAATGTGGTGGCTCTCTGCTCTAGGAAAACGAGAATCTTGACAAGAGGGATAGACCTGAACCTTCACTTGCCGCACCTGGACTCGCCTCTGGTGTTGTTGTCGTTGTTGAGCTATGGTAGGCTTGCTGACACTTGTGGATCTGCCATTTCCATCACCCCATGGTTACAACTACATAAACAAGCGTCCAAGCCAAAAAAAAATATATATATCTAACCTCCTCCGGACTGAACTGAAGCAACATTCCCACTACTGGTAGTAAGGCCTCCACTTCCCCTGCAACCATCACATGCATGTTATTTTTCAAGTCTATGGATAATGGATCCATAGACTTCACATCTCCACGGTTTCTAAATTTACCTGTTTCTAGCAGCTTTAGTATCACATTCTTTAGGTATGTCATATCTACACCTTCTCTCTTCTGTTTTCTTTCCATCTCCCTCAGCTCCGTTTTTAGCATCGCTTCCTGCAATCATCCCCATATACCCCGTTTATGTCCGACACAAGTCCGCCAAAGCAACTCTGTCTCCTCAAACTCTCATGTCATCACATACCTGTTGACTGTGAAGACGGTTCTCGCGCTCTAGCTCCTCGATTTCCTCCTGATTTATAATAAAACCAAAATTAATTAATATGTGGAAATAGATTTCAATAGATGCAACCGACTCTAATACTATACCTGAAGAGCTAAAATATGGCGCTGTGTCTGTGCTAACTCTTCTTCTCTCTGAGCTTGTTGCCTCGCCAGTATCTGAAGTTTACAGTGATAAACTCTCTATGATTCTCCCATACCATTACATTTAATGAAAGATCAGTCCTTGCTCTGAAAAGCACAGGGCTAACATTACAAACTCCTACCAGAATCTGGTGCTCTGCTGTACAAGTGCTCAAGTTAGATACATCCTCCTCTTGTGACTCTACACCATTTGAAAATAACAATAGCTTAGTTGATTCATTCATATGGGGAGCCCCTATTTAACGTAAATAATATCAGAAAATGTATTGTACCTGTGTTGTTGTTCCCATAGTGGTGAACCTGAGATTGAGATTTGTTCCACTTAATGCCACATGAAGAGTAAAAATTCAAGTGCAAATCAAAAATTAAAAGTTACGAGGCAGTTATAATTAAGACAAATAGGACCATCTACGTACTACTGGTTTTGGTTCCATAGACTTTCGAAGATTTTTATTCTCGTCCAAGAGCCTGGATATCTCTCGATCCTTCTCCTCAATGAGTCTATCAGCAAGCTCACGTACTGATTCATGCTCCTCCTGCAGGTATGTCAGTTAAACACCAAGTACCGCCAATCTTTCTCGTAAAACCAGGGCACAATTAGCATGATAAATTAATGTGATTTACCTTCAATCGTTTATTCCGCAGTTTGGCATCTTCTAGTTCTTTTTCTATATCTTCTGCAGAGGAGGCTTCATTTTGAGCGGTTAAAGCTTCACATCTTCCTGTAGATTACTACCTTTTAGGAAGAGACTTTCGATTTCAAAGAACTAGTGTAGAAAACCGAATTTTAATTTCAGTAAATTACGTCGCCATGTTTCTTCTAAAACTCGAAGGTCTTCTTCCCACGCTTGTTTCTCCGCGTGATTGCGAGCAACAGTGGAATCAAGCTTCAATTCAAGACTTCGTATCTGGTCGCTGGCATCTTTAAGTGCTCCAGCTCTGAAACGAATAAAATTAAAAAAGGAAGAATAAAAGCAGTCCCCTGAGAACATCCTAGTTATTTTCTCACGTAAATCGAGGAGAATAAGCAGTCACACTCCTGAACCAAACTTGAAAATGTTTTTCAGTGTGAATATATACCTATCCTCGAGTTCTTTTTCAAGGCTAGCCAAAGCACTCTGAAGATCTTGTTGTGCCTTATCCCTCTCTGCAGATACCAAGTACACTTCTTTTTCAGCTTCCTAACCACCCAAAAAGATTCTAGGCTGGTAAGCACGTTGAAAACAATCTAATTAGCGCCATCTTAAAAATTATGTCCAACTTACCTTCAGAGCTTCCTCAAGAGATTTGATCTGTTCAGAGTCTTTAGCTGCAGCCAGCTCCACGTCTTTCTTTTGCAGAAGCGAGTGAGCACGGATCTTGTAAGAAGAAAACTCACTTTGGAGGCGGTTTATCTGTGACGGTTACAATAAACTCAATTTGGTTAACGTGAAGACAAGTTTAAGCAGAACATTCCCTAAAGCTCAAAATGGCTCTTTGATTCCGTGATAATACATGCTATGTCATTAACAATGAAATGTCTGATACATCCGTTCTTACCCAAGCAAGCTACAATATTTCTCAAAATAACCAAAACAAAACTACGCACCTCCTCTCTTGCACTTTTGAGTTCGGCATCTTTTGTGCTTAGCAACTGGGTCTGCATGGACATTTCAGATCCTAGCTGACCTGACCATTTATATGAATGAAATGTATATGTTTTCATTAAATACGAGTAAAGCATAACAAAACAAAGGTATCAAAGTTTCATTAACTCCGTAAATTACTTCTCATTTTAGCCACTTCGATTTCGGCTCGTAAGTAGTTGCTTTCAGCGATTTCCAGTTTAGATTTAAGGGCATCGCATGAAGCTTCCCAAGTCACTATTTCCTTTTCCTGGAACAAAAATCCAAGAATTACAACAGGTAAAAATAGAATGATTTCTATGGCTAAAGAAACTAAAACTTCAACCAAGCTGTCTGATGGATAAAAGACTGATTCGTTAATTCATGGTTACAGTTATTTCTATGCGCTCCTATGTTCATTCCCTGGTTAAATCATTACTAGTAAATCTGCTAGTACGTGAACAAGTTCTTAGGATACATGGACAACAATAACGAAGGACATCTGAGAGGAGAAAGATATGGCGACATAAAATCCTGGGAATCCATCTTTGAAACATTCCACTTACATTTTCCGCTTTAAGGTGTGCAAGCTCTCCTTTAAGAGTTTCTGAAGCAGCCCTTAGCCTTGCTGCTTCGCCAGTTGCAGCTGCCTCCATCTCTGCAATTTTAGATTCCTTCTCTGCAAGTAGTACCTAAAAGAGGTGTAAAACAGAAATACTTGGTGTGAAGAATTCATCACAAATTTAAAACAATTCTATGTTGCTCATTGAAAACTCTAGCACAGCATCAAATAAGAGAGCTAACCTGGAGCGCCGAAATGGTTTCGGCTGCTTTGTCCCTTTCAGATAGAGCATCTATGACCTGTGCTTCCAAACTCTCTAAATTCTGTCATGAAGGTGGAGAGAAGAGAAGACGTGGATATCATAAGTGGACAATGAAAAAGACAATGGTGGCTCATAGCATATAAGAAGCAACACAGTTAGGCTGATGCTGACTACCTTCTTATGTTTGGCTAACAACTCAGTAACTGCGGCATGCTTTCTCTCTTCCACAGCTTGTAATTGCTTTTTCAGGTCTTCCAGCACCTAGGATAACAGCAAGTAAGCTTATTAAGCAGAGTATACACAGCCATCCATCGCGCTCTCTCTCTCTCTCTTTCTCTCCGTCTCTTTTGTCTCACCCTAAAATTCTCTACCAATCTATTTATTGCAGACTAACATTCCAGAGCATGAAACAGATCAGACCTGGTCCTTATCAAGAAGTGACTGTTGCAATGTCTCTATCTTATTTTCTTTAGGCTGCAATGAGCCGCGTAGTTCCTCAATAGTATCCCTGAGCCTGTGTATAGGAAAATGATAGAAAATTCAAGTACTCGTATTCAGTGGGAAAGATGATGACATTCATTTCATACAGCTCCAAATCCAAAACATGACCAGAAGGAGATTAGAAACTAGCTTTGTGTTATATACTTGTTATTGGCACTCCTTAGTTGTTGCCTCTCCGCATCCATTGCCTTAAGTGCTTCATTGGCCTGTTGCCTAGTGCGCTCCAGCTCTTGCTGCATGGATGAGTGCTGAGAAGATGCTTGTTCAGCTGTTTCACTCACTTCCCGGAAACGAGTATCGAGATCATCTTTTTCCTGAAGATAGCAAAATATACGTCCTAAATGCAGGATAGGAATTCTGATATAGTGTAGCAATAGAAAGGTAAAGGTGGTTTGGCCTCAAAGTGGCTCAACAGAAAGCATTAAGGTATCAAAGGGATGGAGATTCACCTTTTGGATTTCTTGAATGCGCTGCTTAGCCCTTTTGTGAAGCCTGGTGAATTTGGCGTCCAGGTCGGCATATTTCTCCTCGCGCTCTTTGATTTCTTGTTCCAGTTTCTGTTGAGCTACACCAAAAATTAATAGCAAAACTTGAGAAAAATAAAGGAAATGCGAAAATGACAGGTATAAGAGCAAATGGAAAACATGGCTGACCATGGGACAAGTTAGTGGAGTATTCTTGGGCTTTTGCATCTGCCTCAGAGTATGCTTCCCTTAGATGCTCTAGTGCTTGCTCAGCCGCAACTCGAGTTTGTTTTTCTACATGGATTTCTCTACTCAATGATGCGATCCGTTCTTCAAGTTGTGAGTCTGCTCTGTCCCCTTGCACTTGCTCTACTTGGTCCTTTAACCCCTTAAACTGGGATCTGAGAAAGTCGTTTTCTAATCTAAGCTCAGCAACCATTTGCAGTAGCTGGTCATGATTATCTGTCAGATTCTCCTTTGCCGCATCATCAATGTCAGGCACCGACGAATCTTGTGGCGGATGGCTCTGCTCTTGGGACATGTTTGAAGCAACACTGATGCCAGAAAGAGAGTCCCACACTTGGTATCACGAGCTGGGAAGAGTACAAATAATTAGTAAGCGTTACGATCGCAACAGGAATCCAATCAGTAATCAAAAGAGATAGGAGTTCAAGGAGCTCAAGTCATGATTCGAACAAATCAGCAAAAACAAACAAAAAAGTAGAAGAATCGAATTGATTGTAATCGGAGGAGAAGCTTACCTGAAGATGAAGGATTCGAGAATAGTGTTGAAACTACGATATGGAAGCCGCCAAGGAAGAGGAAGCTGAGCCGGAGAGGCTGAGAGAGTGTGAGATCGCAAGGAATCTCGATTCCAAATTTGGATCTCCTCAAGGTGAAAAACGTCGTCGTCTCTGTCCCGTCGACGACGGTAAACGTTGATCAAGTGTCTTAAAGGGAAATTGCATTTAGAACCCTCAAGTTTACAAGTATTGCACGGAAAACCTTACACTTTTGATTACGGAATAAGCAAACCCAAAGAGGTTAACACGGAGCTTAAACGATGTCGTTTTAGAAAATAGAAAATTCCTGGAGACTAGAAAGAAAGGAGTCTTCTTCTATTCATGTAAAACGTGAAGCTAGAAATGCTCGTCAGCGAAAAAGAAAGATGATGAGGGATTTGATTGAGTGTGGAAAATTGCAGTTTCTGGCTCTTGTGTCTCAAAGCAAACGACCTTAGCCTCATCTTCTTCTTCGGAGTTGAGTTGTTACTCTTACAAATATAACGTAATGCTTCCTTTCCGACTCTGAATTACAAATATAACTCCAATGGACCCATCTTTCTACCTCCTCCCTTGTGTTTCCAGTCCCGGTACGGCGGCTTCTTTATGAGTTTCTACCCTCCCCAGATCGGAGATCTTCTCTGCTTCTGACACTGGCTGTGGTGGTGCTCGAGGTATTCTGCTAAACGAGATATCATCCTTGGTAATCTTCTCTTTATTCACTTAGCTTTTCGACTCAAGTCATTCAGTTCCCTGTTTCTTAGAGTTTCATTGATATTTTGTCAGGTGCATGGCCTCTTATTGCCTGTTGTTCATCTTTCTCAAATACTATTTATCTCTTCTTCTTTGGTAATATAAATGTACACGATTGTTGTTGTATTTGTGTTGATTGCGTCGGAATGTCTATTGCACTTATATATGGTTAGAAATCAAATAAGAAAGGACAAGTAGCCTGCGATCATGCAGCACAAGAAAATGGAGTGGAGGCAACAAGAGTTGAGTTTTATATTTTCACACACTAAATCCCCAACAAGAGTTGAGTTTTACCTTGAAGGTCGATCTCACCTTGGCACATACGTAATACGTTGATTGGATATACAGAGCAACAGACTAATTTAAACTTTTGATATATAAGAGCAATGTGTAAAACCAAGATACAACTTCTAGTATGAAGAAGAAAAAAAAGAGAAACAAACTCCAAAAGATAAGAGAAGCGACGAGAGAGAACTGAGATATTGACACGGCTCAATCAGAATCAGATGAGCTAGATAGTAAAGAGGATCTGAGTGAACCAGGCCAATATCAGAGTGACTCTCTCGGGATCAATCTGCTTTGTAAAACCAAGAAACAAGAATGGAAGGGAGAAGAATGTCTGTGCTGTGGGAGAAATTAGAAGAAGAAGAAGAAGACGGGAGTGAATGCGCAACTGCAATTCTGTCTAGAATTTAATGACTCTGCTACTCTCAAGTGTAAAGCTAGGCCACCTCACCCCTTTATTTAATGACTCTTTTCCTTTTACCCAATCCGAAACCGAGTGAAATGGGAAGAAAGTCCTTTGTGTAACCATAGTTTCAGGAATCACCACTGTAACCGCCTCTCTTTCTTTTTGTCTGCTTCTCAACTAAAACCCTCAGTTTCTCCACCTAAATCATTCATTTAGTCTTTCTTCCATTTACATGCACATAAACTGATAAAGAATGCATTCATTTAGTCTTTCTTCCATTTACATTTTTCTTTTTTACACATTCCTTCTCACTACCCACCCCCTCTCGGCTATTCTTTCATTTCGCTTCCTCGATACCGTCAATCAAAGTGCTTCCGCTCCTCTCACTAATCACTAACATCAATCTAAGCGCTTCTTATATTTCTCTCTCCACCCTTTTTTGCAATTTTTGACCCAACCTTATTTACATCCATTTTCTCTTCTTCTTTCTCTAGTCATAGCTCTCTGGAGTTTCTACACCCTTGTATACAACCGAGCTGCAACCAAAACATCGATGTCAGCTTCATTCATGCCCTCTCCATTGGGACAGGGTTCATATAGACTCACCTTGAGTTCTGAAGCTTCTTCAATCTGTCTCTCCACATGGCTGCATCCATGTACCTTTCCTCTTTAGACGCCAAATCCATATTCCTGACTAGTGTAAGCTCCTCCGACAAAGGATCTGGTCCTTCTGGAGCGCTAAACAAAAAGAGCCACCGTGTGGTTAGCAACTGTGACACACACTAGTAATAAGTAGTAACCCAGGAGATTCATCAACAAAGTAAAAAAACCTGTCAAGGATAACATTGAAAACGGGCTTGGTGCTCCGTGGCCTGCCTCCGTATCCAATCTTGATAGCATCTTCCAGGACTATTGCTTTATTCACATATATTGGAGCCTGTGATATGACAAACAAAAACAGGTCACCGCAGTTTTGAAGCATCAACAGTAACAGGATACGTTTCCGAAGATTAACCAACCGCTTCAAGCGTGTGAAAAGCAAGCCTACCTGGCATGCTCTTGCAACGTTGATGGCATCTGATGGCCGTGAATCAATGCAGGTAACATCATTGTCTCCTGGCTGCAGGACAGATGATTAAACAAAGACTTTTGACAAACCTAGGTGTTGTAACATCTAGTCTTGAAGTTACCTTGCCGAGATATAGACTTGCATAGTAAGTGTTGAATACTCTACTTGTAAGCTTTACCATTTTAACCTGTCAACAGTAATTTGTTAACTAAGAGGCAACCAGCTATAGGTAAATTCGAGGTAATACGTATGTTGGGAACGATACTGTACTTCATGTCCAAGTTTGTCGACAAGAGCAGACACAAACTGGAACTGATCGGGGCATTCCTACAAGATTAAAAAAAAAAAATTATTAACTAAAACTGCAAACATGGAAACATGAGCAGCGGAGTGTTAAATGATACCTCATTCACGCCTCCGCCTCCCAGAGGTACGTCTAATAGTTTCTCAACAGCAGCATCCCCTGCAAGTGTGTAGGTGATGAAAGTAAGCAACCACCAGAGAATAGAGATTACAAGGAAGGAGAGCAATCTGTAGAATGATTTAATGTGCATACCAACAATAACGGGAAGCAAGTAGTCGCCATCACAAGAGATCTTGAGAAAAATAGTGGGGTGCTTGAACTGGCGAAGAAAGCCAAGCCCAATTGGGAAAACACCAACCCTGGATTCACTTGCTCTTACAGCAAATGGAGGTAGCTGCCTAGACGCTTGCCACATGGAATCTTGCCGGAATCCTTGTCTCCGCATTTTGTAATGCATACTTGTCTCTGCGTTTGTTTAAAACGAATTCAGCAATGCAAATTTGAATAAAATGAATCTACGATTTTCTTTACCCGGAACAAATGAGCTAATTTCAAATTTCAATTTACGTTCTTCGCAACAAACAATACAAAGGGTGAAATCAGGATTGAGAGCAGCTCCATTAAGGTTAATCCTAATAAATGAAAGTCACATTGGGACCTGCAACGAGGACGGAGGCTTGGAGAAACTCGAGATCGGGATCGCCGAGGCCGGATCGGGAGGTGGAGCTTCCGTGTCTAGAATCGCAGCAGATTGGAGAAATCTTAGGGGCGCGATGAGAGCGTAGCGATCTGAGATTCAATGGGATGCAACAGCGCAAGGAGGAGGAAGAGGGTGGACTGGAAGATGAGACCGACGCGGAGATAGAACGGGAGTTTGCCGTGGAGTCGGAGAAGAGGATTCGTAGATCGGAGGCCGGAACAGAAGAGAAGGCAACTCCGGGCATGGTGGTGGAGAGAGAGAGAGAGAGAGAAAGGAAGAAAAAGTGAAGCAGAGCACAAAAGTAGAAGGGGAAGAATGATGGAGAGAAGACGTGAAATTAGCTTATTTAATCAAACATCAGTTCATGTCAAGGAGATAAGGTTTATGCTTTTTTAATCAAACTCGTTTACCCTTAATTTTATACCGAAATTCATAATTTAAAACACGTGGGTCTCTTTTTTTCATTATTTTTTATTTTGATTTAAATGATGATGACGCGGAAAGTTAGATGATTGAGCAATGCCCTGCGGATAAGAAACAAATTTGCAAAGTGCATCGAGTTGGAAAAGTAAAACTCTCGTCGTTATTTCATGAATTATGGTGTCCATGTGCCTAATTGTATGTAGACACAAGTAAAAGTGGATTTTGGTGGTTCCGTGGTTATATGATGCGTTCGAAGCATGTAAACAAATTGTATATCTTTTCTTTTTATACTTTTAAGTTTTAATTAGGCATATAATTTTAAGTTTTAATTAGGCATATAATTTTTGTTGATTAACGGCACCAAAAAGGGAAACACCGACCAAATGTGAAAAAGTGGTCCCAGCGGTAATAACGTCGCGCTCCAGTAATATCCGAAATTCCAAAAGCCAAGATGTTTGACATCTTCTCTTCCAATTTGCCACTTGCCTCGCTATTGCACATTGGTCATCTCTAATCTCCTTTTCTATAGCCTCTACTCTCTACATATGATTCGCCTCATTTGGTTTCTACGTTTTAAAAAAATCTATAATTCACACATTATAAACTGTAAAAAAAAATTCAGATAAACACGCTACTAATACAAATTTCAGCTTTAATAAACTAGTATTTGTTTACTCCTATTAAGTTACATCGTTACATCATTACATCAACATCAAATGCAACCAATCCCTTCTCCGAGAATAGATATAAAGATATTCCAAGTTGTGAAGAGAAGAGAGTGGAAGTGGCCGAGTCAGAGGTTGCAACGCCCATCCATTCTCTTCTTCTTCCCTTTTCTTCCGGTTTTCTCATTCTTGTCTCACTCCCCATTTCAGACTTTGCAATCCGACCGACTGTGAATCTGTTAAGACGACTGTAGCAGGCAGAGCTTACTCTGTTACCGATCTCTTGTTGAGTCTAGTAAGGGGAAACTCTATCAACATCTTCATCACCTCATACGTCCTAGTCTCTCTTCCAAGGTAGAGGCAAAGCCCGAGCGGAGTTAATCCATCCTGGGAATGGCAAAAATGGCATCATCATCATCAGACTTAGTCATGTTGTTACTTATTAGAAAGTAGATATGAATGAGATCAGGGGAACTAGCCTTATTCTTGACATGTATGTCCGCCCTTTTAATCAAAAGGAGTTTCACAATGTCGCTTCTTCTGGCCTGTACTGCCACGTGCAGGGGCGTCCACCCGTCCTGAAAACCCAGTGCCAAACACTGTCAAAAAGCTGATCAACTGTTGGTGAAATATTTCACATCATTACCCTGTCTTGAGCGTTGATGTCAGCGTTATACAGCAGGAGAAGTTTTATTGTGGGAGCTGATGCTGTTTGCACAGCATAGTGCATCAAAGTCGCACCTTCCTATCACAAACCTAACGCATCAGATTCAGATTCAAACCAAAAGCAAGGGAGTTTGATCTTTAGGTGACTGCTTAGTGCTTACATCATCAACAACAAATGGGTTGGCCGATTCCCTCAGTAGGTAGTTCGTAATAGCCTGCTTTTTCCCAATTATTGCTCGGTGAAGTGCTGTCAAGCCCCCCTACAAACCACATGAAACCAACACTAGATAATTAATAAACAGAACAAAAAAAAAAAGCAACAGCCTCTAATAGCTCCACATACCACGTCGGTTGCGTTGATATCAAGATTGTGCTTTAGCAAGGAATCGACCAGATAAAACTCTCCCGACGCTGCCAGTGTGTGAAGAGGAAGCCACTTTTTCTGATAAACACATTCATCACCAGACGTTTCAAGGCCAGAGAATGCATAACAAAAACATTCAAATTAGCCATAAGAAACCATAAGGGGACTCACGGAGGTGGCAACTGCTAGGTCGGGATTGCGGCTATTGAGCATAAACTTTTCTTCTTTTGAAAGCAGTTTCCGAGGGCCTGCGCGCAAGGACCAGCCAAATAAGAGAGCATTTAAGACTCACACAAAAGGGATTAGGATTTTGGTGAACCTACCCTCGGATTTCTTGCCACTGGGATCGTACTTGTCGCTATTGAAGAACTTGGTAACGTGGTCGAATCCCTTGCCGTAAACTGCCCATCTTGGATTCTTCGGGGCCACTCGCACGCTGGGAGATGCTACACCGTCGCTGGACGCTCCATCGTCGGAGAAACTGCTCGGTTTATCGAGAATCACAGGTTTTAATTGATTCAACTTGGCTTCCTTGTACGTCAGATACTCCTTCAAGTCCACGTTCCTGAGCGGAATCAGGCCTTGTCTCTTCTTCTCCACCCGAACCCCGAACTCCAGCTCCTGCGCTATTTTCCGCTTGTCCTTCTTCGTCAGATTCACCTCCGCCTGAATATCCCTCCATTCATCCGGCACGAGGTTGTCCGGCTCAGTCTCGGATTCATCTATCATCTTGGTCCTGCCCCGCCGCTTCGTCTTCCGCTCCTGTATCGCGTCGCTAGAAACGCGACTGACCTCCCCCTCGAGATAAGGGTCTTCGAAGACGCCGTCCTCGTAAACGAGACAGTCGCCGACGATGAAATCATCGCTGGCATCCGGAAGAATCGACGTTTGAGAAGAATAGGAAAGAGAGCATATTCGTCTAGGGAAAAACAGGGACTGAAGAGAAGGACAAGGTCGAGAGGTAGAAGGCAGGAGAAGAGAGATGCTGTGTGGTGTGGCGATCTGCATTATCGTCGCCTTATCGGAATCTGGATGACGGAGCTTGTCCCGGTCAAATGTATTGGAAGTAAATGGGCCGATGTGAACAACAGGCCTTATTCAAAAATGGCCCACATATTTCAATCTACCTGACAGACAGACTCAGACAGGAGTTGGAAAACCAAATTAAAAAGATTAAAAAAACTGGTGCTTCTTCCTCCTTCCTCTGCACCCTTGGAATTGGTTGCAAATCTGGGCGATCGATCTTTGAAATCCTTTTGCAAAAATGATGGCGAGACCGAGGAATTATCGGGCTTCATCTCGGAAATCATCTTATTCAACGCTTGTGTTCGCGGTATTGATTATGTTCACTTTCGTGATTTTGTTTCTTCTGGCGCTTGGAATTCTCTCGCTGCCCAGCAACAATGCCAGCTCCTCCAGAGCCAATGATCTCAGTTCCATAGTCCGGAAAACACTTGAGAGGTACGATCCTGATTCAATAGTGTGCTAAGATTCGGGCGTATTATGATTTGGATCGGAGTTGGCTTTTCTTTTTGTTCCGCAGAAGTGGCGAGGATGGCTCAGACAAGGAGCGTTGGGTTGAAATTATCTCTTGGGAACCAAGAGCTTCGATTTACCACAATTTCCTGGTGAGCTGTTTTCTTTTTGATCATTGCGATAACTAGGGAAAATGCTTAGTTGATGATTTGATTTGATGTTGCCTCTTGCCTCTTGCCTCTTGCCTGTTGGTGAGCTCACTGACGGAATGTGTATTCATTTTTGGGTGAGAAGAGTAAGGAGGAATGCAAGTATCTGATAGAGCTAGCTAAACCACATATGGAGAAGTCAACAGTTGTCGATGAGAAGACTGGAAAGAGCACAGATAGCAGGTTTTACTACTTGTCAATCCATGCGACCTTAGTACTAGTAGACTAGTAGTATACAGTTGGGGTGTGAGTTCTCAGAAGCTTATTCTCTTTTACTACTCCATAGGGTGCGAACAAGCTCAGGGACATTTCTTGCAAGAGGACGCGACAAAACTATCCGTGAAATTGAGAAAAGGATATCAGATTTCACATTCATACCAGTTGGTATGTGACACTTGTTTGATATATGACACGGTTCCTAATCTCGTTCCTGACTGGGTTCTTGTGATTTGATGCAGAGCATGGGGAAGGTCTTCAAGTACTGCACTATGAAATAGGGCAAAAGTACGAGCCTCACTATGACTACTTCATGGATGAGTATAATACCAGGAATGGGGGACAGCGGATAGCCACAGTTCTCATGTACCTGTATGTAACTGACAAATACTCATAACATGTTGCTATCTTCTCCTTCTTCTTCCTGTAACGCTCCTTAGCGACTGAGTGTGCAGATCAGATGTTGAGGAGGGGGGTGAGACAGTGTTTCCTGCAGCCAAAGGAAACTACAGCGCAGTGCCATGGTGGAACGACTTGTCGGAGTGCGGGAAGGGAGGGCTGTCTGTGAAACCCAAGATGGGAGATGCATTGCTTTTCTGGAGCATGACACCTGATGCCACTCTAGACCCATCTAGTCTTCATGGTGAGTACAAGAGTTTGCAGGCATTGTCAATTGATGATTGAGATGATGTTTTCGAGATATAGTGAATTGGTGGACTTTGGGCAGGTGGGTGTGCTGTGATAAAAGGGAACAAGTGGTCATCCACAAAGTGGTTGCGTGTACACGAGTACAAGGTTTGAGGCATGAACGGATGGAGGTAAGTTTTTGGTAGCAGCTTCGTTGAGTAGCTGCTTAAACTTTTACTGTAAACGGATGGAAAAGTAGAATGTGATAGTGATATGGAAGAAGAAGAAGAAGAAGAAGTGAAAAGTTGGTTAAGTAGAATGGTGTGTGTGATCCTACACAAGTTTTGAGGAGATGAAGAAGAAGGGATACGCACTATACACTGTAGGCTTGTGATTGGTTTGATATATGTTATATGGATTTGAAAATAATAGCATTTGTATTGAAGCTTGTGATGATTGATCAAGTTGGGTAGTGTTTGTGCTTCAACATATACTGTTAGTACAATCTTACAAAGTAGAAAAAATTGTGTTCAAAGGACAAGTAAAAGGAGGGGATGATGTGATGATAATCATTAATCTGTTTGATTAATTTAGTTAGGAAGCAAAGAGGAAGAGGCGGTGGTGTTGTGACGGAGGAGAAGGAGAGGAAAAGGAGTTCCAAAGTCAGAGAGAAGTGGGCCCCCCGATTGCCCAAAAGTCAAAACTCTTGTAAACCACTCTCTCCTCCTCCCCCCCTATAATATTCCATCTAAAGTCAAAGTTCCAAAGATATTATTGTCAAAGATTAACCAACCGGTTTAGACGCGTGATTCGTGATTAGTCAGCGGAGAGAGAAGAGAAGGTTCCATTTGGTCTAGGTCTTACGCCTACGCCATATATCCTCCTCTTCCCGCAATCTCTCTCCTTCCTCATTTCTTCTCCTCTAATCTCTCTCTTTTTTTTTTTTTTTCCTTTTCTATTATTTAATGATTAATTAAAGGCGTAATGGTACGCAAATTCCTATTTTATAAATTACATATCTCAAGTCAAATTTATACAGAAAAAGGTTCTTTTGGCTTTTTTCCCAGGCAGACAAACGAAATTCATTCCCTCCTCCTTGTTCATTCCTCTCACCGTTGCGTTGCGAAGATATGGATGAATCTTATTCTCTCTCTCCTATCTCCCTCGTTCGTCGGATCAAAGATTCCTTCCATTTCGCCATCTCTGCTCTCCTCGCCAACCTCTTCTCCGCGCTCTTCACCTTCTTCTTCGCTTTAGGTTCGTCGATTGCTCATTCTATTTCCTGTATCCGGGGTCAAGGCCTTGTTTTGAAAAAAAAAAAAAAAAGCAGGGTGAATAGATTAGATAGGATGTGATCAATGATCATGTGTTGTTGGAGGAGGAATTATTCGCGAATGTCATGGTGTTGGGTTTTGATGATTGTTTTGGGTGATTTCATTTCAGTGGGGACTTTGCTAGGAGCATTGACAGGTGCTTTGATCGGCCAAGAAACAGAGAGCGGTTTCATCAGAGGAGCCGCCGTTGGAGCTATTTCAGGAGCTGTCTTCTCCATCGAAGTTTTTGAATCTTCCCTCCTCCTCTGGCAATCCGATGAGTCTGGAATCGGATGCCTTCTCTACCTGGTAACAACAACATTACTATTACTAACCTAAACCCCGATCATTTCTTCTTCTTTTTCATTATTGCTTGATATGCTCAATAACACTATCTTTTTTGTTTATCTATTAGATTGATGTCATTGTAAGCCTTTTGAGCGGGAGGCTTGTTCGTGAGCGTATTGGTCCGGCGATGCTAAGTGCGGTCCAGAGTCAGGTAAAACAAACTAAACCGTCGCTTGCTCAAGAATCCAATATCCACAGAATTCTAATTTGCAATAAACACCAGATGGGAGCTGTGGAGTCACAGTTCCAAGAGCAAACAGACATCTTCGACACTGCCATTTCAAAGGGTCTCTCAGGGGATTCTCTGGACATGATCCCAAAGGTCCGAATCACAGACACCTCCTCCGGGGAGATGCTCTCTTGCTCTGTCTGCCTTCAGGTTTGTCTCACTTACCCTTTATCCTCTGCTCTGGTAAACCGTTAGAGAACTGATATAGGAAATCACAAGAGAATATAGAAGACGGAACGAAGAAAAAATATTGGAAGGTTGAGAGTTTTCTTAGATGTTTCGATTAGGTGGAGAGAGAGAGAGAGAGAGAGAGAGAGAGAGAGAGAGAGAGAGAGAGAGAGAGATAGGTGAAAAGTGGGTGAAAGGTAAAAAATTAATCGAGGTGTGGTGACAAATTACAGGACTTTCAGGTGGGAGAGACAGTTAGAAGTTTGCCGCAGTGCCATCATATGTTCCACCTACCCTGCATCGACAAGTGGCTTCGCAGGCATGCTTCTTGTCCCTTGTGCAGAAGACATCTTTGAATTCAACCTCTTTCTCTTTCTCTTTCTTTCTTCCCCTTCTTCTTTGTAAATGAGGTATATAGAACCACCATACACACACACACTACTAATGTTCCTTGATTATAGAGATTACACGTAACAGATTTTGATGCATCCATCATTGTCACCTTGACTTGTCTCTTGGAAATCCTGAATATTTATGTTACTCATGCTTGGCTTTGGCTTCATTCCGTTTTCCCATAGGCTAATCGCAAACGAGGAAACCTTTATATATCCTTAGTTGCAGCCATAAGCAATGCTCCACTTTCAATAACTAAGAAGAGATTATACATTTTACATTGACAAGTCCGAGGATAAAAAATAATGGGATGAGATTTGCTTCACTTTGACATTATACATTGGATAAATAAACCCAAAACCCAAAATAAGATGAATAAATATATAGCTACAAGTTGGATGGAACCTGGTTTTTAGAGTTTTTTGGGCAAAGTAATACCACCGCCACGGATAGAAACAGAAGGGGGTTTTCTGAGAGAGGAGGAGGAGGAGGAGGCTCTGCTGAGCAGATTGGTGTCGAGGAAGAGGACGACCACAGTGATGTCGTCGTGGAAATGCCTTCTGACGCCTCTCTCAATCTTGTTGAGATCAGAGTATCTCATCTCTCTTTTCTTTGCGGCCTCGTGCAGTGCCGCTTTCACCAGTCTCTTTGCTATCCCCTGCATCAACATTCTCACTTTGTTCATCTATAGGAAAATCATATGTGTATGTGCAGGTAAGTAACACTGACGACATCTCGTACGTTTCTTGGGTGGTTCTGAACGATTTCGACAGCTTCTTGGTTGCTAAGCTGCTCCCATAGTCCGTCTGATGCAAATATGAGGAACAGATCGTCTGGTTGGAGATCATGCACTGTTATCGACGGTTCCCCACTCAAGATGGGTCTCTTCATTGGCTCTCGCAGTCGGTACTTTGTGTACAAAGGTTCCCTGTTGAACTCAGCTTTCTTAAGATACACATCTCCTATGGATCTTGATATCTGCAAGATAACCCAAGGTAAAGGTTTAAGGTTTTAAGGTTTAAGGTTTAAGGTTTGAAGAGAGAAAGGAAAAGGTACACGGTTGGAGAAAGGCACAACCTGAATAAGGCCCTTGACACGCCAAACATTGTGCTTAAGGACGACAATATGGGAGTCATCAGGGTGCAGGGAGTGCATTTCCTGCCTGACAGACTCAATGCTGACATTATGTTCCGCTGAGAGCTGAAGCGCAATAACCTCACCCGTAGCCTTGGAAAGCTTTCCGAGCACCGCCCGGGAATCCCCAGCGTTAGCGACGTAGAGCCTCCCGTCGCACACCACGCCCACCAGGCAGCATGACCCAACCGCTGCTATATGTGGCTTCACTGCCCACTGCTTCGCCACCACCCCTATAAATCCTTCTTCCGTCGCCTCATATGCCTTTCTTATTACCTCCACTGACATGGAATCCTGCTCCGCCGCGAATCCTAGTAGTAGTAGTAGTACAACGGATGATTTAGATTTAGATTAAGTTCCGTTGCAGTGATTAAATGAATACGAATATATGATTGATGATTGATACTTACTCTTGAGATGGTGAAAGAGATGATCGTTGACAAAGCGGGAGGTCTCAGGGCCGCCATGGCCGTCATAGATACCAACAAAGGTTCCACAAGGACCAGAAGCAAGGGTGCTGAGAGGACCAGACTCGACCTGGCTCTGATCCTCGAGCAGGTTGTTGGCCTGGACCACGGCCATGGAGAATTCCCCAGCCAGGTGCTGAGCTGAGTCTTTGTACCAGAGCAGCCCTTCCTGTTTGCCTTTCGATTCAGCGTACTTTGCACCTATACTCGAGGAGGACGGCCACAGACAAGCACTCAGAAAGCTCATCAATATCGATAGCATCCCTCATCTCATCTTTTTCATCCCCGATTTAGCTCCTGCAATCATCATCAGTATGCATCTAAGTTACCTGAGTCTTCAAAATATTAATTCCAACAAAAACTATACTAAATATGATAAAGCGAGGAGGACGAGACCGGCAGAGTCGGAAACTTCCATTCATTCACACCATACAAAATTACAAATTGATTACTGCACAGCAACTTCTTGTGGAGAGGAAAGCAATGGAGATCTCAAGCAGAGAGAAAGTAACATGTGGATCCGAAGCAGACGCACACAATTCTGAGATTCTCGACAGAGAGTGAAGATGAGATTATAAAAGATTTTTCAGATCTTTAGGAACAGAGAGGAAATTTGATAAAATGCCTCAGATTTCCAGACTCTCTTCTCTAATTGTTTATTGATTGGGCTCCTTTTGTTCCTAGTATTTGCATATCGAAACCCTCCTACTACTTACTTTCTTCTAGTTTGAGCCCCAAAAACCAAAAGGACAAGAAGACACACATACGTGTACACGTGCACTCCTTAATTAATTCCACCATCCATGTGGATGATTACATCAGTTCGGGGAAATTTCAAAACTACCTTCTTGAGGTGTCAATTTTCAAAAATACACATCTATGGCACCAATTTTCAAAACTACACTTTTTTTCATCGAGTATAAAAACTCTAAACCCTAAAATATAAATCCAAAACCCTAAAATCTAACATTGAACCCTTAAATCTAAACCCTAAATTCCAAAATTTAAACCCTAATCTAAGAATAGTGAACCCAAACATATATATTAAAATTGGGGAAAGATGTATTTTTAAAAATTTCCACACTAGGTGTAGTTTTGAAAATTTGCACCTTAAAAGATGTATTTCATAAAAAATTTCTAGCTGTTCTCTCTCACTTGTCATTATTACTTTGATTTTTGAATTGATTTCCTCCCTCGTCTACAGTCTACACTACACACATCATGGATCAATTCATTTAACTATCAAAAGCCTTTAGAGAGAACTACATATGGCCCGTTGATAAATTCAACATAGCTTGGGCCTTACTGGACCTTGTTGCAAGAGAAGAATCAACGGCGATGATTTTTCGAGAGAGCCAAGAAGAAAGAGCTCGCCGCAGGAAATCATATCAAACTTGTGTCTGTCAGACTCGTTGCATAAATTAATTTAGTTTGTGTTTTCTGGAATCATCCATTTGCTGAGCTCCAATGGCATCTGCTCACTCCCTCGGCGCCGTTTCTGTTCTCGCTGCGCAGCAAGGAACACTTGCTCCATCTCCTTCCTCTACTGCTCTCCACTGTATTTCTTCTCTTCCATTTAAACCTCGCGAGCCCTCTGTCTTCCCTAACCTTCGCAGGGTAGCGCTAAAAGGTATCTCTTATTTCTTTTCCTTTTTTTTTTTTTTTCAATTTGAGCTTATCGGTGAATACGAGTCAACAAATTTAGTGTCCAATTTTGTCATGAATGTCTGGGTTTTTATAGTTTCAAATTCAGTAGATTAGTGGGTAGCAGAATCGGAATCGTGAATGCTTCAGGGTGGAAATGGATATGACTGATGAGTCCTGAGAGTCCTGAGCTGATTTTGATTGTGGAAGTGGCAGGAAAGGCGCAGTCAAAAGAAGGTGAAGTAAGTCCTGTGGGAGACACGTTGAGTAACCTCAAGCATCTTCTTCTGCCAGTGATTGATCCGAATCCTTATCTTTCCGAAGGCACCAGGCAGGTTAGGCTAGCTCTTCCACTTGGGATCTGTAAATGTTTGAGTCTGAAATCTGAGACGATGATTGTGAATACTGAATTGTGATAACTGATAGGCTGCTGCAACAACAACTAGTCTGGCAAACAAGTATGGAGCTGATATCACAGTCGTAGGTCAGTAGTGTAAGACGCAAGAATCGAGACTTTGTCTTTGTCTTTCTCTTCTCACCCGCCTTTGCTTTTTTGCTTTGCTGCTTCAGTGATCGACGAAGAAAAGAGAGGAGAAGCATCTTCGGAGCACGAGACTAAAGTATCCAACATCCGATGGCATCTAGCCCAAGGTACGCAAGAGTCTCATGTTTGTAACTCTAACTTGTAACTGAGAAATGTAAGATAAAGAAAGAAAGTTGGTGGTGGGCACAGGTGGGTTCGAGGAGTTCAAGCTGTTGGAGAGGCTTGGGGAAGGCAAAAAGGCGACGGCGATCATAGGAGAGGTGGCGGATGAGATGAGGATGGAGCTGGTGGTGCTGAGCATGGAAGCCATCCACTCTAAGTTCATTGACGCCAATTTACTTGCTGAATTCATCCCTTGCCCCGTCCTTCTCTTGCCCTTATGAGTTATGATCCAATACAATTCAACAACCATTTCCTGTCCGGGCTGTCTCTCTCTCTCTCTCTTGCTCATCTTCTTCTTTGTGTCCTCTTGTTCGATCGGGACTCATGCATGTAAGCATGTTAACGTCTTCGGCCATATAGAAAAATAAAAGTTACATTCAAGATTATCTACTTGCTAATTCTAGGTCGAATAAGAGTGATAAATATAGGAGATGGTCAATAAACAGACCCTATAAATATGATGACACGCATACGAAGATTTTTTGTCTTTACTTTTGTTTGTTTTATACTTTTATATATAGAGAGATTAGAGAGAGTGTAAAAATGAAGGGAGAAATGTCATAGAGATAAATACGAGTGTTGAAAAAGCCAAGACCCCCTGTGCGTTGCGTGTCCCTCCCACAGGTATTGATTGGCAGCGAGGAGGGTATAATAGTCAAATCCATAACGAAGGGTTTGGTGTTTTTGTAAAATTGAAAGGGGCCAACAACACCAGAACATATACAGACTCTCATCTCTTGTTTCCCCGGAGCCACCGGCCTTGTTCCTCTCTTCTCTTCTCTGATTCCGGCGTTTCAGATTCATCGACCCTGATGGCTCCGACGAAGGAGTCTAGTGCCGCTGCTAATTCTGCATCTGGCTGCTCCACTGATCCGCGATCACGTCCCGATTCCTCGCCCTGGACGGCTGCTGCTTCCGAGGCGATCCATGATCATCGGGCTCCTTGCGACTACGACAATGCTGATAAGAAGCCTGCCTGGAACAAGCCTTCTACTAGCTCCGCCCATGTCGGCCCTGTCATGGGCGCCGAATCCTGGCCTGCTTTGTCTCTCTCTGCTTCCTCCAAGTCTCTCTCTTCCGATGGATCATCATCATCACCAATGCCGCCTCCCCAGGTACTTTCCCTCTTTTTCATTTTCAGTTCCGGATTCGATCATATTAGGGATTGTCGCACTCTGGATTGATTTGCATGTTACAAATTTTATTTTTCTTTGATGCCTTGTTTCTCTGTCTTCTTTTCAAAATGCTACCTACACTGCAGGCAGCTGGAACTTGTCTCATTTCTACTTCCAAATCTCATACCAATGCTAACGCTAACGCTAACAATGCTAATGCTAATGCTAATGCTGGCTCGAGTGCTGCTGCTGCTGCTGTTGCTGTTGCTGCTTCATCTGAAAACCATCATGTTAATGGCCAAAGGAAACCTGTTAGGCGGAACAATAGCACATCATCTTCCACTAGTAACCCTGCGCCCTTAAACACCAGAGATCAGAATCACAGCCTAAGGGGTGGCTCTTACGCCTCAGGAACTAGTCCTCACTTCCGTAACTCTAACAGGAATCGCAACGGTAGCTCCTCCTACCCCCGTGGGGATAACAGGCGCAACTTTGAGCATGGGAACCAAACCGGGTTTGCTCATCGCAACTACAATGGGAGAGACATGCCCTCCCAACCACCACCACCACCGCAGAGGGGTTTTGGGATGATGAGACCGCAGATGATGATGGGGCCACCATCTTTTCCTGCCAGTAGTGCGCAATATTTGGCAGCGCCTCAATTAGGTTCATATGGTGGCCCCATGCTCTACCCAGGTCTGCCTTTGCTCATCTTATGCTCTCTCTCTCCTCTCTCTCTCTCTCTCTCATTTCCAGTTTCTGATTCGACAATGTTGCGTTTTTCAGATATTCCGCCGCACGTCGTTATGCCACCTCCAGAGTCGATGGCTCTAGTTGGACACTTCTCACCTCTACAAATGTATTTTACCGGCCCTGATCCCATGTTGTACCATAAGATATTGACACAAGTAGAATACTATTTCAGGTAATCGTTTATTAATCCACCACTTGTTTGCTTGTGTTCCCACCTTTCTACTCCTTTCTGGTCAATCCCAATGCTCCACTAGAGGCCTCTGTTAAAAGTACGCATAACGAAACTCTATCCTTTGGTTTATGTATAAACGCAGCGCTGATAACTTAAGCAAAGATGGATACTTGCGGCGTCAGATGAATGATCAAGGTTGGGTTTCTGTTACAGTGATCGCAGGGTTCAGGAAAGTAAGTGATTCCCCGTCCGTCCTCATTTGCTTACACTAAGTTCTCATAATATATAAAAGTTGTTTGTTTGAGTGACCTAGCTACTCCAGCCTTCTAAGTACTTCTAACTAGTCTTAGTTGAAGTGAATGGAGTTGTGTAAAAAAGTGTAATTCTTTGAAGGTGTTTGTAACTTTTTGCAGCTTACGGAAATGACCAACAACATTCAGACGATATTGGAGGCGCTGAGAAGTTCAGAAGTGGTGGAAATTAAGGTATGCATGATGAGCATTCTCGTCTCTGATTCATGAATGATTATAAGATGACAAGTAAAGTGACAAAGAGAAAGGCTATAAGTATAATTTGGATGGGATTGTAATTGTAGGGTGAAGCATTAAGGAGGCGAGGAGATTGGGACAAGTATTTATTGCCTAATGAGCCGTCAAGGTCTGGTCCGGTAGCAACGGCAGCGGCCAACAACAAAAATGTCTCACTGGAGTCGCATGTTGAGAGCATGACTCTGTCAGAGAGGACAAGATAGGGAGAGGTAAAGAGATGGGAGTAAGAGAGAGGAAGAAAGATGTGCTTAATTCCCTTACCAAGTCTCTCTCTCTCTCTCTCTCTTTCTCTATTAGAGGCAATACAACTCTTGTCATTTTAGCAAGTGACTCTCTCTCTCTCTCTCTCTCTCTCTCTCTCTCTCTCTCTTTTGCACTCTCTCTTTCGTTGAGGATCCTCATAGGAACTGATTGATACTGGGTCCTCACAACAATAAACAATAATATGCTGCTCAACCTTTTTTGAACAGTTTTTGGATAGGAAACAAATTGTTGAGACTTGAGACCTCAATCTGTTTCTCCGTTTGATTTCAATTATTGGAGGTTTTGGTTGGATTTATATAATTAACAGATAGTACAAAGAACGAAAGTTTGTATATGTCGGATACCAGCCACTAGGGGCGGAGGGTTTCACTTTCACTTTCACTTTCACGTCAATGTTGGTGTGGTCACATTGAAACACGTGGCAGTGACATACAACCATTCTCTCACTCGTCCACGTGCCAAGTGTGCATCTTCTCTCACTGTCTAGTGCCTTCTAGACTAGCTAACCTAGCTTTCTTTATCAGAGAGTTTCATCAAGTTACAAAACACAAAGAAAAAAGGAGGGGAAATTAATCGGCGTTGATGGGCTTCCTGGATCTCTGTCACCACAGAAAGCTCCACAAGAAGCTCAAGCAGTTCCAGGCACTCTTTTTTACTTCTTTTTCTAATATACTTCCTTCATGCTCTCTTTCTTCTTTTTTCTTGTAGCCTAAAGTCTGTGTTCCTCTTGTGTTTGTTAATTAAAACAAGAAAAGAAGGTGGAGATAAAAGTGAAGATGGACTGCGAAGGGTGCGAGAGACGGGTGAGGAAGTCATTGCAAGGCATGAAGGGAGTCAGCAAAGTCACCGTCGATGCTAAGCAAAGCAAACTCACGGTGGAAGGATTCGTCCAACCCGACAAGGTGCTGCGTCGCGTGATGCATCGGACGGGGAAGAAGGCCGAGCTCTGGCCTTACGTGCCCTACGAGGTGGTGCCACACCCTTACGCTCCTGGTGCCTACGACAAGAAGGCCCCTCCTGGTTACGTTCGCAATGCAATCGCCGACCCTCTTGTGGCCCCGCTTGCTCGTGCCAGCTCCTTCGAGGTCAAATACACTTCTGCCTTGAGCGATGACAATCCCAACGCTTGCACCCTCATGTGATCTTTTTCTTCTACCTAATAACACCACCTTACTTAACACGTCTCTCTCTCTCTCTCTCTCTCTCTCTCTCTCTCTCTGTATGTTTTCGTGTCTGTACACTTTGTTTTAGGTAACTAAACACAAGTTAGTTTGTTTCCCTCTGAATGTATATTAGTATATATGTGTCATCTAAATTCGACTGATATTAACACCGAGAAACAGAAGAGGAAAGAGGTGAAGAGATGGAGGAGTAATAGGAGAAACAAGGGAGAAAGGTGAGACGCCATGAACAGACTGATGAGGCAAGCCATCACCCAAACAGGGTATAGCAAAAGCAGTGCGTAACAGAGAACCACAAGACAGTTGCAGACCTGACTCACCATGTTGATCTGCGTCCGGTGGATGGATGCTTCCGTTTTATATACTTGGAAAAACAAACACGACTCTTTCCTCTCTCTCAAGAAGTTGTTTCATTTCCTCTCTAAACGGGGCAATGCATCCCACATTTCCCTCTGTTTCTGCTGCTCTCACATAAAGAATTAGAAATGCACAATCCGAACTGATAAGAGTTGTACTTGTCCAAAACCAGGCTAGATATTTTAAATAAAAATCTCTTTATTATCACATTCACTCAACAAGTTACAAGTTGTTTACATGATACATATTCATATGTGAAACAAACACCACACCAAAATTCGAGGGAAGAATCAAGTGCTCAGGATTTGGAGAATTCACGGAGCGTGGCATCCAACGCCTCCCGATCATAATCTCCGGTGAAGACGCAGTTTCCCAGCGGACCTTTCAGAAGAATGAGCCTCAGCAGCCCGTCTGCCACCTTCTTGTCCACCTACATTCATTCCCACACACACATATATACATCTCAATGAAACTCTGGCTCAAAGATTCAATCAAACTTTTTCATTTACACCACAAACTCACCGCCATTATGGACTTGAACATGTTGACCGTCATGCTCTCTGGTGGGGTTGTTGGCAATTTCGCTCGTTTTAAGATGTTGTTCACTCTCTCAACTATCGAGTCGTCGATCCAACCAAGACGATATGACATGTCCACTGCCATTACCTGAGTTATAACTAACAGTGTGAACCATGTGGAAGTGAAGAGAGAAGGGAGTGTTTTACACCAAAAAATCACAGCAGAGAGAGGGAGAGAGAAGGAGATACCGTGCCAGCTGCAACAGCTTCTCCATGGAGCCACTCTCCATACCCGAAGCCAGTTTCTATGGCCTGCACAGAGAAATGATTGGTGAGACGAAAAGAAGAGATATCACTAAGAAGAAGAAATATCATAAACTGCTTACATGGCCAAATGTATGACCCAAATTCAGGGTCGCTCGCAAGCCGCTTTCTTTCTCGTCTTGTGACACAACATCTGCCTTGTTCTCACATGATCGCTTTATAGCATAAGCTAACGCAGCTGGATCCCTGCGATGGAATATTGTAACATCATTTTTACAGGAATAGACACATTGACCTCAAAAGTGTTTTTTGGATAAAGTACCTTGCCAGCAAGGCCTCAATGTTCTTCTCCTGCCATTCAAAGAATTCGGCATCCCTGATAAGCCCGTACTTGATCACTTCAGCTAGGCCTGAAGCCATCTCCCTATCTGGCAGTGTGTTCAACGTGTCCGTGTCAACTAGCACACACTGTGGTTGGTAAAATGCACCAATCATATTCTTTCCAAGACGATGGTTTATGCCTGTCTTGCCACCTACAGACGAATCAACCTGCAAAAAGGCAATTCCAACGATTAATAGAAACGTCATTCTTTCTGGATGTTAATGATTTAGACAACGGAGAAGTGAAAACAAGCACCTGTGCCATAACAGTGGTAGGAATCTGGATGAAATTAACACCACGCAGGTAAGAGGCAGCGGCGTATCCACACATATCGCCTATGACACCGCCTCCAAGCGCAACAAATGTGCATCGTCTATCTAGGCGACACTCAATTGCCTTGTCGAATACTTTCATCAGAGTATCCTATAAAGAATTGACCACTCTCAATAACTCAAAATTGCAATTGCTTCACTATCATCAACTCTAAAATCCAAGAGATAAAAACAAGGGAAAAAAGAGGTTACCATGTCCTTGAATTTCTCTCCATCAGGCAAAATAACAGTCTCCACGGTGACGTTTGGATTACCTCTAGTCAAAGCCTCTACAGTCTTGTCCAGGTAAAGAGGAGCAACGCGCTCATTAGTCACCACAAGCACCCTCTTCCCGTGAACATGCCTATTCATCTCAACAACAAATGAATTGGCTTACTAGATCGAGACTACTAAGGCCTAACTAAACATGTCAAAGTGAGGAAATGTATGCTCAAATGGTACAAAAGAAGAGACCTTTGGAGAAGTTGTGATTGATCGAGCAAGCCGGCGCCGATATAGATCGGATAACTCCGGTTGCCTAAATCAACTTGGACGACTGTTGGGGAAGTGATGGAGCGTTTCTCGTCGACAGGTTCGTTCATCAGCTGACTCGCACCGGCTCGGACACGAGACATGGAAACAGTCTTGGAAGACAAAGATAAATCCCCAGTTTTAGAACCCAACGGGAAGCAAATGGTTCGTGGAGCGATCAACGCGCGGCTCTGAATTGAATGGAGATTCTTGGAGGCAGCGACGGTGTGGGGGATGGAAAGCGAAACAGAGTTAGCAGCCATGGAAATCGATCGGGATCAGAAGAGAAATAGACTTTGGGTTGGTGAAGGCTCAAGACACGAAATACATAAATTACCAAATGACAAATACATGATGATGGTTTGGTTGATATTCCATGGTGTTGTTTGGTGAAAGCCGTCTTCGGAGACGGCGTGGGCCGTGGGGTTGGTGAGACTCAGGCCATTGGTAGGCTATCAATCCCCCACCACTCACCCTACGCTACACCTCATTTTACAACCGTCCGATCTAAATATCATTTCGTCTACAGCTATTTGGCGGTCTGTAATTGAAATCTCTCTATATTCATGGACACGTCACATTAATGTACGGAGCCTCCGAAAACAAATACGGTGCCGTTTAGTGGACCCGCGAAAAACTGAGGAGAGTGTGCTGCGAAAAAGGCGACGACACACACACCGGCCGGTGACTGTTCTGTGAGGATCCGACTCCGAGCCGTCGGGAATGCTTCAAGTTTTGGGCTAATCTGAAACCCTGATAAGGTTGTTGATTCTTTGATCGAGTAATCAAGTTCCGTTCGTCTTCCGTAAACCCTAGGCGATGGGGAAAAGAAATCAAATGGCTGGATTTTCGTTGGAAGATGAGGATAACGATGAATCGTATAACTTAAGGTCATCGCGTTCTAATGCCAAGTCGAAATCGAGGTCCTCGGCTGCTACCAGAACCAATCCTAGGGCGTCTAAGAGAGCTCGACTTTCCCGTGCTAGCGCCAGTAAAGAGTTGAGTCACGTAGACAAGGCCTGATTTCTCTCTCTCTCTCTATCTACACTTTTCTCTACATTTCTGTTTTGCCTCTTCACCTTTATCAAGTTCCGCTTTTCTATGTTACGCAGATGAGATTGTCTTTCGAAGATTTCGATGAAGCTTTGAGCGGGTTCAATGAATCTCCTGGTACGCCGAAATTGCCATGCCTAGTGCGGTTTCGAGTAGTAGCAATTTCTAGTCTAGTCGTGCTTGTAATGTCTATCATTTCTTCTCTTGTTTAGGCTATGAGAGAAGCAAGAATACGGATTTATGGGTTGACAAATACAGGCCTCGCACCTTGGAAGAGCTCGCTGTTCACAAAAAGAAGGTAGCTCTCTTCTGTGTTCCCCTTCTTGCTTCACCTACGCATATTCATTCGTTTTTTTTTTTTTTTTAAATATATACATGTATGTTGTGTAATCTTCAGGTTGAAGAAGTTAAGTTGTGGTTTGAGGAAAGCTTGAATTCCTCAAAGGTAATTTTTTTGTTTTACCTTTGGAATTGTCTTATGAATTCTGAGCTCGTGATGCTAAATTGAAGTACTCACTTTGCTGGTTTTTGTTAATCAGCAGGATGGTTTTAGGAATAATGTTCTACTAGTCACGGGGCAAGCTGGAGTCGGGAAATCTGCTACTATCCATTTGGTTGCGTCTATCCTTGGAGTCACAGTCTATGAGTGGAACGCTCCTATTCCTACGGTCTGGCAAGAACATTTGCACAACTCAAGTTCAGGTACTCCAGAAATTTCTTTTTTTGTAGGTAATTACTCAGTTTTGGCACTGCAATTACAGAACAGGGAATAATTTCTGTATTAATCCAGAGATTACCTTCCGGATTTTTGTTAATTCTTCTAGGACTCAAGTACACATCGAAGCTGGATGAATTTGAAAACTTTGTTGAGAGTAGTAGAAAATACGGAGTGATTGCTTCGTCGAGTAGTGGGGGAACAAAGTCGCCCGTTGTTCTTTTGATTGATGACCTACCTCTAGCCAATGGGAGGCATGCATTTGAAAGGCTGCAAAACTGCTTAACTCTCTTGGTGCGATCAACGCAGATGCCAACAGTGGTATTAATCACTGACTACGATAAAACGGATTCTTCTGAACAGACTGCGCGAAGCATGGAGGACGTTCAGTCCTCTCTTGAGCGAGCAGGGGCTTTAAAGGTTGGCTCATCAAACCCTGTGCAGTCTTGATCTAATTATAGATCTGATTTTTTCAAGACTAGTTACCTATCCTGGTTATGCAAACACAGGTCGCTTTTAATCCCATTACGAAGAACTCAATTAAGAAGACACTTAAGAGAATAAGCAGTGAAGAGCATTGTAAGGTATCGACTGTAGAGATTGATCAGATGGCGGGTGCCAGTGGAGGAGACATCAGACATGCTATTACATCTTTGCAGCTCTTCTCCGTTAAGCCAGAACTGAATCATACAAAGATAGAATCACCAATGGATAACAGTTATCAGGGAAATGAGCCGACAATGCACAGTGAAATATCTTCCTGTTTTGGTAGAGATGAGACCCTTTCCTTGTTTCACGCCCTGGGAAAGTTTCTCCACAACAAAAGAGAGACTGATAATGTTATCGTATCAGGTAATTCGTTACCAAGAGAAGTTATGAGAATGCAATTTAGAGCACAGGATCAATATCTTCTAAGCTAATGTTTGTGTCAGATTGCAGTGACTCCCTTGTGCATGACCAGTTTGCAAGGTTACCACTGAAAATGGATGCGCCGGAGAAGGTTCTTAGCCAAGCTCATGGACAGGCAGGGCGAGTTGTGGATTTTCTACATGAAAATGGTATTAACTACGAGCTCGTCTTGACTCCCCATTATGCAAAGGAATACTTGCTAATATGGGCTCATAACGTTTATGAAGTGTTAGATTTTGTGAGTGACGGAGCCATAGAAGATGCCTGGTGTGTATCTTCGTATTTGGCAGATGCTGATCTCCTTCTCGCAGCCTTGAGAGGAAAGATGAGTGGGCATAACAAAAGAGAGGATGTTCTAGAGTCAGCCGGTGCCTCAGTAGCTGTTCGTGGTGTCTTGTATGGAAACAAGCAACCATGGTCATCCAGGTTTCTTATATAAACGGATGCCAGTCCATTGTATCATATTTTCTATGTTAGATACTTATATTATCGATTGGTCTGTATCGTGCGCATGCAGATGGCACGCGATTCGCAAGCCAAAACTCTGGCAAGTGGAACAATCCTCAATACAAACCAAGGTACATTGTCGGAAAACAAACAAAAAGCTAGTTACTTATACACGTCCAAACTTTCTCTATATGCTTAAAAAATTGATCTGTTAATGCAGAAGCAACTGAGAGAGCAGAGGAACATAGGCTCTGTGGGGTCAAGAGTGGCAGATACATCAGTGATGGCCACAGAGTACAGCCCCGTGCTGAAATGGCTAAGCTACAGGGCGTCTCCAGATGTGTTTGCAGAAATGGAGGAAGCTACGGATGAGGCCGAGAGTGAAATTTCTGAAGATGATGAAATAGAAGACTGGTGACATTTACTTCATTTAGGGGCAAGAAGGCTAATTGTTCGGCTTACTTATAAATAGGAAATCGACAGTCACTTCTCTATCTAACAATGTGCACAGCGAATTTTATCCATGGTTTGATCAGGTTCAAGCGAATTGTAAACCCCTTTTTTGGAACATTTTCGTAGTTAACAAAAGTGGATCAACTTCCTAATCGAGGCTTAATGTGGGCTCAAGGTTTGTGGGAGAACAGCTCAACGCCAAACGTCAAGAGTGACAAACCAAATGCAAGATTTATGTTTGGAGCCGAGGTATCAAACCAACTAACAAACGAAAACAATTATCAAAGTTGAGATATCTAATCAAGCCTGAAATAGCTGAGTGTCTCCAGAACCAAACATGAAAAAGTAGACAACTGAGAATGGAATTCGAGACCAGAGTTGTTCCATTGTTTAATCAAGTATCCTTTGGAGGGCCTTTCTTGGCTGCTTCTGCGGCTGCCTTTTCTGCTTCGATCTCAGCGACAATTGCATCAATTTCAGCTTCTTCAAGCTGGCGCAACCCGGTTTCCTCCCGTGTCATGACAGCAACCTCAATGTTCTTTCCTCCGCTCTCAACTACCTGCAATGCAAAAGCTCAAAACATATCAGAAATGATGAAATAACAAAAAAGCATCAACCACTTAATATCAGCACGAGAACTGGCGAACCTCAAGCAGAGCACGGATAGCGAGTTTAATAGTTTCTGGGCCGGAGCTTTCTTTGTAGTTCTTCTCGAGGAACTCCCTAATAGAGTTGGAGTTTCTGCCGGTGGCATTAGCTTTCCAAGCAGAGAAAGTGCCAGACGGGTCAGTCTGATAAAGGGATGGCACACGAGAGTAGGGGTCAAAGCCGACGATAAGAGTAGAGAGACCAAAGGGCCTGACACCACCACTTTGGGTATACTTCTGTTGAAGCCCTGCTATGTAGCGCGTGATGTACTCAACAGTCACTGGGTCCTCTAGCGTAAGCCTGTGGCTTTGACACTCGATCCTTGCTTTGTTGATCAACACACGGGCATCTGCCTTTAGCCCCGCGCATGCCAAGGCAATGTGATTATCAAGGCTCACTATTTTTCTGGCTGATCTGTGGGAAACCAAAAACAATTCAGAATCAGATAACACATCTCTCGAGCAACGATTCAGCAGCAGCACAAGAGAATGATTCGATTCGAGGTCCACAATTTATTTCAGGGAAAGACCAAGCCATATATCTACACAAGGACATTCGAACCGTATCGGGAATTGCACATCATTTCTTAACTAGATACAGGATTCGTTTGGCACGAGAGCTATCTACACTAGGGTTTCAGCTGCCAATGACTAAGATATTTCCGCATTTTTAGGTCATATCAAGCTCCATTGCTGCTTAGTCAACACTAGCAACTGAATAAATCCAGCGATTTAGCTAATTCGCAAGGGATCGGGCCAAAAGGAGTTAACGTAAGCAGAGATCGAAATCAAACCTAGAATCCTGAAGCTTGGGGGTAGATTTCTTCTCGACGGCGAGGACGACGGTGTCGGTACCGCGGACTCCGACGGCGGCGTTACCCTTGCGGACGGCTTCTAGGGCGTACTCGACTTGAAAGAGGTGGCCGTCGGGGGAGAAGACAGTAATTGCTCGATCGTATCTAGCCATCTCTCTCGCCTTTCTCTTTTCTCAGATTTGTCCTCTCCGATTATACTTACTTTGATCTCTCGTTTTCAGGGAAAATCAGAAGAAAACTCTAAAGACGAATCCAACTTAAGCGACAAGCCAAAAGAAAAGAAAAGAAAAGAAAAATGTATCAGATCTTCAAGTTAGAGACTATTTAATGGGCCTAAAAAGAAGTCCAAATTTCCAAGGGCAGGCCCATTAAAGAGTAGAATGAAGCCCAATATTTCTCCCGCGCGTTTTAACCAACTGTCAAAAACACTCTGTTTGACCGACCAAACCGTTATTGAATAAATCATGAATGGACGGACTTAAGAGAGAGAGAAACAATTGATTCGATACAAGAAAATCTAAAATAAATTTCTAGACAACATTGGGGGAGATAAATCAACAGAGAATCAACTTTCTTCTTCTTCTAATGGTACGTGGTTTCTGGGAAAATTGAAGCAAGAAAGTACGAATCTCCATGGGAGCGAGCTCCACAACCAAAGCGGACTTGTCAAGAGGTCCGCCTCTAAGCGGAGGAGAAGAAGCTTGTTGGGGATCAGTCTCCACTTTCCACTTCATCTTCTCCTTCATCTTGTCCTTCTCCTGAGTTGCTGCCAAACTCATTTCTTTCACTTCTTTTATCTACAAAATTTAAAATTATTTGTTATCAAATCAAAACCACTATTACATTTAGATGATAGATGGATGATAGATGAGCAAGTGATTGCTTACGATTTTCCCGGAAAACAACTTCTTGAGCTCAACTTTAGCGAGTTTGGAGTAATCACCGTCTTCTTCAGCCTGTAAAGAATAGTCAGATGATAACAGTACATGACTAAGTATAGTAAGCCAAGTTCAAAAAAAAAAAAACAAAGAGTGTTACCTCGTAGACATGGGCGAGGCGGAGAAGGACGTCGCCTTGATCAAGCTGGTGAAGAGTGAGGAGAGCAATGTTTGGAGGGAAGGCGTAGAGAGGATCCATGGCGTAACCTTGGACAGAAGTGGAGGCTTTCCATTTGTCCTTGGTCTCATGAGTGAATGCCATGAGAAGAGGAGAGTAGATTTGCTGGGCAGTCTCTCGTCTCCACCTCCCTCCTTCTCCCAGCTTATTGATGCTTACATAGTAAGTCCCACGAACCGTTAACCCTGAGCAGATGTCATCATCGACACACACAGTTTCTTCAAGGCTCTCCTCTACACCTCTACCATCATCCATGCAGGTACGCCTGTGAAGCATCAATTCCATTTCGCCGTCCTTAATACTGGCACCCCCACTTGCCCGATCTACCAATACCGACAACTCTGCTTTCTTGTCTTTTATGTACATTCCAAGATTAAGCTGAACATTCACATTCACATTCAAAAAAAAAAACAAAAATGCGTGCGTTAACACTCTTAACACTGCAAGCAATTCAAAAAGGTGATCTACTCATCAACTAGTTTTTGCAAGTTTACTGCTGCACATCACAACACATCAATAGTTTACCGGATAGTAGTTTCCGGCTATTGGCTCATTCACTTGGAGAAGCCAGTCTGTTCTGTTATCCCTGACCTGCAATAGAGTGTGTCTGTTTTTAAGATACAAAGTTGACATTTCCACAACTGATCAGGTATATTGAATCTTCAAAGTTACCCGTTTGAGAAAGTCTCTTCCGTTGGAGTCAGTGTACAACTCCTTGTTTGTAGTCATATTTGTTACCATCCGCGTTATTATCTCTTTCCCTATGTTTCTTTTTTTACCAATAGGAATTGGACCAATCTGCTCAACATAAGATTATGTGTTTGCTACAGTCAATCAAGGATCTTTCTATTCAAAGCTAGCATTAGTTAAACAAGATGATGAATTGGAGAACAAGACTCACAGTGTACTCTAACTCTGCGTGCTCTTTTTCTTTGTACACTCTTATCACCTACACAACACCACCAGCTAATTCCTTCCCAAATACTCAAACTCACAAGACTTGAGCAGTAAGTAAGAAGCTAACATACCTGTGCCACCCAAGGACTAAACTGCTGGTGCACCTCGTCTACTAAAGCCCCTCTCACTATCTCCAACTTTGGCTGCGTATTATATTGCCAATTAAAGCATCAGTCATGCATGTTTCTCTGCTTTCACTATTATTATCCGGGAGGATATGGCACCCTACATATATAATCAGTGTGTAGAAAAACAAAGAAAATCTAGAAATTTTTCATCTTAGATCTATCTTTTCATGACAGAACCTCTAATGGTACTGATTCATAGACTCACTTTCGGCGAAACAGGATACGCCAAAGAAGCATTTGGTCGGAAAATATATGCACCCGAAGCCTGGGAATTTTGATCGTCCCCTGCATTTGAAGCATACCATAAATAGTCCTGACGCACCGGTATGTTTGCCTGAAATATATAGTATTATCATCTTTTAGTGTATATATATATATATATATATATATATATATATATATATTTATATATGTGTGAGTTTCAGTAGGTGCAAGAGTAGTAAAGGAAACATTACTCCTGTCCTGGAGTTGTACATCCGTTCGACAAGACCAGAGTCTGGAGAAAACACAATCCTTAGATTTCCTTGACCAATTTCTTTCACATTTTTCATCGGACTAAACTTCACTGGAGAGTCTGTCTGTTTCTTGCTTCCTATTTGTGATGCAAGAAAACAAAAACAAAGACAACCATGAGCTAAAGAGATTATAGTTCCATGTATCGAAGTTGTACAGCTACGCCTACGCGTGAGCCTTTCTCTTCTACATACCTTCCCCGCTTGGTTTAGATATGAAGAATGTGTTCCAAGCAAGTGGCGGCACTGTGGCTTTAAAGACGAGCCAATACTTTGGAACATGCGGTGAAGATATTCCCAAATAAGCCTTTGTATAGTTATTTCTCAGGTTGCTGGTGACAGGATCCATGGGGATGTATTGAGTATCAAGGATGTTTCCAGAGGAATCTTCCACGCTCAGACCTGCATCATTGACCTGGTACACACCGTACGTGACTCTTAAATAAATTGCGATTGGGAGTCTCCTCCATTGACCTCAAAAAGGAGCAAGTAAACTAAAAGAGGCATGATGGAATCTAACCGGAATCCTGATGATTTCTGTACGATTCCATGCAAGGGAGTTGTAGGCCACCAGAATCTGAATGAATAAGTTAAGGATTGAAGCCAAAGCTGAGACGACATGAGCTATAACGTAAGGATTGTAAGAGATATATATATATATATATGTGACAGAGGGAATTACCAAGCTTTTCTGTCCAGAAAGGGTTTCTTCTGTAGCTGGGCAATAGCTGATATTCATCAACGAGCACTGCCCATTTTTAAGGTATAAACCAGGTTACTAGTAGCTATAGATACGGACACAAACATTTTTACAAAACAAAACGAGCTTATATATGATGATAAGTTAAACCTGGCTGAATGCTATTGCAGGCTGTGTGCAGCCAGTATTTGGTGCCTTGTTCAGTAAGCATGACAGCGCAGAATTCACCACAGTTTCTGCCTAAAATATGAATCAAACTATCTAATGATAAGCAACAAAAAACCCAAAAAAAAAAAAACAAAACAGAGGAAGAGTTTTGATAACCTCGGAAGCACCAAGGGCAAGGCGTTTCAGGTAATCATTAGTGACATGCTGCTTGGCAGTTCCAGTGACAGCATCATGGTGCTGCGCTATTCCTAAAGCCTCCCCAAGGCTGCCAGTGTTTGGACCTCCTGCTTTCTTCCCCACCAGAAACTCAAGCTGCCTTGCAGCCTGTTCATAATTTGGAGACAAAGTTAAATTAATTAAACAATGCAAGGATCGAGTTGCATGCATATATGTTGGGTGTGTTTGAATGGAATCGGACTCTTTTGGATCATACCATGTAGTATCCGCTGAGAGCCCGAACATATCGTTTTACAGCAGGACGGCTGGTGAAGTAGCCTGTCCAGTAGGCGTTTTCTCGATCCGCGTATCTACAACAATAGACAAAGTGTAGCTTAGTGTAGTTCCAAGAAATAATAAGTTGATTTGCTTGCAATGAATGATGAATGATGAATGATGCATGTAATTACTGACGGGAAAAAGTCAAGTGTCTTGAGAGGCCAAGTGACATTGTCAACATTCTTTGCATCAACATAGAGAGATGGCGTGGAGTACAAGGCGTTCACACGGCCATCCTGTCAAAAAAAAGAGTTTATGATTTGTGAGACCAACAACAAGACTAGTGGACTTTATTGGAGATTGATGATCAAAGATCGGCGAGACATAAAGAAAGGGAAACCTTGTTAACATAATGGATAAGTCTGTCCATCTGCCTGAACCATGACTCTGCAAACTGGTACTGGAAATCATCACCCATCGTCCACATCACATGCTTCCCTCGACTCACATTGGCCTGTCATTTCACTCTAGCTACTCTCAGAACCCAAGAAAGATTACACACAATTAACCATAAAAAAAAATAAAAAAAAAGAAGTTGTAAACTTACATAAAAGAGAGAAGCATTGACGAAATTATCAACCATCTCTTTAACGTTATAGGCATCGGAACGAGGGTCATCCTGGAGGGGCTCGTAATCATCGCTGACTTCGTAGTGAAACCCAGTTGGTGGACTATAGTGAACTGGAAACACATTTGTGAATATCTGCGCTGATGCACCAAAAGTATTGGATCCTCTCCACAGGAATTCCAGTGATTTCTCGTTCTTTCGCTTCTCTCTGTCTTGGTAATCGATCCTGGCGAAATGAAGGGAATCCAACCCTAACTCTGCTCCCAGGAGGTAAGCCTGAACAGAGGAGTGACCAAAGGGGTCGATTTGCCAAGCAGCTCGAGGACTTGTGTTGAATTGCTGCTGTATGAACCTGTGACCCATTGACGTCTGCTCTATCATATCTATGTAATGGCACGTTGCTTCGTCGTTCATACTCCATCCTCCATTTCTACATCCATTCCCTTCTGCTATTTATTTATTTATATGATAAATGATCAAATTAATTAAAGGTTGTTTGTTAAAGACAACTTACACAAACTCAAGTTGTCCGGATTTCACAAGTTTCCTCACATCTGCTTGTGTCTCCGGGCTTTGTTCTTCCCACCAACGCGTAAAGAAAGCCTTTTATATATTCACATTGTTATCCCATAAGAGAAAACATATGGTTTCTGAATGAATGAAAACCAAAAAAAAAAAAAATCAAAGCAATGTTTTTTTTACCATTTCAGCGAACACGAACTTTCTATTGGGATCGCGACGCAGCGAATCCACCACTGAGTCCAGCACGTTCCTCACGCAAGCGTTCTGATCATCAAAACCACGCACGTACGATGATTCGTTAAGGATGCATGGTCTCTACGTAAGTATATTAATATGATTATATTCTCTATTTCTCTACCTAGGTAAAGACATATATATACCTGGATAGTGTTGTTTGATCCGATATAGTACTGATCAACGGTTTTCAACCACCCGACATCGTCATGCGAATGCGGAACTAGGTGAACGTTAAGTTTCCCAGGCACAACTCTAGATTCGGTGCCGTACTTGACGTAATATCCCCCGTTAACGCTCTCAAGCGACAGCCAAAGCAGAAGAGAAACAATAACACAGAGTGCACCGGGTCTCTCCATTTCCGAATCGAGCTTCAGCTTCTTCAGATGTTTCCTTCTTTCTTACAGGGTCACAGGTGTGTGTTGCGGAGAAAACTTATATAACAAAACAAATGGAGAGAAAAACACGGGTCAAACCAACAGACCAATCCTTATCGATCGTTGCTTCTTCTCAGATCCGACGGTCCCTTAGTAACATCATTTCGCCACAAATACTAGTATTGTAGATCGCACTCTGTGACTCTGCGCAAATAAAATCTACGTTTTCTATTATTAGATGAACATCATTTAATGCTATTAAACAATTATTTGTTGGAAAAAAAAAGCAATCTTGACAGCTTTTCACACATAAAGTTTTAATTAATTTGTTTTAAGTTTTAATTATTACTTTTAACAGTTGACAGAAATTTCCTTTTTCTTGTTTTTTTTAAGAAAAAGTTTATTAATGCTTCCTATGATGACAATTTCATCAGTAATATAAATCACTCTGAGTAAACTTAAAGCGTTTATAATTTTGTTCCTCCAATACAAATTATGCTGGAAGGAAAGGTTAGTACTATATGAAAGAGACTCGAGAGTTATTTAATGCAGTGAGAGATGGAGCAAAATAGTATAAGCTGAAAGAGTCATTGCCATGTTGGTATGGTTTTGATGCAAAATGAAAGAGCATAAAAGAGTAGTATACAATACAATATAGGCCCATACTTTAGAATCTTGGATCTCGTTTAAGTTTTCTGTTGTCTTGCAGAGGTAGGTGGACTTCTTTCTTGCTGTTTGTTTGATCTGCAGCACCACAAGGACCGCGTACTCTTCAACCAATTACGCGATGCCACGCTGGAAAATCTGGGATACCCTTAGGTTTTTAGTTCAGACTAAAGCCTCTGAGGAGGGTAGAAGGTTTGGGTAGAGGAAGCAAATGCCTTTTTATGCGACCGCCTGAAACTGAAAAGCCATCGGAGAAAGAGAGATGAGACATGTGTCACGCGGCTCTCTACTTGCTCTTTCTCCTTTTCTCACTTGTCTGTTTCACTTTTCGGCTGCCACCGTCGTCCTCAATTCTATCTCCGCCTCTTTTTCCGATGTTCCTGCCAAATTTGGTCAATTTCTTCCCCATTCCCTTTCTGCTAATCGGAATTTTCTCTCCCAGTGGCTAAATGAAGTTGATCGTGATTACTGATCATTTTATTTATTTTATTTAATTATAGACGGCTCCGTGACCAGAGACGGAATATGCGGAGCTCTGTACGTCGCAGATCCTCTCGACGGTTGCTCACCGTTGCTCCACGCCGCCGCATCCAACTGGACGGAAGAGAGAAATAAGTTCGCATTGATCATCAGAGGGGAATGTTCCTTCGAGGAGAAGCTGCTGAATGCGCAGATCTCAGGTTTTCAAGCTGCGATTGTCTATGACAACGTACCCAACGAAGATCTCATCGTTAGTAAGTAAGCCCGTTGCCGATTTCATCTAGCGATCTAGGATGAGTTGAATTTCATTCCGGTTCCGGGTGGAGGTGGATTTAGTCAACCCCACCACTATAGTCTATAGGATAAGCTTGGACATTGACCAACATTTGTCATTGCACAGTGAAGCTAAACCCTCTAGACATAAGGGTGGATGCAGTTTTCGTTTCAAATGGGGCGGGTGAGACTTTGAGGAAGTACGCGAGAGGCCGAGATGGGGAATGCTGCCTTTACCCGCGGAGCAAAGGAAGTGCTTGGACTGTGCTGGCCATCTCCTTCTTCTCTCTCCTTCTCATCATAACTTTCCTCTTGTTTGCCTTCTTTGCACCCAGACACTGGACCCAATGGCGAGGCAGGCACACTAGGACCATGAGGTTAGATGCAAAGCTGGTCCACTCGCTCCCCTGCTTCACCTTCACTGATTCTGGTCAGCACAAATCTGGAGAAACATGTGCAATATGCCTCGAAGATTATAGAGCTGCAGAAAGCCTCAGACTTCTCCCCTGCCAACATGGTAATAACTACATCACTGCTATTCTTTTCTTTTATTCCTATGATAAAACTGGAAACTTCCTAGCATTGATGTGTTCATTGTGGTCTTGGAGATTGACTTTTCTTTGAGACTCAAAAACTGGATAGATGACAGATTTTCTTGGAACAGGTTGGAACCATATGCTTAACCGAGCAAGACTTTACGACTTGTTTCTTTTTTCTTAGATTCTAACTTCCCAAATTGATTTCTTTCTACGACAATAGTTTAGTTTCCGCTTTTTGGTTTAGTGTAGCACAAAATATTCCTATTCTGTCCATTCCGTTTAGACTAGTTTAGCAGTCAAGTGTTTGGTGTTACCCCATTGCTTGCTTAGAAATAAGAATGATATGATTGGTCAGGTATACACATCAGAAGAATCAAACTAATGCAGCTTGAAGCCTTTTTAAGTTTTTGTAAATGGGTATTTCATATAAGTTGGCTGACTTGAAGCTCTGTAATGCAGCTTTTCACATGAGTTGCATCGACTCTTGGTTGACAAAATGGGGTACATCCTGCCCTGTGTGCAAGCATGATATTAGAACCCAGACTTTGTCTTCCGAGGTGACCCCATGTTCCTGAAACCTCTGCTTCAATATGTATTGTCAAATCCGAGTAATTGTTTTTGTGGTGGATTCACTGTTTGTTTGTGTTGTTGCAGGTACACAAACGAGAGTGTGCTAGAACAGATACAAGTACAAGTAGAGTTACCTTTGCTCAATCCAGTCAAAGCCATTAGATTTCTTACCAGCTCAACGGTGCTCGGTTCTGCGTATCAGGTCCAGGTTTGCATCGATCTCATGTTCCAAATGATATTAAATGGTGAATCATGTTGGGATAAGCATAGGTAAAAGTAGTACTTACAATACTGGTCGATACTTTTCCTCGAATCAAAAAGATGTGGCTTGCTTCGCTTGCCTGCTTGTTGCTCTTTGGATGTGTGTGTGTGTGTACATTCTTTGTAGTTTTACATAAGCTCGGAGTCACTTGATTCCGTATAAATGATCATTGTGTGTATGTATAATTAATGATATTGAGTTAGATAACAAGTATGTGTGTATCTGTGTGTGGTTTGTACATAAATAATGTAAACAAATGGATATGATCTTCTCTTTTTCTTTCCTCGTGATGATAGATACAAGATCCAGACCAATCTCTTACGTTTATCTTGTTGATTCTAGATGAATTCTCTTGTCCGAAAGTTTGTATAATTTAAAATATTGAATCCGAGTCCCTTACGTTGAGGAATTGGAATCCATTGAACGTGGCCTTGATTTGGGTTTATGGTTTGTCATATCCGAGTAAGTGTAATTATAAAAATATAAAGAGAGAAAGAAGAAGACGTTAGTTGTCTTCTTATCCCTACCTAACGTCTCATCATCCAATACAATGACTCATTCATGGGTTACGTTAGTTACGCAATTCCATCACCATTCCACTTTGTTTCCATCGAAAATCTGCTTTCACGTTTTCTCTTTTACTAAATTCAGCAAACATTTCTATAATCAGTGTGCGAAGTTTAAGCAAAAGCGAAGAAGCTTCTCATCTCATCTGAAATCAGTGTGAGAAATTTGTGTCTATATTAGTCTCTTGTGTGTCACATGTCGATGCTCCCACTTTTGTCTGTTCTCACTCATTTTAGCTTGTAAATTTCATAAAATTAGTGAGAAGATGCCACATGATTTCCGTGTTAACTTTGGACATCACTTACCAATTATAAGCCCATAGCTGTCCAACATCTGTCACACTGTTTCATATTCTCTATTGTAGATTTCACTTACTAGATAGCAACAAATTTATAGTGGTTAGATCATATACCTTTTATATCGACCATGCCTATGTGTAAATGGGTGCAGAAAACTTTACTTTAAAGTTTTAAAATAACATTATCTGTTGATGATCCGGTTTTCAAGTTATATTTATTATTCTCTGCGCTCTTCCTAGAACTTCGTCTTTGATTGTTTTGTTTGAGAAGATGGCAGAGAAGATGACTCCATCAATCCCGAGCCCAAAGGCAGAAGAAGCAGAAGTCGTTACCGTTGATGTGAGCGAAGGCAAGAATCTCCTTCAATCTGGGCATCAATATCTTGATGTTAGGTGAGCTTTATTGTCTCATCATCATCATCATCAATTCATCGTCATCACATCACTATATAAAAGAAATATGCATGTAACAGAGAGAGTTGTTAATTGGTTGCACATGCAGGACCGAAGAAGAGTTTAAGAGAGGACACTGTGTGGCACCTAAGGTCGTCAACATCCCCTACATGTTTAACACACCTCAAGGCAGAGTGAAGAATCAAGACTTCTTGGATCAAGTCTCTTCTCTTCTCAACCCAACTGATGATATCCTTGTGGTAACTTCTTTTTCTTTCTTTACTTTTTGGTCCATGAAAGTTTGAAGATCTGATCGGCCACTCCTCCTTTTGTAACTAGTTTGTAATAGTATCTTGAAACTGAGAATGATATACAATACAGGGTTGTCAAAGTGGAGCTAGATCCTTGAATGCCTCAACTGAACTTCTTGCTGCAGTAAGTCGCCCCCAACATCCTTTACCTTAAACACACAAAACACACACTCCGACTGATGAATGTATATAAGCAAATAACCATCCGTACTATGTTTTATGTAAAATAAGGGTTTCAAGAAAGTGAGGAACATGGGAGGTGGCTACTTGGCTTGGGTGGATCACAGCTTTGCCATCAACAAGGAGCAGCCATCTGCAAACTAAAGACTCTATGCTCTCATTTTTCTTATCAAATGTAATGCCCAGTGTGATGTAATAATCTGTTCCTATTGAGGATTTCAGTGTGTTCTAATGTTCTTGTTATCACAAAAGGTAGCATCAATCAAATTCAATAAAAAAAGCTGTGTTTAGTTTAATGACTTGATCAAATCACAAACGACAAGAAAAGGTCTGGGCTTTTGAATATATACATATAAAGGCTTGGGCTTATCAGATTTTGCGCATAGTAAGCCTTGTCTTCTCTGTTTTCCGTTCTCTCTCTCTCTCTCTCTCTCTCTCTCTCTCTCCCTCTCTCCCTCTCTGCGATATCTCATGGAAGAAACGTCGAAGCTGCAGTTGCCGGAGACCTTCCTTAGATTTCTAGAGGCCAATGGCCTTGATCCTTCAATCTATACTCACGGAGATTCAATTCCGCGCTATGTAAGGTAACTCGAGAACCCCCTTTGCTTTCCCTTGCCTTAGAATTCCAGAGGATTTTGGTAATGAAATCGAGAGGTCCGTTTGAAGGTTGAAGCCTGGGTTGGAGGACAGTCTGGAAGAGATTGAATGCGAGATTAAATGTAAGCTGGAGAAGGTGAATTGGTTAGCTGGGTTTTACTCTATCCCTCCACATGTTCATATAGCGAGTTCCAAGGCGTATCAGCAAGGGAAGGTGAGAGCGAGAGAGAAAGAGAGAAAGAGAGAAAGAGAGAGCAACCAATATCCAAACTTGATAGCTAATTTCTCTTGTATCTTGCGATGTTTCAGATGTACGGAATCGACGCAGCTTCCGGTGCCGCTGTTTCAGCTCTGGGTATCTCTCCGGGAGACCATGTCTTGGATCTTTGTGCTGCTCCTGGTAATTATACATTGGTCATTGGATCACTCCTGCTCCTGATATGCCTTGTGTTACTTTGTGTATTGTAACTTGTTTAAAGGGAATACTCTCACTCTCACTCTCAGGTGCTAAACTATGTATGATGCTGGACCTGCTGGGTGAGACTGGGACTGCAACAGGTGTCGATGTAGCAAAGCATCGCCTCGCTGCCTGCAGGACAATTCTTCAAAAATATGGGGTTGGTCAAAGGAGTCGCCTTTTTCTTGCTGATGGAACCACTTTCTCTGTCCCACCTACCACAAATTCAGGTGGCTCACCATGTCTGGACGATCATGAAGACACATTCCAGCAGTGGACTTCTCGTAGACCTTACAAAGAAAGGAAACAAGCAGCCAAGGCCAGGAATCACCCTGTTTTGCCTCAGTATGGACAGCCGGAGATTATTTTCTACGGACAGAGCTCTGGGGTGATAGGGTTACAAAAAAAGGAACTTTATAGATCCCTTGACCAACAGGAATATGCATTTTGTGGGTATGACAAGGTATAATCATGACCAAAAGGAGTATCCATATTGATGCAGATACAGTCGCCTAAAAGTAACATAGCTAAAAGAATTTTAAAGTGGGATATTGATGCAGGTTCTTGTAGACGCAGAGTGCACACATGATGGTTCAATCAAGCATATACAAAAATTTGAGCAATGGGGTTGGACAACGCTGGAACGCCGTGTACTGGATGCTGAGAGAACAGATAGTAACTTGACAAGTCTTCAGGTAAATCCGCAAGACCGTTTGTGTCTCATGCATCTGTCCTTGTTATTACCACTGTGGCGATCATTGCCGGTGTCTTTGTTTGCAGTTGAATCTACTGAAAAATGGATTCAGGTTGTTGAAACAAGGCGGCACTCTTGTATACAGCACCTGCAGGTAAAGTGCAATTACTTAGGAAACAAGCACAAAACAATAAGCTCTTCTATACGTTTTCGTCTCTCTTTCTTATCCTTTTTATATGAATCAATGGTCTAAGTCGTGTAACTATCAGTTTGACGCATGCCCAAAACGAAGATGTGGTGGATCAGTTCCTTGCTGAAGATTCCTCTGCAGGTACATATTACCAAAAAAAAGTTAATATGTATTATCAGACTCTGTTTTTTTACTTGTGGAACTAATGAAGTGAGAGATAAACTAACAGAAAAGTGGGTGATAATGATGATGATGATGCAGAGCTGCAAGAGATAGAAATGGCAAAGGATTGGCCTTGTAGAAGTGGTCGCATTCCTAAAACAGTGCGTTTTGATCCTTGGACCTCAGCAACCAGCGGCCTTTTCGTTGCAAAAATAAGGAAACTACCTCCCAAAGAAGCAGAGAAGAATGTCTTGTGATGCCTCTGTAATCTGTTCTAATCTCACTTAGGTTGAAGTTGGCTACTTTTGGCTTTATCTATATTCTGGGTTTTAGGGATTTGCCCAATTCATGAATTGCAGCTGATTTGCGTCCACTAGACCTCGCCGTCTCTGCAGTCCCATCACTTTCACATTTTTGCTGTACGTATCTATCTAACTGTGAACTGTGAAGTGTAACCACATTTACTTTTTGGTTCGTTGGGTATTCAGTTCAGAAGGCAAACAAAGCGAGAAAAACAAGTTTTGGTATGAGTAATGATGCTCTCTTTTAAATGTTGGTGATGAAAATCTTTCAAGAACAAGTGAAGGAAGAAGAAAGAAGCAGAGAATGAAGAATTGACAATGGCTTCATCTTTATCTACATATACTATACTTATAATAACAACAATCCACTCAGAAGAAGCTCCTTCCTTAGTAGACTTCGACATTCCACTGCTCACTCCTCTTCAGTTGCTTCTTGTAATCAAACCAGTCGATGCCTGTTCACAGCAAAGTTAGTTATAAAGCATGTGCAGCAGAGAGACTTTGGAAAAATAAGAATGATAATGAAAGTGCTTTGTGCTTTGTGCTTTGTGCTTACCATCTTTAGCAGCAAGTGAGACCATAATTTCATCGATACCCTTCTCCATACCCTTAAGACCACACATGTAAACAAAGGTGTTGTCTTTCTTCAGTAACTCCCACAGCTCTTCCGCATACTCTGCCATTCTTGTCTGAATGTACATTTTCTCTCCCTTGTCGTTCGTCTGCTCTCTGCTCACCGCAAAGTCCAGCCTGAAGTTTTCTGGGTTCTTCTCCTTCATCTTCTCAAACTCCTGTGATTTAATTATAGCACACAACAAACCACGGGTAGGTCAACAAGACAACTTTAGTTTACTGATGAACTAAAGTGACTAGGAAAACTGAGCTAGTGTTTACCTCCTTGTAGAGCAGTGTGCTGCTTGTGGGTACACCCAAGAAGAGCCACGCCAAACCATTGAACTACATTATTATATATGAGGCCAATGTCAGTTGATGAGTGAGTGAGTGAGTTACTGTAATTGGTTTAAGAGAGTTAGCTTTTGGTTTGACCTTGTAGTCCTCGTGCTCCTCAAAGAACATTTTCCACAAGAATGATCTGAATGGAGCTATTCCAGTTCCTGTTCCAAGCTAAGGAATCGGAAAACCAAAAGTAATCACTAGAGCTGTTTGATTATATTATATCATAAAGCTCTCTTGTCCATATGATATGTACCATGATGATGGTGGCATTTGGGTCTTTTGGCATAAGCATTTCCTTCCCAACAGGTCCAGTGATCTTTGCTTCATCACCAGGCTTCAAGTCACCTGAGATAAACCATACAGTTAGAACAATGTAATCAAACCCCATTCTTGTTATTGTCTTCTTCTTGCTCTTACATAAGAAGTTGGAGCAGACTCCCTTTACAACCTCTCCGCTATCGTTTGTGTAAACCAATCTCTTGACACAGAGAGAAACCTGCAGAACAAAAACCCATTGCAGGTAAGAGAAGATCATCTGTGTTGGTCTTCATCGGTTAGAATTTAGAGGGAAAGCTCACAGTTTTGGAATCTCCGAAGTCACCAATGGCACTGCTGGCGATTGAGTATAACCTCAGCTTGTGCGGCTTCCCGTTCTTGTCTATTCCTTCTGGAATCACTCCTATCGATTGCCCTTCTCTATACGGAACCTCGCCTATATTCATCATCACATAAATCTCAAACTATAAAGTATAAAGATGCAATATAAAAACTTTCTGATCAATAATATATTTGGTTCTGTGGGGGGGGGGGGGGGGGGGGGTAAAAAGCGTACCTTCGGTGGTGAAGACAATGTGCCAGGTTTCACCGGGAGCGTCATCGCCGGTGATCCTGGTGTTCAAGAGGCACCGACCAGTGTAAGGGTTCTTAGGTTTGAACTTGTTGACAACAATTCCTTCTTCCTGTTTCTTTGAAACCTTCTCTACTTTCACTGGAGCCTCTGTCGCCTCTGTTGTCACCTGAGCTTTCACTGACACAACTCTGCCCCCAATAGCCGCGTCTCTGTAACACAGTGTGCTCTGTAGGTGCAGCAGATATGCCGATCATGCATGTCAAAATCCAGACTTCACTCGGAAACAGATTGCATCAGAAAAAAGGGAAAGAGATGAGATGATACCTTGTTGAGGAAAATCCTTTGAGGGGAGACAAAGGAGGTTTTGGTGGCGTGAGAAGAGGCCTTGGAGGACGGAAAATACACTGCAGCACTTATAGCAGCTGCCATGTTTTTATCAGAAATGGAGAAGAAGAAGTAAGGATGGGACTCTGCCTTTCTAAAAGATCAAAGAAAAAAAGTTTAGACGAAGCTAATTGATCAGATTGTGATTGGATATATGTGGATTGCGTGAATGAAAAATGTGAGGCCAAGTGTAAGAGAGGATAAGTTATTACAGCTTATTATTGTCCCAGTTTAGCATTGCCGATTTCATGCGCCTTTTCTTCACATTTCACTGTCGACCCAAATAATAAACAAACTTTGTTCAAACGTCGTCAGTGCGCCAGTAGTTACTGGGCTACATAATGGGCTTGATCAAATTACTAATGGGCCTCATGTACTCATCTACTTTGACAGTTTGACATCATGTACTCGCGCTCACAGGAAGAGATCAAGAGACATTTCTTCTCGTCTCCAGTCCACACCACATACATGATCAAACAGCTTTTTCATTTCCCCCAAATAGTTCAAATAAATAGTCAATGAGATATCGTCTGCAGCTATATGAATCGAATATCAACCAACCAGGGAAAAAGAGAGAGAGAGAAGATCAAGTACAAAAAGCTTCAAGCCTTTCTGTTATGTTCTTGCTTTACACTGGTGTAGGTAAGTGGTATTACACAACAAGGTATTAGAATCGGGGATTGGTTCTGTTCAAGAAATCAACATCAAAATCGATAACAATGAATGAATCAATTGAAGTTAAAACCCCTGGATCCTCTTGACTGGTAAAGATCCAGTCTGCTCTTAGCCTCCTGCAACAGAGCTTCTAAGCTCTCCAGCTGTGTAACCCACGACTGCTTCGAAGCCCACTCCAACACTGCCAGAACCTCGTCCTTGGCAAGCTGTTCGCTGTCCGGAACATTCAGTGCTATGTAACACAGCAGCTCCAACGCCGGAATCTGAACTCCACTCTCTCCGAAATAAGCCAGCTGAACCAAATGTTTGCCCCCTCCAGCCTCTATTATGCTCCTCGAGTGATCTTTGTGCAAGTAATTCTCCGTGCAGGCGAACTTGGTGAGTGCAACCGCTGCTTCCCCTGTCACATCGGGCTCTCGTTCGTCCAGAAGCTTCACCAGAGGCCCAATCATCCGAGTCTCGGTTGCTCTGAATGTTCTTGCAAGGTTCCCTATGGTTCTCATGCAGGGGATGAGCAGCTCCGAATCCGCGATTTCAATGATTCTTAGCACCTGGTCAACCACCGCCTTGCAGGCCGGAGAGTTGGGCTTGAATGCGGAGCGTCTCAAGTCAGCGTCCTGCTCTGCGACGGCCGTGATCTCCATCAACGCCATAGCTGAGTTGTATCTCACCTCTTCGGTGCCCTTTTCAATCAGAACTGCGAAACAAAGGAGAGCTCTTGACTCTGTGATGCTTTTGCAGATGGTGGAGTTGCCTTTCGCCAGCTTCCACAGCGCTCTCGCCGCCATCGCCTTCATCTGGCACTTGGTCGCTGAGTCTTCAAGCTCTCGAGTCTTGGAAGTCGAGTTCTGGTGCTGCTGTAGGTTGCAACTGGGCTTAGCTCCGTTATTCTGGCTCACACTGTTGCTGTTCGACTTCTTCGGAGGGTTGGCCCTAACCGCCATGGTGTTGACCACCACATTGTGCATCTGATTCGGCATTTGCTTCCCCGTCGGATGTGGAACGGAGCTCTGATCCTCCTCCAAGCCCTTGGACACGGCGGTAGTGGCGGTGGTGGAGGAGTTAGGGTTCTCCTTGGCGAGAGCGACCGCGTGGTGAATGGAGGTGGCTTTGCTGTTGGCAATGGCGTACTGGCTGTACTTGCTGTGCTCTTGGACCGTTTCGAACGCCAAGTGGCCGACGAGAAGCCGAATCGCATTGTGCTGAGCGAACACGTCTTGGCACTTGGGGTGATTCGAAACAAGCTCCGACGTGGCCCACGCAACCATCGCCTGGACCTTCATCGGCCCTTCTTTGAGGACTTTTCCAAAGACCGAACACGCACCGCCGTGGATCATGTATTCCACGCTCTCCGGGTCTCGACCAAGCAACCCGAGGGCACGCGCCGCGTTCTCTTGCCCCTCGGGCTTCCCTTCCTTGAGCAGTTTAAGGAGAGGCACCACACCTCCCTCCTCGATGATAAGCTTCGTGTAGCGATCGTTGTCACGCGCCAGAGATACGAGCGAGGCGGCAGCATCGGAGCGGTCTTCCAGAGATCCCGTGTAGAGGATGGCAATCTGCTCCCAGATCAGGCAGAGGATGGGCTCGTTGGCGGCGATTGGTGGAAGACCAAGGTAGCCAGCGTCGCCGCGATCCTCGGCGGGAGCGGAAACACGGAGGAGCCAGGAAACGTCGCCGATTGAGTTCTCCAACTGAGCAGACATCTTGCGGAAAGCGGCGGCGGGGATGATGGTGAAGACGCGCTTCATGAGGCCATTTGCTCGGCACTTGAGGACAAGGGAGAGAGCCTTCTCGAGCATCTGCTCGGTGTCATCGATGATCCGGCGAGTGGGTCGCTCGTAGAGGTCGGAGCTGGCGCGAGCAGCCTGACGGAGAAGACCGGCGAGCTTCTCGGTCTTGGCCTTGAGTTCGCCGCATTCCTGCTTGAAGGAACTAGCCTCGTCAGCGGCTTTGACCACCTGGTCAGACAGTTGAATCGGCTTCGCTAGGATTTGCTTGACGATATCCGCCATGGGCGAGATCAGATTCAGAAACTAAACAAAACAAAAGGACTGAAATTGAAGGAATTAGGGCAAAAAAGGAAAAGGTTTGCTCTAGTCAACTGGGTCTACGGAACCAGGAAAATGGATTGGATCGGAAATGGGGAAGAAGAAGGAAGGAAGTAAATCAATCCATGGGAATTTGGAGTGTAATTATTTTCTAATGTCGTCGTCGTCGTCGTCCGTCGTTTGCCAGAGAAAATGTCAAACGCGGCTGTTACTAGTTAGCGCTGATTACTGTCAAAGTCGCGTCGTTAATCAAACATAAATGACTAATATACCCTTTTGTACTAATGACTTTTCCCTTACTCGGAATTAAAAAGCCCAAAAAGACATACCATTTGCCCATTTTGCCTTTTTAGCCTTTCTAAGTAATAAACCCGGATTTGTTTTTATTATTAGTGTTTCTTTTTGAAGACTAGGTTTTTAAGTTCTAATGATTTTTTAAATTGTTATATTTAAATTTATTTTCTTCCAAAGCTTCACAATTTTTTATTTTTTGCTGTTTTTTTTATAAACTTATCTTTGTAATATACTTTTTAATTATTTTTTTACTTTACCAATTTAATTATTTTATAATTAATCATAATAAGTAAGGTACTTTTTAAAAACGTATTTTCTGTAAAAAACATACAATAGCCCTATCCTCACATTTCTTAATATTTATATGTTTTGTCAATTGCTTCATAAAATTCGACATAAGAATAGATCCCAAACTTTTCTTTTTCAATATTATGACAACATGATCAGCCTGAACCAACATTGTTTTTAAGTGAACCGTATTAGAAACTTGTGAAAAAAAAAACCTTATAATTTGGCTTGTCGTCTTTGTTCTAAATTGGTAGCTTCTTTTTCTTTTTATTTATTCTTATTCGTTTTTTTGGTCTTCTTCACTCATCTTCTTTGCTCTTCTTCGTCTTCGCTCGTCTTGCTTCCTCTTTTGGTTTCTTCTCCTCCTTTCTTCTTTGATTAATTCTTAATTTTCAATTTCATCTTCGTGGTTTCTTATTCGGTGTTTCCGTCTTCAACTTTGTTATTCTTTGGGTCTTTTTTTTTCTTTCTACTTTGGTATCTTCGTCTTCGATAATTTTTAATTTTATCTTCTTAATGTTCTTCTTTCATATCCTCTTCATATGTCATTTTTCAGTCTGAGTATATGATTCAGCCATTTTCTTCAACAAACTTGTGGCAAATGAGAACTCTTCACTGTAAATCCTTCAAGGTGCAACAAAGATGATTACTTTGTCTCCAATAGTTTTATTGTCTACTCCTTTCCACCCTTGGATTTTTTGGCATCCGTAGAAGGCTGGTACTCTCTTCCTATTTGAATATTGTGAGTTACAGTAAAATAAAATCTTCCTTAAGGCTGTGAAAGATGTCCATGAATGAATGCCCGAAGTTCAGCTAAGAAAGCAGCCTCTTTTTATCCTCTGTTTGGCATGCATTAGAATATGGAACACAAAATATTGTTTTTGTAATGCAACTTGGAATATTTTCTTAGAAAAATGTGGTATGATATGGATTATCAAATCTCCCTTGAACTCTCATCTGCTCCGTAGAAGTGCAAGTATACTAATTACTTCGTTTTTTCTTCCTCTTCACTTATATTCACTCATCCACACTCATCATCTACTTTGATCTTCTTCGTATTTGCTCGTCTTGCTTCTTCTTTAGACAAATGTGGTATGAGATGGATTATCAAATCTTCTCCGTAGAAGTGTAAGTATACTAATTACTTCGTTTTTTCTTCATCTTCACTTATATTCACTCATCTACACTCATCATCTACTTTGATCTTCTTCGTATTTGCTCGTCTTGCTTCTTCTTTTTCGTTCTTGTTTGGTTTATTCTCCTCTGTTCTTATTTGATTCCTTATATATCAATTTCATCTACGTGGTTTCAGATTCGGTGTTTCCATCTTCTACTTTATTCTTCTTTGGTTTTTTTTTTTTTGTCTTTCTATTTTGGTATCTTCGTCTTCGATGTTCTTCATTTTTATCTTCTTATTGTTCTTATTCCATATCTTCTTCATATGGTATTTTATAATATGAATTTGTGATTCAGTCTTTTTTTCAACGAAGTTGCGGCAAGCGAACACCTTTCATTGAAACTTCTTCAAGGTGCAAAAAAGATGACTACTCTGTCTCCAATAGTTTTATTATCTACTCCTCTCTACCTTTGGATTTTTTTGCATTTGTAGAATGCCCATAAACTTTTCCTATTTGAATATTGTGATTTACATAAAGATAAAATCCTCTTTAAAGTTGTGAATAATGCCCAATTGCCCATGAATGAGTGATGCCCGAAGTTCAGCTAAGAAAGCAGACTCTCTTTACCCTCTCTATTTGGCATGCATATAATCTGAAATGGAAAATCTTGTTGTGATAATGCAACTTGGAATGTTTCCTTGGACAAATGTAGTATGAGATGGATTATCAAATCTCCCAAGAACTCTCCTTTGCAATGCAAGTCTAGTCTTTACTTGTTTGACCAATATTGTTGAAATTCTTGTGATAAATAAAGTGTAATTTAGTGGGCTATATGCATATTTTTCTTTTCCCAATGTAAGTTGGATCTCGCAAAACTTGATCTCTCTTATCATCTCAAAGGAACTACACATGAATTTAAATGTCTTCTTCATGACATTAGCCGTCTTTATTATTATTATTTTTTATCTTTTTTTATTATTTCATATCTAGATTATGTAATGTTAATATCCACTCACTTGCAAAGTTGGCTATATTTACTTTGAACAAATCTTTCAGTTATTACTTATTAGGGTGTAACTTTCTCTTTTTGTTTTTTTTTTTTTAAGTTAGCTAAAAAAGAAAACTCACCATATAATTTTTCATGATTAATATAGTAGTTCCCTTAAAATATTTTTGTATAAATCTTTCAAATATAGTTACTATTTTAACAAAAATTGAAGCACTTTATTTAATTATTTTGGAATTTTGAAGTTTAATAATTTAAAATCGGTTATATATTAGAGTTACTAAAAAATTAATATTACAAATTTACAAAATCGTTTATATATTAGTTTCTTTTTATTGGTTTAGAAAATATAATTTCTTTATTTAATAAATTATTTAATACGAAAATAAATAATTCCCTTAAATTCGGAAATTATCTGAAAATATAAAAAGGAAATCAATTAATTTTACAAAGACTGTAATTAAATTTATATGATGATGTGGAATGAAACTATTGATTGTTTAAAATTGGAAAAATTACTTAATTTTGGAGATGTTAATGTGGACCAATTAAATCGCGTCTTTAAATCTTATGTGGACACTTTTAGAGGCTTATAGCCTCAACTTTTATATTCTCTTAAAATATTTTTGTATAAATCTTTCAAATATATTACTAAATCGAATTTAAGTTTTAACAAAAATCGAAGCACTTTGTTTAATTATTTTGGAACTGTGAGGTTTCTTAATTTAAAATCAGTTATATATTAGATTATTAAAAAAATAATATTACAAATTTAAAAATTGTTTATATATTAGTTTCTTTTCATTGGTATTTGAAAATATAATTTCCTTATTTAATAAATTAGTTAATACGAAAATAAATAATGCCCTTAAATTAGGAAATTTTCTGAAAATATAAAAAGGAAATCAATTAATTTTACAAATACTATAATTAAAATTTATATGATGATGTGGAATGAAACTATTGGTTGTATAAAATTAGAAAATTACTTAATTTTGGAGATGCTTATGTGGACCAATAAAATCGCGTCTTTTAATCCTATGTGGACGCTCTCAGAGGCTTATAGCCTCAACTTTTATATAGTATAGATTTCTACAGCCGCGTTTGGCATACCATATGCTCTTTAAATAATAGAGAAAACATACCCCGGATAGATAAATAACGTGACGAGTGACCAGAGATCAATTTACATTCACCGAACCTAGAAAATGCATATAATAATAGACTACTTACTGGCATCGCCAATATGCTCATTTTGATATCCAATTAGATTTTACATATTCCCTTAAATGACGTTGATTATCAAATTATTAAATAAAAAAAATCGTTGGGGGGAGAGAAGAAAGCCACTCGCACTCAGATCCTGGCTGGAAGAGGATCATGGAAAATAATAGAAAAAGGGTGTTTGGTGCTTTCTCTCACACATATAATAAAAACAATTATAACAAAAAAGGGAAAATCAAAATACACAGCTGGATCTATCTTTTCTTCTGATGCGCAGCTCCACCAATCAAATTACATAGGCAATGCCACGTGTCGTTCGAAGAACCTCCTCCACCTGGGGGTGAGTACCAAAGAAGACCTCTCTGCTCTGCTCCACTCTTATGAGTTTTGACTTTTGATAATCATCATATATGAACATATTCTCATTCCACTCTCTTTGATTTGGCTGCTTTACACAACCAAAGTACCAAACTACTTTACTTATCACTACAACCTTTCCCCAAAACATACAAAGAAAAAAGAAGACTTGTCTTACAACCAACATTACATATATATATTGATAAGACAAATCACATCCCAAACAAATGACATTGTCTCTTTCTTGTGTCCGTATTACTACCGAGGAGGATTCCTGTGACCTGCAGGACTTAGGACTCTCTGTGAACTTATACTCGCTGTTCGTAGAAGTCTCCTGAACTCATGAAGGCTTATTTTCCCATCTCTGTCAATGTCTGCTTCATCCAGAAGTGGATCTATCGACCCTCTTAACCCCGTGTGCTGAATTCATCAAACAAACAATATAGGTTTCACTCTTTTTTCTACTCCACATAAACAAACACAAAAAGAGTAATAAGATGTAAGGTTACCATTCGAAGCTCGTCAGGCGTGATGTATCCGTCTTTGTCAATGTCGAATTTCTCAAAAGCAGCTCTTGATCTTAGCTGCCATTTCTCTGAATCATGTTCCTCCAGTTGATGAACATGTAACGCTGCTGCTACAAACTCTGTGAAGTCCACTAACCCATCAGTGTTGCTATCAATCTGTCTCCACCATACACACACATTACCAACCGTTCAGATTATCATATTGCGTCTATCTCTCACTGATTGCAGTGGGAAAATAAAACTGTAAAACTTACCGCTTGAAGGATCTCAGCAACTCGTGAATCCTTGAGTTTCCAAGGAAGATCTTTGGCAAGTGCCTGTGGAAAAGAAAAGATACAACATTCTCTGATCATGCTTAGATATCATATAACTAGTATTGTTGTTCTCAAAGCAAAATTGTCATAGAGTTCACATACTTGTCTCATCTCCTCAAGACTAATGACACCGTTTTTATCAACATCAATTGCATCAAACTGATCTCTGAGGTCTGAAATCTCTGCCTCGTCAAGTGTGCTAGCAAGCGCCTGCCACAAGGATACACAAAACATTAGAGACATGCCTTGATCTCTCTGTTTTAATCCATACAACAACTTCCTCGTTTAGCTTACCCGTAGCGCAAACTGTTTTAGACGGCTGTATCTCACAAACTGCCGTAAGTTGTTGAGAACTGAAATGTCGACAGGGATATCAGTGGCATTCCCGCCTTCTCTGACCCACGCATGTGCTGCAAAGGCAAGAGAGGCAAAAAAAAAAAGTCTTAACATTCCGTTGCAGATGATAATATCAAAACTAATGTACTACTCAAAAGCAAAGAAGCACATACACAGGGCTTGTGCAGCAGTCAGCCGTGCTCGTGGGTCTTTTACAAGTAACTTTTTAACAAAATCTTTGGCGCTGTCGCTTATTGTAGACCATGGTTTCCGACGGAATTCAGGTTTGTTCCTTAACACCTATACACATATAGTAACAATTAGTAACAAGTCTGGAAGAAATAAGAAAAGGTGTATAGATAGTAGAAGCCCAGTGAAAGTAGTACACACCTCTTTAAATATACCGTCTTCTGTCCTGTCCCAGAAAGGCCGACGTCCACAAAGTAGTATATACGTAATCACACCAATGCTCCACACATCTGATTCAGGCCCTGATCTGCGCTTCAGTACTTCGGGAGCAACATAATAGGCACTACCAACAATGTCGTGGAACTTTTTCCCTGAGAAAGATTGAATAGGTTAGGCTGGCCACTTTGTTTGTGTGGATTTTGATGATAGCTTCAACTTACCCGGTTTAATGAAATCCGATAAACCAAAATCTGTAGCTTTTAGAGGCGAGTCCAGTTTAGCTGATTTGAACAAAAAATTCTGCAAGGGAAAAACAGAAGATTGTTAGCCAATGGATTAGATGAGCCTATTCCTAAGGGGTTATTATACAAGTGAAAGCACCTCAGGTTTCATATCTCTATGTACAAGTCCGTGTAGATGACATTCTCCAGCGACTTTAAGCATCTGCCTTACGACAACCGCTGCATCTTTTTCAGAGTATCGACTATCTTTCCTGAAAACAATTTGACGAAAAACCATCAAACAATGAAATGGTGACTTGTTTTTTACAAAACCAGCAAAGAGACTAGAGATGCGGTAAGATGCTAACTTGGACAATATGCGATCCAGCAATTCGCCGCCCTCGCACAACCTAGAAGAAGGCAAGAGTGAAATGTGAATGAGGAGGGATAGTATACTTTAGGAGAGGGATATATAAAGACAAAGAAGAAGTAGACTCACTCCATAACAATATAAACGTAGTCATCATCATCAAAGGCATTGTAAAACTGAACAACGTTCTCGTGGCCTGAAAGAGCTTTAAGAATCTGAACCTCTCGTTTCACATCCTCAACCGCGATAGGAAGAACCATCTGTAAGTAAGCAAAAATCAAGAGTAAGTGTAGTACAACCAATGAACCAATGTAAGAATGAGAAAGCGCACTGACAAGTAACAAACATTTGTAATGGAATCGTGACAAACTGTATATTCCAAAAAAAAAATCATGTTTTAGAATTAGAATCAATCCAGTTGATACATCTCCCAAGTAAAACAATATTGATGACTATCCCAACTTTTTGAGCTTGAAATCAATAAGAAGAAGAAATGTTAAAATATCCCAACTTTTTTCAACGGTGGAGGAGAGAATGATGAGATTGGATATATAGATAATCGATTGAGATACCCAGTAAAGCCAAAAAGGGAATCACAAGAGCAAACTCGAGAGTAAACAAACCCAAACAGTAACCGCTGAAAGGTGGATGGAATCAGAATCAGAGCAGCAATAATACCTTGGTCTTATCGAGCCTCTTGACGGCGACACGATCTCCGTTAGACTTGTCGATGGCAACGTAGGTATAGCCGAATTGACCATGGCCAAGCAACTTGCCGATTGTATATTGGGCGTGGAAGTCTTTGTCGTATCCGAAATCGGTACGCTTGCCGCAGGGGATGGAGCCGGTGCGCCGCTTGGTGGAGGGCTTGTCGTGGTCCTTGTCGGGAATCGGAGACTTAGAATCAGGCTTCTTACATGCCTTGTTGTTGGTCTGACTGCTTCGTCTGCTGCTGCTGCTGGTACCAGTGACTCTAATGCCGGAGAAACACACACCCATGTCTCTATTGTTGGGTAGCTGCCGATTCCGAATGGTGGAACATTGATTTTGGAATTGAGGAGTGGGAAGATGGATTTAATTAATACTAATAGCGAAGAAACAACAACAAAAAAAAAAAAAGAGAAGAAGAGAGGAAGGAGAAGAGCGTTGAGTTGGTCAAACCCAAAGAGCCGAGTGGAAACCAACGAAAGATCCTTTCGACTTTCCCCCTTTTTCCTGCTTTTATTTCCTTCTTTCTTTTTTTTTTTGTCTGGGATTTGTTTACTTTTTAACTTGTCTGAGAGACTTTGAGTTACCAAAATGATTTACGAAGCTCCAAGGGCATGGCGATGGTGTGAAAGCGAAGACCACCATTACAATAGAGAAGCTCCATGTGGGGCCCCGACAGCATCCCGAAAAGACTTGAACAACTCCTTTAATCAAACCAGCGTCTCTGCATTATTTGTTTCCACGAAATTATGCACTCATTTAATACCTTCTTAACCAACTCTCTCTCCCTATCTATTCATACTTTCATACCCCATAGCCCTGGATTCTAGTTTCAACTTGTCGTGCTCCCCTCCAATTTGCAACTCTTTTGCCTTCCTAGTTTCTTTCCCTAGTTAACCCGTGTGTTTATAAGCAACAAGTTCCCTAACTTAAATTACAACGATCGTCTGCTGATTCTTAATTTGTAGTCTACCAAATTGACTTGGTCTTTTCAAACAAAAGTCTACTACACTAGAGTTTCCTCTGACTTTATTAATTAACACTAATCTAATGATACTATTTGTTATCTAATGCGTATACGTTTTGTTTTTCACTATGTCTTACTACTTCTTTATCCCTCAAATACTACGTTACATAGGTGAACTGAGTTTTGGGAGCAAGGAACGTAACAAGTGATCACTTTAATTTCTCAAAAACAGTGACGGTGATACACCTTTTCACGTGCCCCGCCAACGCACATCCGTATCACTTTCTTAATTTGATAATGTTATATTGGGAGAAATTGTTGGGAAAAAGTAATCAAATCACGATATGGGGAAATCAATGTTTGTAGTAATCATGACCCGAGAGGCACTTCCTTTGGCTTTTAGCACTCTGAATCTGAACTGCTTTTGCTTCTCGTGTTTTTTTATACTTGTCCAGATTGGAGAAAAACGTGTGTCATGTTAGCCTAAACAAATGTATACCACCTAACATATATAATTCGTATATATTCTATTAATTATAGAAATTAGACCCTTCTAAAGAGTTTTGATCACTAATTAGCAAACCTGGCTTCCAAGTTATAAGGGCATCTCCATCCCTGTATCTAAAGATGGTTTTAAAGAAAAAAACTGATTTATTTAAAGATTTAATCAAACATATTGTTAAACCCGAGTCTTACACAAGCAGCGTCTGCTTAATTAAAAACTGGACAGGTGTCAAATGTTGGTTAATTCACGTTTTGACAAAAAAAAGTTAACGAAAAAAAGGCTCATTTTATTTTTTCTTCTCTCTCGTACTCCACCGTCACAAACCAGGCAAATCGCCTTCGATTCCGTCGATCTCTGATCGGAACGATGTCTCTCTCTCGTTCCGTGCTGACTATCTCTGTCTCCCTCTATTTCTGCCTCCGATCGGAAAAAGACGTATGTGATTTCTATGTGTTTGGTTGAGATTGTTTTGGGGGTGTATGTGATTTCGATTAGTGAAGATGCAAAGACTGAGAACGAATTTAATTATTTATAAAATTCATCAAAGAACTTTTTATCATCGAGTTTGATTTCAGATTAAGTCGGGACTGTGATTGTTTGCACTGATTCGCTGTAGTTTTGGAATTTGGTTACTTTGTGTATGAATTCATCGCTAACGTAGTGTATTACTGTTCTAGGTTTATGATTCCTGAAAAAAGTTACGCCTTCAAAATCTGATTCTCTGCTCTTGTGATTTACTTAATTTGTGTTGGATTAACATTAATTTTGGAAGAAGATGGTGAGGTTAAAGTTAACAAGAGAAAGGAGAGGCAAGAGAGGTTACGATAAAGAAGAAGATGAGGAAGAGGAAAAATTTTCCCTATTAATGGTTCTACCGATGGAAGAACAAAAAAATTAAAAACCATTACAAAAGTTTTTAGAATGAAGTGATGGAAAATTTATAATAGAAAAATGGTTAAAAACCCAAAATTGGGTTCTAGGGATGGTCTTATATCCAATCAGTTTATTTTTCTAGGGCTTACTAATTTTCTGCTCAAATAGGAACATTTCTCACGCGCGGTACCGTGTCGTTAACATGCTACGGCCATTTTATTAGTCTCTATATATATATACACACTTCATACTTGTTCCATTCTCTCACAGCGTTTAATACTTTAATTACTTCTACTCGCTGTCACAAGTCAGAACAAAATCACAGGATCCACTCTTCTTCTAGATCTCATCATCCTCTACAAGAAAAAAGAATCACGATATGTCTCTCACCAACAGTCTCTTATCACCAAGTAAGTCGCATTATTCTATATCCCTCACTGGCCGCACGCATTCATGGCGTTATGTCTTTGAATCTTCATCATACATTCGTGTCTTCTTCTTTCTTCTTTCTCACAGTCTTCACTTGTACGTATCTAATAAGAAAAGCTAGCTTATAACTAAATGTCCTAATAAACTTTTTTTTAAAACACTAGACATGACTTGGTCAACAATGCCGCCGATGCCGTTACCGTCCGTGAGTCCCCTCCACGTCGACTCCTTTAGTTTCCCTCCGGCTATTACGTCCCCCGCTTCCTCCAAACAGCTTTTCCTCGGCGGCGCTGGTTAGCATCCATCCAAGTCGCAATAAATGCATATATCTATATACAAGTATGTTTGGCTAACTTGGTGACGCATGCAGGGGTACGAGGGCTTGAGATTGAAGGCAAGTTCGTGACTGTGACGGTCATCGGAGTTTACCTTGACGCCATGGCAGTACCGTCGCTGTCGGTTAAGTGGAAGGGCAAGAATGCCAAGGAGTTAACGGAATCCATCTCTTTCTTCCGTCAACTCATAACAGGCACAAACTTATCATTTACGTGGACATTTAATTTACATCACTTTTGTCTCTCCTTCACACGATTTGTGTTGTGTTATGTTTTCTACGTGTACTAACTTGATACGTAATTAATTGCTCTTTTTTTCTTTTCTTTTAAAGGTGCGTTTGAGAAATTCACAAGGGTGACGATGAAAGTAAAATTAAGTGGGACACAATATTCGGAGAAAGTGGCAGAATACTGCGAGGAGATATTGAAATCGTCAGGGAGATACACAAAATCCGAGGCCAAAGCCATGGAAGAATTCTTGGTGGTCTTCAGAGACCAAGATTTCCCACCAGGCTCTTCAATCTTCTTCGCTATCTGCCCTAGAGGCTCTCTCACAGTGAGTAAGCTTCTTTATTCCTCCAAGAGCAAATGTGTGGAGTGAATATATATCGTCTTAAACTTGTTAAGAAGTATATATATATATATATATATATATATTTGGGTGCAGATAGCGTTTTCGAAAGATGACAAAGTCCCGAGAAGGGGAAATGCAGTGATCAGGAATAAGTTGTTGGGTGAGACAATTATTGAATCTATGATTGGAAAGAAGGGTGTGTCCCCTGCAACTAGAAAGAGCCTCTCTCAGCGAGTATCTAAGCTGATGAACCAACAAACAGAAGAAGCCAACACTTTTGCTACACAACATTAAAACTGCTCTGCCACTAATCATCTCTTATTATACTTGTAGACAAAAAAAAAAAAGAAGCGAAGGCATGTCTTATTACAGCTCATGCTGATGTTGTTATCAATTTGTGACCAACTTGATTTAATTTATTTCCTATAGCAAAATACTTAAAAAGAAAAATCACATTTTTGGAATATAGAGAGTGTTAATATTTTTACCAGATGATGAACATATATAATTTCCAAAATGGGGTCACGGGCCCAAAAGTTACAAATGGGCTTTCCCATAAAGGGCGTAATTTCAAATATTCAGCGCTGACGACTGATTGATTCATGTATATGTAAAACTCAGTTTGGAGTCGTGACGGAATCCCTCAACCGTCTCTTGACTTCTCTCATATTATCAATGTTTCCCAGCTCTTATATTACCTCTGTTAGTTTTCAGCAACTACACGGTGTAGTTGGAACTTGGAATGTGGCGTTTTCTTTTGATACTCTCCTTGCTTCTTGCTGCGCAAAGGAAGTTTGTCAAAATTTTAGTTTTTTTTTTGGTTTTATGATTGTCCATCGATTCTATTGCGAATATACTCAAAAGAATTTCTTTGGTTTTAATAACAACACAAACTACTGTACTTGGTCAATTCCAATTGAATATTTGAAAACCAACTCACACTGTACTTGGTCAATTCCAAATCAATAATACAGGCCTAGTTAACAATTTATTGAATGTTTTGGATATCCTTGTGAGATGTATGTACCTATTGAGTATTGACATAGACTTCACACAGTTGACAAAGATTCATGTCTTTATATTATACCCTCGAAATTTTGTCTGTATCAAATTATCAAATTATATCTCTTTCAAGTTGGTATTGGCCGGTGAGTCGGCTCATTGTTTAGCAAGGCAATCAAATGTTATAAAATGGCTATATTATAATTCATCATGGATAATGTGGTTATATAATGTGGTCAAATTTTATATGTATGAATTATTGGCGAGAATTTCCACATGTGATCATGTGATAAACCCATAAGACGTCAGTAGAGACAAGGACCGGCCTTGAATGTTTATATTAAGTAAGTAGTATGCCTTAAGACAAGTCCTTTAACTCTGCCCCCATCTTGTTAATCCTTTCACAGACACATTTCTTTCTCTTTCTCTGCCCATTCCATACAAGTCTCAAGTGTATTTATGTACCTATGTTTTTGCCACTACCAAGAAAATTTTAATTTTGTTTTTGAAAAATGAGCCACCTAACAAATAACTGCTTTAAAAGCCTTTCCTCAAAAAAAAAAAACAAATAACTGCTTTAAATGTCCATTCGCATGCGAATAACTTATGGTCTCAATATGTCCCGACCATGTTATAAATGTACCATTCACCAAAATTTGAACTCGTCCGGCCTTAAATGGTTTTTTTCTCTCTCTCTCTTACATGTATTATACAATTGGAATTTGCAAGTCTCAAGACAAACAAAAGACAAAACCAATTGATAAAAAAAGAAGAAGCTGCGTCTATCTTTGATCACTAGATTCTCGCGTATAAATAAAACCTCACATGCGACGGTCGAAGAGGAAACACATACTCAAAATTTGTAGATGAAGACGAAGAACTCCGGCGCCGGATTCTGTGTCCCCCGTGTTAAAACCAGTTCAAGAACCATCGGTGATGGGGAGATTAGTGTCACTCTACTCGACCGTTTTCGCGAAGCCCTTCTCCGCCTCATCATGATCTCTGCTGTGTCCAAGTCCACGTCTCGCCGCCGTAACAAACAGCCGCAGACTAGTAACGTCCGGCAGCAAAAGTACTACAACACCGCAGATAGTTATCACAGCGAAGCAGTGGCCGACTGTATCGAGTTTATCAGAACAAACAAAGCCATCGACGTGGAAAACGGCCGATGACACCACCAATACCATCCCTTATATATATATTTATATTCATTGTTGTTGCCTCATGCTTTAGCTTTTCTCTTAGCGGAATAAAAGGTATTAAGGTGCCGGGTGGCGTCTATATGCCGGCCTTGCTTAATATTTTTTGTTTGTTAATTTTAATAAGGTAAATTTCATATCTTAAGCAAATCAATATAGTCAATTAAGCTATTCAGTAACAGCATCCTCTAAAGTCGGATTAATTAGTGTTTAAGTATCTTAAAGACCATTACGAAAACAAAAACATAATTGGTGTTTTGAAACCGATATACACACATGCATCGTACAAAATGATCAAACAATTGATGATTATGGTAAAGTCAACGATCCACGGTTGACCGACTTGGAGGCCTGAAATAGAAAGCGCTTTAAATGGGCCTCATCTTTAACATTTTAAAAGTTTGGCCCAAACAGAAAATCGTTTTCATCTGCGGTGGAATACGTCGACCACATCGAATCACCTGTTAGCACATCGTTTACCGGTCACCGGCGGCGATATTGTTCTAGGCGTCGGAGCAATGGTTGGTGAGTGTTTTGTTCATATCATTAGATGTTCTGTTGGGTGGCTTAACGTGAGCTTAATTTTGATTGGCGATGGTGGAATTAGCAGGGGCGCAATCCGAGAGAGAGGACCGAGTTTCTTTGGAACTCACAGACGAAATTCTACAGAGCATGGAACCTGGCGCCGTCTTCAGAGACTATGTAATTTCTTCATTCCTTCTTTCCGAAAAACCTGAAATTGATGCTTGTAGAGTGTTGAATTGCGCCATCTCTCGCCTCAAATTCATCCACGCTTTGCTCTCAGTAGATTTTCAGAGCTTAAAAGGATTCTTCTCCTCTTGTAAATATTAAAAAGTAATGGTATTGCAGAATTGCAGGATCAGCTCGATTGACTTTCACAAAACATCGAGTTACATGGTGACGGCCAGCGACGATGACTCAATTCGTCTCTACGATGTTGCAAGCGCTACGTGAGTTTCAACATCCAACACTTTGCCTTGAGATAGACGACAATTCCAAGTTCGTTTTTAGCATACATGAAGTCTAATCGTTTCCTTGTGTGTCAGATGTCTCAAGACAATCAATAGCAAAAAGTATGGGGTTGATCTCGTTTGCTTCACTTCGCATCCCACAACTGTCATCTACTCTTCCAGAAACGGATGGGACGGTGAGCCATCCATCTTACGCCCTATTTGTTTGTACGCTTTGCATTTTCTCATCATCTGAATCATTGACCTCAAATTCTTCCATTTCTGGTTAGACTCTCTGCGGCTTCTCTCTTTGCACGATAACAAGTACTTGCGCTACTTCAAAGGACATCATGACAGGTTATGTTTCTTTCTCCTCATTCTCTTTGACCAACTTAATACTTTTCTGATGTCAACCCACATTATTGCTGCTCACAGAGTTGTTTCGCTTAGCTTGTGTGCTGGTGGCGAATGCTTCATCTCCGGTTCTCTTGATCGAACTGTTTTGCTTTGGGATCAAAGGGTGGATAAATGCCAGGTAGTTTTTACCCATAGGTGCATATTGCAGTCGCTATGTCTGTCATTGACCTTCTTTTCTGATATAAAATTGGTCATTTGGATTAACCACAGGGTCTCTTACGAGTCCAAGGAAGGCCTGCTGCAGCATACGATGACCAAGGCTTAGTTTTTGCTATTGCCTTTGGTGGCTACATAAGAATGTTTGACGCCCGTATGTACGAAAAGGTATGTTACTATTAGCAAAAGCTATATCTTTTTGCAGCTTGATGGACCACTTTATTCAGCTAGATCATATTTTACATTGAAGATATATATCTTTTCCTGAATTGGACAAAGTTTGGTTGCATAGGGTCCTTTTGAAATATTTTCCGTGGGTGGTGATCTTTCGGAGGCGAACGTTGTGAAATTTAGTAATGATGGAAGGCTGATGCTGCTTACAACTATGGACGGTCATATTCATGTGCTCGACTCGTTTCGTGGAACACTCGTACGCTTTTAGCTTTCCTTGCTCTTGTCTTGTCCTTTTCACACTATGCACTATGTCATGACCAACATACATACATACATACATAAAACTGGTGTATATCTGACAATTTATCTGTGGTGCAGTTATCAACATATAGTGTGAAACCAGTAGCTGAAGAATTAACATTGGATGCAACCTTCAGTCCTGAAGGGTCGTTTGTTGTTTCAGGTAACCGTGAGTTTACTTAAACCTAATTCGGGTGATGCACAATGTAAAAACTTAAAAACAACTCTTTTTATTTCAAACATGGTTCGGTAGGTTCAGGAGATGGTAGTACCCATGCATGGAGTGCAAGGAGCGGAAAACAGGTTGAAACATGGATGCGACAGTAGTGTGGTTTTCGTTGGAAACTTGACTTTGTATATGCTTTGGTGGTTGATTGGAATGATTGTTGAATGTGCAGGTTCACAGTTGGATAGGTCATGGAAGTGAAGCACAAGTCATAAAATGGGCACCAGGAAGTCCCATGTTTGTGACAGGCTGTTCAGAACTTGCCTTTGTGATCCCAGACTTGTCTAAATTGCCAGCGTATGCCATACGGAAATAGGATCACTCACTCTCACGGACACGGTAAATGTCATATGTGATCTCAAGCTCTCTACACGCTCTACGCTCTGGCCATGTAAAAATATGACTCCTTTAACGCCCCTTTTTAGACTGTGTTGTGGGTAACTTGATGCTTCACTCTGATTGTGCTCCCATCTTGTATTCTAACGATTATTAACCCATAGATTAAATCCCCAGTCTTCTTTTGTTTTTCTCTAGTGTGATGTGTGTAATTTACAAGTTTGGTTGTTTCTCTTCCCCCACTGTATGAAAAGGAACTGTGTAGTTAACAAAAAGAGAGAAAAAACTGAGAGTCTTGAGAGCTGGGATTGTGGGCCGAAACAATTTTGTAGGTAAATCTGAGCAAGGCCCAAACTCGAAATGGAATCTGTTTTGTTGTCAGAAGAAGAGAAATCTGTTTAGGGAAACTTTTGAGGCAAAGTAATTGTGATTCTACTCCTCAAATAATCTATTTGCAATTTTCAGACCGAGTCAACCCAACGCGAATTCGCTCCCCTCGTCAAATCGGTTGATCGAAATCTCCGGTCAAAAGGTAGTTCATCTGTAACACCAATTTCTGGGTGATTTCATTTGATTTTCCGATTCTTCTCCTGCAATTTGGACATTTGGTTGTGATATTTTCTCTTCTACGATTAAGATTTTTTATTTGTTTATTTGAGTCAATCATTTCTTAAAGCATTTTTCGGGTAAGCGTTTGTTTTTTCTTGATGTTGTATGTTTGACTTGGGAAATTTCTGCAGGCATAGTGCAAACATGGATGTTATGTCATGCTGTTGAAACTTGTTCCTGATCGTCTTCATAAGTTGCATTTTACTGTTATCCTTTTGGTTGATGAGAGATTATTGGTTTCTACAGAGTTTTCTTTCTGGGATAAAACTTGGCAGTCGAGCTTATGGCTACACAGGAAGAGGTTTCTGCTGCCTCAAAGATGATCGAGGATCATCATCTCTGGATGGAAATGAGCCGCTCTGAGCTCAATATTCTGCAAAACGCATTCCAAAATGTCGAGGAATCGGCTCTGGTTTCCAAGGAAAAGGAGACTGATTTCCTCTGGAGACGTGTGAATACTGCAACTGCGTTATTGACATTTCTGAAATCAAAAGCGACAACTGTGTCTGCTTCTGATTTCTCCCAACTATCACTTGGAACTTCCCAGCAGCTTGAGCCTAGTTGCTTCCCCGGTTCTGGATTGTTTGAGAGCATTGCATGTGGTGATGGTGTGGATGAAGTTGATGGGACTTACGTCACTGAGATGCTTAACCATGTTGAGACGGTTACAGGGGTAATGGAGTCTCTGGCCAGGCGTGCTGTGATCGCGGAATCAGAAGCCGCGATCGAGAAAGAAAAGGTTGCGTTAAGCCAAGAAGAAATCGAGAGAAAGGTTGGGGAAATGGAGAAGATGGCCATCAAGTTGGAGGACATGGAAAAGTATGCTCTCGGGACCACAAGCATTCTCGGGGAATTCCGACAGTGGCCATTCCTCTCAAGGCAGTCGCGCTCTAGGAGGCATCGCGATGATCCAGACCGCTTGGTCGAAAATCTTGGAGGATACAAGATCCGGATTCCCCCTTTCCATGGCAACAACAATCCTGATGAGTACATGGACTGGGAGAAGAAGTGTGAGTTCAACTTCAACTTACACAACATATCCAACATCAACAGAGTCAAACTGGCGGTCTCTGAGTTCAATGACTATGCCCTAAGGTGGTGGGAACAAGTCGTGACCGCAAGAGAGATTGGTGGAGCTCTTGAGGTCTCTACCTGGGAAGAGATGAAAAGGATCATGAGGCAGAGGTTCATTCCTAGCTATTATCAGAGAGAGCTACATTCTAAGCTCAGGAGGCTCACTCAAGGGTCCAAAACTGTTGAAGAATACTTCCAGGAGATGGAAGGTATGATAATGAGGGCTAATGTGATTGAGGACAGAGAAGCCACTATGTCCAGGTTCCTTGGAGGGCTCAACCGCGAGATCCAAGATGTGTGGAGATGCAAAACTGTGTGGGCTTGAGTCTATGCTCACAAGGCCGTCCTTGCTGAGCAACAGCTCAAGAGAAAGCACCCTCACGCTGGAGCTGATCAGCGCAGGCCGATGTATCCAAGAGACTCCAAACCGGCTTCACACCAAAGTCTGAGCCAAGAGGAGCCTCTTACAGTCAAGACAAGGACAAGAGCAACCAGTACAACTCTGCCCTAGAGCTCGCGAGCTTAAGTGCTTCAAGTGTCAAGGCTTTGGACACTATGCCATGAATGCCGCAACAAGAAGATATGATTCTGCATATGAAATTACTAAAGTGTTTCGTCTGGCTTGACTTAGCTTGCTCCAGGGTTTAGGGTTTTAGGGCCTTTGATAGGATTGGTCGGAGCGGTAATGATGAAAATAATGCGGCTGCACGAGACTGTATGGGCGTTCTGTTATGTTTCCGTTAATGTGGTTTGTCTGTAATACATGATTGCTCTATTTCTTTCATCCACAGAACATGACCTAGCTCTCCTCGCCCATGTTCTCTTCACCAGATTTCAAATTCCCGACATTATATTATTTATTCTTATTATTATGTGGTGCTTGTAATTTCTTCACTGTGAAATTAATAGAAACATGGGGAACTCGCGCTTCATTTTGTCACACAGATTGATGAAACTGCCAAGAGTGTAGTTGCATCTGATTTTTATATATTTCTTATTAAGGTCTAGTAGGGAAGTGTTGCTGCACATGGTGAGTCCCATAACGTTGAAACATCATGTTAATTCTCTATGTATGTGTGGGTGCAGTTAACATGTCCTCCTCATCCTATATGTGTATATGTGTGCTTATGCATATAAATATGAGTCGCCACTAGCTATCTCTTTATCTACAAGCAAAAAAAAAAAAACAGAGAGCCCCAAAAAAAAGACAAAGGATCTTTAGTTTGAGATGGGAGTAGAAAGGTTATCGAGTGGTAAGGGTCTGAAACAGATGCTAAAGAGATGTTCGAGTTTGGGGAAGAAGAGCAACGTCCAAGTCAACGTTCACTTTAACGGCGTCCCCAAAGGTCACTTCGTCGTCTATGTTGGTCACTCTAGAACTCGACACGTCATCCCCATCTCCTTCCTCACGCACCCCATCTTCCAGGTATATATATACGCATATGCATCACCTTCTAAATAATTGCTTCTATATACATAGTAAATGATCAAACATATTCATTCATGAACCATCAGATGTTGCTGCAACAATCTGAGGAAGAGTTTGGGTTCTACCAAGACAATGGCCTAACCATTCCTTGTGATGAACACTTCTTTGGCAATCTCATCTCCTCCATTAATAATCCGTGACATGACGAGTATGGACATATAAATCCTCTCTGCGGATATAATAAATGCGTACGTGTTTATGTAATGTAACTAGCTTGTGTATATATTCTCTTCCCTACTTCTCATGTATTAACAGTGCATGTCATTTGAGAGGAGTTTAATTTTTACGTTACGTACCTACCTCTTTTTCTTGATATCCTCATTTTCTTGGATAATTCTATAATTCTGAAACCAAAAAGTGTTGTTTCGCTTGACGGAGAGAGAAGCTAAAAAGGACAGATCACACATCTATGATCTATCTAACTTGCCTCTCTATCATTTTTGTATATTCTGATCGGACCCTCAAATTATTTTGTCCTTTTGCAATTATATATGTCCCTAACATCAACAGATCTTCGCCCTCGACAGCCATGGACCCTTCTTCACCAGATAGAGAGGGTCACATATAGCTCTCAACACACGACCAAAATTTTCAAAGGTTTTTGACTAGTTCAAATTTCGTTGTTCGTATTCGATATACTTTTTTAGTTATTGCACTTCTGAGAATTTTATCTTTATATAATAAGATCTACACTTGTTTCCCAAGCAAACGCGCGCGCATATACAAAAAAATACACGACACAAAACCCTATCTTGCAAAAACAACAATGTCATAAGTCTTTTTGTCACCGGCGGCACCACAGAAAGACTTCCTAATCGTTTTTAAATCTCAGATTAATTTGCAACTTAACATTTTTATACAAGTAAACTAACAACGTCTACATCCCGGAGCCGGACACTTGCCTGTACTTGATGTGGCAGCGATATTGGTTAGGAAACCACCATCCGATCACATTTGATCAATTGTACGGTTTAGTTCTAGTCTCGGTTTAAGTCTTGGGTTCACTAAGGATTGAGCTGGTTAAAATGGGTTTCAGGAATTTGAAAAAAAAACATGAAGAGCAAGCTTGTCGCAAAGCCCAACCACAAGTCGAAGCCCGTGAAGATATCATCAAGTCAGTTGAAATTTAAAACAGACTTATATAATCAAGAGCTTAAAGATTCATAGAACAAAACAAACAATAAAAACAGAGCAGCGGCAAAAACAAATACAAGGAAGCGTCCGAGCTTTGAGATCAATCTGAATCAGAGTCGAGAGATCAATCTGAATCAGAGTCGAGATTCTCTGAAGACCTAACGGAGCGACGTATGCTTTCTTGATACTCGTAATCTTCCTCCTCTTCCGCTTTTCGCTTCTCAGTAAGCATTCCTATGATAGAAAACAAGAAGAAGATCCATTCAGTGACCAAATCTGTAAAGTGCAAACTATAACTAGCAAAAGCCTAGATCCAGAGATTTTGGAACAACCTTTTCTAACGAGAACATTCTCCAGCTTAGTCGTGGTGAAATCGTCCTTGGCACCTAAATCTTGAAACCCCACAAGCCTATCCATCGCAATCCCCTTGCTGAAGAATAAGGATGAAAATGAAAATGAACTCATATTTGCGTAAAGTAAAAGACGAAAGAAAATGTAGGAGTGAGAGTGACCTGAAAAGGATGACACAGGGCAAAGTCTTGATTGCGAGTTTTGCCACAAAGAAGGGAGCGTTCTGCATTTATTGTCTCCCAAGTACTATTAGAAAAGCTCCAAAACAAAAAAGCTATAATTTAAAAAAAGAAGGAACCAATCAAGGGGTATTAGTGACCTCTGCGTCCATCTTAATGAACTTAGTGTCCACATGTCGAGGTGCAAGGGTCTTGAGATGCTTGTCCATTATCCTACAATGATCAAGCGCATATATAGGTGACAAGCATATTCACTCACATATCAGAAGACCCAAAAAATCAAAAAAAAAAAAAGTGAAGTGAGAGAGAAGGATATAGGATGGTACTTGCAGCGATAGAATTCCTTGTGGTAGAAGTGACAAATGACTTTGAGAGACGTGGTGACTTCTCCCAAGAAGTCTCCCTCGCTGACTTCTCGGTACTCGCCATGTCCTTGCCTTTTGAATGCTTCTCTCTTTTCCACTTCTCTCTGTAACCACAATACTTGGGGTTAGACTTAGTCCATCCATAAGTGCTGTAACCAAATAGCTATCAACCACAAAAACGGAACCTTGAGTGCTGCAATCCTGTCTGCGTGCAATTTTTCGAGCTCTGGATCCTACATAACGTGAACAAGCCAGAAAGAAGCATATGAAAACTCGCATTTCGATATTGAAAAGAGAGAGAAGCAATGCACACTTACATCCATCAATTCGTCAAAATCAACCTCCTGATTGGCAGGTCTCGATGCTTGCGCCTTCTCATTTGCGACAACTTCCTGCACACCAAATTCCATTTTCACGTCATCAAATCAAAAAAGGGAACTTGGGGTCTATCAGATCATCATTGTTGGTCTCTTGTTCAACAAAAAACTTCCACTTGATACACACTCAGAGTGGGTAATCGTAATTGTAGCCCTTTAAACACAAGTCGAGCACTCAGAGATGAGACACAAACACGATACAAGGAGAAGTAGACGATTGCCTTAAATCAGCAGAAAGAGAATCTAGCACATATGTCCTCCTTGTTTCATTTCAATCTCATCAGAAGCCCAATTAAGAATTAACAATTCTGCAAACATCAAGGGTTACTCGCCCACCACATTCTTTTCCCCTTTTTTGTTCGGAAACACGAAATTCAGATGTAATAATCTACCCGAGAAGAGAAGAACACCTTCGAATTCTATTTTACCTTCTTATAATCTCTAGCAGCTGCCGCCAATACATTACCGAATGCCAAATTGGAAAGGGTCGACTTCACCGCATCTGGATCCATCTTACACCAACAACAACAAAAAAAAACACCCAAATCTAGCAAGGGAAATTGAAATCCGAGCTTGTTTTGAAATCTGGTTCAGAGACTAATGGACGATCGATCGAAACGCGGCGTTTGGTAAGTGGAGTAGATTGTATTGGGCCTCCTTTTTAGTCCATGGGCTTATTAGTATTCGATTCTCCGAGCCCAATAATAAGCCCCAATTTCTCAGACCAGCTGGCAAGTTTCTTCGAATACGCCCAATCTTTCTTTCATCTTTTTTCACATACGTGTATGTATGGAAATGGAACTAATCTACAAGCAGACAAGACGCACCGTTTTCAAGAACAAGTGGTTACGTGTCTAACATCTACGATAATGTTTACTACCGACACCAACAAAATAAAAAAAAATGATCCAATATCTATTACTTTCCACCTATATTCATCACCCTGTCATGGGATTGTTATGAACACGTACTCGCTCTCGACTTTGAAAGCTCCCAAAATATCCCATCCTCACTTCCTTTAACAATAACCATTTCGGTTTGTTTATCAACACGTGTCTCCAAGCACCACGCCGACATTTTCTAGTGCTGCCACGTGTCGATCTCCAAAATAATGATTCACTAATTATGATAGTTGATCCATATCCGAAACCGGACTATAAAGATACCTTCCATGCGCTAACGAAACTTCATCAATCAACAAACTCATCATCAAAGTCTCTCATATTACAACAGAAAGTCTTTTAAGTGTTTGCTTTGCTTAGAAGAAGAAGAAGAAGAAGAAGAAGATGGCGTCTTACCAGAATCGACCCGGAGCTCAGGCAACTGACGAGTACGGAAACCCGGTCCAGCAGTTGGACGAGTATGGTAACCCCATTGGCGGCGGTGTAGGAGGAGCAGGTTACGGAACTGGTGGAGGAGCCATGGGTGGGACCTACGGGACGGGTGGCGAAGGATACGGGACTGGAGTTGGAGGCTTGGGAGCTGGCGCAGGAGGTAGGCACCATGGCCAGGAACAACTCCACAAGGAAAGTGGTGGTGGCTTGGGAGGAATGCTTCACCGCTCTGGATCCGGATCCAGCTCTAGCTCGGTATACCCCTCGTACTAGTACAAAATATACAATGTTAAATGCGACGTAATTCTATGTATATTGACTTTGTTAGTTTTGTACGTGTATCCATATATACTAGGAGGATGATGGACAAGGTGGGAGGAGGAAGAAGAAGGGAATAGCCGGTAAGATTAAGGAAAAGCTGCCAGGTCATCATGATCAGTCTGGTCAATCTCAAGGAATGGGCACTACCACCGGTTACGGTACCGGGGCTGGTGGTTATGATGCCGGAGGTTACGGTGGGGAGCGCCACGAGAAGAAGGGGATGATGGACAAGATCAAGGAAAAGCTTCCAGGTGGTGGTGGTCGTTAAGCTGCATACCATTTAACCTTTGAACAAACGTGTATACCTATAAAATAAAAATAAGAATGGTTTATGGTTTGTAACGCAGTCGCATATGGTCGTTGTACGTGTGCTTTTATGACCACGTCCTGCGATGTAATATACGAGTGTGAGGGAGGAGTGTGTTATGAGCCTCTTTCTCTTTTATGTTCTTGAGATGTATGTATTCTCTACTTCCATATCTATATATCTACTTGCTTATGTGTTTCTTACACCTTTGTCAACTGTCACGGGAGCTCGTACACTCTATAGTTCTGACTTCTCATATTAGTCCCGTTTTGTTTTCCACTACTTTATTGGCAATACAAAATGCTTTCCTCAATAGGCCGAATCAGAATTGGTATTTGGGCCTATGAATATTTGGACAAATGTTTTGTTTTTTTACAATTGTTGAAGTTCATCCTCTTATAGCTGAGAAGGAAGACCCAAAAAGGCTACTGTAAAGTGCTACTATATAACTGTATTCGGTCATATTGTTGTTTATGATACGATAATTTTCTTTTGGTGCAAGAAAACAAAAGGAGAGATAGTTTGTTTGGTTTTGAGCTGGGAGAGCAGTTGAAGCTGTTTCTCAATAATTTTGTCATTATCTATCGTTTAGTATTGTCTTTGTCCTACTCTAGCAACCATATCTGCTTGTTAAGGTACGCTATAAGATTATTAGTTTCCTTGCAGAATAATTAGCATTAATTTGTTGACTATTTTGTCAATGGTCAACCAATTAGTAAATATCTACCTGCAGACGCAATTGTTTGCGTAGCTTACTCTTCAGGTTTATCGATCTTCAAATTTATATTACAAATTAAATTCGTAGAAACATCTCCGTTTGGTAATAGATTGACTAAAACGCAAATATAATGCCTATTGGAACTTGGGAGTGAAGGTAACCAAAATTCCATAAATTTTATAGCTGCAAATAATAATGACAAGTGACATATATGACATGGTCATAGATGGGGAGTAAGATAAAAGTTTAACAAATCCTGTATTCATATCTAACCCAATATCTAGAATTAGTTACCAACTCCATCGTCTTTTCTCAAATGTCGACAAAGTCTACTCTATAAATGAGACTCTTTGTATCACCTATACATATCACCAAGTACAGCGATCTAAAACCAAAACGAGAGATCAAGAAAAAAGAATCCCAAAAAAATGACCAAGTCGTTGAACATACTTGTCGTAGCTCTCTCCCTCATGGCCTTGGCGCCTCTTTGTTTGTGTTCCAAAGCCTATGGAACTGGCAGCTATCTCTTTCCTCAGTTCTACGACCACTCGTGTCCTAAAGCTCAAGAGATTGTTCACTCCATTGTCGCTAAAGCATTTGCACAAGACCCTCGCATGCCTGCCTCCTTGCTCAGACTCCATTTCCACGATTGTTTCGTCAAGGTCTCAACCTTATAACAAGCTTTCTTAATGTTTCAAAACTATTAATAACCACAATCCTTATCTATTATTCTATCGCTGTGATTGGTATTGTAGGGATGTGACGCTTCGATACTATTGGACAGTAGTGGAACCATCATCAGCGAGAAACGATCAAACCCTAACCGAAACTCAGCCCGTGGTTTTGAACTCATCGAAGAAATCAAAAATGCGTTAGAACAAGAGTGTCCTGAAACAGTTTCTTGCGCTGATATCTTGGCTCTAGCTGCTAGAGACTCAACTGTCATTGTAAGTCGTCACAATTCACTAAAACATAAAATTATAAATTGACCATACTATAGTTATATATCAACCAAAATAATAAAATAACTCGACAAATGACAGACGGGTGGACCGGGCTGGGAAGTACCTCTAGGAAGAAGAGACGCAAGAGGAGCAAGCTTGAGTGGTTCCAACAACGACATTCCTGCTCCTAACAACACTTTTCAGACCATTCTCACCAAGTTCAAGCGTCAAGGCCTCAATCTCGTTGATCTTGTCTCCCTCTCTGGTATCCTTCTTAAATCACACAATATATTAGTCGACCAGTGTTCAAAAACTTCATAATTTTTATCGTTGTGACCTTTTGTTCTTTAGGAAGTATTTTTAGATTAACTTGTTTTAGGGGAAATTTCAAAACTACACCTCTTGAGGTGCAAATTTTCAAAAATACACCTCTATGGTGCCAATTTTTAAAACTACACTTTTTTCATTTAGTAAAAAAACTCTAAACCCTAAAATATAAATCCAAAACCCTAAAATTTAACATTGAATCCTTAAATCTAAACCTTAAACCCCAAAATCTAAACCCTAATATAGGATTAGTGAACCCAAACATATATATTAAAATTGGGAAAAGATGTATTTTTGAAAATTTTCACACTATAGGTTAGTTTTGAAAATTTGCATATCAAGAGGTGTATTTCATAAAATTTCTCCTTGTTTTACAAGTTTTAAATATTTATAATAAATATAAATTAATATATCATTTGCAGGAAGTCACACCATCGGAAACTCGAGGTGCACAAGTTTCCGGCAGAGACTATACAACCAGTCCGGCAACGGCCAGCCTGATTTGACGCTTAACCAATACTACGCCTCCGTGTTGCGTCAACAATGTCCTAGATCCGGCGGTGACCAAAACCTCTTCGTCCTCGACTGGGCGACGCCGTTCAAGTTCGACAACCACTACTTCAAGAACCTGATCATGTACAAAGGGCTACTGAGCTCGGATGAGATTCTGTTCACGAAGAACAGAGTGTCGAGGGAGCTCGTGAAGCTCTACGCTGAGAATCAAGAGGCCTTCTTCGAGCAGTTTGCCAAGTCGATGGTGAAGATGGGGAATATCTCTCCTTTGACGGGCGCGAGGGGAGAGATCCGGCGAATCTGCCGGAGGGTTAACCATGCCTATTAATCAAATCTCTATGTATAAGTAAAGTGGTCTTGTTTCATGCATTTCTTTGGCATGGACTATCTTCTTTTGGCTTTGTTTGTATGAATATGTGTGTTTACTAAATCTGATTTTGTTTCTTTAAAAAGATCATGTATTATATTTTGAGTGAGTGTATTCGCTGATATATTTGGTATTTGCTTCAATTTCACGACTCTAATTTGCAACGTGGATAATTGGATGGATAATAGAGTGACATATACGAAGTATTGGGATCTTTTGAGAATAACTGAAAAGTCTAGGGTGGAAGTTTAAATTCTTTAAGTATCTTTGGATTAGGAAGAATAAAAGAATAATACTAACGATTAGGGAAAACGGTGTCGTGTTGTAAGCATATACAAATGCAAACGGAAAGTCCCCGAGTCGGAGAAATCGCAGCCGGAGTAATCGACGGCGAATCCTTCATCAGCTGATGTGTGTTTAACTTCCGATTACTCGCCTCCCTCTCTAATCAATCGCGATTTAGATATAAAGATCCGTTGATGGCGGCGTCGTGGCAGTGGGAAAACGCCACCGCCGGCGCCGTCGCAGGATTCGCCACTGTCGCCGCTATGCACCCTCTTGATGTTGTCCGTACGAGATTCCAAGGCATGTTTCTTTTTCTTGCCTTCCTTTGAAAAAACTCAAATTTGCTTCACTCAATTCAGTTTTGTTGATAGTTTGCTTACGTTGATTGAACAGTGAACGACGGTAGAGGGACAAGTCTGCCGACGTACAAGAACACAGCACATGCCGTCTTCACCATTGCCCGTCTCGAGGTTTGCAAGAAGAAGCTCTCTCTCACCCTTTCTTTGATAGAGCCTGCCTGTGACATCTTCGCTATGCAATTTGTGGCTGATAAATATATAAATCATTCATTTTGTGCGTAGGGATTGAGAGGTCTATACGCAGGATTCTTCCCTGCTGTAATCGGTTCTACTGTTTCATGGGGATTATACTTCTTTTTGTGAGTCTTTTTACTTTTGGTTTACCACTAAATAAATCATCTTTCGTCATGACTTATATATGTCAACTTGTACAAGTGAATAAAAGCTTTTCCTTTTATGTCTTGCCTTGCTGTGAATACTGTTTTTGATCTCTCCGCAACACCTTATTGTTTGTTTGCTCTTGGTCTTGCACTTTACTTTTTAGCCATGGATCTTTGTTTAAATGATGTGGAACAAATTCCTTATCTCTCTCTCTAGTTATGGAAGAGCTAAACAGAGATATGCTAGAGGCACGGAGGATGAGAAACTAAGCCCTGCGCTTCACCTTGCTTCAGCTGCTGAAGCTGGAGCCTTGGTGAGGAGTATAACAACATACATGTCATTTCTCTTGTACTCGAGCTTACAATACTTAGCTCGATCTCAAGCTTATAATACTTGCAGGTGTGTTTATGCACAAATCCGATTTGGCTTGTCAAAACCAGATTACAGCTTCAGACACCTCTTCACCAAACCCGTCCATACTCCGGGCTCTTAGGTCTGCAACTATGCGTAACTAATTCAATTTTTATTGCATTCTTTCTTCTGGATTGCTCTTTCCTGAATGTGGGTGAAATTACAGATGCCTTTAGAACCATAATGAAAGAGGAAGGACCCAGGGCGCTCTACAAGGGTATTGTCCCTGGTCTTGTACTGGTTAGTTACTATCCTCAGTGTGGAACAGTCGAAAAAATGATTTTACATTAGTTTCATTTTGTGTTGATTCTGATTTAGTTGTTGTTCAGCAGGTTTCTCATGGTGCTATTCAGTTCACAGCTTACGAGGAACTCCGTAAAGTCTTTGTGGATTTTAGAGAAAGGAGAAGAAAATCCGAATCCGCTGATAATTTATTGGTACAGAATTTCTCTTCTTCCACACTGTGATTCTTTGCAGAAATAATAAACTTAATTACAGCATCATGGATATACTCTTGTAAGCTCTAACTTCTTATACACTCCCCCTTTGCATGTTGTTTTGTCTTAGAACTCGGCTGATTTTGCTGCACTTGGGGGATCCTCCAAAGTCGCTGCAGTTCTTCTTACATATCCATTTCAAGTTATTCGAGCACGATTACAGGTACATATCGATCATGTCTTCCATCATCTTATTATCATTAGATCAATTCTTAATTTGCTTCTACTTCCTTAGTGTGTATAAATAAAATAACCTCTCATCTTTAGCAATATTTGAGGATTCCATAAACCTTTTTTGTTCAGCAACGACCTAGTACCAACGGCATTCCAAGATATATAGACAGCTTTCATGTCCTCAGAGAAACCGCCAGGTCAGACCATTTTCTTCTTGGTTGTGTCTCAACAAAATATACCCATCTTTTGTTTAAATCATGGTGACTTGGGTTTCTGCAGATTCGAGGGTCTCAGAGGTTTCTACAGGGGACTAACCGCAAATCTTTTGAAAAACGTTCCTGCTTCTTCCATCACCTTCATCGTCTACGAAAACGTCCTCAAATTGCTAAAACAACCTCCAACGAATGACTAGATCTTTAAGCTTTTGACTCAACTTTGTATACATTGAACAGTGAAGCAAGTGACTTGCCGCGCCCAATATCATTCAAATCATTCTTTCACAGTATATACATGTGCGATAACACTCTATCGCGTTTCACTAGACTACTAGAGCATTTAAAGTTCCTTATAATAAAATTCATGACTCTTAAGTTTCAGTCACACCGAAAACAACATGATGTACATTCGATTAGAATTAACGGGAACGTCGTGTAATACAGAAAAGAGAGTTTTAGCCAATTTCATAGTTTTAGCCAAAAAAGGCCCATCAATTAGCAAAATGAAAATACGCGATACTAGGCGCCGACAATGTCTCCTTAAAGCTCCGTATCCAAATCCATATCACTGAGACTTTAATGACAAACAGTGCTAATGATATTGTCTCGATATCTCGTACATTTTGACTTTGTGGTGAGTGACACAATACTTGTGAAAAGAATATTAACTTTTCAAGTCTTCATTACTAAGATCAAAGAGTTACTTCAGTTGTGATCATTTTGTTAGTATCAAAGATCTGGATTAAAGTATTCCATATTCAAAATGAAAAGTTTTTAGCATTAATGAAACCATTTCCTAATTCGAATTATCTTTTTGAAAAAGAAAATATCTAAAATATGATTTCCATGAAAATAAGTTTCAAAAATCTATATAAACACGTACGAGACGTAATCATTTTGCAATAACATATTTTCCCATTGTTTCTAGCTTCTTCAAGTTCCAAAACAAAACAAAGTATCAAAAATGTTTTCCTCAAACAATCGTTCTACACAGCTGGTTCGATTTTCAGTTTCTCATAATCATATTTTCTTGTGTTGCTACATCTGTTCTTTCTTCCTATAAATAATACAATTCAACCGTTTTTTTTTGGTTTGTTTTGTTTTGTTTGGCAGACTTGTGCGTTTAAGGTGAACACGAATTCCCCAGACTGGCACAAGAGTATGACAAAGATCCTAAAGAAGATCACAGGTTTGTTAATAGATATCCATTTATTCGTTCAAACTAAAGGTTTGTTAATCTTATTTCTTATATAAGATATGGCTTTTCTAATTGTAATTAAGGTGGGGGTTTGAGTTAGACGTGGAAGAAGGAATGGCCTACGTTTCGGGTCATGGAGACCCAAACAAACTTCTGAAACTAATGGGTTCCATAAAAGGCAAAGGGCCTGAAGTGGCGTTTGTGAGAACCGGAGGACCTCATCAACGACATCATCATCCTCGTGATCATCCCAACTCTTATCACAGCAACAGTCACTTCAACTCCAACGGTCAAGCAGCGTCTTACAACAGTTATTGGCCGAGTGATTTGGGTTACTCTAGGCAGCATCCGCAGTATTATTCTCAAGCACCAGCGATGCAACCTTACCATCCTCAATATCCATATCCTGGATACAACAATCACGGTTACTATTAATGTTTATCCGTTTATATATGTTATTATTACGCCGAGATCGATCAAAACCCAGAGTTTTAGGGTTTGTTGCTTGTATCCGACGTAATACTTTTTTTTTTCTCTCTGCTGTTTATTTGGATTAGCAGAGGAGAACTAAGGATATTTTCCTCAGATTCTGTCTTTATCTTTTTGTGAGAAGCTCTTAATAAATGAGATGGAAAAAATCTTTGTATTTTTAATTTAGTTTCCCTTAACTGATGAACGATTTTAAAACGATTTTCTTTTAATTTCCCGAAATCATTGTGTTATGTAGCTTTTAGTCTTTTACTGTCATCTTTTAATTTCAAAGAAAATATGAATTCAGAATACGCAATCGCTCGACAAAAGCCAAAAAATCAGCAAGCAATCATATACCAATTAATCGTGTAAATCCATTGGCGAAAAGGATGCAAGATCATGGAAGAAAATACCAGCTTGGTTAAACAAAGAGAGCAAATGTAAAAACTCAGCATGAGAAAGCTTCGATGGTCTCTTGTCTTCGAACCCATTCGAACTCAGAATCCCAATCACCCTTTCCTTGAACATGCTTGCATCTGTATCCAAACACAAGAAATTATCTTCATCTTCTTCAACATCACTGTCAAAATGACCACCACATGTCTTATTCGTACTTGCAACCTTGGAACCGTTTCTCCTAGCAGAAAAACCGAGCAACTCCAGGACCTTCTTCTTCTGCCTAAAAATGGAACCCAATGTCTTATTCTTGTTCCCGAAACAGGTGCGAGTAAATGCTAGCCACTCCTGAACATGAACATCCGGTTTAACCTCCTTTGGCCTGATGATAACCACAGATGAATCGACTTGAGGGGGTGGAACAAACTCTCTTTTACTCACATCCATTACGAGTTTGACATCAGCCACTAGCTTCACATTGACGGCCAATCTGTTGAAATCGGAATCTCCAGGATTAGCCAAGAGCCGGCGGGAGAATTCTTTCTGAAGCAAGAGCGTGGCGCTGCGGAAGGTGTTGGAGCCGTACACAAGCTTCGCTACCAGAGGGGATGATATGTTGTATGGAATGTTTGCGACCACGAGATCGAACTCTGGGAAATCTGTCTTGAGAACATCTTTTTCAATTATCTGAAGAAGAAGAAGACGAAGACAAAGAAGAATGAGTTGTTATTTCGGCATTTCGTCGAACAGGTTATGTGCGCTTAAAAGCTAATCTCGAAGAACAAGTAATTACGTTCCCTAATCCAATCCTGGCAACAAAACGGATAAATCAGATTAATCAAAAAGGCAATTGCAAGCTTTTACCGTAAGTTTATCTTGAAAGCCATGTTCAGAAACTCTTTTGCGGAGAATCTCGACCATACGCTTATCTAACTCGACGGCGACGACACTGTGGGCAGCTTCTAGAAGCTTCATGGTGAGATTGCCAGTACCAGGCCCAATCTCCAAGACAGTATCGGTGGGCCTCACATCGGAGCATTGGACGATGGCGTCGAGGATTCGGGTATTCGTGAGAAGGTGTTGGCCTTTGCTCTTGCACAGAAGCAAGCCATGGTGCTCCTTCTTCTCCTTGACTTGAGTACTTCCATCGTACTCGTACACTCTTCTCCGGCGATCGTGACCGGGTTTCTGAGAGTGTGAGTTTCGTCGGAAAACTAAGGAAGAGAGTGATTTGATTTTGCCGAGAGTTTGGTTCTTCAAACGAAGAATCATTACTTTACTCAAACTCAGAAAATATTTTCTTCTTTCGTCTATGCAAAGGTTGCGTCGTTCTCTCTCTTATATACTAGTACACATTAACCAGAGAAACTCTTATTTCTTTAACCAAAAACTTCGTCTCCAGAGTCAAAAGACACATTTGAAACAATAAACTTAGGAAGAAATTAATGGTTGAATAAGAGAAGAAGATGTTGGTTTATGATTGTCATGGTCATCTTCATCACCAATTTCGGATGCTAAAGAAATGAGTTGTTGCGCTTGCTTCTCCCAAGTCTTTCCTAGCACAACCAAGTAGAGTCCACAAATGATTAGTATCGCCCCTATCAATCTGACAATAACACATAACATCATAACATTAATTGGGGAAAATAATAATAATACAGTAGAAGGAATTAGGAGGATGGTGAGTAAAGAGTAAAAACATATACCCTCCAAGGTAAAAGTGTTCGCCAAGAGCAAAAGAGGCTAACAGAGCAGCAAGTAAAGTTTGGAGAGGCAAGTAAGCCGACACAAAGAGAGGTCCTGCTCTCTCCACTACATATATTTGTATTGCAAACACCATCCCCGAACCCACCAGCCCCTGCAAAACATTCAATCCAGTGCTCTATAAACACATTTCAAACACACAATCTTAATTATTAATCTAAAAGAAGATCAACTCTAGCTTACTGTGTATAGCAGCGCCAACACTTCTCCTCCTGATCTTATCTTCCAGCTCTCCATATCTCTCTCCAAGTAAGCTGAGATGCCAAAGAACTGGAACACAGCGAAAATGCATGAGTAGGATACGAAAGAGAATCGAGCAGGGTACTTCTTGAGCAATGGTGCTTGTAACACTATCCAGCTTGACCAGCATAAGGAGTGACCCATCAAGCAGAGACATCCTAGAGTCCAGTTCTTGTTTTGTCCCTCTGCTTCTCCACCTTTTATGTGTTGCTCCATTAGACGAAGGCTTGGCTGGTAAATGGTGGGCCCTTTATAGAGCGTTATAGCCAAAGAGCCTGCCACTGATACAAATGTGCCCACCACTTTGGCTATTCCATCTCTCCTCTTCATCTCTACTTTCTCTATTCTACAATTATATAGTTAATGGTGTGTCATATACTCAGTAATGAGATATATATATATATATATATATATATATATATATATATGAGTGAAAGTGAGATTCAAGAAACAACACACATACCCGAGCAAGGCTGCCATTAGGAATGAAACAGCTGGAACAGCATTCTCTGTTGCTGACGCGAATGTTGGTGACGTATTGTCCAATCCATATATGTAGAACCCTTGATTTAATGTTATCCTATATAAAGAAAAAAAAAGAAATGTACTTAAACAAGACTGATCTGAAATCCAATGTTTAAGAGTAGAGAAGATCGTACCCGACAAGTCCTAGAAGGAAGAACTGAACCAGTAAACTGTTGCTCATCCTCGGTCTTTCTTTTCTAATGATTGAAACAGATAATATTACCATAATATAAATGTTATAAACTGGAATAAAGATTAAAAGATTGGTTTGATATAAAGAGTCGTATACTTTTCAAGGAAGAAAGCAGAGGGAGCAAGAACAGAAAGGGCGATGATGTTGCGGTATAGTGGAAAGACGAGTTTGCTTACTCCCAAGTTTAGGGCGAATCTCATGATCACGTGATTCCCGGCGTACCCTGTCTGAAACACCACCATCGCTATGTGAAGCATCGCTCTTCCCGGTGCCGGAGACATCTTTCTCCGCCCGAGGAAAAAGGAGAGATCTGTTTGGTTTGGTCTTGTTTATAAATGGTCTCTGCTCTTGTGGCGACTTTCTTTAAACGACAAAAAACGAGATAAGACTGTCATCTGCAGCTTGTCACGACTCACGTCACGTGACACTGTGGGATCTGTCATATGTCTATAGTTTTGTTTATACTTCCACCTTTGGAGGTGAAAACGGCTAGCTGCTTCTCCCTCAATTGTATGTCAGGTATGTAGTTCAATTCTACAACAGAAAACTGGTACGTAAATAAAAGTTGATAAAACTAGAATCGCTGAATTACAACAACAAAAAACTATTTTGGTAGATGAATAGAGATTATCTAATCTAGTTAAGAATTCAAAAGTGCAAAAATGAGTTACAAAAAAATATTACATGAGTTTTATTAGTATAACCAAAAAGAAGTATTCCCTCTATTTTTTAAAGATAAATTTTCTAGTTTTTTCACACAGATTAAGAAAAAGTTGATTTTTAATCATTAGTGCATAGATTTCTGCAATAAAACAACTTTTTATAATTTTAAACCAATAAAAATCTAACAAATATAATTATTGTATCTTGAAAACTGAAAAAGTATATTAAAAAGGTAAAAATTTTATCTTTGTGAAACAACAAAATTCATTAAAAAAATCGGAGGGAGTATATGGTTGTAGATTGATTGATTGTAATTTGTAAAATCCAGAGAAAGAAAGAAGTAATAATGATGGTTATAGAATTTTGGGCCAAGGTAGTGGACTACATACTCAAATGACAAATGGGAACGTGAAAGCCATGAGTGGTCTAATTATTTGGATAAAACATAAAGTTCACAAAGAAAAAAAAACATAAAATCTGACAATATACAAGTAACAGAAAGTAATGAAAGGAGTAAAGGCCAAAAGCATAGACGCTGCCAAGTTACTATTTCTGGTCGGTGTAATTACGCTCTCTTTTCTACGTGATCGGACGGTGTATAGGCTTCTGCTTGTCCCTTCCATCAATATTTTTCTAGATTTGCGTGTGTAACGCATATATTTGAGTTGATTTTTTTCATTACATCTGTCAACACTATCCACTTTACAAAACATCAATTCAGTCACACTCAACTTTTTTTCTTAATCAACTTCATATATGATAATAATGTTAAGTCGAAACAAACAATATTGTTTCTAAATGCTCAGTTGATATAATAAAAGCTAGCCGTGTAATTAGGGTTCGCTATTTTCCGCAATCAACAAGATGTGCAATAAGTAAGAAAATTAGGCTTGAAAAAACAGTGGTCCTTCTTTTCATCAGCCTCTGTTTATTTTTTTGCTAAACATATCACCCTTCGTTTCTAGTGGACTTTTCTATAATTCACGACGATCCACTTTTCAATTAGCCATTTTTGCAGCAGTAGTTCCCCGTTCCAATCCTTTTTGTAATCTTACTGCTTGACTAACAATTATTTTGTTTCGGTTAGTGTGTGAGACTGTGAGTTACCAATAAGCTATACTGTAGTGTCTCTGTGTCTGTATACTTAAAGCAGTTTTCGTGAAATGTTTGGGTTAGGCATATTTGATTTAGTAGAAAGTCGAGTGGAATGAATAAATAAATAGACAATTCGCATATACTGTTTTATTAGCTCAATTGATACAGCAGTTTAAGAATTAGAGACAGTATAAGCGCGTCTGCATGAGCATGGCATTTGGAGGAACCACGACTCCACTTCCTCGGGACCCACATGAACCAAATCTATACTCGCTTTTCTTTCTTTTTTAAACGATGAAATCTCCCGAGTAATGAAAAATTGAAAACTATATATAATCATTATAATTTATTGATATATATAAAGGTGGCACTCTGGAGGTGAAGTGGGATTCATGCGGAACACACAAGAATATATAACTATACATATGCGACATTGTATTGAACTGGTCACAGATGTGTATTTGTAAGTACATCGATCTCATCATATATAATAAACGGTAACATAATTACATAACGAACTGGTTTAACAACTCAAAGCGGTATTTAACTACTATTCCAAGAAGATCTCCAGGTACAAGTGTTTTTGGGGGGAGGAGGTTGGAAGGATAATAATTTAGAAGTGATATCAAGAAGGCAACAAACACTATACTCCAAACTCACTTTTCTTTATTCTCCATTTATAAGTCTTTTCCATATTTCCCTTTTTCAGTGTTTATGAGCATAATATACTATTTATGCCCATGTGAAATAAGAAATACACATAGGGGAGAACTTTATAATGCCTGATCAACCCGAATGGCAGATGCTTTTAAAGTGCAAATAGATGACAAAAAAAGTAGTGGAAGTTTCAACGTTTTTGTTTAACAAAACACATTGCTGGCACATGAAGCGTATAAGAGATTAGGTAGTTTTTAAAAAGAGAGCAGGAACCTTAACTAAATTCATTGAAATTATTCTGACATTCAAAACTTAAGTAAGAAAACAAACACAGGGCTCGAGAAAAGACAACACTCTTTAATCTTAAGACCTTTTCTCTTTAGGAAAACTCTTCTATCTGTCCTAAAGTATAGTATTAAAATCTCACATGCCAAAATAAAAAGTAAAATGATAGTTTGGGTTGATGATGAGTCTTTCATTATGCGAGTTTGTTTTCATTAATAATCTTTGAAATTTACGGAATTATGATCTACTACTACTAATGTACAGTGATAAAATCTGAGAAAATGTCCCTTTCCCTTTTACTCACTCCCTCTCGTAGAATTCTAGTTCCTAAAGGATTGCATCTCTGAATGGCAGAATTCGATTTCCCTACTTTTTTGTTAACTGGTCTAGTTACTCTAACTAAAATCGTTACAACTGGTATGTATACCTATTACCTCGATAGGTATCTGTTTTTATTATTTTTTAAATGATGATTCTAGTTTTGGCAAGAATTTAAAATACATCATTTTCTTGTTTTCCAGATTGACTATCTCACTTTCCATTCAATGCAATTTTCTCTCTTGTGGTATTTTCTGGACAGTCAACTCTTTCCCATCCTTTACAAAAATTCCTAAACTATCCTCCATCTTTTAATTTTGTTCTCTTTATACCCTCACCCGTATTTTATTTTATTATTCTTTTTTATGAACAACTTAATACAAATATGATCAACGGTGGGATATAACTTGTGCGATAAGTGTTTGTGAGAAAACAAACAAAAAGAAGATAGAAAGAGAGAGAGCGAGAGGAGACAGAGAATTTAATAAGAGGAGAGAGAGAGAGGGGCGTTGCTATTAAGGTCATGGCGGCGTTGCAGAGCAAGAGACAGAGAAAGATAACTCTCTGATTCATCTCTCTCTCTCTTTAATACTCCCATACCGACAAACCAACTTTTCTCAGTCCCAAAAAGCTAGTATTCGATTTCTAAAACAAACCCTAGATACAACTCTACATTCCTCCCATTAATTTATTTTCGTCTTCTTCCTCCTCTTCTTCCTCTCCCTCAAGTCCGAGATCAGATCAGATCTTTTACCTTACCAAATATAAATCCAAAGAAATTTACTCGCCAAGTGAAGATCTGTGACTAGACCAGAAGATATGTGGTGGGAATTGGAAGAATTGAGTAAAAGGGGAAAAACAAGTCCTTGAAATTGGTAATTTATGGCTGGTGGTGTCGGAAAATGGCAGGATTTTTCTCACTAGGCAACGGCGGAGGCGACGGAGGAGGAAGCAGCCAAGACCTCCACCACCACTGCAGAACCAACGCTTCCAACCCTTCTCCATCGGGAACAGAATCTTGGCTCTGGTGCAGAAACCCTAATTCAAACGCAAACGCAAGCTCCGGCGGTGGAGATATCGCTCCTTCTTTCAAAGGAACCCTTGAGCTATGGAACAATCAAGAAAACCTTTTCCAGCAGCAGCAACACCAAAGGCTGGATCTCTACACTTCCGCCGCAGGTTTAGGCGTTGGACCAAGCAACCAGAGCTTACTTGAAGCCTCCGGCGGTAGGGCCGCCGCGTTGATGATGATGAGAGGCGCTGAGAGCGGCGGACCTAGCTGCCAGGACTGTGGAAACCAAGCTAAGAAAGATTGTGCTCACATGAGGTGTAGGACTTGCTGCAAGAGCCGAGGTCATGAGTGTCTTACTCACGTGAAGAGCACCTGGGTTCCTGCCGCTAAACGCCGGGAACGCCAGCAGCATCTTGCCTCCGGTCAGGAAACGCAGACGCAACCGCAAGGTGAGAGCGTTCCTAAACGGCAGAGAGAGCATTTCCCGCGGAGATCGACTTCTCTTGCCTGCACTCGTATACATAGTCAACTCACTTCGGGTACCTCAAAATTTATCTGTTTTTTTCTTCCTTTTATTCATATCTGAAAATAAAGTAGGGATCTAGATAGTGAAATGAAAGCTTCGTATAAGTAATCTTAGTAAGTTTTTCAGTAAAGTTTCAAGCTTTCAATTGCAGAAACAGAAACCCTATATTATTGTATCAGCTTTTGTCCCTTCTTTTTTTCATTTTCGAGAAAGAAAAACAAAGTTGATGATTTTCTTCTTTTTGATTTATTATGAAAATAAATACTGTGTATAAGTAAAACTGACTCTTGGATTGACAGCAAGAAACTGTTCTCGCCCATCTTGGTACATGTGTTTTATTTACATAAATTTGAATCTTTATAGAAAACAAACAAATCTTACATTAAATATCTTTCTTCTTATGCGGAGTATAATAAAAAATTGATTATTGTTATTTTTCCACCTAGGGTTAGAGAATGTGAATTTTCCGCCGGAAGTTAGCTCGCCGGCAACATTCAGGTGCGTGCGTGTGAGTTCGGTGGATGATGGAGAAGACGAGTATGCGTACAAGACAGCTGTGAGTATAGGCGGTCATGTTTTCAAAGGTATTCTCTACGATCAAGGTCCGGCCGAGAGAAGCTGCTCGGTCGGTGGATCTCAGCCGTTGAATCTCATAACCGGAGGCCCATCGGCCTCTTCGTCAAGCCCAAACGTGAGCTGCAACAATGGAGTCGTTGGCTCCACTTCAGACCATTACATTGATCCTGCCTCGCTTAATTATCCAACTCCGATCAACAGCAACAGTTTCATGACTGGTACGCACTACTTCTCCAACCCTAGATCTTGAATTCCTCACAGATCATAACAACAGTAGATTCTTACAAGTAGTAATAGGGTTTTCAACGGAGGAGGGATTATAATGTTAATCTTTGTTGTTTAGAGTAGTGAACCTAAGAATCCGGAGATAATATCTCTGTTCTGAATTTAATTGTTTGTTACCTGATCTTTTATTGTCAAGTTCAGTTTCTATAAATTAAAGTTCTGGTTCTCTATTGTTGTATTTGCGTAAATGTAAAAGAAAAAAAAAAGTATTTGCGTAAATGATTAAATATATAAGTAATATAATGTTTTTATTAGGAAGTACTTGTACGTATTGTATATTATTCTCCAGTTTCCTCAACTGTAAAAAGTCAACGAGTCTGAGAGTGAAAAGCACACATCAATAGCTGGCAGTTTTCAACTCTAATCGTTAAACTCAGCCTTTGTTCTTGTCAGCTTTTCCCATTACTTGCTTTAGTTTTGGATGTTTGATTCAACACAAATTAACATTGTCAACTAAACATGAATTAACCTTTGTCGATGTGGTCAATTAAAATTTAAGGTGTTTTCGTTAGGTCATTAAATTTCAGATGTGATTTCCGTGTAGAAATATTAGTGCAGAATGCAAGTGTTTGTATTTTTGCTATAAAAAAAACTTATAATATTATATATACATATTGGAATTGGACGAGGACATGTTTTGAGGTTTCTTGCGGGTTTGGACAAAAAATCACAGACATATCTGTACAGATATATTGTCTGCGATTACTATTTGACAATATGGCCTTAGCCCTATATGCATAATTTCAGTTTGAGCCTATTCTTGAGAGAGAGAGAGAAAGAGAGAGAGGGTTGATACTGCAGATAATGAGGGTGAGTGGGAGGATGAATAGAAAAAGGAATAAATTGGTATGCGTCTTCATTTCTGCAGGTGTATATGTTTGGACGTAAAAACTACTCTTTTTGTTTTTCTCCATAATTCAAAATTCGTCACCTCAAGAATGCCATGATTGATACTTGAGAGTAAGATGTAATAATAATTCAGATAAATTATATGGTAGGAAGAAAGAAATGGTGCTATGAGGACGTGAAGACTAACAAATGCACAAATCATGCGTTATTATAAAGTTTGTAATTTAAATTTATACAATGGTCAATGGTATTACATTAACCTTAAGCCCACCTGATTTCTGCTGATATGCCGCCCGTTATTTAATCCGTACCACCTACCACCTTGTCTTCCAAAATCTCGTTTGAAAAACTGAAAAGAATTTGAAGTTATTGAACGTAGGAAGGATTTTAAAGACGAGTGGTGATAAAAGCAGCAACTTTAATATGAGAAGGCAAGTGGCCCCACTGGATTTTGCTTCCTACACCTACACCAATGAGAGAGTGACATGTCTAAGAGACAATTCGCAATTGCATCATTGCATCCCAGGGGAGACAAAACTGAAGCTTGGTAGGTCCACACGACACAAACCACAACAAAGCTTTCCACAACGAATTTTAGTGTCTCCGCAATAAAGATCACTCCACGCTGCAGTGCCGATTCTCTATCTTTATTAATCACTCGATTACCAAATCCAAATTTTAACTAATCTCTTTCGATTCATTTTTCGCAAACAATTCTGAATGCTGTTATATAAATTAGAATCTCATATTTTGGAGGAAAAAAACGCAAATAAAGTTTGACGACAAAAAAAACTGGAAATGAAAAATGGAATTTGAAGAAGGGGCGGATCAAAAGATGAAAAAAATCCAAAACTGAGCGAAACACATGGTTTTGGTTGATCCTTCCCTAGCTAGATGAGTCTCTTTGTCGAGCGACTGAATAAAAAGGAGAGACATGACATCATCATGTTTTCCCTTTCTTCTTCTGTAGACAGGCGTTTGGGAAGGGGCGTGGAAACAAACCCATTTCCTCATCATATGCGTCGGCAGGAGAAGAAATAAAACGTGAAGGACACAGATGAGAAAGGGAGATAATATGAGCGAAGAAAAGACGTGAATGGTAAAGAGAAGCAAGAGGGTTCCGAGTCGGAGGAACCAAATTCATGAAAAACAGAGTCTAAAGTCGAGAAACAAAAAGACTTATGGATGGTTCAGATAACGCAGAGCGCCTGATGGATGAAAGGGGCATGGCTGTTGTGCAGTGAAACTGCTTTATATACCATGCTTAGAGTCTTAGACAATGAGACTGAGTAGTAAAAAAAAATATTTTGAGCACAGAGAGGCATTGTCCCGAAGACCTCATTCAATGTGCACGTTGCCAACTATCTGTTCGTTGCATTAGGATAAAGAAACTGAAACTTTGACCAACTATGTTCGTTCATACGCAGGTTTGCAGCAGCTTTAAAGGAAATAATTGTTGAACTGGACTAATCAAGATGACATCAATGTTTCTGCACTTTGCTCTTATTTCCTCATGAACTATTCACTAATGCACACAAGTATGTGTTGTTTTAGCCAAACAATAACCAAAGGCAAGCAATGCGGTAATGGAAGATGAACATGCTATCAACGCCATCACAACTTTAACTTATATAAGGAGGAGCAATTGAGAGATGTTGTCAACAGAAACACACAGCAGATTATTTATCCCTTTATTATATTCAGTCTTGTACTACAACAAAAGTTCCTATACCTTTAAACCACATTAACTCCAGCTTCTCAAAGTCAACTTGCAGCAAGAAGCTTTTGCAACTCACCATTCTCCACAGCATCTCCAAGATCTGAATCATGATAAACAGAGCCAAGGCTGTGAAATTTGCATCCACATTCTTTGGTTTAAGAGATTAGAAAAGAGAGTGAGATTAGAGATGGTACCATCTGATCCACCAATATGCTTGCCGTTTACAAATACTTGCGGGACCGTACGACGACCAACGAATTCCAGAAGCTCGTACTGGATTTGGTCTCCGTCCTCTGAGAAAGACAGAGAAATGCAATCTCCGTAAAAAGCTTCTCACAAAGTTAAAAGAGAAGAAAAGAAACAGTTGGTGAGTGAGTGATACCTCTGAGATCAAGCTCCACAACAAATGGCTCTTCCTTAAGTTCACTGAATATACGTTTTGAACGCAAGCAATACCTAGCAAATAAAAATCACGGCTTTTCCCGATTAATCCTAATCAAAGCACATATGTACTGCTTCATTTTCATTCAATCAATCGGCCTAAAGGGAACACAGTATCTAATCCCACAGTTCATCAGGATATGAACCAAAACTAAGGAATAAGAATCCCCAAATTACTAATTCAATAAAGAGGAGAGACTGAAATTACGGGCAGTAGGACTTGGAGAAGATGACGATCTTGTTTGATAAGATGGCGTTCTGCACGAACGCCGACACCGACTTCTCAGCGCCCGCAGAATTTGACTGATCGCTGAATATCAGAAACATCAAGAGCACGGGAACCGCTGCAACGGTAAGACGGCGAGGAGGACGCTGGCCAACCATCGCCGTTTCGATCACGGTCGTCGATTCGTTCTTATTATTTTTTGTTGGGTGATTTAATTTTGGTTTGGATTACAATTTCGCTTTTAGTAATCTAGGAAATGTTTATATTTTTGGTCAATCAGCTAATGTACAAAGTGTGCCTCTCAAGTCGCTAGACAACGCGCATTGCTCTCTCGCAAACACAAAACGGCACGGCTTTGTTTCTCACCATATGATAAGAAGGTGTTTTATGTTATCCTTATTAAACCCAGCGACGGAGAAGAAAGGATTTCAGCGCGCAATGGAAGCTCCGCCACGGATTCGAGAATCTGAAGATATCTTCGGCAATGAGAACCTTTCCGTGCGTCTCTGTTTCCTTCTATGTGTTCCAGACGTTATTTGATGATTTCATTTCGTGGCACAAGTATGTGTTATCCAAAACCCAATATGGTCGAAAATCACACTGCTATGACTGAATTCGGAATTTGATTTCCTTATGAAGCAATTGCAGAAGACGACGTTAACCCATTTTCTGATTTTGCTAGTCTTTACCGATTCATATCTTCTTCTAATGGGTCTCTTGATGGCTCGGAAACATATGACAGGGTGAAGTTGCATCGGAGAGTTCCAGTTCCAATGGCAAGAGGAAATTTGAAAGCGCGTACGGCCTCTTCTGTGTCTTGAGAAAGAGACGTTCTAGGCACAAGTCTGTGGATGATGATGATATGCTTCCGGATTTAGATTATGCAGACAGCGATGATTGCCTAAGCCCCGAAAGTGACTTGAGGTTTGAAGTTCCTAATTATCTAGAGGATGAGGATGTGATTTTAGTAGACACAGGGGAATTTGATGTTATATCAGAGAATGAAGTTGGGGAATTGAAATCTCTGTCTATATGCAACTTTCCTTGGCCCTGTGAAGATCTGGTTAGTAATCTATGCTCTGAGACTCAGAATTCCATCTTGTTGTTAGCTCCCGATGAAGTTAACGAGGTGAATGCTGTAAGGTCTAACGAAGATGAGGTGTTAGCAACTCAGAAATCCCAGTTTCTCATTCGCTCTGAGCATAGCAATCGCATATCTAGCTTCCATTCAGAATGGAGCAAAATCCAATGCAGTTCTGATATCTTCAAGAATGATGACGACGCAATGGATGAAGCAGGATATGGACATGTAGCCAACATGCCTCTGTCTATGCAGGAATTAAGCAGCAATGATGAGCCAACACCGATCAGCATTGTTCCTCCTGACGGTGTGTCAAGCTCAAGCATACAAACTTGTTCTCTTCCTAAGATTGTCAGCTGTGGAAATGAATACAACGTTTGTGATGACAAGGTTGGCCTTCCAATACCTTTAACAAAAACCCTTGAAGGAACTAGTAGGCCGTGGTCAGTGTGTAGCTCTCTTGCTGCAGTCAAAACCGTGTCTCTAATGGAAGATTGCTCAGGTGCTTGTAATCCCTTGGATGAACAATTATGTGTGACTGTTAGTAGCTCTGAGGACAAGGATGCAGAATCTGCTCAAACCCCATCAGTTCTATATCAGGATGTCGTTGATGGTGGCGAAGATGAGATTTGCTTTTCTGACATTGACGCAATGGTAAACCCTGGCTACTCTTTATCTAAGCGTCTCAAACCTTTGTCCTTAAATTTGTCTTTTTCTTTTTGTATATCTCTGACTTCACATGGAAAAAATATATGCTCCAGATTCGCAAATTGAATCTACTCCCAGATGATTCAGAATCATGTTTAAACAGGGAAGGTAACTCATCTAGCTTTTGATGTCCAATCATTTTGTATCTAAAGAGCAGTTTATGTCTCTCCCAAACTGTACTTGTCTTAATAAAGGTTCATTTTATGATTCCTAGAAAGGAACATGTCTCGGAACCCAGGACATAGATTGCTTGGATTGAAACACTGCACTACAACTTCCATTCGAAGAGCAATTAAGTCTCGAGGGGCAATTGCCGTTCTCCGTTCTCGTGATTCAAAGCATTTGATTAGAAAACACGAGGTATGTAAGAAGACATTTGTCATTATCTACTGTCATGGAGTTTCATTGTCGTATCAAGTCCTCTCAGTTACACGGTACAGGACCATTTATCTGTCGCAGGTAATAATTGGGAGATCGTCTGATGTGGACATTGACTTGGGTCAAAATGGTTATGGGAACAAGATATCTCGGCGTCAGGTGGTCCTCTTTCCCTTTCCCAAAGTTCAATTTAGTTCACTAATCAACTTCTTAATTAGCACCTTGCTAACTGTTTGCTTTCTCTATAATTTTCCATTTTCCAAGGCGTTGGTGAAGCTACAGAACAACGGATCATTCTTTTTAAAGAACCTTGGAAAGCGACCTATCCTTGTCAATGGGGACAAACTCGATACACAACAGACTGTAACCCTGACATCATGTAGCTCAATCGATGTAAGCACTAGCTTAATTATGCTTTGTACAAGCGCGTTTATGCAGTCTTTCTTCTGTAACTAAAACTCCTGAATTTTGCAGATTGGAGGAATAGTCTTTGCGTTCAAGAGTAACAAAGAAGCAGTGACACAATTCTTGAAGAAGAGCAAACGGAGAAACAGCGAGGAGCACGACACCAAATTCGGATGGTGCGAATAGTTTACCTTTTGCTCTACCACTCTATGCATATAGTCTGATATGAGTCACCCATGAGCATGATTTTAACACCTAACGCCAATGAGTGATCCCATCATATTTTGAACATTTTCTTCTACAGATCTTAAGTTAGTTAGAGCCAATGATTTGGAATTATTTGCTTGCAACAACTAGGCATTAACCAACCTATAAGGCTTTTTTTATTTTACATCTTCTTTGTCAACAACCAACTGACCAAGACTAATTTAAATTTTGACAATTTTTGGTCAAGTGAGTATGACGGAAAATGAAAAGAAACAAAATCATAAACCTCCTTACAAAAACTAGTCTAATTCTGTAAATCATGAATTGCCAAATTGGTAAATAATAATCCGAATCCTGCTTTGGAATCTTACCAGAATCTAAAACCTGTGAGTTATGGTGGATGTTGATAGGGCCAACCACACCTCACTGTACAGATGATGTCACACACACGCAGAGACATGATATAAAAATATGATTAGTTGGATGGATCTCTGTGTACATCTCTCTATACTAAATATAATTTCTTCCGTCTTTAAAGTTTGGGAACAAGGTTGAGTAGATCTATCATCTATCACAGGCCTTGCCTTGGCTCCTCTTATCCAACGGTCACTATTTCACTCCAAATTCCTCTCTTCTTCATCTCCTCCTCATGGCTTCTCTTCCTGTCCTTCTTCTTCTTCTTTTGCTCACTTTTTTTTCTTCAGCAGACTCCAAGACTTTCTGGGCTGACGTGGCAGCTCTTAGAGAGTTCAAGAACTCTGTCGATACCAAATCCATGAGTCCTGGCTCTTGTCTCTCTTCCTGGGATTTCTCCGTCGATCCCTGCGACACTTTGTTCAGCGACACTTTCACTTGTGGCTTCCGCTGCGACTCTCTCGTTTCCGGTTCGGGTCGGGTCACGGAGCTCGTTCTCGACCATCCCGGTTACTCCGGCTCCCTCTCCTCCGTCTCCTTCAACCTCCCTCATCTCCAGACCCTCGACCTCTCCGGCAACTACTTCTACGGTCTGCTTCCCGACTCGCTCTCCAACCTCACCCGCCTGACCCGTCTCGTCGTTTCCGGAAACTCCTTCTCAGGATCCATACCCGATTCTATCGGGTCAATGCCGGTTCTCGAGGAGCTTCATCTCGATAACAACCGCCTTGAAGGCTCCGTTCCGACGAGTTTTAACGGCCTCTCCAGCCTGAAACAGCTAGAAATCCAGCTCAACAATATCTCCGGCGAGTTCCCCGATCTGAGCAAGCTCAAGAACCTCTATTACCTCGACGCGAGCGATAACCGGATCTCGGGTCGGGTACCGTCATCGTTACCAGAATCAATAGTCCAAATCTCAATGCGAAACAACCTCATGGAAGGAACCATCCCACAAAGCTTCAAATATCTAAACTCACTTCAAGTGATCGATCTTAGCCACAACAAACTCAGCGGCTCAGTCCCATCATTCATCTTCACTCATCAAACTCTCCAACAGCTAACTCTCTCCTTCAATGGCTTCTCCTCTTTAGATTCACCTTACTATTCCCCCTTGGGTCTCCCAAGCGACCTTATCTCCCTGGATCTCAGCAACAACCAGATCCAAGGCGCATTGCCTCTCTTCATGGGTCTACTACCGAAGCTCTCGGCTTTGTCGTTAGAGAACAACAGGTTCTCTGGTATGATTCCCATCCAGTACGTCTGGAAAATCGTTTCCCCTGGATCGGATTTCGCCGGGTTTCAGAGACTCTTACTAGGCGGCAATTACATATTCGGGGTAGTCCCGGGTCCTTTGATGGCGCTTAAGCCTGGTTCAGCGAACGTGCAGCTCGCCGGAAACTGCTTCTCGTGGTGTCCGGCGACACTTTTCTTCTGCCAAGGCCAGGAGCAGAGATCTCCTACGGAATGCAGAAAGTTTAGCCGTGTAATTCCGTGATTATAACTTAGTTTAGTTACCAATAATCACCACTCCCACTCTTTTTTTTTGTGTCCCTGTCTTGTTTTTTGGTACTTTATCCGGTCGGATCTATGTACTTTAACCCGATAACTCGTCGGATAAAATGTGATTAAATAATGACAATGCCGTTGGGAAAGAAAGATAGACGATGATGAGATCATATTACTTATTTAAATGAGATTTTAATTATATCATGTAAAAATGGATTAGATTCATCATCTGTGTCTGTGTGTAATGGTGAGCACGCGCGAGCGACCATGCAGATACTTCCGGCCTTCACATGATGCTCGTAGGACCCAATTTCTCAGGATGGTGGCCCAATTGATGAATCTCTTGGCTAATGAATGTGTTACAGCACACGTCTGTGGATATTATTATTTGGACTCTCTATCTATATAACACAACAATCTAACAACCAAAGAGAATTCTCATCAATGTATTTTCTTTGGGCTTTACTTTTTGGCCTTGGAGTGGCCTGTATGACAAACTAAACTGAACGAAAAATGAGAAAGGAAAAGTGATTTTAGGTTGGATTCGCTAAGGCCCAGTTCATAATCGAAGAAAAAATGCATATATTAAAATACTATGGGGTGTTCCGAGAATCGAACTCGGGACCTCTCGCACCCGAAGCGAGAATCATACCACTAGACCAAACACCCAGTTTCAGTTGACGATTTGTTCCATTTTTATTGATCAATAAACTTGTCTTCCATGAACTTTTAAATCAGAGAAAATGACGCAAGCATTCGTGTTGGCTCTTAAAAAAGTCAACACTTTCAGTATATGACAATGTTCGCTTGTCGCATATATTCATAATTTTCACGTTCAGTACAGCGTTCTATAGACCAAACACCTAATTTTAATCGGTACTTTGTTACATTTTTATAGGCCAATAAGAATTGCCTCCCAAAAGGTTTAATCACAGAAAATGACACAAACATTCATATTGGTTCTTCAAAAGTAGATGACAACGTCTCTTGTCTCGTGTATTCTTAATTTTCACATTCAGTACAGTTTTTTTGTTACCTTATTTCGATTCATCAACTATAGCTCCTTTCGTATACAAGACCAACAAAAAATTGCTTTTTTTTTCCTTCTGTTTAAACCAAGTCGTAATAGTGATCGTTTAAAATATAGTAACAAAAGTTTGCAACGTGAAAGGTACTAGAAGTCTAGCACGGGCATGAGCAGAGTCAGTATGTGACCAAATTGAATGACTTTCCCGCTCCAACGCATTTGTGGGCCGCTCCAGTTTTTTTTTTTTTTTTTACTTTTGTTTTGGTTGTTTAATCTCAGAGTCAGAAGGCATAAAACTATAACAATTCGTTTAATGAAAATTTAAAAATCCCACCTTCATATTATAGAATCTTTGTGTGTGTTGAAGTTTCTTAACATTATTGGTACGGTCTATAGAAAGTGAGAGAGTGACTGAAACGTCCTAACTGGTTTGGAAGATTCAAAAAAGGCTAACAATTCTCGTGGGACGTAGCTCCTCTCTCTCTCTCTCCCTCTCCCTCTCTGTCACAGATACTCTAATTTTCTTCTTCTTATTAATTTGACATTTCAAAATTTTGAAAGAAAAAAAACATAAAGAACCCAATTAGAATATGCAGCTCTGCCGACTACACTCGAGGGTAGTTCCGTCATTTAATTTTGGTTAACCATATCGTTGAAAAATAAAGAGGGGTTTATGAGCCCGAGTAAGAATATACGTATTCTAAGCAGAAATTAGGCAAGCGTATATTTGATTTCTCTAATACTAATGTGGAAAACAAAATCGAGTTATTATGGAAACAATAGATTAGCCGTCGGAGAATTCTGATTGGTCTGCTCACGTCAAACGCATGAGACACAGCCAGACAGAGCACGGCACGTCAGCATAACACGTGGTCACTACCTCTTGAGCTGGCGACTCGGCTCCTTTGGGAAGTTGAATACAATCAAATTTCTTTCTTTACCTTTCCTCACAAGATTAATGTTTATTTCCTCAATATTGCATTTTTACTATTATTATTATAAATTAAAATCATCCTTCAGATTCTTTAAAAATCTGGAATAAAAATTGCCAATTCAATCTACACATAAAATTTAAAAGCGATGGCTCGTTGTGGGTTTTGTAATCATCACGCATTTTCCAAATTTGGGGAGATTTTTATTGCTATAAAAATCAACAGTTTTATACAGCATGCAGATTCTCTAATGTATACAAACTAGTAGAGGACCCGCGCAAACGCGCGGTATGAAGGTGCGGTTTTGTGAAGAAAATATAAACCTAAACTCGAGTCCGACCCAAAAACCCTAATCAAAATTTTAAAACCCAAACCTTTTTAATATGTCTAAACCCGAAAACCCAAAATCCAAAAAATCCCGAAAACCCTGAACCGAATAAAAACAAACTGAAACTTTTTCACCCGAAACCGACCCGACCTATAAAACCCTAATAAAAAAACTAAAATACCCAAACTTTTTTAATATGTCTAAAGTTGAAATCCAAAAAATCGAAAACCCTGAACTAAACCCAAAAAACTCGAACCCAAACCGAACACAAATTTAAAAAAAAACTCGAACAGAAATCCACAATTTGATTTAAATTAGACGTATTTCTATTTACTATTGGAAATTTTGCAAATATATTCGATCATATTCTATTGATTTGGTATTATCGATAGATTATGTTAATTTTTCTTTTTTTTTTTTAAGAGCTTGAAAACGGAAGTTTTCTAAACCATCGGTTTGTTTTAAGTTATTATTCTTGTATCCAAACAATTTTTTCCATTTATTCTTCTATCCAAATAGATTTTTCTCTTATTCTTATATCCAAACATTTTTTTTTCCATTTATTCTTCTATCAAATAGATTTTCTCTTATTCTTGTATCCAAACATTAGAATGTACTTCTCAATTAATAATATAAAGATGCATGCAAAATGCCAAAAAAAATGTTATACTTAATGGCTGAGAATTAATATTCTCTCCAGCTTGGATAATGCTAACATAAACATTCAATAGTGAGCTGCCGACGAAGATTTTTTTTTTGGTGAATACAAGGGGGCAAGCCCCCTTTTATTTTATTAGAAGAGGATCTGCTAGTCTTGCTACAACATTTGAATAAGGTAATTCGTAAAGAGATAAATAAATAAAAAGAAGGAATCTCCACAGATATTATTGTTTTTTTTTTCTTACATGAAGGAAGAATAATGTTCAAAAAATATATGGTTAAGTTTGAAGGATAATTGAGAGAGAATCATTTTCTCGTGGTGTGTTAGAAGGACAAAAGCTGGCCCGCCATTTGTCTTCGGTTTCTGCATCATCTCACTTCTCACTTTGCCTTTACTCTGAAGACATGCTTTTCTCCATTATTACTCTTTATGGTTATTTTCGTCATTTCCCTCCTTAATCGCATTTTAACTTATTTAATGGGGACATTTAACTTTAAATTTTATAAAGTTAACCAAAATCAAAACCAGTGAGCGGGAAGGATAATTTCCCAAGATGAGCGGCGATCAACGCGGTCAAGGACAAACAAGGAAAACCGTATTTTCTTCTTCTTTTCTTTTACCTAAAAAAGTGAGAAAAATAAATCACGAGTAAATGTATATATTTTTTCCCAACAAAGGAAAGAAATGAGATTTCAGAAAAATATGCCAGTCGGATAAAAGAGTCTGACTCAAAACAGTTCTCAAAGATTTTATTATCTCTATTACATGTTACATACGTTTTTTGAACAGTACGTTTTTTGTTTTATCTTCTGTTTTCATATTTATTAACGTAAATACAAGTTAAATTTATAAAAAGAATCTGCTAATACCAAAGATTTATAGATTTATTACCCGGTTGAGTAAATTTCATACTTAGCAAAATACTTTTTGGCAATGATAATATTTTTTATTTTATAAAAGAAAAGAAAGAGAGTAAAAAGCGTGAGAGAGATAAGAAAGGTAGGAGTTTTTAGTAGAGAAGGGAGAGGCTGAGATTACCAAATTGAATGCTGTACCAAACTCATAAAATCAACTCTTGACCCTCTTTTTTATTTTTATCTCTTTCTTCTTCTCACCACCGCTCCTTCCTCCTTCTCTCTTGTTGTTCTGCTTCCTTCTCTCTGTCTCAGGTATTTTGCCTAACTTGTGTCCGATTTTAGGGGGAATTCTTTTAGGGTTTCGTATACCTTTCTTGCTCTTTGGTTTTGCTTTGTTTGTTGGCTTTTCACTCTCGTGACTGACTCTGCTTGTGGGTCGTTTTCGGAATTGAGTTTTCCGGGCGTCAGTTTTTTTTGGGGTTCGTGATTTTTTTTTTCTTTCTCTCTCCCTCTCTTGGAATTGAGAAAAAAAAAATGAACGTTTCATTTACGTTTTCGTTTATAAAAAAACTGAATTTATTTGGTGGGTTTCACTATAAATATTTGATTTATTTTCTTTCTGGATGTTGTTTAGGTAATTTTAAGAAGAAATGGAACGTGTTGAAGCAGCGTTGAAGAGCAGTATCAGGAAAGAGATGGCTTTGAAAACCACTCCACCGGTTTACGAAGAGTTTCTCGCCGTCACCACCGCTCAGAATGGCTTTTCCGCTGACGATTTCTCCGTCGACGACCTGCTTGACCTGTCAAACGATGACGTTTTCGCCAACGAAGAGGCTGAACCAAAGGCTCAACAAGAGATGCTCTGTGTTTCCTCCGAGGAACCGAACGACGACGAGGACGCACTTCGCCGGAGCAACGTTTCTTCCGGCTGCGACGATTTTGGGTCTCTCCCTACAAGCGAACTCGACGTTCCGGTAATTTAATTTCCTTGAGCGAATATTTTCATTTTTTCCCTTTAATTGTCTCTGATTTTTGTTTTTTTTTAATATATTTTTGGTAAAGGCGGATGACTTGGCAAATCTTGAGTGGCTATCTCATTTCGTCGAGGATTCCTTCACGGAACATTCGGCTCCAAATCTCACCGGAACCCCGATAGAGAAACCGGTGTGGTTAACCGGTGACCGGAAACACCCCGTGACTCCAGCCACGGAAGAGTCGTGTTTCAAATCCCATGTTCCTGCTAAGGCCCGTAGCAAGCGGAACCGAAACGGAGTCAAGGTCTGGTCGCTTGGTTCGTCATCCTCGTCGTCCTCGAGTTCGACCTCTTCCTCCTCCTCTTCGGGTCCTTCCAGCCCGTGGTTCTCCGGCGCTGAGCTGCTCGAGCCAGTGGCCACGTCGGTGAAACCGCCTGCTCCCAAAAAGCATAGGAAAAGGTTGGCAGAGTCCGTTTTCAGCTGTCAGCTTCTGCAGCAGCAGCAGCAACAGCCACCTCGACGGTGCAGCCACTGTGGCGTCCAGAAAACACCACAATGGAGAGCCGGACCGATGGGAGCCAAGACGCTCTGCAATGCGTGCGGTGTCCGTTTTAAATCGGGTCGGTTACTACCCGAGTACAGACCCGCTTGTAGCCCGACATTCTCAAGCGAGCTACATTCCAACCACCACCGGAAAGTCATAGAGATGCGGCGGAAGAAAGAGCCGACGGGTGAAAACGAAACCGGTTTAAACCAGCTCGTTCAGTCACCAAAAGCTGTACCAAGTTTTTGAAGTCATAGGGCCTTAAAAATTAGAGCAGAGATTTAGGATCCGACCCGGTTCAGTCAATTTTAGCCCCAAGTTAGTTTCTCATTGACTTTTTTTTTGTATATTACTCTCCTCATCTCTTTTAGCATTTACTTTTTTGTTACCGCAATTTTATTTTTCATGCTAGGAGTACCGGTAAGTTCTTAGTAACTGATTAGGTCAAAAACTCATATTGTTGTATTGTACTCGTTCGCGTTAGTGTTTCAGTTTAAATGTTCCCGTTTCAGTGTTCTGCGTTATAGCATAAAGTTTTTATCTACATATGTGTTTGGTGCGTTACATTTTCGAATATCGCAAAGTTAATTTGAAACCGTTCGGATTGGTGTACAAGTACAACGACTTCTAATTTTAAGACAACTCTGCAAACCGTTGCATTAATGAATGGTCCAAACCAAAAGCGACACCATTATGCAGTGTATCGTGGACACGCGACACGTGGCGTTCTCTCTTTTTTGTTTCCTGTCTACATATTTTGAGCTGAATCCTATAATAACTTGGAGATTTTCTCTTCACTTCCAAGTTCCAAACCATGTTTTCTCTTTCGTTATATATATTTATGCAGTCTTTGTTTTAAAACGTATATCCTTATGTCTATAAGAATGGGGAAATCATCGTTAAATTCATCATTTAATTTAGTTTTGATTATTGACTAACTCAATATGATATCACCTTCTTCAGTTCATATGTTAGTAAATTAGTAATCGTCATTTTTTGTTAAAACATGAGGAGGCATGGTTTGACGCCCAAAATGGTTGACTACAACTTAACTTTGACTCGGTAACATCAATTTCAAAATGATTTTACAGTTTTTCACGAATTTTAATAGATAAGTCAAAATAAGCTAATTCTTTCAGTCAGACTGATTTGTTTGGAAATGCAAGTCAAATATTTTTGAGACGATGTAAATTTTAATTTAGATGAGATTTGTTTTTTCCTACATACATATACGGTTAAACCCACTTTGGTATTTGCATTTCAAATCACTCATAAACTACATTTCCAAAGAGCCAAAATCCAGAAGATAATTTTTCATCGTATTGCAACATTAATATTTTGCTTACCGAAAGGAAAAGAATAAAATGGAAGACTTGGGAGTCACGTGATTGGCATAGCCTACCCGCTCCGTCCAACCACTTTCCGTTACCCCAAAATCTCTTCCTTTTTTGTTTGTTAACCGAATAAACGTGGATATCTCAAGCAGATGTCTAGACAAATCCAAATTTGGTGATCATCCAAACAGATGTCTCTCCTTTTTCTAATTTGTTGCCACTAAAAACGTTTTTGGTGATCATCCATGATTGAAACCACAGTAGGAGAATTCGAATTCTGACTTAAACCCCATAATAAATTTAACATTTTTCATAATAACCATTTCGTTTGAATAAGATGGTTAGATTTCTTGATTTTTGTTTTGGTATTTTATATCTATCATTGTGGTCCAAATTGTCACTATTGATATCTCAAAAGACAACAAAGCTAATATAGGCTCGTACCATTTTCACTTAAGTCATGTATTTTCCCGTTATTTTAAGTTTAAATTTTAAATATTGTCTTTATATAGTGGATAAGAAAAAAAAACCCATTAGGTTCATGGAAATGAGTGCCCACATTAAGAGCAAGTCCAGTGGTGGTATCAGCCATCGTCTTTATGTATTAAAAAAATAAAAACAAATCAAAAAGGAGGAAAGAGAATATGAAAAAGTGTGATACATATCAGAAGAAATGAGAGACTATACTAATAGGTGGCACAATATACTTGGTTGGCATCTTTTTTTTATTTTAAGTTTAATTGTTATTTAAAATTATATTAATTTAATAAATGTGAGAGACTCTAAATAGAGTATCACCGATGGACATACCCTAAAACTTCGGAAGCTAAGTGAGGTCTAAGGGCATCTCCATCGCTAAAACCACAATTTGTGGATTTAAGCATTTTTTAAATATATATTTCAATCAAAGAGTGTTAACAAACTTTGTGTGCTATTTTAAGTTTTAGTTCGTCCATCCGTAAAACCCTCCATTGGGTTGTTAAGTAGTAAAAATAAATATTTCAAAAGTTATTTTTATCGAACCTTTAATCTATTATATGGCCATGTGGTGGGTTCTATAATATAGAACTGGTTATTAGGTAAGAGTAAGACCCAAGTCTTCATAAAATTTTGCTTCCTTCTTTGTTTTAATAATTTTTAATGTAAAACCCCTCTTTAAAACTGCTTAAATCCACGGATGGAGGTGGTCTGTTTAATACATGTGCTGGAGCAACATTCTTATCGTCACATTATCTACCTTCGTTCATTTTACGCTTCCTCTCGTAGAATTACCACTTAACCCATATTGATATTGGCATTCGACTATAAGATTACTTTCACAATGTCATATTGTCATTGCAATGGCTATTTTACGTCGTTCCAACAATTACCTTTGACGAGACTGAAAATGTGAAGGATGATTACATATTCAGATATTCTGTTTGAGTTTTGATATACGGAGAAAAATGGAGTAGAGACAAGCGAGTGTACCGAACTCGCCTAACTTGTTGACTTTAGAATGTTCGTTCGTAGAAAGTTCAACTCCACGTGTTCGGCTTCTTCCTTCCCAATCCCAACGGTTACTTTCTACCTCTGATACCTCGTATGGGCTTAGCACAAACCCATTAACGAAACAACCGGTAATGTCGAGAGTGGGTTTTATGGGTCAAACTTTTCTAAAGCTATAAACTAGCGTTGCTCTCGCTAAGTCGCTATGTTGCCAATGCTTGCTGTGTGGTAAAAGAAAAAAAGTTGCCAATGCTTGCCGGGACTTGAACCGAGTCTCTAGCGTGAGAGCCGAATATCCTTAGCAACTACTACAACCGATGTGTTCATCTCAACTAGATGTTTAAAACTCATGTCTTCTTCCCTCACAAGCTACGTTTTCTCTACTTTTGTTATTGAGGCCTAACACTTGGGCCGGTATTCTTACGTATGGGCTTTTATACCGTGGAGAAAAAGTTAAAAAGAAGCAGAAGCGTTGACTAGTCCGCATCATCATGTGACATCTCATAATTGAGTCTGTTTTGGATTTGTCCACATCCACATCATGTGCATGGCCCTCTAAATTTATTAGATGTCTATATCTCCCAAAATCTACTTTGACATTAAACTTGTAGTGTACCTTCACGGAATTATAGAACGATATTAAAAATTATAGCCTATGATTAAATAAATAAATCATTATATTGATTGTTTCCTCTATAAAACGACGATACCAAAATGTCAAAAACACAAGTCTCTTCAATACTTTTCAACTACCGACCACGCTGGTAGTATAGTATTCATTTATGCATGAACCAACATGTGCACCCAATTAATTCGAACGTATTTAAAATTTATAACTTTGTTGATTTTTCACGAATTTTTTTACTTTCTCCGTTTCATAATGTATGATATTTTAGATTTTTTGCTTGTTTCACAATGTATGATGTTTTAGAATGTTTAATGTACTTTTGGTCAATTAATGCTAGCAAACTGTAAATTTCAAGAACTAATTATTACAAGTAGTTGAATTCTTAAACTTCTATTGGTTAAAATTTATTAAAAAGTGATTTGTGTAAGAAAACTTTGTATTAATTGTTAAACAATAAATGTTTTTTAAATTGTGTAAAAACTCTAAAACATCATAATTGTGAAACAGAGGGAGTATCTGTTTGAATCCAAGAAGTGTTGGAACTACGCATGCAAAAAGTAAAATGAAAAAAATGAAGAAGCGAGTAGTGTGACTAGCTCTGATCTTTATTATGCTTCTCAATTTGTTCCCCCATATAAATCTCAACCCTCTAGTTTAAGAAAACATACATGAAACATTACAATGCGTATATGATATATGAGTATGACTACGAGTATCAAAACCCTTAGGGTGTAGGTAAGAAAAAAGCACTGCACATGCATTGCTTCAGCGATATACATTATTTAAAGGCACTAAATTGGACAGCGGTTTTGCAACACCCATGTGCTGTGTTTTTGTTTTTCGTTTTTCGTTTTGTGATAAAAAAAGTTATTAATAACGATCTAAAACTCCTTTTAACGATGCAGGATACTTAACGTCCGACGTTATGAGATGGAAAGTAATTAATGTTAGTTGGTGCGAAGCATTGCTTGCAAAATTAGCATTTACAATTTAATTGCGACTGTGACCTGCCACTAAGATCGATATAGGTGATTAGGCTCAGTGTCACTCATTACTTCATTAGTCATTACCAGAAAACAACAAACTTATTCGATTATTTAGTTAATGCGAATTATAGGGGTAAAAAGGTAACTTAAGCTGTAATTTCTGCTTTCTTTCTTTAGCGCGGGTAGTAGTATTTTAATTTCTAACAATAATAATAGGAAAATTATGCCAAATTGCAAAAAATCACCAACGATGATGCAGAAAAGAAAAAGCCATTAACGATTACAGCTTTGCAGAGAGAGAGAGAGAGAGAGAGAGAGAGAGAGGGAGAGAGAAAGGGCGAAGAAGAGGGAGAGAGTCTCGGAGAATTCGTCGATTCTCTGGATCTCCTCTTTCAGATTCTTCTCCGTCCTTCGTTGATGCGTTTCGTCGTTTCTGTAAAATTCCCGTATCGTCTTCTCGGGGTTTATAGTCCGGAGCTACCCGCGGCGTATGAGGTAAAAAATTCATTGAATGTGGCTAGTTTACGCTTCCGGTTTAAGGTGTAGTCTTCGATCTCGAATGTCCATTGTTTGTTAGTGTACGAGTCAGTGATTAATTTGAGTTTATTTTGGATTTTTCGTTGTTGTTTTGGAGGCATGCGTTACTAATTGGTGAAAATAATAATTCGGGGTGCTCTCGCGCTGCAGAATGCACATGGAGTTTCCAAAAATTGGATGAGCCAGGTCGAACATTCTGCAGGATCGGCTGTTTGATCTTAAGAGCTAAGGTAATCTGATCTCATTCACAATTTAAAAATATATATAGTCTAAAGTTGAGGCTTTGACAGACTGCTAAAAGGGGACCATTTGTAGATAACTCCAAAACCATATGAATCTTGTGTTTTTGTCTCTGTCTCGAGCCTGAGGAGTCACGAATCTTGGTTTTCTGATTTTCCTTTGCATTCTCTGTAACATAGTTTATTATTAAAGTTGGTAGAGACATGTTCTTTTGTGATGGAATTTGACCAGAGGATGATTGGACTTTGGAGCTGCAATGATTGAGTTATTAAAGCAATAATTTGAGTTTGTCTCTCATAAATCATAAGACAGACTTTGCCTCTATATATACATGTATAAAGTTGTCATTGTTTTTCTTTTTCCGGGGGTAGGGATAGTAGAAGATGACTACGGAAGAGGATCAGATGCAAGGACCAAGCGGCAGTGAAGAAAAGATTTATGTGTCTGTTCGTCTGCGACCTTTAAATGACAAGGAAAGCTTAAGGAATGCTGTGCCGGATTGGGAATGCATCAACGATGCTACAATCATTTACAGGAGCCATCTTTCTATCTCTGAGCGTTCCATGTATCCTTCTGCTTACTCATTTGGTAAGATAAAATTTGGTCCTATGTTCATCAGACCGCATCCTTCTTCCTATCTTACTGAGCCTTTTTCTCTGCCTCTAGACAGAGTGTTTGGCCCTGAGTGTTGTACGAGGCAAGTGTATGACCAAGGCGCAAAGGAAGTGGCTTTCTCAGTTGTCAGTGGCGTTAACGGTACGCCATCCTTCCTTGTGCGTTTCACACTTTCTCTTCTCTACTCTCTCTCTCCGCGTCTTGGATATATCTTGACATGCGTCTTTTCTTTCAGCTAGTGTCTTTGCATACGGGCAAACAAGCAGTGGAAAGACGTACACTATGACTGGAATTACTGACTGCGCCTTGGTTGATATTTATGACTACATTGACAAGGTAAAGAAAAGAATACATTTTTCCTGATATCTTACCACTTTACTTTCCAGCCATTCCATATTTGTTGCTTTATCTGATTTCTGCAGCACAAGGAAAGAGAATTCATTCTAAAATTCTCTGCCATGGAGATCTATAATGAGTCTGTAAGGGATCTCTTAAGTACAGATAGTAGCCCGCTCAGACTTCTAGATGATCCTGAGGTAAATATAATATTTTATTTATATTTTATACAGCTTATTTTTTTGGCAATCTGTCATGCTGGACATTTTCTTTCTCACAGAAAGGGACAGTTGTTGAGAAACTCACAGAGGAAACTCTGCGAGACTGGAATCATTTCAAGGACCTCCTATCTGTCTGCGTAGGTAAAGAAAATCATAAACTTTTTTAAGAGGTATGGTTTTGGCAACAATCTTACATAACATCTAATCATTTGCAGCTCAACGGCAAATTGGAGAGACAGCTCTAAATGAAGTTAGCTCCCGGTCTCATCAGATTTTGAGATTGGTAAGGCATCTTGTTGATCTATAGTTAGGGTTCAACACTGCATTTTTATGACCTTTTTGTGAACAAATATCTTAGTACTACTGTCTTCTTTCAGACAGTTGAAAGCACAGCTCGTGATTTTTTCACCAATGATAAATTTAGTACACTAACAGCAACAGTGGTACGTTTCCTTTCAACTTTTTGTCATATATTCTGCTAAATAAATAGTTGAAGAGGACCCATAGAGTAACTACTTGTCCTGCAGAACTTCATTGATCTTGCTGGAAGTGAACGTGCATCTCAATCATTATCAGCCGGCACAAGGTTAAAAGAAGGTTGTCATATAAACCGAAGTTTATTAACGCTCGGAACTGTGATCCGTAAGCTAAGGTTAGCTCGTGAAAGCTTATCTTCCTCAAAGTTTTCTGTTTTGTTAGATTGATATTTGTTCTTTGAACAGCGATTAGCTGTACTTGAAAGTCAAGATCTTCGTCTCAAACACAGAGCTTACACTATTATCACCTTTTTCCCTTTATCAGTTTATATTAACAAGATCCTTTTTTTTTTAATCACTAATTTGTGGCTAACTTCATGCAGTAAAGGGAAAACTGGGCACATTCCATTCAGAGATTCAAAACTTACACGCATACTACAGTCTTCCTTGGGAGGAAATGCTAGAACTGCCATAATCTGTACGATGAGTCCTGCAAGAATCCATGTTGAGCAATCAAGAAACACACTGTTGTTTGCGAGCTGCGCAAAGGAGGTGACAACAAATGCACAAGTCAATGTTGTCATGTCTGATAAAGCTTTAGTAAAACACTTACAAAGGGAGTTGGCTAAACTGGAAAGTGAGTTGAGAAGTCCTAGTCAGCCTTCGGTTGCTTCTGATACAACTGCATTATTGACGGAGAAAGACCTCGAGAATGAAAAGGTAATGCGGTTTTACAATATCACGAATTACACTCATCTTCTATGTTACTGCAGCTTCATTAATACTTTTTATCTGCGTTTATTAGTTTCTATTGTTCACAGTCCAATCACCCTGTAGTTTTCTGGAGATTTGAGTTATGATCTGTCCCATTTCTTGCAGCTAAAGAAAGAGGTAGTCCAACTAGCACAAGAGCTAGAGCAAGCTCGTTTCGAGATTGAGGATCTTCGACGAATGGTTGAAGAAGAAAAACAGCGAGAAAAAGAGAGACTATCAACAGAAAGAGCAGAGTTGAATGTTTGTGATTTCCATATGTTAATTTTACAGAAAGCGATGATGTCCATTTACTAATTCGTTGTTTTTACCTTGGTCCAGGCGCTGCTGGAACATCAGTACCCCAAGCTGCGGGTGCGCAGTACATGGGAATCTGAGAATACAACACCATTAAGCCCAATATCAGCTCACCGTTCTAGTCTGTCTCCACGATCAACTGAATACAGTTACGAAGAGAATGTCTTGCAGCTTTCAGATTTCAGGATAGATTCTGGGTCAAGCAGTCCATTTCAACAGCTTGCCTTTGTAACTCGATCCCCTAAGGTTCCACCTAGTATTCACGGGACAGAAACTAAAGACCAATCTCAAGTTCACATAGAGGAAATTGTAGACGAACCTCATGTTCAGGAGGAAAGGCTTAATGAAATGGCTGACCAGACTGATGGAAATTCGGAGGATAACTGCAGGGAAGTTCGTTGCATAGAAACAAACAAGTCAGATGTCAATATACATCCAGAGGAAAATATCACGAAGAGCAGTCCAGACAGATACTCAGATGTCACTATACATCCAGAGAAGAATATCTCGGAGAGCAGTCCACACAGATACTCAGATGTCAATATACATCCAGAGGAAAATATGTCGGAGAGTAGTCCAGACAGATACTCAGATGTCACTATACATCCAGAGAAGAATATGTCGGAGAGCAATCCAGACAAATACTCAGATGTCACTATACATCCACAGGAAAATATGTTGGAGATCAGTCCAGACAGATACTCAGATGTCACTATACATCCAGAGAAGAATATGTCGGAGAGCAGTCCAGACAGATACGACGCTATGAAGGCAGAAGAACCAGAAGAACCCATAGTAGCTGAAGAGGAAGAAAGAGAAGAGGAAGAAGAATCTGAAGAAGAAGAAGAAGCCGAAGAAGAAGAAGAAGAAGAAGAAGAAGAAGAAGAAGAAGAAGAAGAAGAAGAAGTTGAAGAGGAAGAAGAAGAAGAAAGAGTAAAGGAAGTCAATGGCGCCTCTTCTCAACCAAAACAAGAAAGCGAACTCATTGAAGCCCTTCCATTCTGCGGTCTCAAATCTTCTCCAGATGAGTATGATACAAACATGTCTAACCCTGCAATAAACCCGATGCCTTCAGTACTTATCAATCCCTCTCCTGAAAAGCCTTTTGCTTGGCATACCCAGAGAGATTCACGACCGTTCAGAGGCATGAAACTGACTAGAAGTCTAAGCTGCAGAGCAAGTATGTTATCGAGCTCTTCCCCCACTTGGTTTGAGAAAGATGCTGATACACCGCCAAGCCGGTACGACAAAGAATTTGTCAAAGAAGCTGAGAGAAACCTGGCAATGTGCGACATGAAGAATGAGAGGTTGTTGCAGGATGAGTTTAGCGGGAGGAGCATGCCAACAACTTGGCTCGATAGAAGCGTGAGTGACACTCAAACGGTGCATGCTGCTTCACATGGTGTCAGAATTGATATGTCATCACCAAACAAATCACCGTCCCGCCCCTCTGATGTTTCTGTGTTTGAGATTCAGACAAGTGGTAGAGCTTCAACAAGCGAGGACAAAACAGAGGAGACTGCTGCTCAAAAAGACAAGCGGATCATTCATCGCTCGGTTAGTTTTACTTATTTGTTGCTTCACCCAGAAATTATGACATGATTTTTCGTTTTGAATCACTTCAGTCAGTCCCGTGTCATTAAACAGATACTAGAAATAGAACACAAGTTCTTGGCCATGAGTTCGACAAAGAGTTTCAAAGACGCTGCATTGGACCCAATACAAGACTACTTGGGCACGCCTTTGAATTGGCCGTTGGAGTTCAAGCGGCTACAGAGGGAGATAATAGAGCTGTGGCACACGTGTAACGTCTCCATGGCCCACAGAAGCTACTTCTTCCTTCTCTTCAGAGGAGATCAGAAAGATTGCTTGTACTTGGAGGTTGAGCTTCGTAGGCTTAAGTACATCAGCAAATCTTTTTCCCAAAATAGCAAATCCAGCGACGATGGACACAATCTGAGCCTAATGTCTAGGTGAGAAAAAATTCAACAGATTAGTTGTTGGTTTAGTGTACTTAGTAATCTATATGGTTGTTTAATATTATCTCTCTCTCTATATATATATATATGTGTATGGGAAACAAAAAGCAGCACGAGGGCGTTGACGAGGGAGAGGTTTAAGCTGAGCAAGCTGATGCAGAGGAAACTATCGAAAGAAGAGAGAGAGAACTTGTTCTTGAGATGGGGCGTTGGGCTCAACACAAGGCACAGGCGGGTCCAGCTGGCGAACAGACTCTGGTCGGATTGCAAAGACATGAGTCATGTCCGAGAGAGCGCTTCCCTCGTTGGTAAGCTCAATGGATTCGTGGACATGAACTTGACTTCCACGGACATGTTTGGCATCAACTTTGCTTTCAGGCCCCCTCGTCCCAAGAAATCTAGTATTTGGAAACGCAGCGTTTTGTCCCTCTCCTTTTTGTAACTAAAAAAAATTATTTTCTTTGATTCTTTTGCTTTCAAGACGTTGAAGGTTAGTGTGGTTTCCGTCATTTAGCGCTTCCACGATTAGTCACCCAATCCGTTGCTTTATGATGTAGCGACATCTATCTTCTCCATCATTTCCATTTCTTTATTAGGCTTTTCTATTATGTTTCTTTGGGCTTTGGTTTTGCTTTGGTGTTTTAGTCGGCTAGAGATTAATTGATCTCCAAGTTAGTCGAGGGTTTTCTTTTCTATAAGTACTTTGCTTTATTCTTTGTATCATTCAGTTTTTGGAATTATAATAAAGAGAATATTTTTTCAAAGCTTTTGTTCGAACTCATCGTTCTCTCAAGGCTCGACAATTAAGCTTAGGGTTTGTGAACTCTAGTTTCTTGTCTTTTACGCTTCTAGCTGCTGCAACAGTTGGTATCAGAGACAGCAACGTTCCCATGGCGCCGAAAAAGACTCCTCAACAACAACGTGCTGAGCACATCCATGATCTCCGCGAGGTCATGTCCGAATTTCAAGAAGAGCTCCGTCAATCCCTGACCAGTTCTCTTGAAACTGCTCTTCGAGCAGCGATCGGAGCTCAACCACGACCGGTACGTCGTAACGCTCCGGCGGTTGATGAAGATTCTGAAGACGAAGATGGAAACCCGTTTGCCGTGGATGCTCAACGACGTCAGCAACAACAAGATGCGTTTGGTGATGCCCCTCGAGGGGACAATCATCGTTGGGAGTCAGGTTTTCGACTTGATCTTCCTGAATTTTCTGGGGGTTTACAAGCGGATGAATTTCTCGACTGGGTAAACACTACCAAGGAGCTTTTGACTTTTAAGAGTGTTCCCGATGACATGCGTGTCTCACTAGTTGCGACGCGTTTCAAGGGCAGAGCTTCAGCTTGGTGGCAACAACTCAAGGTCCAACGTGCTAATTCAGGGAAGAATCGCATTAACTCATGGGAAAAACTCAAGAAGCACATGCGACGAACTTTCCTTCCATACAACTATGAACGTACGATCTACACTCAGTTTCAGAATCTCCGCCAAGGTATCAAGAGTGTGGATGACTACGCCTCTGAATTTTTTTCACTTTTGGCGCGCAACAACTTGAATGAAACAGCGTACCAATCGGTTTCACGATTCATTGGAGGTCTGAAGCAGCAAATTCAGAACCAGCTTCTGCAATTTAATCCCACCTCTGTCTCCGAAGCTCATCAACGGGCTGTGCTTATCGAGCAGAATTTGCGAGGCCCCTCCTCCACTTGGGGCTCTTCTTCTTCCCGCCTACGCATGCCTGCCTCGACTGATTTCCCAAGCTCTTCTCGACCAGATCAGACTCCTTTACCTCCCTCAACTGACAGTGTTAATCCCAGCACTACTCAACGACCTATTCGCTCTATGACATTCAAATGTTTTAATTGTGGTGAAACAGGACATCGACAAGCTTCATGCCCCAAACGCATACTCTTTGGTGCCGATGAGGTTGTCTATGATGAAGAGATTGTCTCCGAACCACAAACCGAAACTGAAGAACGCGTGTCTGGAGATACTGGTACGGTCTTGGTTCTCCGACGTAGCTGCCTTATGCCACAAGCTATCGAAGAATCATGGTTACGCACAAATCTTTTCCGCACTACTTGTACGATTCGGGGAAAAGTTTGTCGTCTCCTCGTGGATTCAGGTAGCTGCACCAACATCATCTCCGAAGAAGCTGCTCACAAATTGGCTCTCTTCACTGAACCTCACCCTCGACCGTATCCTCTCGCATGGTTAAATGCAACAACGGAGCTGCGTGTGTCTCGACGATGTCACGTACCTTTCTCCATCGGACATAAGTACAAGGATTTGGTTTATTGTGATGTCATTCCCATGGACGCGGGCCACATTCTCTTAGGGCGACCTTGGCAATATGATCGACGAACGATTCATGATGGGTTTGCTAACACTTATACGTTCAGTTTTGAAGATAAGCGCATCACTCTTCTTCCTTCACAAGAGTCATCCGCTCCAACCACAGAACCACAGATAACCGTTCAGCCTGAGAGCAAGCCTCCTCCGCACTCTGTTCTGCTAGTTAATCGAGTTGACTTCCTTGGCGAGCTTGAAGAATCTCAGACTGGTTTGGCCCTTATTCTCAAACCAACGACTCCGGCGTCCTCACTTGCGATCCCTCCAGCATTTCAGGACATTGTTACCGAGTTTCAAGACGTCTTTCCTACGGAGCTTCCTCCTGGACTCCCTCCCCTCCGAGACATCCAGCATTGTATTGATCTAGCTACTAATGCGACACTTCCAAACAGACCGCATTACCGTATGTCGCCACAAGAACACGATGAGTTACGCCGACAAGTAGAGGAACTTTTATCTAAAGGTTACTTGCGTGAAAGCCTTAGTCCTTGTGCAGTCCCGGCGCTCCTCATTCCCAAGAAAGATGGCTCGTGGCGTATGTGTGTTGATAGTCGAGCTATCAACAAGATTACCGTGAGATATCGCTTTCCCATCCCACGACTAGATGACCTCCTTGATCAAATTGGATCAGCCACAATTTTTACTAAATTAGATCTCAAGAGTGGCTACCATCAAATCCGTATCCGCCCGGGAGATGAATGGAAAACGACTTTCAAGACTCGTGAAGGTTTGTTTGAATGGCTTGTTATGCCCTTTGGCTTGTCTAATGCACCGAGTACTTTTATGCGTGTGATGAATCAAGCTCTTCGCCCTTTTATTGGACGTTTTGTGGTCGTGTATTTTGACGACATACTCATCTTCAGCTCCTCTATGTCTGATCACCTTCAACATCTTCGTGATGTTTTACTTGTCTTGCGACGTGATAAACTTTTTGGTGCAATACAGAAGTGTGCTTTTGGAGAATCACAGGTTTTGTTCTTGGGTTACATTGTTTCCCAACACGGTCTTTCTGTTGATCCGGCTAAAGTGGAAGCCATTCGTTCTTGGCCAACTCCACGTACGGTGACTGAAGTACGGAGCTTTCACGGCCTTGCATCATTTTACCGCCGCTTCATTCATCATTTTAGCAGCATCATGGCACCTCTCACCGATTGTATTAAGACCTCTCACTTCACGTGGACTCCGGCAGCTGAAGAAGCCTTTCAAACCATCAAGACTAAGCTCACAACGGCTCCCATTTTGATTCTTCCGAGTTTCACCACTGCTTTTGAGTTACATTGCGACGCATCAAAATCTGGCATTGGAGCTGTCCTGAGCCAAGAAGGTAAACCCGTGGCCTTTTTTAGCGAGAAAGTGGCAGGCTCGCGGCTTCGTTATAGTACGTATGATGTGGAGTTATATGCGGTGGTTCAAGCTGTCAAACATTGGAGGCATTATTTGTTTCATCGTGAGTTTGTGCTCTATACTGATCATGATGCACTTAAGCACATGGACTCTCAAGATAAGATCTCTTCTCGACATGCATCTTGGTTTGCTTATTTGCAGCAATTTACCTTTGTTATCAAACACAAGGCGGGTGTTCTTAATAGAGTTGCCGATGCGTTAAGCCGTCGTCACACTCTCCTCACAACGATGCATACCTCGACCGTGGGTTTTTCAGTCTTACCAGACCTCTACCCTACAGATTCTTTTTTTGGTAAGATTTGGAGAGATGTTCAAAGTGGCCAAGAAGATCGTTATCTTATTGTGGATGGATTTTTGTTCCGAGGAGTTCAGCTATGCATTCCCGAGTGTAGTTTGCGGTTACAAGTGATTCACGAGCTCCATAATGAAGGTCATATAGGCCGGGACAGAACGTTACAATTAGTAACAGCCTCGTTCTTTTGGCCCTCGCTTCGACGTGATGTGGAAAGATTTATTGTTCGCTGTGGAATCTGTCAAGCTTCTAAAGGTCATGCCTCCAACGCTGGTTTGTATTTACCTCTACCAATCCCTTCTCAACCTTGGACAGACATTAGTATGGACTTTGTCTTGGGTCTTCCGAGAACTCAACGTGGCCACGATTCCATCTTTGTGGTGGTTGATAGATTCTCTAAGATGGTCCATTTTATCCCATGCAGAAAGACAACAGATGCAGTTCAAGTCGCTATGTTATTCTTTCGAGAGATTTACAAGCTTCACGGCCTCCCTCTCTCGATTGTTTCGGACCGTGACTCCCGCTTTTTGAGCCACTTCTGGCGTTCATTATGGCGTTTGTTGCGTACTAGCTTGGACATGAGCTCCGCCTATCACCCCCAAACGGAAGTGACCAATCGGGCTCTTGGTGATCTCTTGCGTTGTTTGGTAGGAGATAACATCCGCTCTTGGGATTCTGTTTTGTGTCAAGCCGAATTTGCTCATAACCATGCTGTCAATCGTAGCACTGGGTTTAGTCCATTTCGTGTGATCTATGGTTATGTTCCTTGTGGTCCTATCGACTTGAACATTGCTCCGGATAGAACTCGTTCTCACGCTCGTGCTTGTGACTTGATCGATGATTTTGCTGCTGTGCATAAACAGGTTCAAACTAATATTGAGGCTTCTACCGCCAAGTACAAAGCTGCAGTTGATGTTCGCCGTCGTGATTTACAGTTCCAGGTCGGTGACAAAGTATGGGCCGTCCTCACTAAGGACCGTTTCCCGCCTAATACTTACAACAAGTTGAAAGCAAGAAAGATTGGTCCTCTTGAAGTCCTTCAGAAGATTAACAACAATGCCTATCGCCTGCGTATTCCTCCTCACATGAACACCGCTGACGTTTTCAATGTGAAGCATTTGGTCCCTTATGTTGCTGCCGACGATGATGAAAATTCGGGGTCGAATTTTCTTTTACCCGGGGCGACCTGATGTAGCGACATCTATCTTCTCCATCATTTCCATTTCTTTATTAGGCTTTTCTATTATGTTTCTTTGGGCTTTGGTTTTGCTTTGGTGTTTTAGTCGGCTAGAGATTAATTGATCTCCAAGTTAGTCGAGGGTTTTCTTTTCTATAAGTACTTTGCTTTATTCTTTGTATCATTCAGTTTTTGGAATTATAATAAAGAGAATATTTTCTCAAAGCTCTTGTTCGAACTCATCGTTCTCTCAAGGCTCGACAATTAAGCTTCTAGCTGCTGCAACACTTTACCAATCTTCGTGTCTCCTACATCTCACCACGTTGTCGTTTTTATGACGTTAGGTCTATTATGGAAATGGTAAATATGATTGATGATGTTTATACGTTTGTTTCGGTTTATTTTCTGATTTTCATCAAAGATAAAGTCACTCAAGAAAGGACGAAAAGCTTGGTGTCTTGTACAACATCAATCCTATAGGAAAAAAGAAACAGAGTCCCCTAGGAAAGAAACAATTGACGATGAATCGTAATCATAGATAGATGTTAAGCCGGGCCATTTCCTAATTAAAAGCCAACAGAAGATTAATTTTAAAAAAAAAATTATAATATCTTCAGATATACTCCAGATATACTATATATCAGCGGCTAAAGTCAAAACACTAACACTAGAGCCTAGAGGTTTCATCGATTGGGGTTAGGAGTGTATGTAGAGTGAATGATTTTCAATCATGTAACTCTTGATCGTGGTTATATATAAAAATGAAATCGTAATTTTTGTATATACACAGTTTGACGAATAAGGGAACGACTATTAATTACATCCTTTTACAACAGAGCATGATTAATAAATCACGTTTATTTGTCAATGCGCTTGCTTGTTCATATCTGATGATAGTCAAGAAGTTATGAATGTGTACCACACGGCAAAGAGCGTAATTTGGGGACCACTGTTTATTTATTTGCTACTCTCTCAATTCAAATCCGTTGGTTTTGTTTCCCTTCTACCGTTCTACGTAAAGAGCATAACAGTTCACCCAATAGGATTTGGCCACATGTGTTCCACTTGACATGATCTTCCCAGCATTCTTGGCATTGTTTCCAACACCTGCAAAATTGACAAAAATAACCCCTCATAGTAGTAGTTGACTACTTGACTCGTAATTAAACATAAACCATAGAAGTAGCCCATGCGCAGACGGAGGGGCTCCACATTTTCCATTGTCAAATTCTACAAAAGTGAGCCTAAGACCATATATATATATGTGTACATATTGCTCGTTTATTTAATGTTTTGCCGGGGGTCCTTATACAACGATCCAACGACCTTCGAACACATATATCTTGCTTAGTAACTCAATGCATCGCAAAACCCTAATTGTTAGTTCGTCTAATCATTTCATATGTTATATACATTAAGTTATTTGCTTGATCGTTTCATCGGTTCTCCAGCTAGCTTCATAGGTAACACACCATATATTCCTATTTCTTATATAGTATTGTAGGCGTGAGAATCGGTCTGTGAGAAAGAGAAACATGTAGTTGTTTTGACGAACACAGAGGGCAGAGACTCAGAGTACTGCTGAGACAATAACAATAAACGATATCGACAAGCAGACAAAAAAGGTTTTACATGAGCAAATGTTTGACAAAGAAATTAGCGATAGATTGCAATAGAAAATGTAGCACTGCAACATCGATCTTCAGTATACTTCCAGTAATCTTTTCCTTACATCATTTGGAGAACTTTGTATAAATATATAATTAAAGAGGAAAATAGAAAATAGTATATAAAAGTAGAGAATACAGGATTGAAGAAGAAGACATCATTTGGAGCATGAAGTAACACAAAGCAAAATGATGATATTTACAGCTTCTCTCTCCCGTTTCTCTCAAAACGGAGCCACCCACCTTTTTTTATATAAATAACAAACTTTTCCTGTATCCCCATTCTAAGTTCTAACATAATCATTACATTGGTTTCATATATTAATAATGAATAGATTCATAAATTGCTACACCTATGTATATCAACAGCGACGTACGTAAATTTTTGTATATATATATAATATGTAGATACACGCATAGAAGCAGTGATGGTGAATGAGGCCAACGCGAAATGAGCATATGATTACACTCTGAAGTCTATATACACTCGTCGACGTTCAAGTGGACGGTCCATATCTTTCTTTTTTTCTATACCTAATTAACACCACCACCACGACTTTCATTCTGTTTTTATTGATAGAGTCGGTCGGCTTTCTTCTATGATCGATCTTCCCAAGATCAGAAAGAAACTACAGCGAAATAAAACACCTTATCAAAGTTATTCTAAATCAAGATGATGGGGGTGGATCAAGAGTCGTCGTCCAGCATACCTCCCGGGTTTAGGTTTCATCCGACAGATGAAGAGCTTGTTGGATATTATCTCAAGAAGAAAGTCGCTTCCCAAAGGATTGATCTCGACGTTATCAGAGAAATTGATCTCTACAAGATCGAACCATGGGATTTGCAAGGTATCTCTCTCTCATACAAATACGGATATGCGTGATCGATTGTTGATAGAAGCTACTTTTATAGTAGACTACAAGGTCCAAAGAAAATTAATTAGGTTTTTTGATAACCTGTATATGAATAAGCCGACATCAATAATATACCAAAAACAAACCATATACTATATGCTAACTATGTAGATCCACATATATGCACTAATGATAGAATTTGTAATTTTTTTTTAACAAAGCTTTTGAATTTATAAGTTTGATCGAAAGAGCTATTATATATATGCAAGATGCAACCCATGATGATATATACTGGTTATACGTGTAGAGAAATGTAGGATAGGGTACGAGGAGCAAAAGGAGTGGTACTTCTTCAGCCACAAAGACAAAAAGTATCCGACTGGGACGAGAACTAACCGAGCCACCGTGGCTGGTTTCTGGAAAGCCACGGGCAGGGACAAGGCCGTTTACCTCAACTCCAAACTCATCGGTATGAGAAAGACTCTCGTCTTTTACCGTGGTCGAGCTCCTAACGGCCAAAAATCCGATTGGATCATCCACGAATACTACAGCCTCGAGTCCCATCAGAACGCTCCTTCTCTGGTAATTAAGACCCTATTCCCATGTATACTCTGCTTAATTTTCTCACTTTTTCTATCAATCTTTTTAGATCATGTTAAAACTCGGCCCCAACAATAAATCAAGTGTTCGACTCTGATGTTTTGCGTGTCTCTTTCTTGGTCTGAAAAGTAAATAATTTAAGAAAAAAGAAAAAGTATAAGATATATTGTCATTGATGTGAATTAAAATGGTGAAACAGGAAGAAGGATGGGTAGTGTGTAGAGCATTTAAGAAACGAACGACTGTCCCGACAAAAAGAAGACAGCTTTGGGATCCAGACTTCTATTACGATGCTACTCTCTTGGAAGCTCTCGACAAGAACGTCCTCAAGCGAGCCAAACATAACACTGATTTCGCCTTCACAACGTTTAAGCAAGAATTACTCTCCGAGGCCAACCACAACGTCGATGATAGAGACTTGAGCTCCATGTACGATCAATTCTCCCAGCTCCCTCAGCTAGAGAGCCCCTCTCTTCACCCGCACAAGTTGCCGGAAATGGTTCCCCACAGTACCATTTCTGAAAACAGCCGCGGGGAAGATGAAATGTGTGCCGAGAAGAGGATCACGGATTGGAGATCGCTTGATAAGTTCGTGGCATCTCAATTCTTGATGAGTGGCGAAGACTAAAGGCTTTTTGATGTTTCACGAGTAGACCGTTCTATGCATGCGCGCATGATCGTAATGTGGATTTTTTACATATGATCGTAATAAATTTCAACGAAGGAATTGATTTTCGATGGACAAGTCACAAATAGAAGGTGAGAGTCGAATAAGATATATATTATGCCCTACCCTTACGTTACAATAAGGTGGTACATTGATTTTCGTATAATGTATCAGTGACTTGAAGAAAAATACGTTATACGTTCGAATCCAAACACAAATTACGGTGTTTAAAAAAAAAAAAAAACATTTATAAAAAAAAGATATATACTCATAAAGTGGGCTCAAGGTGGGCCCATTAAATATGGGCTTTGTCTACCATGCGCGGTGAAGCATGGTTTGTGTTACTCATGCTTTGTCTCCCTCCACATTAAAATATCCGACGATCTGGCGTTTCCTGCATCTGTTTTAAAACGTATTGTCGTCTGAGTACTGCCAAAGGGGTTTAAAACGGCACGTTGTTGGCTTGTGAATAATTTTGCTCTCTCCTCCTCCGGCTTGTTGAAAATTGAATCATTTTGCTCTCAATTCGTTTCCAGATTTCCCCCAACCTGCTGAAACTATTGATTCCAAGTTCTGGATTGAATTTCTCTGTAGTTTTAGGCGTTTGAGAACCATATGGGAGCATCGGATTCATCGCTATTAGGCGCTCAGGTAATTGATATATCGCGATTTGAATCTTCAGCCATCCGGCTAATCCTCCGATACTTGAATTTGTTTGGTTCCATTTTGGTGTATTATCAGGAAAATCGAGGTGGAGATGTGATTACGACCATCTCTCATCGATCCGAAATAGTCGATCCCGTTCTCGAGAATCTCAAATCCCTCACAGTTGTTAGTCACTCTTTTGGATTTCTTTTTGCGTTTCCAGATCGAAATAAGGGTTTTTTATTTTCTATGTTAAGATAAAATCCTGTCGATGTTGAATTATATTTGCAGAGTAGGCCAATACTGAAGTCACCTCCCACGGAAAGTAGCTTAACGGACATCTTAGTGAGAAAAGCTTTATCGAGTTCCTCTTCCAGTGAGTTTTGATATTTCTTTGTTTACTAAACCCACGATCATCGTTATTGAATTAAGATGTTTACGCAAGGGATGGTGAACAATGTAGCTCAGAGTAATGGATAGTAGCTTGAGTGGAAGACAGTTCTAAAGACTTATCGTTGGATTTTTTTTTTTTTTTTTTTTTTTTTTTTTGCTTTGTTTCCGTTTACTGGCAAAGCTAAATGATGAAATAGCTTGTCTTTGCCGAACAATCTGTTTTCATTTATCATTCAAGTCACCTTTTTCCAACTCTAATTTCATGCTATTCTTGTTGACTGTTTCGCAGATACGGTGGATCCTCAAATACTTGTAGAGCTCTTCTCCATTTACCGAGAATGGCAAGAGAGCAAAGCTCAAGAAATAACCAAGAGACAGGTATCCCATTAGTCCTTGCGATTCTTGCGAAGCATGCCTTATTTGTGTACTCTGGAAAGTTCTCCCCTTTAGTCCATTAGTACAGTCCTTAGGAAATGTTTGCAGTTACTGAAAGACTAAAGTTAGACTTAAGACTACTCCCAAGAATGTCCTTAAACTGAAACGAGAAACTAGGTTTATCTAAGTTGTGAGCTTTTGGTTCGTAGGAGTGATACAAAAGGCCTATCTCTATGAATTAATTCAGTTGTGGATGTTTAAGTGAATTACAACTGAAAAATCTGTATTGCCTCTTTGCTCTCGAGTATTTGTTTGTTGTATAAAGGGAAATGAATTGTAACATATTGCGTCATGTATCTAGGAAGATATAGAAAACAAGATAGAAGTGGCAGATGCTTTGGCGACTAAACTTCTACAGAGGTTCAATCATTCGGTTTCTGCAATGAGGACAACCTCCCAGCATTTATCTCAAGGTACCTATTTCCACCGTACAAGATTGACACTTGACTGCATTATATCCACTAATCTTATATGTTTGTATAGTTCATGGGTTGCAGGTTGAGCTTGGGGAGCTTAAAGGAAGGTTGACAGAGGTGATAAACAACTGCGATTCATTATGTAAGAGAATTAATGCTGAGGGACCTGAATCTCTTAGGTCTACAGTGACCCCCTTTGCTCTTTCACCACCCGACTCGGTCAGTTCTAACACTACCCTCTCCTCTAAACAAGAGGAATAAGAGCCACTACTCTCAAGTCTTAACCATAGGTAGCCACTACTCTCAAGTCTTATTTGCTGTAGAATCTTTGTTTACTTCTGTCATTTCATCTTCACCATTTCATATGTGTTTTCCTTACTTTATTTTCTTAGTACTAAAACAATAGGAAGCCATTGTTGTAAAGTAGGAAAATTCATATGTATTTCGTTTTGTTTGCCTTTGATACATAATCCACATTGGATGATTGAACAACTTGAAACAAGAAATGGAAAAACTTGAAACATAATTAGATTTAACAACAACAACAACAAAAAGAAAAAAGGCAGATAATGATGACTCTTTTTTAGGCCAGGTTGGGATTAAGGTTGCTGGTGAGCGTCTATGTAACCAGCATCGACGAGCACTTTCTCCCTCTTAGCCATCTCCAGATCTTCGTCCACCATCATCTTCACCAGCTCCTCGAACCCTACTTTGGGCTTCCACTTGAGCAACTCCTTTGCCTTGCTCGCATCTCCTTTCAGATTGTCAACCTCCGTTGGCCTGAAGTACCTCTTGTCGATCTCAACGTGGTCTCTCCAGTTAAGCCCGACGTACCCAAACGACACCTCCAGAAACTCCTCCACGGTGTGTGATTCCTCCGTGGCCACGACGTAATCATCTGGTTTCTCCTGCTGCAGCATCAGCCACATTGCCTCCACGTAGTCTCCTGCGAATCCCCAGTCTCTCGACGCCTGAATATTCCCCAGGAAGAGCTTCGTCTGCAATCCGACCTTGATCCTCCCCAGAGCCCGAGTGATTTTCCGAGTCACGAAGTTCTCGCCTCGGCGAGGTGACTCGTGGTTGAACAGGATTCCGTTGCAGGCGTACAGGCCGTATGCTTCCCTGTAATTGACGGTGTACCAGTGAGCCGCGACTTTGGACGCGGCGTAGGGAGATCGTGGATGGAACGGCGTCGTCTCCGACTGCGGAGGAGGCGTTGACCCGAACATCTCCGAGGATCCGGCCTGGTAGTACTTGACGGTGCGGCCACTGTCGGAGATGTGAGATCTGACAGCCTCCAGGAGGCGGAGAGCTCCAGTAGCAACGACATCGGCCGTGTAGTCAGGGATCTCGAAGGAGACGGCGACGTGCGACTGAGCAGCAAGGTTGTAGACCTCGTCTGGCCTGATAACGTCGAGCCAACGGCGGAGGGAGGAGGCATCAGCGAGATCGCCGTAGTGGAGCTTCATGCGAGCTGTCTTGACATTGTGGGGATCGACGTAGATGTGGTTGATTCGCTGAGTGTTGTAGTTTGAGGATCGTCGGATCAGGCCGTGAACTTCGTAGCCTTTGTCGAGCAGGAACTCCGTCAGGTATGAGCCATCCTGGCCAGTGATTCCGGTAACCAGTGCAATCTTCCTCGGTGGGTCAGAAACGCCATTAGGAGTGGTGGTCACAGCTTCGGATCTGGACGCCATTGATGCTGCTGTGATGTGATCAAATCAGAAGAAATGAGAGGAGGTAAGTTGCACGATGCGCTTTCTGTTTGATTTTTTAAAGCTCCGCGTGATTCTATCACTTATATAGGCCATGGCCAAAGGTGAGGTGGAGAGCTTGAAGACAGAGAGGGTTAATTTGGTAACTTCATTAAGTGAATCTGCAAGGCTACGTAAAGTTGTACCTGTTTGGCAAATCGCCGGCAACCGTTGACCGATTACTATTAGTTTTGTTTATCTCTATGCGTTGGGCCTACTCTACTGAAATGGGCTTTTAATTGCAGCCCAAATAGTAGTGGGCGTGCGTCACTGATTAGGAGTCCTATTTATTAATTTCAAAATTCAAAATTCAAGTAAATAGGTGGAAATTTGGAAAAGAAACGCAACGTTAAAAGAGTTATTAGGGATAATTAATATATGATTAATAGTAGTTATAATATGATTGGGAATGGGAAGCGGCGGCGAGGCAGCCAATCAGGTGTCAGCGGTTTTATTTATGTATATAAATATAAAGAGTCACTGTAAAGTCAGAAAGTCAGTAAAGTCGTTTAGGGTTTTCTTCTCCGAGACAAATCGTATCGCCGACGTCTCTTCTTATTCTTGTTTCGCATTCGACTTTCCGATTCGTTGAGACTCGGAGATTGTTTGTTCGCTCCATAGGGTAATCGCATTGCTCGTTTCGTTTCTAATCTGCAAAACGGTTATTGATTTCGATTTCCCGATTGATTTGCTGAGATATTTGGGTTATAATATGAAGAAATCGAAGAAATCAAGGGTTTCGTGGCCATCAGATAGTATGCTTTGTCAGGTAAAGCCACCGTTATCTTCCATTAACAGAGTTCGATGTTTCCTCGCTTTTCGTCGACGATCTCTCCCTTACTCGTAAAATTTATTGATCGGACTTTACTCGGTGAACTTAGAAATCGGTTGTTAAGTCTTCGGCTTTTCTAAGAAATGGTCAACAAAGGAATTGATATTGTGATTTGATAATTTTTTTTAGTTCGTTTGATTTTTAATTTAACCGAATTTCTGAGAAACCTATACAAGTAATCGATCAAGGAACCAACTTTAACGAATAACAAGATTTTACTGTTCAAGATAAAGTGGAATCTCACAATATTTCATTCTCTTGTTTACGCCATATAAATGTTTCTTGTTTGTTTGATTGTTGATTATTGATCTTGTGATACATCATAAATGACATGATCAAAAGAGAAACATGAGACGCAAAACTATAATTTGTTTTGCTAGTTGCAACAAATGTGCCGTGCAGGAATTTTTTTTGTAAACTTCTGTGGTCTTGAAATAGTTAAACATGAATATAAGTCACAGAATATACATATACCTTAAAAGGACGCATTTGGGTGATTTGGTTCTTACTAAAAAAGTATGTGATATAGGTGAAGCTGTTTCAAAGAGAAGATTGTCCCGCGAAAGTAGCATCAAGCAATGTAAAGGCATCGAATCTACCACCTGGATTTGAAAGAACTGAGTATGGAAACGTGGATGAAAGAACTGAGTATGTTAAACTGAGGCTTAACATGTCACACATTCCCCGGATTAAATGGAAACGTCCACCGAAGGTAAATAGTTAATATACCCGTTCTTGATTTGCAAACAAAACGTAACATATGTTGAATTTGTTTTAATCCTATTCTTCTTTGGGTCATTACAGTTTATTCTGAATGATGCTTTGCTTGTTGCAAGTGGTGAAGAGAGCACAGAGACCCGTTGTGAAAACCTGAGGATTGCAAAAGTCTTGGAAGCTTTCTATCCACAACGCTCTGGCATCCCTAGATGGTATATATTTTCTTTGATCTCTCCTGCAATCCCATCAAGCTGTTTAGTTCCATGTTTTACCACTTTTCACATTCTTTTTTTTTCTCTGTCTCTCTTTGTGTTTCCATGTAGTCCCTGTGTTTCACCGGCTGTAGAAGATGAAAGCTACGACGACAGCAAAACTCCTAACATCCCTCTCACTCTCATTGGCGTCGAGCCTGTTGAATCTTGTCACAGCTCCAGTTCTCCTGCAGCTGTTTCTAATCTTGGACCAGACTTGAATCTGGCTGCTCTGTCTGCGTTTTTGAAAACCAAAGAAGAGGCTGGTCTGATTGATACTGATTTGCTTGTCAAGTTGCTCAGTGACCCGAATATAGTCAAGGACCTGATGAATGACACATCACTTGAAACAGTGGATAATAACCCTAGACTTGTTCCTCAACATGTCACCTCCTCTTATATGGATAGAAGCCAGGCTGTGCCACATGTTGTCCCTGTTTCGGTTCAGTCCAGTGTTCCTGTTGCTACTCAGCCCTTGTCCACTGCTCAGTGTCTGTCAATGAACCTCCAGAAACCGCCTCTCGTCTTTCACACTTATCCATTGTCTTGCGGGGTCAAACCATTGCCGAGACTTGAAGATTCCTTGAAACCAAGCCCATTTGATGATGCTGTGGTCTCTGAACAAAAGCCAGTGACAAAACCCAAACCTCAATCCCTTGACATTCCCACTTCCAACGCATGGAGTATGAATAAGGTTCCAGCGGAATCAGCGCCTCAAATCAGTAATGGTATGAACATAAAGCAGGTTGATGAGGTTGTGAAAAATCTGGACTATTTCAAGAACCTTATTAGGGAACACGGGGTAGTTGATCAGCCAACAAACAATGATGATTACAAAGGAAGGGCTGATGGTAAAAATAATATGAGAATGGTTAAGGGTCAGAAAAAAGTGTGCATCTACTTTGGTCGAGGCAGAGGGTGTAAGCGTGGTGACAGTTGCTTCTTTCTTCACGACCGTGACCGCTCTAAAAGGCCCTGGACCGATGTTGCTCCCACTCCTAAACGACTCAAGTTTGGTTCCTAAAGGTATAGACGATCACGACTTGACTCTGTTTTTAACTCCAACAAGCTTCCAAGTTTTGGTTTTCTGTTAGGCTAACCCTTCTAAATTCGGTCGAGTTTTCCAATTTTAAGCCTACCGGTTTCTTGGGCCTTTGGTTTTCTACAAGGCTAACACTTAAAATTCGATCGTTTTTAAATTTGAAGCCTTTGTTTTGTCGTCAGGTTTAAAACCGGTTTATTAGTTTTAGCATTAGGCGTGAGCTTTCTTAATGTACAGTTTTTCTATGTTTTCTGGTCAGTTTTACTTTTTTTCCTAGAAACATTTTTGTGTAGTTAATATGGAATCACGTATTATGTTTCAAACGATAAGAATGTAACAAATTTCTAAAAAACTGTGGACAAGCCCATCATTTCTCCGCCTGCTATTAATAAGCCCATTTAAGCTTTCGTAATTTGATAATTACATACACGCCATGGAGATAAGTTAGCCTGATTAAAATTGGTAAAACATAAGATTATTCCAACGGCCCACATGAAATTTTGAATCGGCCCATTTAAGCCCATTAGCGAGGCCCATATTTAAAATTTAGTAGGCCTAAATGGGGCCCATATCTAGTTTTTAATACGACATTAAATGGGCCGAACAAGGCCCATATTCATTTTTTATAGGCCCATATTTAATCATAACTGGGCCGACCGAGGCCCACATATAACTTTAAATGGGCCGACTTTGGCCCACAATCATGGGCCGACGTAAGCCCAAATTTAAAGCTTGAGTGGGATGGGCCGATGAATGGGTTTATTTAGTTTTAACGGGCCGATCGGGGGCCATAATACACTTATTGGGCCGAACAAAGTCTACGTTTTATTTTTAATGGGCCGACTTAGGCCCATATTTTATCTTGTTTGATCAGCCATATTTATTTTTTACTTGAATGGGACGATTTAGGCCCATATTTTATCTTGTTTGATCGGCATATTTATTTAAGGCCCATATAGAACCTTTAACGGGCCGAGACATGCCTACATGCATTCTTTACGGCCGACCTAAACCCACTCCCATCCGTTTATAGGCCCCACATCCAAAATAAGCGAAAAGAAGAGAAAGCAACTAAGCAAGGCCGAAAGAAAACACACAGCAACAAAGAGAAACATCTGCAACACCCACAAACACATGCATAAAACCCTATGGACTTAATACAGTTTTGACTTTCACTTGATCGCAATGGACTTGTACTTTTGAACAGTGCTTGTTATAGCTTGCTCTACAGGTAGCCTCTCCATGCTTGATGCTCCATAGAAGCCATGCACACAGCCCTTTGTTCTCTTCAACACAAACTCAGCCTCCTCTGGCCCCGATATCGGGCCTACAGTACAAAACAATAAAAGCTTACTCGGACAAAACTCTTAGCAAACCATGGATTTTGGATTCGACAAGTTATTACCTCCATGGCAGAGCACGATGATGTCCGGGTTGAATCTACGAGCAGCATCTGCAATAGCTTGTACACGGACAACGCTTTCTTCTAATGAGACTGCGGTTTTGGCCCCAATATTCCCGGCTGTCGTAAGACCCATGTGTGCTACTATTATATCAGCTCCTGCTTTCGCCATTTCTTCTCCTTCTTTCGGGTTGAAAGCATATGGAGTGGTCATTAGCCCCATTTTATGCGCTTCTGAGATCATTTCAACTTCCAGCCTGCAACATTTTTGGTATGTGGAAATGTAAACAATCTTGCATACAAAAAAATGGTTCGTGATAAGGGTCTTTTTCCTTTGTAGCTTACCCATATCCCATTCCCGTCTCCTCGAGATTCTGTCTAAAATTACCATCAAAGAGACCGACAGTTGGAAAGTTCTGGACTCCAACAAACCCAATGGACTCCAACTGCTTCAGAAAATACTCCATACGTCGAAATGGATCGGTCGCGCATACCCCAGCAAGAACAGGCACCGCCTTCACTACCTGCAAGTTGGATTCGACAGGTCTTAATGACAAATTGCATGAATAATCTACAGGAGCAACTGGAAAGAGATGCAAAAGTTTCTTTTTGCTGAATGGCTTAATGATAGGAAAGAGTAAGAAACTAACTGGCAAAACTTCATTAGCCATTTCAAGCACGACTGCATTGGCATCAGCAAATGGAAGTAAGCCTGCCAAGGATCCTCTCCCAGCCATACGGAAACGTCCAGAATTGTATATCACTATCAAATCAATCCCACCAGCTTCCTCAAACTTTGCAGATATTCCCGTACCAGCACCTCCCCCAATTATTGGTACTCCCTTCTCTATCTGATCTCTTAGCCGTCTCAAAATGGTCTGAGTTCGTTCAAGGGTTTCTGGAGCCAATGATGATATGTAAGCTTTTTCACTCCAACATGCAACTCCGTATCATTATGAATGGGAAGGACAAAAATAAACCTGGTTTTGCCTTGGGGAAATCTTTGGGACTATATGGAATCCTTTCAGTCCTCAACATTGTTTCAGACGCATGTCCAGCATCAGGCTCTCCAATGCTAGGTTTAGTTGAAGCCGTTTCAGAGGGTTTGATTTCTGCGTTGGTTTTCGGACAGACCTCAAGGAATGAAGCAACCAATGCCTCTGCAAACTCAGGGTCATTGATGTGGTGAGAATATCTATTGACCTGTTAAAACACACCGCATTTTAATACTAACAGTAGACGAAGCAAACAAAACGAGAAAATTACACGAGAAATAAGGAAATACCTCTCTGTCTTCACTTGGGTGAATAAGCCTCTGCAGTTCACTTATGAGAGCGCCAGTGGCTTCTGGATCGCAGAAAGGCATCCCTGGAGCATCCAGTGCTGAGACACCTTTCTCTGGAAGGCAAACCCTCACTTTTGATGTTGATTTGTTCAGTTTATCTGCAATAAACCTTGCAAAAATTTTATTCTCTTCTGCTGTTGTTCGGACGAGTGAAACCTGCCAAAAACAGAAACATCCGCTATTATTAAAGAAAACGATACCCATAGTTGAAGGGAGGGAAGAAGCACTTTTTTTTTTATTGATTCCTCACCTGTTCATTGTGGACATGAATCTTTCTCGTTTGTAAGTGAGACGGTATTGTATCTTTGCTACCAAAGTTCACCATGTCTAAGGCACCAACACTTAACACCAACGGTACTTCTTTTTCTATGATAACATCGAAACGGGAACTATCACATGCCATCACCCCTCCAACTAAATGGTCGGCAACCTCGGTTGTTGTAATATCCATAACTCCCTGGTAAAGGAAACATTAAAAGTAATCAAAGCCACAAACCAACAAAATTAAGGACCAACTGCTTAAGACATGAACCTTAGCTGGTTAGTGTTTTAAGTAAGCCAAATCTTGAGAGAATGGAGAAAAGGAGAAACCTGTATAAAACCTTGTTTAACCAGAGATTCCATTGCTTTGCCACCGACACCAGTGGCATGAAACACAAGTGTCTCATAGCCTTCTCTAGTCAATATTTGTTGAACTGCCTCTACACAGGGAGTTGTTACCCCAAACATAGTTACACCCACTGTACATTTCCCCTTCTCCTCGCTTGGAGAGCTTCTAAACGTCTCAAGCCTCCCGACTACCATACCCGCGAAAGAAGCCCCAGCATTTGAAAACACCACCCTGCTAACACTGTTGATCCCACAGACATCTACTACGGACGGGATTAAGACCAAATCTGATGTCCCAACATAAGGCTCGGTTTGACCACTGGCCACAGTCGACACAATGACCTTTGGGATCCCAATCGGAAGAGTCCTAAAAGCAGATGATATGAGCGACGTTCCTCCGCTTCCGCCAAGACCTATTGCTCCACCAAGAGATTTCTCCTCAAGAGCTTGCCTTAGAAACTTCTCAAGACATTTACTCATCACACTAACTGCCTCACTTCTATCATCGGGAAGTTCCACTTTCTCGGTAGATCCAAAATAGTATGAGAGAAGTTGTTGTCTTGTTACAAATGCAAAGTCCGCAACATTCTCAATCCCCTTATGATCAGCACTCGCCGAAACATCCACAATCACAACCTCAACCTGATTTTCCAATCAAACGGCTCAGAAATCCCAACCATTTCTGAGATTTCGAATCTCTTAAACAATTTCAACAGCTTAGATAACCGAAACACACAATTCTTCAATCATCTATCTGATCCTTATAAAATACTCAACATGGAAGCACCTCGTAGACTATATCAGATCAGAAGAAAGAGATATCTTCCCTAATTGCAAAAACCTAGTAAGATCGCGAACGACTACTTCACCGACTGCTTATCCTACACCCGAGTGACCTAATTTACTTATGTCAAAAAATCAAGTGAGATTTCTGCGTCTGATATACCTTGGAAGATGAGTTGTTCGAGAAGGCGCCGATATTAGATCGAACTGATCCGGCGAGGAATCGTAGCTCATCAAGCTTCGTATCGACGGTTCCGACGCAGAAGACTCGATAAGTTTCCCCTTGCATCGTCGTTTTCGTCTGATTTCTTCTCGTCTTTCGAGCGGAAACTTGGATTCTCGATTCGCAGCGAGAAGTTCCACATGAATCATGATTTCCCTAATTTGTTTTTCTTTTTCTTTTCTTGTCGGTCGGTGGGGTTACCATTAGTTTATTACTTTATTGCATATTACATATTATCTCCCCCAGTTTCGATTATATATTTTTCGGGCTACAACTGTTTGTTTATTACCAAACGTTCCATGTACTTCTTTTATTGCAGGATAGTCCAACTATTGTATTTATTGCGAGAGGTACTCTAAAATGTTGTTTATTATGGAGATGACCCTATACTTTGTCTATTACGAAAAATACCCCGTAGTTTTGTTATTACAGAACAGAACGTCCTTAAGTTCTGCTTTTATTAATAAAAATCCCTCTAGTATTATATATTACAGTGAAGACCTCGATTTTTATTTTAGTACAAAATTACTTTCGGATCAAGGAAATGACTAGAGTAACAGTCGTTTTGTTCATGCAGTTGGCATGTTGGGACGCATAGCATGCAAACTTGTCAAACAGTGCCTCGATGATATCATCTCCGAAGTGAGCTACAAGCATCGATTCACTGACCGCTCTGATACATTTGGCTTCCTTTTCCCCTGCTTTACATCTCTCTGAATTACAGTCTTCGTTGTGGTTACTCTGGCCGAGATCAAATCCGTGAATCTCAAAGTCATTGATCTCAAAGGAGCCCTCCTTTTCAATCATCTCCTTCACTTCTTCTTTGCTTGGATCGTAAAACGGTATACTGAAAGAATCAACCTTTGATGAACTCACAAGACCCTACATTGTGTAGATCAAGCTTTAAGTAATCTTTAGAAACCATACGCAAACATATTTAAGATGTCGAAACTGATTTTATATGTTATATACCTCATAGACTAGGTCACGCAGAGATGTGGATAACAGTGTCCAAAAGTGACAACAATCCCTAAACAATGGATCATCAAGAGTGTTTCTACCAACAAAAGTGAGAACCATGCGTCCATTAGAAACCATCTCTTCAGAACGCCTTTTTAGAAATGACGTAAAGTCTCTCTGGAATCGATTCAAGTAAGCCTTGTATACACTTGGAAGACTTGAAGTTGTTATGTACACACTCGAGGTATTCTTCTCAAGTCCTTCGGGAACCTTATTATAAGCCCAAATTTCCATCGTTATAATAACCTTTTTACGTATGATTACAGAAACAACATATGCAAGTAGTTGTAGTGAAGACCTTAGAGAGCCAATGAAGACTGTAAGATGAATGTACGAAGTGGAGACTATTGCGGGGAAAGAGCCTCGAGTAGAAGGAACCGGGGACTCCGGAGACGAAGCACGATCCTTTGCTTTTGACCATCTTGTTGAAGAAAGGTATTAATTTGAATGTCGTGTTGAAATCGTTATCTGGTAGATCGTTCAAGCAACAATCAATCTCCGGTGCCTTTTGGTTCCATTCTTGACATAACACATCGATTGTGTTAACGATCTCAGACATGGTCAAGAACGTGTTTTGTCCCGAGGCACATCCCAGATCAGCTACTTTGATGCAATTAGGAAAGTTTAAGTTTATCATCATCTCTTTTGTGTTCTTAGTCAAGACCGGTTTGGCCTTAGATAAAACTCTGTTCTGAAAAACCAAATGATTAAGAGAAACTATTAATTAGTTATATATGTGTAGTAAATAATTTGGGTATATGCATGTTTTATGAATTAAAAAAAAAAAAAAATGGAGGGGAAACCTGGAGAAGAGAATTGGTGGAGTAACTGTTGTCTCCATTTCCACCACTCATACTTAGAACATTCACAAAAGGGTACCTACTACTTCTCTCCTCATCCATACTATATTTTTCATTATCACTCTTACCGTCACACCTGCATGTCACAGATATACATATGTATACACACATCAAATCAGCATACACAATTTCACATACACGCATCTACGCAGCCAATCCGTGGGTTATGAATATGACTTTTGGAGGGAGAAAATTAAAACCTCAAGGATGGATTAACGGTGTGGGTGATTCTTGATTCAACTTCTCTCATTATTAACTTGTGATCAAGAAATAAGATATCTTGTGTAGGGAGAGGCTAGCATGCACTTCACACACTTTATTTATAGAGGTTGGAATTTGATGACGTTTAGGGCGGTCACACGGATAATGATCAGCCGTTTAATACAAATTATGTATATCGGACAAGATAGTAATGTGATGAAGATAACAGATGTGTTTGGGCAACCCGAATGACGTAGGAGAACTTAATGGGGGGCATAACAAACGTACGTGAAACATGCCGAGTAGTCGTAAAACATTCTTACCCGAATGTGTACCTTTAAGATCAAAGATTTATAGTGGCATTTAAACGATAATGCATGCATCTTGAATTTTAAGTCTTTCCATATTTTTTCCTAAGAGGTCCATGCCACGTATTCCCTGGCATGCACAACACGTAATTCAGATAGGAATTTGTTTTATATGTAACTGTACAATCTTATAGGCTAAAATCGATATTAACTTTACAACTTCGCCACAGCATCTACTCCATCAATTAGACAGCTGATAATACATCCACAGGTTCTTCTAATTTAAGTTCTGCATCTGGTGGGGAAAAAAATGACACAATCTGCATCATGATCCCTCAAGAGGCCTCACTCGAAAGTGCTTCCGAGAAAGACGACAATTCAAACAGAGGAAAATGCGACTCCTTATGCTGAGTTATAGACAATTTCACACAGGCAGAGACCCCCAAAAACAGAATTTTGATGTAGAAGGCAAACGTATGAACAAGTGCTGAATTTCTCAGTTGTCCACGCTATAGCTTTGGACATAGGCATGAGCATAGGCCCTTCCTAGGCTCTTTATAACTCCCAAATTAGCCCATTTAAGTAAAGACGACTCGTGTCATATCCTGTAACGGAAACTTAATTTACTCTTTGAAAAAATTAGAAAATCATGATGAAGCGTGAGGCTTTGGGGTTGCGCTTCACCTGATGATACAGTTTCTATTTACATACAAAAAAGTCGCGAGTACTCAAATGACATGCCCAATCAATTTATTGTCGTCTTTATGTTTTTCAACTTTTAACCCTATGTATGAAGCTATGTCAGTAGGCACTCAATTTTATCATAGAAAACCATTTATTTTTGGTATTTTGCGTTGGATAGGCACAAAAATAATCGAACACTAGGTAGGAACAACCGAGAAAGTGTATAGTTATATAACTTTCAGCAACAGATCAATGTATGGGCAGGGTCCGATATGAAGCACGTTGGCGTGTAAACACATAGCTGCATACTGGAAATTAGGGAACCAGGTAGAATTACCCTAAGTGGATATCTGATATCATATGAGCATTAGATAATTTAGATATTTTCGGTTGACTGTTGATATGTATAGATGCATCATGCATGTGATGTGGGACATAATAGAAAATAAAACCTGTATACAAAAAATAAAAGACATAATAGCCAAAACCATATGATAATTTACATCGACATTTTAACCTGTCCTTTTTCTCTTATGCATTCTTCTATGGCAAAAGGAAATTACACTTGTCAACATATAATTGAGCAGACAGCTAAATACATTTGTATTTACTTGCTTATATTACAATTTAAGATATAGCAACAGCCTACATGATTGTAGAAACAGAAGTATTTCCAGTGTAGAAGTAATATTTGCTTCACCCTTGTGAGTTGTGAATGTGTTTAGATTTGCTAACTTTAATGTGTTCACCCTCTTTAAACGTCTTATTACTAGTCAATTTTACTCAAAAAATTACGCTACTGCATTGTGCTAGGAAAAAAGGCCTATTTGATGGTAAAGTTGCTTAATGACAAATTCAACAACACCAATGGCAACTGCCGCTCGTAGTGGGAAATTTCATGATTGCTCCTAATTAAAGAGTCCGCCCGTAAGTATTGTATTAAATGCAATAAACAATAACCCAACAAAAATCAAATTCAAACAAAATTATTTTACTGCTAAAATAGATTATGCAAAGGTGGATCGGCTGAATATCAGAGAATCTAAATCTGTCAAAAGAAGTGTAAAAGAATGAGTTTTATTTTGGTTGAGCAGGGATCACGGGACTTAGTGAAAAATAAAGTCACTTTTCTTCTTAATTTTTCTGCGTGGGTGTCTGCATAAAAGTTAAATTTTCATACTTTTTGCATTCAAATTATTACACTATGATTGATGTCAATACCCATCAGAAACACGGCCGCTTCAGCAAATTAATACTGTTTTTTTAATTGATTTTTTTTTTTTAAATCGTATAATTGAAGACTACAAGATCATGGAGATGACTTACTAGACCATCAATCATTCCAATGAAGCATTAGAAATCAAGCTTCCTTCAATTTAAAATAATTAAGTAGTCTCTTTTCATCTGTTACCACTTAGTCACTTAACTTTCCCCTTCACACATCTAGATTTTCAATGCTATAACCACACCATGCATGTTTGTCAGTTGTACTTGTGTCTATAGTTTAGTTTGAATTCGACACACGGTTATTACTTTTGGGGAAATTTTCAACTAACCTATAGAATTAATGATCAGATCTCCATCCTTCAAATCCCTCCGACTCCGAGTACTAGATAAATTCTTGCATGGTTATTTATTGCAGGCATGTCATTTAGTCGGTGTAAAAGTCCAAAACGACATGATGAGAAAAGAAAAAAACATGAATAAACAAGTATAATTAAATAGGCACACAAATATATTTAGAAGAAGAAAAAAAAAGTAACCCGAGAAGACAAAAAGACAGACCTAAATCGATTGTTACTTGGATAACACTAAAGGTTATAAAAAGGATAATTTCCAGTGTGAGGAGACAATATTTCTTTCTACTTCAAGTTTGTATCATTAGACTTGAGGAAGTGACACTCACTGAAACAACAAGTAAAAATATATTATACTATTTCTTAATAACCAACTATTAATTACACTGTACATACAATACTACATAGAGAGGAGGATTAACATTCTCACACGGAATTTAAAATAGTATTCCATATGGTTTTAGTTTTCGTCGTCGTAGTTTTTTCTTGACAAAACTTTTGTTGTTGTTGGGTTCGGATTTGATATAGAATCTGATGCTTCTTTTTCTTTCGTTTAGATTAGCTAGGCTTTGTTATTATGGACAACGACGGCTAAAGATTCTTGGCGACGAAACATCAACTGTTTGGCTATGAAAGCTTCGATCGTTTTCTGAAACTCTTCGTTGCTTAGGTTGTCCTCCGGATAATTCTTATTCGAATGATCCTCCATTTTCCCGCACTTCTCCGTCTCCGATCTCTGGAGAGCACGCTTGCTCACCATATCTGGACTCTGTTTTGCAGATACCACGTCGGATTTGCTTCTTCCATACACCTTGAGCTGATCGGAACTCGAATCCGAATCAATCTCGACGTGAGGAATATTCTCGTCAGCGATTAGATTTGGATTTGGATTCGAGCTCAATTCGGTGACGATCACCTCCTTGTCGTCGTAAACGATCTCCTCCGTCAAATCTTCATCGGACGGCTTAGATCGATTCTCTACAGATCTGACGAGCGCCTGGTAGATTTCGGTCTCTGCACTTGCGGCGGAAGCGGCGGCGCCGGTTTTCTGATGAGAGGATCTGGTGAGGAGAACGACGACGATAGAGTTCCCGAGGAGGAAGACGAACAGAGGAGTTGAGATGACGCCGGCGATACGGCGGAGAAACTCTCCGGATATTTGGACGGCGAAAGGAAGGCGAGAAAATGTCCAGCAGGCGAAGAGTAGAGCGACGCAAATCTCCGCCGCGCGGAAAAAACGGCCGACTCTCCGGAAACGGTTGAATCGTCGCAAGGCCTTGGCTTTCTCTGCTTTCACGTTGTTGAAGTCAATCGAATCCATTTTGCGAGAGAAAAGAGAGAGAGTGAGAGAGAAAATGGAAAAGTGGAGAAGAAAGAAGAAAGAAGGAGAAAAGTGGAGCATGCCTCTTCCTCAACATGTCTCTTTTATAGACTCTCTCCACTCCCAACCAGACTCGCTCGCCTTTTATTTTCTTCAAATTATTGTCACTTTTCCCGCTTTTTTTTTTTTTTTTTTATTTACAATAAATTAAATTTATCTAACTTAGATAATCATAATATCATATCGTATATATTCGATTACAATTCCGTATGTAGAGACCACTTGTCCCCGTCTGTTCAATAATTCGGAAAAATACTTACCAGAAGAACAGAATGGTTAGAATGATTCGCAGCTCACAAGAGCAAAGTTGTAAGAAAGTGATGTAACAGAGAAAATCAGTTTTTCATCTTCACGTGATGCGTATAAGTGTATAACCACCGCTGTTACATTGTATATATACCAATTCGTTTTTTTTTTGGCTAAGACCAATTCGTATTTGCTTTAAACTCTCTTTATCTTCTTTCTTTCTCGTGCATTTCACCGTCCGTCACTTTTATATTATCTGTGAAACTCTCTTTCTCGTGCATTCACCTCTTTCTTACTGTAATCAATGCAAACTCTTTGAGGTCTCCCTTGACTTGTTATTTCACATCCCATCCCTATTTTAGTTATCGGTTATCTTTAATTTGCTTATTTATCATAAATGAGCTGGGAAATATTGTGGTTTCTCAACATATGTCGGTGAATGTGTAGGGGTCGGACAGTTGACCGGATCGGAGAAAACACACAAACAATAGTGTGCAACTGTAACTTATCATTAAACTTAACTGAGAAATTGACAAAAACTGGAGTTAACATGAGTAGACTATATTTCTTGGATTTAATGGCAAGCGAGACTACTTATCGACTTTCATTCACTCCCTACGCGACGAAATAACGATTTCTCGGTCGGATTGATCAAATAAACCAGTACATTTAAAAAAGAAAACACTAGCATTGGATTTTAAGCGGACGACTACTTTTTGGCACTAGCATTTTCCTCTTCATGCAGAACCGACTCCATAGTTAAAGAAGCAAAAAAATAAGAATCATCTACAACTTTTTTTTTTTTGTTTTTTGAATCATGTACAACTTGTATATATACTAGTACAAAGGTCAAACACTAATATATAAAAAAATATGTTTATGGAAATAAACTAATAATAATCAACGAACAGTTGTGAACAGTTTATCACCAACACTATTAAAACTAAAGGCAGAAAGAACATTTCAATTATTATTTTTTTTTAAAACAGCGATAATTCTTATTAAGAAAAAAACACAAGATACTCGTGGCTAAAAAGGTCATAAGAAAACTTTTGAATGGTGTAAATTAGTAGATAATTATTTAAAAAACTTCTAAATGGTTTGCTTCCTTTCACTTAGCTCTCTTTTAAATGGTGCGCATGTAATACCATTCCGAAGCATCATTCTTGCATATATATATATCCACAGACGCACACTTGCACGCAGCCACGCATGCACGCGTAGATTTGTTTCTGTTTTAAATTTATAGCTACGTGTATATATACTTATCGTATTTACTTATATATAATTGTATATAATATTATCTTAGAGAAGTGTACGTATATAATACTTATCGTATATACTTTTTTTTTTTTTTTTTTTTTTTTGTGTGTACGTTGTACTTGTACTCCATCATTCATATGACGAGACTAGTAGGACGTAGGGCAGAAGAAGATTGTTTCCTTGCTGGGGTCCTGATTCAAAACTTTGACCACTGTCACTGTAAGCTATGTGGTCAGTGATAATCAAATCATCATGAATTTCAGGACTATCTGGTGCGACACGACACCGTATTCATCCCTTTTCACTTTCAAACTTTAATTTTGCTTTTTTCACATTTGACTCAAAGTCTTCTTCAATTTCTGCCATATCATTGTGTAAAACTGTACTTTGTTGATTGAGTTGACAGAGCGATAGACGCATCATCATCATCACATCTTTAAGTATATATGTATACATATTTTAAGAAAACGACATCCAATTTTCACCTTCATCGACATGACGCTCTAGCGTGTGGCAATCCACCATATATAGCTTCAGTTTGTATGTACGTAACCTTGTGTGTTTGTAAATTTTTTTGAATAAAAGACCAAAAGTAATTTTTGGGTTTTTGACCTCCAAAATTGAAGGCTGGTCCGTGCATCTTCATTTCATAATAAATTTCTTCTACAAAAATAAGCATCTATTATTGATGTATGTAACTCATTTAGCGTCTATGTATTGATATATGTATATATATATATAGGCATGTATTGAATATTGATGTATATATTTTAAAATATAGCCATATATATCAGAGATTCTCTATTGAAAACTGACTCGAGCGATCGAAACTATCTGACACATGATTATCAACGATTTAGTTTTGGAGCAAGAGTTAGAGTTTTTTTAAGAGATGGTTCATAATTTTATATGGGTATAAAAAACAAAGATCTCTCAAAACAAACAAAAAGTGATATTATAATTAGAGGAAGACGTTCTTGTAGAGCTAAAGAACCATGTCTTTTAAACCAAGAAACCTATGAATTTTTCTTGTCTGAGATATTCTGTGCTTTATGACTATATATTTTTAATCCACAACTAAAAGCTACTCGAAAGTAATTATTGTTTTTGAATGAAAGAACGATTATAAAATATAGTTATGTGAGTGCAATAGAAAAACTTTTCCGTGCGAGAATCTATTTACACATCATCCTGAATACATAAAAACTATAAAAGATAAACAAGAATATATTTCTAAGTATACGTAAAGTAATTTAATTGGTCAATCTTTTTGTTCTATCTTTATTTTCTTTTTCTTTGCAAAGTTTGTTAAGCATATTCGATCTCCAATTTGCATGAATGCATTTTATTTTCCATATAATAGTACATTTAGCTATTACATGTATGTCTAGAAAATTCCAAAATAAGCATCAATGTTCTGAAACGATGAGACATTAATAATATTCGGAAGCATAAACGACGTGTACACGGCTTTCTCACCGTTAATGCGATACTTCGATCATATTCGGGTTTCAACTTTCAACCATTCATTTTCATTTTAATCTTTAACTAATATGCTTTTTATGCCCAACCCCATTCGTTGGTTGGTTAAGAGTTAAGACTAAGGGCACAAAAATTCCTTCCGACAATCACAAGGAAGGCAGAAACAGAGGGGATAAGTGGATTCATTAGTCCATAATGGGCCTAGTTTAAAGAAAACAAGCGAAAGAGGCCCACAATTAGGACTGTTTCTATGGGCTTTTATGTGCCAGTTTCGACGAACGATCCTAGTTTACCACGTGGACGTCTGTGATTGGAAATAGAACTATAAACAGGTTCGCAAAAGAAGAACAAAATTTCATCTTCATCGTGTCAAAGTTTATTTTTCTAAACCATACATTGATGCTTTTGGACGAAATAATGGCTAGAAATTGATATAAACATTTCGATATACATATTTAGCGTACCTTTCAACAGATTATCTGGGTTCGTCAAACAAAATAAGTAATCTGTTCGACTGTTCCCTTTCTTCGTCTTAACGGATTTGATCCAAAACTTTTCAGTTTTATATAAACTTGTGTAGCGATTTGACTTTATGGCAGCGTCATCACTTTTTGTTCATCTCCACAAACCCACCTGGAATTTCAGTTTTGTCCCTTCCTCTGTTCCCGCTTACATAATTTCCGCTCGATTCCGAAGTTCCAGATTAATCCCCACTCTGAATCGGCGGGAAATCTGGTCTGTCTCTCGTCCTAAAACTATGGCCGATTTAGTCAAAATCCATGCTTTGAGAGACGGCAACAATAGTGACGGTGAAGAACGATTTCAGACGCTCGAGCAAGAGGCTTTCATCAATAGTCCGTCGGAGCTCCAGAACGATTTGGTCGCCGACGCCGGCGGTGGGATCGAAGCCGTCGCTAATCGTCTGGTTGGTATTCGAATTCTCTGATGCACACAACCTGTTTGACGTAATGCTCTCTCGATGAATGATCGAAGTACAATGCAAGTTCGTTCCTTTTCGTTGCAATTTGGTAACTTTTGAAAATTTTGTCAAATGGCAGAGCAAATGGGTTGTAGCTACTCTGTTTGGATCCGTTCTGCTTCTGAGACATGATGGTGCAGCTTTGTGGGCTGTGATTGGATCTGTTTCAAATTCGGCTCTTTCTGTATCTCTAAAACGTATTCTTAACCAAGAGAGACCCGTTGCAACATTACGTTCTGATCCTGGGATGCCATCTTCTCATGCTCAATCCATTTCTTTCATCTCTGTGTTTACCGTCTTGTCTGGTAAGCAGTCAATCCTCAGCGTTTCCGTTCTCTGTTTCAATCCATTTGATAAACTCTTAGATGCCTCTTTTACTCATATTTCCGCAGTTATGGAGTGGCTTGGAACCAATGAGCTCTCTCTGTTCCTTAGTGGCCTCATTCTCGCATTGGGTTCATACTTTGTAAGTCTTCATATATTATTATCAGTATGACATGAAACAAGTTCGAAATTAGAGTAGAAACATGATGTAATGTATGTTTTATTGATTAACAGACATGGTTAAGGGTTTCCCAGAAGCTTCACACGACCAGTCAAGTGGTGGTTGGTGCAATCTTGGGATCTGTTTTCTCAACCTTGTGGTACATAGCTTGGAACTCACTTGTTCTTGAAGCCTTTGCTTCATCATTCTCAGTGCAAGTGGCTGTCTTTCTGGTCGCTGCTGCATCTGCTCTAGGCTTTGCAGTATACGTGCTACTTAACTGGTTTAAAGATGACAGATGACAAGAAAGACAATTGAAGGGTTTCAAAGAGAATTCATTTGATTCATATTGTTTATGCTGTATTAGCAACCAACATTACACACTTGTGTCGTTATTGTAATAAGGGACAAGATCGTCTGTAACATGTTAGAGTTAAGGATCAGAAACAGCTCTCTTTATTGCACAATCGTGTCTAGGAGCGAGCGTCTGCACCATGTACTACTAATTCCAAGATACTGTATATATCTTCGCATTGTGGATGGGACTGACCTCCAGATGCAAACGCTGATATCTGACCGTTGATCAAAATCGATGACCATCCGGGCTCTTTGATCACACCTTTTGATTTCATACTCTTCCTTACATCTGCAGCCTCTTTCCATTTCCCTCTGCTTGAATATATATTGGCCAGTGTTACATATGCAGTAGCAGAAGTAAGACCCAGCTCTACAATCCTCTCGGCCGCTCTTCCTCCACGCTCAACGTCTCTTTTGGCCGTACACGCTCTCAGAAGTGTGGTCCAGACTACATCATCCTTCTTACATGGCATCTCATTGATCATTTTCTCTGCCTCACTTAGCCGTCCAGCTCGACACAACAGATCAACCATACAACCATAGTGTTCCTTGGCCGGTCTCATACTGTACTTGTCTTGCATCATGTTGAAATAGTGGAAACCGAGATCAAGCTGTCCCGAGTGAGCGCAGGCGGTGAGTACGCTGATGAAAGTTACGTCGTCAGGTCTGAAACCAAGCTCTAGACTCTTCTCAAACAGATCAATCGCTTCTTTGCACTTTCCATGTTCTGCATATCCGTTGATCATAGCTGTCAAAGAAACGATATCAGCTCTATCTATTTCTTCAAATACCTTCGAAGCTTCTATGATACTTCCACATTTCGAGTACATGTTAATCAGCGCACTACGAATCGTGGGGTTCTGCTCTAAACCAAGATAAATCGCAAGCCCATGAACTTGCCTGCCTTGCTCAAGAACTGCCATGTTTCCTGAGACACTCAGCAAACTCGCAAGAGCAAAGTCGGTAGGTTTTGGCCCTGCTTGTCTCATCCACGAGAAATACTTAAAACCTTCTTCTACAAAACCGGCTTGAGAGTACCCTCCGATGATAGTGCTCCATGAGATAATGTCTCTGCATCTCATGCCTCGAAACAAAACAGAAGCAGAGTCTAACTTCCCACATGCTGAATACATCTTCATCATCGAGTTACTCACTGACAAAGTATCTCCAAGCCCTAGAGAGAAAACGTTACCGTGGAGCTGCTCGCCCAACACAAGCCTAGAAAGACTCGCGCACACAGCAAACATAGTTGCAAAAGTTTGTTCATTGGGATGTACTTGAGAAGAATTCCTCATCTGTAAGAATGTGTTAACCGCTTTTTCCTCTTGACCCATTATTCTACTGTACGCCACGATAAGGCTTGTCCATGAAAACACATCCCTCTCACTCATACTCTCAAACAAACGCAGCCCGTCTTGCATTTCCCCACATTCAGTGTACATTGTAGCGAGCGCGTTAGCCACACAGAGAATGGCACCGAAGCCTTTCACTATCACATGAGTGTGGATCTCCTTACCGTACCTAACTTGACGCAAACCGACACAAGCCTTCAAGGCAGTAGGAAATGCATAATCATCAGAAAGATGTCCCCATCTGGACATCTCGGAAAAGTACATGAGTCCTTCCTTGTAACGACCGGCGTGAACAAGCACCGTTATGAATGTTGTCCATGTTACCGTATTTTTATAAGGCATTTCACTGAAAACTCTGCAACTCAGTTCAATCTTTCCAATACACTTGTACATATTCACTAAAGCACTCCCCACGAAGACAGACCTCAGCAGAAAAGTTTTCTCGGCAAAAGCGTGTATACATTCTCCATATGCAGCGTTGGAACTTTGACCACAAGCCTTGAGTGCAGCACATAGAACGAAGCTATCGGCTGAGACATTAGGATCAACACGCATTGCAGAGAATAGAATCAGTGCTTCGTCTGAGTTCGCTGCAGCTACGTATCCCTGCATGATGGTTGTCCATGAAGAGACATCTCTGTGTGGCATTTTATCAAACATTTGGCGAGCAGCTCGCAGATTCCCGGAATTGATGAGAATTTGAAGTTGAGTGTTCGCATCGGAAGTAGCGACTTGATTCGAGATACGGGCCTCATGCTGCACAAACTTCTCTACCGGTTTCTCAAGGAATGAGATCGAAGCCGCACAAAACCGTCGGATTCTGCCTCCATTTCTCACCGTCAAATTCATGTTTTAGTTTTACTCTGCCTGGGAAACATTGACTAGACGACGGGAGTGCTTCCACCCGCCACACAGTTCCAATCTGTTTCACTTAAACGGCACGTTGTCCTTATCAGAGGCAGACGTAAAATTATCAAATTAATTTGTACGTGTTTGAGCCCAATTATTAGGCCTTTTAAGTTTCGATGCCCATTACTAAACGCTGTCGTTTATCATTAATATTAAGTCTTATCACTATAATTTTCTTGGACAAGCTGTCGACTCTAGAAAATTCGCTAAAAGTAAACAAAAATGAAAAATTAAATATTACGTAAAGACCCTTTAAGTTTTCAGTTTTGAATTTTGTGACCTCCTCTTCTTACTGATCCCTGGGCTCTGGCTCTGGTGGCTCTGGCTCTCTTCCATCTCTCAACATTGATCATCCTCGCGAAGATTTTGCGAATGAGAGTCAACTTCCGAGACTGCTGAGCAATGACGTTAACCGTGGAAGAGCTTTGGCTGAGTATGATCCCATAACCATCTTGAAAATTATCCATCCCGTTGCCCAGAAGTTGCCAGAACAATCCTCCAGCTGCTGCGCCTCCTCTTTTCGCGGATCCGTAGATCTTGGTGTACACGGTGTTGAAGACCATGTCTCTCTGCGCCGGAGAATAGCCTGCTTTCTTCGTCGATTTACCAAATTCTGCTAAAATGATTGGTTTGTGAAGAACGTTCTGAGCGTCTTCGATGTGTGCGTCGAGCCATTTGTTTAAGAATTCCATTTGGGATTGCTCGCTCGAGTCAAGGAACCTGCAAAAATCCAATTCAAAAATCAAAATCAGCAAAAAGTGAAAGCACTAAACAGCAATGTTAAAGTTGATGGGCATTAAGTAATTACCATTCGTCCGGGTAAGAGTGAACGGTGACGAAATCAATGCCGGGAATTTGGTTGTTGACGATGAAGTCAGTGCCAAACTGGCCTGGTGGGTTAAGAGTATTGCTTTGAGGTGAAGACTGACCGTAGAAACCTTCGAGGCCAGCTTCAAGCAGATGGTTTCTGTCTATTGATTTCACATGAGCAGCCATTTCACTAATCCAACCCTGTTTTCAAATAACGAACCAACAAGTTAGATCTGTCGCAAAGAAAGACCAGACTGACAAGTACATAGATAGAATGATGGTGTGTAAGTGTGAAACCTGAATGGTTCGTCCGGATGGATCTGAGGGGCAACGAGGTTCGTTCATGAGCTCCCAGGCCATAATGGTTGTGTCATCTTTGTAATGAACTTTGGTGAAGGTGTTGAATCTGTTCAGCACAGCCTACACGAGAAAGGTTTGTGAGAAAGGGATAACTTTTTTGGCTTTGGGTTGAATCAAGACAATAAAGATTAAGGTTTAAATTGTAACCTTGATATGGTTCTTGTAGAAATCTCTAACAAGAGAATCTGTGAAGAAATCGTCTTCAGAAGAGACGGGACGGCCTCGGCTTCTAGCCCAATCCACATATGCCTTCTTCCCTCCAAAGCTCTCGTAGTTATTTGCAAAGCTTAGTATTATCTTTATACCATGCTTTCGTGCTTCTGCTATCGCAAAATCCAAACCCTTTCAGATCACAAAACATCAACAGTGACTCTCAAAACTAGGCCACAAGATCCAAAAAACACACACACACAATGGGTCAAATGGCAGTTACCTGAAACATATCTTCATTGTAAGAGCCAGGGGAACTCTGGAGAGGCCTGTAACCGCCGTCGCTGAACGCCCATGTTCGAGCAACGGTCAATCCATGGCGAGAAGCTTCTTGAAATGCGGCGGAGATCTTAGGCCTTTGGGATGGATCGGAGGCTACGTACATGAGCCAATAGGCATTGAAGCCATTAGCGTAATATGGATACCCATTCAGACTAAACTGAACACCTTTCGTTCTCACGAACCCATCGCTCGACAACGCTTCTACTCGCAGCTCCCAGTAGCATTGTTGGATCACGATCGCTAGAAATGTAATCAGACCCACAAGCTTCATCTTCTTCGGTGTTTTTCTTGCTGTCGTGTACTCTCTTTCTTACTCTCTTCTCGCTCGTCTTTGAGTGGGGTATTTATGGGCTCAAATCATAACCGTTTTAAAGCACAAATCTCTTTTAAGAGTGTTAAACACGCACATTCATGTACTTTTTCTCTTTGCTCTTTATATGAGTGGTTGGTTATTCGATGGTTTTACTTCACAGATTCAAATTGTTATTTACTGTTCTGTAGTTAGTGTAACACTTTAAATGAAAAAGGTGCTTTAAGTAGGAAACGAAGCAGGTGATTCCGCTAATTAACGTAAGAAGTCGTAAGCGTGAAACCAGCAAATGGGTCCCCCCTTAACACGTAATCGTAACAGTACACATGCTTCACTGCTTCGGCATCGGATCACGTTACACGTGGCAGAATTGTGTGTGGATTCTTTGCGACAGCAATCCACGCGTCTTCCGACTCATGGATTACATACAGAGCCCCTCTCACTTCTAATTTTTTATTGACCCTATTTTTATGGGTCGGCCTCTCTATTTAATTTAAAGGCCAAAAGACAAACAACAATAATAAAGAAACTCATGTGCCGTTGCCCTTAGATTTTCGGTTGGGTCAGGACAAAACAAGGACAAAAATTTATTGTGTAATCATGAAAATAGTTTTTCGTTCTTCTCTTCAGTGGGCAGATTAAGTTTGCATCTTTTGACTCACTTTCAAACATATTTCTAATATGTGAGATCAAATCACTCGCACTTTATCAACGAGAGGACGAGGCATAGGCGCAATAAGCGGATCTAACTTTCACCGACTCGACCCAACCTAACACAACAATCCACTCTTAACTTATCCCCCGCCATAAATTACGCTTCAGCTTTCTAGAAAAGCAAAATTTACTATAAATGTTTAATTATCAGGTCGAGAGTCTACTTGCTACCTGTGATTTAGTGATTGTGAAATGAGATGAATATTCGGTGGGTTAGTAAGTGGAATCAACTCAAAAGGACAAAAACAAAAGAAGAAAGAGTTTTATTTCCAAAAGAAATCGTTGGATTGAGATAAAAAACAAAAACTAACCTGAGGCTGAGCCTTATCGGTTAAATACAAACAAAAAAGGGGGAAAGCTAACCTGAGCCGTGCCTGTTGCACTTTCTCATCTTCTTCAAGGCCCATTTGAAGCCCATAAACCAGCAAACTGTCACTGCTCACTACTACATAGCTCGGATCTGTCCTCCATAGCCATAGTACTTGAGAAGTCCCTCGTCTTGTCTCCAGTTCTCTTTCACTTTCACTTCCACCTTCGTTCACCCAAATTGGTAACTTGTTATATTTGGAACATTATTTTTATGTAATCAAAATCAAATTCAATCAACAAATTTATAAGCACCTCGAGGAAGACTTTTTTCTGAAGAAAATCTTCTATGTCGAGCCGTGCAGCCGTTGCTAGCGTTTTCAAAGCTTTCCCTTCCTGCATCGAAACACACTCAACCAAATCACTCAGCACTAAAACTTGTCTTTAGTTTCATCAAATCATTCGCATGGTATGCACTAAGTGAATGTCCACAGAACCTAGCTATAGCATTTATATACCAAGAATGGCTTAACGTTTGGATGTTAAGGGGGTTTGTATACTTACTTTTCCTATAAGGATGATCTTCTGAGAATTTTTATCAACTACTACTTCCACTTGAATAAAATCTTTTGCAGCTGGTCTAGTTTTGTAGCTCAGCACGTTAACCTGCCGCGTCAAAGCAATGATATAGTCAACATGATTAACCACACAACCTTTTTATAGGACTCGAGAGAGAAGAAACCATGTTTGTCATTTTACCTGACATGCATAAGGGACTTCATTTCGGTACTGCATAAAGATCTTCTCTCTAACAATCTCAGAAACAAAGAATCTCTCTGGGTGCTCACTCACGATATCCTAGCAAGTCCAATACCCGAAAGACAATAAGGAACTAAATTGGTCAATAAGCTCTGCTGTAACAAGGAGAGGAACTCAATAGAGACTTGAGAATATACCTTTGGATAATAAGGTGGGCCAAAGGGAAGTTTGGATAGTATCCATTCTTTGACATCCTCTATTCCATGTCCATACTTTGCACTCACAGGTATAACTTCGTCAACATCTGTAAATTTTTCATACCACTGCAAGGAGTTGCAGCATCTCATTAAGCAAAGAACATAGCATGACTCCAAATCTTGATCTCAAGTTTATAGTGAAGCATTCTTCCACCACTGCAAGTTCATTTCTAGAATGGTGGGATTTCAATAACCCATTACCAAAGGTTCAAGGATAGCTACAAAACAACAAAACTCACCTCAAGTTTCTTTGCAATCTCACCGGGTTTGATCAGATCTTTCTTATTCATAACAAGCAACATCGGTGGCTTCTTTTCGAGGTTTCCCAAACCTTCTTTCAACACTTCTTCTATCTAACACATACACACCAGATTCATATTGACAGGGGAACTAAACATACAATTCAGGAGAAATCAAATTAAAAACAGAGAAGCATACTTTTGCAGGCACTTTACATGCATCAACAAGAATCACTACGCAATCCGCATTGATGGCAGCATCTCTGACATTCTTCATCATCATTGTATCTAACCTATGCATCTGCTTCTCTATTACACCAGGCGTGTCATAAAGTATCATCTGCATCAGTAATCATCTTAATCTCTATATCAATCCAAGATAATCTCTAAATTGGTTGAAGAGAAGCTAAGAGAAATCAAACCTGATATTCTGGGCTAGAACATATACCGAGAATCCGGTGCCTCGTCGTTTGAGGTTTATCAGTAACAATCGAAATCTTCTGGCCAATCATTTGATTCGAAAGCGTGCTTTTCCCGACGTTCGGCATCCCAAGCACCGCCACGTATCCTATATGAAATGGTAATCAGCAACCGCTACAGTACAGAATCAATTTCATAGTAGCAAAGTCGAATTGCGGAGGAAACAAACCGCTGCGATGACTAGTATTAGGTGTGTGTCCAAGCTCCTCCATCTCATAGTCGTCGAGCAACGCCATGTTTCTGTCCGGTTTCATGCTCAGGGAGAGGAGACTCGCCTCGTCTCCGATATCGATGTCCTCTTGCTCTTCATCTTCTAATTGAACTTGCTCAACCTCCATTTTGCCGAAGCTTCGTTGCTTAATCCATAGTTTCGTCGGTGAGGCGACTTCCGTCCGGCCATAGCTAGTGGTGCTGTTGTGCGCTTGAAGATGCGATTTGGTCAATCCCCGCCGACTACAGATATGATATGGAGATAAATTAGGGTTTTCAACTACGGAAGTGGAGAAGAATTTGTAGCGGGAAAGTGTAGGCGAAATATGCGGAGAAACCGCCATTGTTGGAGTTGTTTTTGAATTGATAGCTCTCTCACTAGGTCTTTCTTTCCTCAAAGACTGACTGGTTCGTGATTGACGAAACGTGATCTTCAAACGACGCCGGTTTAAATTTTTAAATTTCCCATTTACACCTCTTACTAAATAAAATTGCCAGTTTTCACCTCCGTTTTTACCCCAACTTTCTTTTACGATCAACATTTCCCCCCAATTTAAGAAAATTAAATGTAGGCAAACGCAAAGTAGAAGAAAAAGAAGAATCAAGCAAGCACCAAAAGTCAATAATAAACAGAAAACGAACCAAATTGATATTGAAACTGAGTTATGTTTCTATACATTCTCTTCTCTAGAGCAGGTAAAAAGCAAAGCATTTTCGTATCTTTTATTCACAAGGCCTGAAGCTTTGCTTCGTCTTCAATTTGATTAGGGAGCCTCATCTATTGGTTGAGCTACCTCTGTTAATGAAATTCCGGAAGGAAGGTACGGCCAAGCCAAGACTGCACCACCAAGCGTGATGGTTGCAGCAATTGATCCCCAAATCCACCTTTGTCTCCTCTTTCTCTTTTGCCCGTCTAGCCTTGCCACCTCTAATATCAAGAAGAGAGAGTTAAGCATTGAGATGAGAAAAAAAGAGAACAAATTCTGGCAGATACGAGTTGATTATTATTACCTATGGCGTCTTGGTTGCGTTGGGACATTTCCTGGTTCACAGTCTCGTAATAGTGAAGACGGTCGGACAAGCGGGAGATTTCAAAGTTCTTAGCTTCGAGCTCAGATTCCATCTCCATCTTTACCTCTGCCTTGGCCAAGTCAACGGCTAGCGAGCCAGAGACAAACCTGGTGAGCTCGAGTTGACAACGTAGTTCATATGCAATGTTCATGGTGTATTGGCTGCTGGTAGGATCAAGAGGAACGAACAGATCCACATGGGCCAGCTGCTCTCGGAGTCTCCGCCAATGAACTTGCATTTGCTCTAGAGTCTCCTCTGCTTGCCTCCTCCTCTCGATTTCCATTAGTATACTCAACCTCATCTCCCTTAGCTCAGTTTCAATGTTGCTACTAACTGAACCATTGTCGGATGATAGTTCTAGAAGACAATGAAAGGAAGCTAAGAAGTCAGGCTAGTTCTCAGTCGCACCAATGGATTTACGCATGTATCTTAAGCACAAAGGTGAAGCTGGAAATGTCACACAATGGAAATAATAATTAAGACAAAGAGATGTAGATAAATTACCATCACGAGCATCATAGAATTCTCCCACAGATGAAGGGAGTTTGTGTGAACTTTCAGATCCTCCATAATCTTCTATCTCAGTGTTATAGTAATCTTCAGACTTCCACTCCTTGTTTGCTTTTACTCTGACCGGATCCAACAGGTAACTTTGCCATTCTAAACAAACGGAAGCGTTATTGCTTCCAACCCCAACATTACTGATATGACTTCCAGACTTGTCGTTCCAAAATTTCCCATGAGGCGGACTACAATCCCAAAGAGGGCGTTCACGGACGCCTTTGGTGTGATCCTCTGCAATAGGAAATGATAAGGATGTGATCTTCCTCAAAGTGATAGTAGCCTCCACATCTGCATTTCCCTGGATGTTCTCATCTTTGAGGGATTTCGGGTGAGAAGGCACATCCACATCGGAGGAGCTCTTAAAGAGAGCAGGTCCACGTGCTTTGTGATTGACGATATAGGGAGATGGAGGAGAGGAAGATGGGGAATTTGGAAGGGTGATTTCCTTAGGAGTGGCATAGAGAGAAGGTGACATCTGGGGACGACTCAATGTCTTTTCTTTCGGTTGCTCACTTTCACCCGAAAGAGGTGGCCTCGAATGCAGAGCTTTTGTGCTTGAGATTTCAAGAGATTTGGAATCCCCTGGCTTTAGTGATCTATCCAAAGCGGCAGCAGAAAACGTAGGCGTAGGCATGGTTCTGCATCATTGAAGATTCAACTTAGAAACCAATAGCATCGAGGATTAAACAATCAGAAAGCACTATCCACTGAAATGAGTATAAAGAGTAAACAATAAAGCAAAATCTCCAAATCAATATCAAGCAATTAACAATCTTGGGTAGCTGAAAATTCGATCACGGAAGGAGCAAACAGCAGTAGAGATGATCAAATCATATCATTCAGAATAATTTCAGATCTTCGCTACAAGTAACCATAACTGAATCCAATAGCGAACATCGAGGATTAAGTGAAGATACCCAAACCACAAGACCTAAATTATCAAATAGAAATTCCAGAAGCTAACACAACCCGTAAAAGAAAAGATTACCTCGCGAGCGGAGGAGATCTATGCGAGCATCCAAACGGAGAAGACGAAATGGGAAGGCACACTGAGACTCAGACGGAGGAAGCAGAGAAGAGAATCGATTGATAATAAATTGATATGACATCGTGCGAGAAAGTGTAAAGAGAGTTTAAGATATATACAGAGGGAGGAGGAGGAGGGAAAACAAGGAAACTCTTCTCCAAGGCTTTAATCGCAACAAACACCTAATTCCTAAAACCTCTTCTCCAAGGCTTTCTATCGCATTGACCGCGCTTATCGCGCTTTCTTTCCGGAATCACCCAAACGGCGCCATTTAATGGATTTTTTGTAGTATTCAGAAAACCGCTGACGTGGCATCTCCTCATTTGTGTTTCTTATCGAAGAACAGTAGTTTTCAAGTGTAGTTCGTATAAAGAAGTGTGTTTATAATGACAACTGATCATGCGGAAGAAACAAAGTAATTCATACGATGACTGAGCTGTGTCCTGCTGCTTTAACAAAACCTTTCTCCTTCAATTTCCCTCTCATTTCTTCAACCATATCCCACTTCCCAATCGCTGCGTAGAAATTCGAAACCAACACATAGGTGCTAGAATTAACAGGACCGGTCTCTTCCATAAGCCTCCTTGCTACATATTCGCCTCGTGTGACATCCATATTAAGACTACAAGCACTAAGAACCGCGACCCATATAGCGCAAGGAATGTTTTGATCACTCTTCTCCATCATTCTCTCAACTAGTCTCCATATCTCTTCTGTATCACCAGCCTTGCTTAAGATATCGATGAAGCACACGTAATGCTCTGTTCCAGGAACCAACCGATATTTCTCCTTCATCATTCCAAAACATTCCTTACCTTCTTCAACTAATCCTGCGTGTGCACAAGCCGACAAAACAACTAGAAATGTCACTGAATTTGGTAAAACTCCGCTTCCTTCTTCACACATTTCCCTGAAGATCTCAAGAGCTTTAACACCATCTCCATTAACCGCATACGCGTCTATCATACTCGTCCAAGAAACCACACTTTTGCAAGGCATAGCGCTGAACAATGTACGCGCTTGTACAATCTGCCCGCATTTCCCGTACATATCCAATAAGCCATTGCATAACTTAGAATCTGAAACGAAACCATTACGTAAGGCAACACAGTGTATCTGTTTACCAATCCACAGATCAGAGTTATCAGAGCAACCAGCAAGAGAGCTAGTGAGCACTCTCGCACTGGGTCTCTGCCTACTCATAAGCAGAAACGCTTCCTTGTAGTTGCGGTTTCGAATGCAACCTGATATCAAAGAGTTCAACATCACCTCATCCGTATGAACATTCAAGATCATATAAACCTTCATGGCTTCACTCATTAGCCCTACACTAGAGTAAAAACCGATCATCGCAGTTCCTAAAACCACGAGATCACGTCCTGTGACCACCACCATGGCATGGACTTGCTTCCCTTGCTGCAGAATCTTGAGAGAGGCACAGGTTTTCACAACAGAACACAAAGTGAACTCACTGATTTCTACTCTTTCTCTGTACATAGCTGCGAAAACGCCAAGAGCTTCTTTACCTTTACCGTTTCTAAGGAAACCCGAAAGCAGAGCATTCCATGAGACGACATCTTTATCCTCAACGCTCTCGAACACCGTCACGGAATCAGCCAAGTATCCGTACTTTGAATACATGTTAATAAGCGCAGTTTTGGATATGGTTCCTGTCTCAGCGCCTTGTTTGATCATCAAGGCGTGAACTTGGCGTCCCGTTTCTGGATACGACAAGAGGGCACAAGCGCCGAGTACCGGAGTGAAGGTGTGCGAGCTGAGATCAGGGCTGGCTCGATGCATCTTATGAAAGAGACCCAATGTGCCATTTGGGTTTCCACTGCGGAGGTAGGACGAGAGTTGAGAGTTAAGCGAAGAGAGGTCCCGTTGCGGCAATTCGTCGAACACGTGGTCGGCATGGGCGGCGAAATTCCGCAGAAACACAATTCTGTAAAACAAATTCGTGGATTTTCCAGTGACGTCACCCAGACGAGGCAAACGTGCGGACATGTGAAGGGAAGACGACGATACTTAGTTGGCTTACTTGTCGCTAAAGACGAAACCTATAGGAGCAGAGCCGTAATAGCAAACCTTATATGAAAGGAAAAGGTAAAATACGAGAAATGTCTGATTAACACAAGTTTATTAGACACGAGAAGAAGAAAAGGATCTGAACATTTAGGAAAAGGTTATAACTTTCTTTCTCAAGTTACAAACAGAACAAAACCCTCAGAGAAATGAATGCCTTGAAGCCGAAAACTTTCCAAGTATAAGCGCTGGCCAATGGAACTTACTTCAGCCCAGGAAAACTTTATTTGGAGAAGCAGGAAATGGAGTTGTTGTTTTTTGTTTTTTTTTCAAATCCAACACAAATGAAGAATCTAGAGGAGCCACAAAGTTAAGCGCCTCAAGCTGCTTTCGGTACATTCTCAGGGAGCGTGAGATCATTGAGTACTGAATCATACTCTGCATCGCTAGCGTTCTTCTTGTAGAGAAGCTTCTTGAAATCAGTCTCGTCCAAGTCCTTTGTGTTTTCTGCGGCGTGAACTTGAGCTAAGTTGGAGTAATCCGCAGCCAAACTGGAGAAGAAGGCCCTTTCTTCTTCTGTCACTTTCCTCAGAAATCTAGCTGGATTACCTCCCCAAACCTGTGTTAAGAGATTCGAAGCAAAAATTAGTCTTTATACTTCACCAGAGCTTAAGGAAACAACAAACTTGTGAAGTTCAAACATAAGAGTGTGTCAAGGAAACCTCTCCGGATGGGATTCGAGTGTTCTGCCTAACAAGAGCTCCTGAAGCAACCATGGCATTCTTTTCAACATGAGCTCCATCCAACACGGTAGCACTTGCACCAATATAGGCCTCGTCCTCAACAGTGCAGCCATGTAAAACTGCACTATGACCTGCTCCAAATTTAATTTTCTTAATCCACTACCCTGACTTTAAAAGTTTCACAATTGAGTTTGTAACAGACAATGTAATGAGAATTTACCAATAGTGACATTGTCTCCAATGACAGTAGGTAAGACCTTGCCGCTTAAGTTGGACTTAGCAACGTGGACAAGAGAGTTGTCCTGGATACTGGTACCAGCTCCGACACTGATGCTGTTAGCATCTCCTGCAAAGAACCATGACAAGTCGTTAAATACAATGGAATCAAAGAGTGTCATTTCTCACAAAGAAAGCACATTTGACATTTGTCCAGAAGTACTCAGGCTTACCTCTCAATACACATCCATACCAGATGGAAGAACCTCGTCCCACATGGACATCACCAGTGATAGAGGCGCTCGGAGCCACAAAAGCCTCCTTATTCACATAAGGGGCTTTGTCATAAACATTCATGAGCGTGCGATGCCTCGATACTGGAAAGAAGAGTTTGAGAAGCAGTTAAAAGAGTTGACATTTTAAATCAAATGCTTCATTGATTGTAGTATATGGGGACAAAGGCTGTAGAAATTGGGAAACAGCACATATATGGGGACACAGCTACCCAGATATCGTCACTACTCACTAGCAAAGTTAAGAATCGAGAAAGCCTACATTTAATCATAAGCATTTAGGTCTCTAATCAATAATGCCATCATGAATCATGAACATCAGAGAAAACTCGGATCGTGACGAGAGTAAAAAACGCATCATTTTGCCAAATCCAAACTATGACCGATTCCAGAGAAACACCCAAACATTCAGAAGACCCGACGAGAAATCAAATGAAAATTCATCATCAGGATTAAGATGGAATTAAGTAAGAAACGGCGATCGAAAGACATACGCTGTTCTCGGAAGTGATTCTTCCCTTGGAGGCGACAACCGAGACGATCAAGAGCTTGACCAGTTTCCCGGATCCAGAATCCTACGTTGTAGAATGCTTTCCCCATTGTTCCCATCTTCCTCACGAGAGATTGATTTGCGTTTATCAATGCAATGAAATGAAATCGAAATGGGGTTTTTCGCCGGAACTGAGGAAGAGGAAAGAAGACTGGTCTTTCACGACCCACCCGAATCGTTGGTTTTGTGCTCAAATTTCGGTCGGACCGTTATTAGCCGGTTCGTGAATACATAACAAAATTTAATTAGCCAGTAGGTCGGTAAACTTAGAGCATGTTTAACGCAGAGCGCTTAGTGCAGCGCTAAGCCAAATTTCGATTTAAATAAATCAAAACTAAATTAAAACTGAGAATTCGACGCTTGTTTAGACGTTACAAGCGTCGCCGCTTGATACCACGTGGCAGCTCACGATTCGTTGGGTGAAAATGAGAAAAAAAAAAACTCTTGCTCGCTTCTCTCTCTTCTCTCTCTTTCCCGTCTCCAATGGCGATACAAGATTTTCCCACTCTGAGTTCACTCGATTCTGGATTCGCTAACAATTGGTTTCTCAAATATCCGGCGTCGCAATTTCACGGTGGTGAGTCTCGATTCCTCCCTCTCACCTCTTCTCATACCAGGCGTCTATGTCTTCCATTGGTACACGCCCCTCCCTGAAAAATCTTGTGCTTTCGCTAGATTGAATCGAATCGGAAAAACAAAAATCAATTACATGAATTGAAATCCTTTGCTTATATAGGATGTTGTTGGAATTGTAGCGAAACTATCAGATTGTTGATTGATTATCTCAATGGGTTCCTGAACTAAGACATTATGCACCTGTTGTTCCCATCATTCTTGTCGTTGTATGGTTTTTTTATCTGTTTAAAGGGTGAAGAACTAAAGAAGATTGTTGAGGATTTGATAAATACATTTATACTTGTTTATTCACTGTTTAGTTACATGTTTATGTAGTGGAGTTACTTCAGATTGTTAATGGTAACGGTGTGGGGATGATTGTGAATTAGGCTGTGAGGCTTATCTGACTTAGACGTTTATGTTTGTTATAATAATGTTAGCATAATACAGAAATAAAACACAAGAGCAATCCGTGAATGATGCAGATATGTGTCACAAAAACTTGTTTATATCAAAGTACTTTTTTGGCAAATTCCAGGACTTTTGATGTTTTGTGTGTGCATTGATACTGTTGCTTCTGTATAGCTAGATAGACCTTCATACGCAGAAATAACAAGCTTCAACCATTTGTCCAAATTGTTTGTTCTGTAGATATTTGTGTTACATTGATCTTCTCCTCATGCCCATGGAAGAGTGATCGCTTACATGTTTCCTGCAGTAAATTGATATTCTTCTTATATTTGCAGGGAAGTAACTTTTGCAGAAAGTTGCAGAGTTGGTACCAAGACATCCGGAGAGAGTGAAGAAGCAGGAATCTCAGAAAGCAAAGAAACAAGAACCTCATGGTTGAGATTCTGCAGAAGCTGTGACATACTACAAATTCGATTGAGAAATTTGGCTTTATTGAAAATTTGGCTTTATAGGTGAGTTGGATTCTGCAGAAGCTGTGACATACTACAAATTGGATTGTTGAGCTTCATTTTACTTGCAAGACAGTTTACATTTTTTTGTTTCTTAAGCACCCCAATAAGATCTTCCCATTGGAGCAAAAAAAAACAGAGAACTCTTAATAGAATGCTTACAACAATTTTAATGATAAAATACATTTTAAGCACCCATTAGCGCTCTGCTTTAACCATGCTCTTACATGGTATCACTATCCAGAACTAAACTAATCAGAACCGTTCATTCACCAGTCACCACTACATCCTTTAACAAAACGACAACGCTTTCGGTGTCCAATACGACTCGAGCTAAGAGAAGCTTATCTCAATTCCTCTGTTTACACAACACAGACAACTCTGTTTTTGAATGATGCTCAAATGGCGGTAACCTCCACCTCTTTCGCATTGGAACACAACCTCTCTTGTCTCCAGAGATGCACAAAAGAAGTAGAACTGAAGCAGATCCACGCTCGGATGCTGAAATCTGGCTTGATGCAGGATCCATATGCAATGACAAAGTTTCTTTCTTTCTGCATTTCCTCCTCCAGATTTTCGTCTTATGCTCTGAATGTTTTCGACGGTTTTGATCGACCAGATACTTTCTTGTGGAACCTAATGATCAGAGGATTCTCCTGTTCAGACGAACCCGAGATGTCTCTTCTCCTCTACAACCGTATGCTCTCCTCTTCCTCTCCTCACAACGCCTACACATTTCCGTTTCTTCTCAAAGCTTGTTCGAATCTCTCTGCATTTCAAGAAACAACGCAAATCCACGCACAGGTCACTAAACTCGGATACGGGAATGATGTATACGCAGTGAATTCTCTGATTAATTCATACACTGTGACCGGGAACTTCGAGCTAGCTCACTGTCTCTTTGACAGAATCTCCGAACCGGATCTTGTCTCCTGGAACTCTGTGATCAAAGGCTACGCAAAAGCTGGAAAGATGGATGTTGCGTTGACGTTATTCAGGAAAATGCCGGAGAAGAAGAACGTTATCTCATGGACTACGATGATCTCTGGGTATGTTCAAGCAGGCATGAACAAGGAAGCTCTGCAGCTGTTTCACGAAATGCAGAACTCAGATGTTGAGCCTGACAATGTTACACTAGCTAATGCTCTCTCAGCTTGTGCTCAGCTTGGGGCACTCGAGCAAGGGAAATGGATCCATTCCTATCTTGACAAAGCAAAATTCAAAATTGATTCTGTTTTGGCTTGTGTTCTTATAGATATGTATGCAAAGTGCGGTGACATGGAAGAAGCTTTGGGAGTTTTCAAGAGTGTGAAGAAAAGATCAGTGCAAGTATGGACAGCTTTGATTTCGGGATATGCGTGCCATGGACATGGGAGAGAAGCAATAAGCAGATTCATGGAGATGCAAAAGGTGGGAATCAAGCCGAATGCGATTACTTTCACTGCGGTTCTCACAGCTTGCAGCTATACAGGACTAGTTGAAGAAGGTAAGTCGCTATTCTACACCATGGAGAGAGATTACAACCTGAAACCGACGATCGAGCATTATGGCTGCATGGTTGATTTACTCGGTCGAGCTGGATTGCTTGATGAAGCAAAACGTTTCATTCAGAAAATGCCTATGGAGCCAAACGCTGTGATATGGGGTTCGTTGCTCAAAGCCTGCCATATTCACAAGAACATTGAATTAGGAGAGGAAGTTGGAGAAATCTTGATTGAAATGGATCCATCTCATGGTGGGAGATATGTTCATATGGCAAATATTCATGCCATGGGGAAAAAGTGGGACAAAGCAGCGGAAACAAGAAGATTGATGAAAGAACAAGGAGTTGCTAAAGTTCCAGGTTGTAGTACAATTTGCTTGGAAGGGACCACACACGAGTTTCTAGCAGGAGACAGATCACACGCGGAGATTGAGAAAATTCGAGCTAAATGGAAAATCGTGAGAAGGAAACTTGAAGATAACGGGTACGTACCAGAATTGGAAGATACTGTGCTTGATCTAGCTGATGATGAGGAAAGAGAGGCTATTGTGCACCAGCACAGCGAGAAACTGGCTATTACGTATGGGCTAATGAAGACTAAACCGGGAACAAGTATTCGTATAATGAAGAATCTCCGAGTATGCAAAGACTGTCACAGAGTAACGAAACTCATCTCAAAGATATACAAGAGAGACATCGTAATGAGAGATAGGACAAGGTTCCATCATTTCAGTGATGGGAAATGCACTTGTGGGGACTACTGGTGAAATGTGAGAGAGGAAATAAAAACTTTTATTGCTTAAGAAAATGGATCCACTTTTGACATTATAACAGAGGTTTAAAGCACATTTTTTTTCATCAACTGATGCTTAGAAGCTGTGTTGCGGTCCAAGACTGTCCAGGCTCTAGCTTCACATCCCCAAGCTGAGATTAAGAAACAATAACAAGCAAGAGAGTTGGAAACTTTTGAGTTTTTGTGAAACAGTAAAAGAGTAAAGACTTGGGTGTATACTGATATGTACCTTTGCATTTTCCACGCACACAAAGTCTCTGTAACAAGCCTCCATCTGAATATGTGGATTCCACAAGACAGCATCCGACCAACTGCATTTTCCAAATTCAACTATTACTCATGAGGCACAGATTAATTTCTGAAATGGAAGCATAGAGCCACACATAAGTGTTTTGATAACCCTACTTTGTGTTTTTGATGATGATTTTATCACCCAAGCCATTATCAAACTGCAATTCATTAGGAGCGTCAAGATAGACGCAGTCCACAAATCCAGGAAAAGTGACTGCATCCCTGGAACGTTTAAAACATGAAACATGAGAAATCAAAATAAAAAAGATCTGTAGTTAGCCCAATATGCTTCTGGTAAACAAACCAACCTGTCTTCTTTACCCTCAATAGGGTTTTTAGGATCAGGATCCTTATTGAGAGTCTTACAACCCTTAAGACCTCTCACGGATGCCCCCGTGACAGAAGCCTGATGAAGCCAAGAAAGTCATAAAACGAAAAAAGTTGGCTACATGGACTCAGTTTGCAAGCTATAGATAGTAGCAAATCAAGGGGTAAAAACAAATGACTTCCAACTCCAAAAGCTGATCGAAATAAAAATGTAAGCTTGGAGAATACCTACACGAAAGTATGTATGCAATGCTGTGTTGAACGAAAATGGTTTGTTGTCCGTATTTGTTATCTTAAGCTCCGTGGAAAGGGAGTCCGCGCCAACAATGACCTAAAGCAACAAAACAAGTGATCTGTTAAACCAAGCAGACACGAGCTCCACTGATCAAAGAACGATAAAGGCAGCACAACAGACCTTGTACAGAGCCTGGAAACCAAAGTCCCACATAGCTCGACTATAGGGACCATCCTTGAGCTCAAGAGTTACAGCAGCACTGTCATCTGCATTCTCGGAATCGACAACAGACCAGTCCATGTTTCTTCCAAACCCATGCTAATATAATGATTCCAAAATGGTTCAAAACCATGTAAGCAGAAGAGCAATGTACAGAATTGATCAGTCATGGAAACACAAAATGAGCACCTGTTGAATTTCTCCAGGTCCAAACTGTGGGAAACAATGTGGAATCCCTCCGCTGATCCAATAACAAGCATTGTAATAGGAAAAAGAAGAGAAATTACTCACATTTTCTAGTTAATAAATTGTATAAGAATAAGCAAATTTGATGGTCACACTCACACCTTATGGGTTTAATCTTATTGAAGACAGCATCTGGTCTGACGAAAAGAAGATCTTTCCCACTCGCAACTTTCCAAGATGTAACGCAGCCTCCAAACAGATATATCTCTGCTTCGCTGCATCCAGTCGGAACAAAAACAAATGAGATATAGTTACTACTCTATCCAGTTCTCTGCCCCAAATTGAATTGACAACAAGGAGCTGTGACTCTAGAATCTAGATTATAAACTACACACGAATTACTACGAGACAGCGAGAGATCGTCAAGAGTTTTTTCTTACCTTTTCTGAGGAGAAGTGAGGACGAGTTTTGGCAAATTGCCTTCTCCCTCTGCGACTCTCACTCCAGTAGTTGAAGAAGCCATGGGAGATAATCTTCTTCTGTGAGAAAAGAGAATGGATTATAATAAGATCGGTTTCTCGAGATTGTTGTGGATGGAGAATGGATAATACAAATGTAAGGTAGACAAAATTGAGGTACCCAGAATCCAGATACACTAAAAAAAAAAGCAATGCAGATTGAGTAAGGGAGGAAACTACCTTGTAATTCGGAGCTGATTCGGAGAATTGAAAGTGAGAAATGAGTTGGAGACGGAAACCATCGCCATGTTTCTCTCCTTCAGTCACTCTCTATCTATCTTCAAACAAAAAGAACACAACAGACGGAGGAAAATGAAATGGCTCTTCAATTGACGGTTGGGACCCCAAAGCTCAACGTTGACCTCTTCAGAATAATCGTTTCTGGTTTACGAATATCCGGCATTTGTTGCTACCAAAAAACGCTAGAGGGAGGGGTCGAACCTCCGACCTTGTGGTTAACAGCCACACGCTCTAACCAACTGAGCTACCCCAGCTTCTTGACATTTGTAATGTATTATGAATCTTAGTCCTTGTTCCTTCTCACTCCCACTTAGAGAAATGATTAACACAGCAAATCCAAAGCTGAGCAAGAATGAATTACATAACCATCATCGTCATTCCATATGATTATTGAATTTTATCTTTTGGTGCTAGTAACAATTACTTTGTGACTCTTGACTCTTGTACGTAAATGAGTAATTTATAACAGTCAACATTTTGTCTCTGCCAAAAAAGGACATAGGGTACAACAAAACTCAAATTTGTGAAAGACAAGTTTCATGGTTGACTACTATGCCAAACCACCGGTCCGAACAAAATCTCGACTTATGCCTTAAACTAGTACAAAGATTAAAGTATTTCTCGCATACAAAACTGTTGTTTAATCTAAACCTTGAAGCTGACTCTGTTTTGAACGTTTCACAAATCAAGTGCAAATGCTCTTTGACTGAAATCTTCTCATCTTGAATCTGCCTCTGTAATTCTCTTCTCTTTTCACCGTTCTTCACTGCCTGTAACTTCGATAGAGTAGGCAACATTCAATATTTTAAGCTTTTGAATACTAATCACAATTTCTAGTCATGTAAGAGCATGGAAAAATACCCATTTTAGGACTTGTCGGTGGTTGTATCCCGCGCCTTTTTCACAGGCTGATTTGCAGATGCAGCTGTTTCAGAAATTCAGAGAGTAAAAAAGTAAAGGGGTTAGAAACAAGTACTTTGACAATGTATGGGTCTCGGCTTATATGCTTTTACCAACTAAGTATGTTCTCTTTCTTATTCATTTCCTTACCTTTAAACTTTCTCTTCTTCGTAGCTCTCCTTCTCTTTCTATCTTCCTGTGTAAGCTCAGACTCATCCTTAATATTGCCTTTCCCAGTAAAGATTTCCTCTGGGGCAAGCATTGCTGCATCTGAGACTGCCACAGGCGCAACCTACACAGTACACATAGACCAACTTGCTAAGTACAATGGTGCTCTGATCTCAAACGAAGAAAAACAGTTTTACGAAAATAACAAAATTACCTCTTCCATTGCTATGGCTGGGACGTTTGTCTGTATAGACAATTCTTCTATTACCTGAAAGTTTTGGCGGAAAATAAAAACAACTTCAGTACACAGCAACTATGTCTCAATATCATCATGGAGACCTGATCGAGAAACATACTGGTTTAGGTGTGAAGTGGAAGTGGGACAGAGAATCCAACTTCAGGCATAGTTTCTTGAATAGCATGCTTGCCTGATTTAACATTTACACATAAGAAAAGAGCGTCTGATATAGAGACTGAAAAATGGAAGGCAGAACACATCGATAGGTAAACACAAAGAAAGAAAGAAAAGGGAAAAAATGGAACCTCTTTCTTTAGTTCATCGGAGAAAGTTGCTGGAGCAAAACCGGGATTAGCCTTCTGAACGTATTCTTCCTGCAAATCACCAAATGGACCAAACACATCTGTAAGTTTGGATATCCCTCAAAAACTCCAAACGCAATCAAATATTGTACATCATACAAACCTCGTAAACTTCGGCAAGACCTTTCTTGCTTTTACCATCGTCCTGCACATTTCCAACAAATACACAAACCGGTTATAGTGTTACTTAAGCAACTGCTAAACCAGAGTGAAAAAGTTCGATAAAACTCACCAGTTCCTTGACTTCTCTTTTTGATTTAGTGGGCACACTAGGTGCTCGTTGGACATCATCAAAACGAGCCTAAGAAGTCACAAGATAAGTTACTCAATGTCAAGGGGAAGAAACAAAGGAGACTTTTGTTACAGATTACTGCCAGAAGTAGTTATACCTCAATGATTCTGCTCTTGATCAACTCTTCAATTGAGGCTGTGAATTCTTCCGTGATTACAGGAGTAGGCTTCTTATTGTGCTCAAAATCCAAATCAACTTCTAGAGCACTGTTCTTCGGCCTCTTCATAGCAGTGACCTATTGGCAAGACAAGTCAAAACACAAATTTAGATACAGAGAGCAACATTACTTTTTTTTCTGAGGAAAACATGGCTGCCTACCTCTCCCTGCATTGTCCAGTGTTTTGGATCCATGTTTGCTTTCTCCATCAGTTCAATCTTCGATTTAAGCTTTAGTAGCTCTTTCTCATGATTAGATAGTTTTTCAGGTCCCTGAAAGACGAGGGAACCAATTAGATCTCATGTACAGTTTCACTAATGCGAAATGAAAATAAGTAAAGCTGATATCGTACTTGGTCTCCACTTCCAGCTTCCTCATCTTCAATTACATCTTTTAACTTCATTTTCGTCTCCTTACTTTTACCGCCAAAGAAATCTTCATACCTATTTATCATAGGAAAGGAAAACAAAAACCTTAGAACAAATCTAAAGTGAAAATGCTCCTAAATCCATGGAAAAACGATTGCAAATGGTTGGAATGCAAAGTGGTTTGTGTCTGTTCTCTGATTAGTTCCATTAGAGAGCATAGAAACCATACCTTGCCTTTCCCAATTTTTCAGCCTCTTCGTCGTCAGCACCAGCAAAAGCACCAAACTAGAGGGACAAAAACAATCAAAGATCAATAGATAGACAAACTCGATAGAATTGTAATCATTCACTCCGCTTTATATTAATAAACAAGGGTATGTTCTTACCTCTTCATCATCATCATCCTCTTCGTCATCTTCATCATCATCATCATCATCGCTCAAATTTTGTTTCTTTCCCTTTAACACTCCCTTCTTATTTTTGTAATCTGTCCCATACTCTTCTGCTTCACCCTCCTCTACAAATGCCTTCATTTCCTTTATCTTGAGGAACTTGTCCTCAATTCCCTCATATTCCTCCTCTTCCGCTTCATCTTCTTCCTCTTCTCCGTCGTCATCTTCATCCTCCTCTTCTCCTTCGATTTCATTAGCTTCTTCTAGCTCTTGATCTTCACCCTCATCATCATCAGAGTCAAATTCATCCATATCCATTTCGTCGTCATCATCCTCATGAGAAACCTTGAGGGCCAATTTCCTAAGTTTACGAATCTCTTCAGGGTTTGAAGCAAATCGCTTAACTTCCTGCCGTAAGCTAGACAACACAGGTTGAGACTGCATATCAATTTGCTGCCAAATCTGCTCGGCGTCAAACCCATCAACCAAGAGCTGGTCAAAAGGAGATTTGGGGTTGTAAGGCTTCAACTTGGTGAATAGATACTGCAATGCAGCGCGAGCCTCCTCAGATATCGAACTTGGCGCTAGAAACACCGGAGGTTCAGTTGACTTAAGCTTCTCAAGGGCTTCCAAGCCCGAATCCTTTACAGTAGCCATAGATTAACGTATCAAATCGGTGTGCAAGCAGTGCCCTCGAAATTAGGGATTCTGCAATGGAACGAAAGCAGTGAGGTTTATCGATGGCGGTGATGAAGGTTGTTTAAACGGCGGTTAGGTTTGGGAAGAGGAACACGGGAGAAGAGAAACCTTATAAACCCTGCGAGATGACAAACTAAAAAGTCCCGATTCTCACTCAGCTAGAGAGAGTTTTGCCTTATTCATTGGGCCAATATTTGAGCCTTTAACTTTGTGATTTGGCCCAGCTAGCGTTATTATTTTCTTAGCAAGTATTGCCACGGTGATTAAATGTGTTACAATATTTATGACTGAAAAAAAGAAGACAGGATTCGATTTTTTTTGTACTGTGAAAAGCAGAGTATAATAAACGTTGGGGAATTAGTACAAAATTCTGTAAAAATATTAAGTGTAAAATGCAAAATGTTATTATGAGGATTGAGGAGCGCCAATTGATACGACAAGCTAAGGTCAAGGACTCGAGAGGAAGAAAAAGACAAAACAACGGTCAAGTTACGAGATGGCCGAGCATAATACGACAAAGATAAGTTCATTAAATCACTACAACTCTGTGAATGTTCAGACATTATAAATCTAAATTATAGTCAAGGACTTTCCCGTACCATTAGACGATCGGATCATGAAGTGTATAGAGAAACATTTTAAATTTAAATGGTTACTCTCTTTGGTTGTTCGTTTACTGCTCCTTTCTATCACCACGTAAAGTCATACACAAGACTCGTTGTCGCGCCACATAAAGTCTCCACAAGTGGAACGGTTCGCTGTTAACTCCATCTCGATGGCTGCGTATCGAAGATCAGTTCTCGGCTGCGTCATGACTTTACTGATTTCCGTACTGATCTTCCGCGACGTTGCTGCCAGCTGTTACCGCCGTTGTCGTCCTCTTCACTTCTCTTGAAACGAATTCCACACGCATTGCATAACGACTCCATTACATTAATTAGAAGTTAGAACATTAGATTAAAAAATAGTTAAAAAGCTTAAGATGGTATGAAAATACACATAGAAAAAAGTATTGAAGATACCTTGGGACCTCGAGGACCATTCCTCCATAGAGGCGTAGACGTTGTGTCACAGTTGGTACAGCGGTGGTCGAGTAGAGAATCGCTGCCGCTCGAGACCCCACGACTATAACAGGGAAGGGCGTTAGACGGCGACGTTTTGGAGGTGTCCGAGAAGTTGGAGATAGAAGAGGAAGTAGACCCTTTATCCTTCTCGTCTTTCCCAGAGAGCCGCGTGGAGGGAGTCCCCAAAGAGAGAGTGCAGTCAACGGAAGAAGAAGAAGAAGAAGACGAGTGATTATCATACTCTGTCTTTGTGTGTGTTGGGGTAATGCTTACAAGGACACGGTTTTGTATGTTGGAACCGCCATCTCTCATCTCATAGCAGCAAATGTGGCTGTGATGGTAAAATACTCCGCAAGAGTGACAATACTGCCCCTGTGTCATCTCAGCTAGCGATCTGTTGGTGAAATATCTAAATGAAACCTTTTTTCGGAGTAGGGAATGTATGTTTCGAGGGTGGATACTGGTGAGTGGAGATTAATGGTCTCCTGCTATTTATAGTAGTAATGTATATATGTGGTGTGTCTCTGTTATAGTAAATAAGGAAGCCAAAGTAAATTAAAATGTGGTGCGGGAGTCACTGGAGAAGATTGGTCAAAAGAGGCCACGTGATTAGGGGGAGGACTGAGGAGGGAGTACAGTGCTGTACAGTCATCACAGGAATTGCCAGTCTCCGATCACGAGGTTTTGTTATGATTAACGAGAAGAATATTCGTATAGAGATAGATTTTGCAGTGTTAATAGTTTACGAGACAGAAAAAGCTAATGAACCGAGGGAAAAACCATTGGACAAAACGCAAAACCCTTCTATACATGGAATCTAAAACTGTATTAGTGTGTATGTATATATAGAACCCTTTTTGTTCCTCTGTCTCTTCGGGTTTTGGCAAGAGGTAGATTCTCATGTTGAATATTGGAATGAATTTATGTTGATGGGTCAAACCAGATGATCTCTAGAAGTAAAAGAGAGGTCAAAAAGGAGATCTCTAAACTTTTTCCCCTTTTTAATATCTAGTCAAATCATTCTGATAGCACGATAGACATGTAAAAAAGTGTTGCCGTTACGGGCGAAACCAACCACAACCCATTTCCACTACGTTCTCTTTAATCTTAATCATTTGCGCTGACACGGCCCATGTTTCTAGTAGGCTTATAGCAAAATAGTCCAAACAGTTTGGTAGTGCTCTATACTTACGCAAGTGATTGGTTTGTACTTTTAGTGTAAACACCAAACACTTTGCCTCAAAGGTTGGGAACTGGGAGAGTTATCAATCAAAGCATATGATGATAAAAGTTATTTCTTTCGAGCAAATGAAACTTTTGAAATCTATATCATCAGTACCTCAGAATCATGACACGGTAAATCTACGTTTTACCCCACTTACAGCAGAAACGATTGATTAGAGAAGCAAACAAAAAATGAAATCTCAGAGTATGAATCTAAGCCTTCCTACATAATCAAAAGTGGGGCTTTGAGCTACAACACCTCGCTGATAAATTTTTCTGTGAGTTCTTTAGGAAGTCCCATGACTGTATCAGCTCCTCCAACCTTCAATATTACAACAACAACAAAAACTCTTTCAATATCTTTGTATTCAAGGCACGGCTGGAGATAAAACACGAGAAAGTTCTTGTATTCAAGGCACTAACCACAGTATCGATAAAGGGTGAAATGAGAGGATGCTCCAATGTTAAACCTCCAGCAACCTTGAATGTTATCGCATCATCGATCTGAAGATTGAAAATAAACACAAACTCACATGTTAAACCGACTGAGTTCAAGAGATTTGATAGTAAGAAGAAGAATGAGAGTGGCTTTTAGAAGTTTTACAAGATCGTCAATGACTTGTTCTGGTATCTCATGGAAATAAACCTGCGTCACAAACAGCACTCACATACATCCCCACAAATTGTTCAATCAATCCACAAGAAAAGTTTTGAAAACAAACAAGAAAAAGGTATGTGTGATGTGTGATGTGTACCTCTGCTTTGTCCCATCCTCCTCTTCTAACTCCAGTTTTCAAGTTTCTTACAATCACAGATCCCACAACGCCTCCGTGTGATCCGGAATAACCTGCGTTGATTTCAAACACACAACATTCCGTTACATATTTGATTAGCTTCTGTCATAACTCTGAAGGCAATAATAAATTTGGACCAAAAATAAAACCTTTGATAAACTGGCGAGCTTCTTCCTTGCTGGTTGGTTTTTCTCTGATGACACCTTTGTACACAACCACCTAAGAAACTCCATCACAGTTTAACTAGCATCAGCTAAAACAGATTATCACAGAAACAAATTCTAATCCAAATATGATTTGAGGCGTTAAGCCTTAAGCATACCGTGTCTGCAGCAATTAGTAGAGTTGGTTCAGGATCCTGCGCAAACTGGCTTACACCTCCCAGTTTCGATATTATCTCATCTGCCTTTAAACATTTTCAAAACAGTCAGTTTACAAATCAAAAAGTAAGCAAATTTGCAAATCGATTAGTGAAGCCGGAACAAACAGGAACAGAGTTAGAATACCTTGGCTTCAGCGATGGCCACAACCAAATCTTCAGGCTTCTCCCTCCTAATAGCTTTCTCATCAATGTCTGCCGTCTTGAACCAGAAATCCAATACACATTTCAGATTACAATCATTTGATTTAAACACTGAAAACTACCAAGCAAAGGAAAAACATACCACGATAGTGAAATTATACCCCATTTCAGCGAGTATCCTCTTTCTCGCCATGGATTGAGAACCTAAAATCAACTTCACATTTGACATTTTTTGGCGTCTCGTGAGCATTTGAATCAATCGAGTAAAGAAACGAATGGAATCTAAACGGAAAGCAGAGAGAGAGAGACAAACCTTGAATCCTCTCTCCATCGCCTTAGTCGCCATGGTGTTGTGCTCTAGCTCTGAGCGGAAGCGGAAGAGTGACGAAGGAAATATTACGAATAAGAAAAAGGGTACAAAAAGAATGGAGATTGAATTTTTGAGCATCTTTTTAAAAAAGATATTATTCTATACTTTGTTTTGATATTTTGCTTCTATTGCCTCTCCATTGATTCCATAATATATAGTTTTCAACCTTGTTTTAACTAATTTAGCTTCATTCCATTTTCTCTTTATGCTTAATTTCAACAACATTTTCCATTTGTATAAATAGTGTTATTTTAAACGTGGAGGGATATTATTTGTAGATAATATCGCAAATTCTTTTAGGAAAATGATCTTCCAATGGCTGGAAAAAAATGCAGAAGTGGAAAAGTGAATATATCTATCCAATTCCAAGCAACTCTGACCTTTCAAATCTTTCTACACAGCCTGTTTTGTCCAATTAGAAACACGTCGCGTATTTAAAAGAGCAGAGTTTGCAACTCAGAAAATAACCGGGCCTCTTTTGTAAACACACAACTGTAATATCAAGGCAAAATAGTTGAACTATATTGTAAATTATTAAAACTATTGGAGCTATATGGTAAATACGTATTAGTAAGGGGCATATATTGACAAATTTATAAATATAAGGGCTGTTATTCAAATTCTCAAACAGATTGAGACTATTGTGTGATTCGTAAAACTATTGAAACTATTTTGTAAATACGTGTAAGTGTAACTTTACCTGGATGCCCTAAACCAGCGAGCGACGACATCGGCGCCGCAGAAAAAAACTAGCTTCGATGATAACTCTTCTCCGAGACGACGATGAGGAAAGTGACATAGACGAAGCCAAAATGCTACTTATTGGCGCGAATGGAATCGACGGTGAGAGTGTCTCTCCTCTGCCTGACGGTGCACAGGAGCTTCAGCAGTACAATATCCGTTCGATCGAGTCAACGGTCGTAATCCGCCAGCTGACGTCACAGGGTCTCTCCTTCCAGCTCTGGCCGGCCGCCTCTACTTTCGTCAAGCTGCTGGATGATTATCGCCGCGACCCTAGCAACAGCCCCCTCGCCACCACACTCTCGTCGCTGAAATCGGACGGTCCTGATTCATCGTCCCCGATAAACATACTCGAGCTCGGATCTGGAACTGGGATCGTCGGAATAGCTGCCGCCGTCACTCTGTCCGCTAACGTCACGGTGACGGATCTCCCACACGTTCTCGATAATCTCAACTTCAACGCGGACGCAAACGCTCAAGTTGTGGGGAGATTCGGCGGGAAAGTCCACGTCGCACCGCTGCGATGGGGTGAATCTGATGACGTGGCGCTTCTAGGCGGGAACGTTGACCTGGTTATAGCGTCTGACGTGGTGTACCACGACCACCTCTATGAGCCTCTACTCGAAACGCTGCGTTTGATGATGACAGCGATGCATTTAGAAGGGAAAAGGTTGATATTCCTAATGGCTCATCTAAGGAGATGGAAGAAAGAATCTGTCTTCTTCAAGAAAGCTCGAAAGCTCTTCGATGTTGACGTCATACATTCTGATGTTCCTCCACAAGGTTCCAGAATCGGCGTTTTGGTTTACCGTTTTGCCACCAAACAGCCAAAACAAAATGGTCGGACTGTTTAAGTGTTTGTAACTGTTAACTGTTGAATTTTCAGGATTCGCTTCCTTAATAAAAATTACCAAAAATGTTTGTCAATTATAAGCATTTAAAGCTACGTGGAGTCTACTGTCTACGTACAGTCCAAAAGACAATTCAACAAAGCAGCCTCTCGAGTAGGGAAACTCTCGTACCCATAGATTTTTAGATTCTGACATCAATGTGTTTGCTTCTTTTGGAGTTTGCGGTCAAAGATCTCGTTGACCGTTTATTGTAATAACCAAGCATAGGTTTTAGATTCTGACATCAATGTGATTTGCTTCTTGTTTAAGTGAGCTTGGTTTTATCACTTACTGTATGTCAGTTAAGAGTTAAGTATACTCTCACATAACTTGTATAATTAATTATTCTGTTTTTCTGAATATGTGAACTCGTGTTTTATGGTGTGAAAGTGTGAATGGACGAGACGGTGACAGGTAGTGAAACGATTGTTTCGTCGCCAACATCCACTAAATGACTTTTTCTCCTAATACGTGAGATCATAAGAAATAAGCCGAACGTAAAGAGAATAAGTAAAATTGGGTGACTTTCTAAATTTTTAGGGGGCAAAGTCTACAATTACTTTGATTGTTTTCATTTTGATGTTTTTGGTCGTATGCTGTTACTAGATGAAGTCGAATAAATTGCATCCATGCTAAAAAAGACCATGAATACACGGTACACCACCACATGCAGGAGAACAAAATTACAAAAGGCAACAAATATTTTGGAAATTAGTCTATATTTCGCTTTTATCAATTTTGACAAAAGATGAAATTAAGATACCAGGTAAGGTAGGTGAGCTAATATAAGTATTCACATTTTGAGTAAACGACCAACAAAATGATCATTTGGCTAAGTAAAATTAACTTATACTCCTACGAATACAATAAACGAAACAAAGTACGAAGAGAGATGTTTGTATCAATAAATTCAAATGAGGGGTCTACAAACAAGTATAATAAACACGAGCACCGTAATGTTTGCTTCCACATTCAAAATTTCAAAAGGTCGATTTATTATTTTTTGTTTGTTTTGTTTGTTTAAAACTGTGGATGAACAATGCATTGAAAGCTGCACATACTTTTTCTTTTTCTCTTGCTCCGCCCTTTACATCTATAACTATTGCAATAAATATATCATATAAAAACAGTTAATGTCTCCATTGCATTCCACATGGTCTTCCTAAACGTCAAATTTCCCAATTTTCAGAATTAGGTGAGACATTGTTATCGTATTAATAATCTAAAAAACAGTCGAAATATATAGGGACCCAAATATATATGTCTGCCACTTAATTTGTTTAACTATATCCTCGCCTAGTTTAGATGATTTTTTCAGAAGTTTAATAAAAGTCAATTAAATACGAGTAAAATCATTTGTTATATTTTGTTATATCACTGGAATAACGCATTTCAAAGAGACTAGAAAGCAAAAACGGGAGTGTTTAGTTTAAATGATTAACAAATGAGTGGGATTTTTGCTTCTCCCAACGCGTAATTTATCTGAAAATGTGTCGTGTTGAGACTTGAGAGTAGTTGAGATTCTTGCTGTTCTCCAACCAAAAGATTAAATTTTACAAAAAGAATTAAAGGAAAAACCGAGATCCCCTTTTTCGAAATCCGAATAATTGTTTTTAATCGGTCTCTTTCTCATGATTTAGGATTCCAATTCCTTCCCTTTCCTCTCTCTCTATTTCTCTCCATATTCTCTTTAGAAAGAGAGAGGTTTTGTTTTTTTCTTCAGAGTGTTGTCTCCCATGGCGTCAGAGAAAACTAGCTCCAAGGGTCAAGCATGGTGAAGAGAGCTAACACTGATCTTGAATAAGAATGTTTCTTTTTATATGTGTGTGTAAAGACATTAATCGTTCCCATTTGTTTTTTTTTTCTTGATGCAGGTTTTGTACGACTGGCTTGCCTAGCGACATTGAAATCGAAGTGGATGATATGACATTTCATCTCCATAAGGTGTTCATAAAACGCCTGAGATTTGTCTTCTTCTTTGATCTCCTGAGCTTTTTTCTTTCTTTGCCTCACAGATTTTTATTCCTTTGTGTTGTTTCTACCTCTCCAGTTTCCTCTGATGTCAAAAAGCAGGAAACTTCACAGATTGATTACAGAGCAGGAGACGAGATCATTTTCTACTGTAAATCCCCAAACTTCCATGGTGCTTACTGTAGATGAGAGTGACAAAAAGAGAAAAGGCCATGACGAACAAGAAGAGGAGGAAGTGAAAGAGATTGAAGAAGAAGAAGAAGAAGAAGAAGAAGAAAACGGCTATCCTCGCATAAGGCTCCAGGATTTTCCGGGGAGTTCAGAGAGCTTCGAGATGGTGGCAAAGTTCTGCTATGGCGTTAAGTTCGACCTTTCCGCTTCCACTACTGTTCCGCTTCGCTGCGCCGCCGAGCATCTCGAAATGACGGAAGAGTATTCCCCCGATAACCTCATTTCAAAGACGGAGAGGTTTCTCTCGCATTCCGTCTACAAGAGCTTGCGAGAATCCATCAAGGCTCTGAAAGCTTGTGAGTCAGTCTCGCCTTTAGCCGGATCGCTTGGTATAACGGAACAGTGCATAGCTTCCATCGTCTCCAGAGCTTCCTCAGCCGATCCGTCGCTGTTCGGTTGGCCCGTAAACGACGGCGGTGGTGGAAGAGGAGCTGGAGACATCTCCGCCACCGACTTACCGCTCATCCCCGGCGGCGTGTCGAAAACGGCGGATGCGCGGAGGAAGAAGCAGAGTAAGGATTCGAATATGGAGCTGTGGTTTGAAGATCTGGCGCAGCTAAGCCTTCCGATCTTCATTACTGTGATCGTGTCAATGAGATCGGGAGATCTGAGCTCTGACGTCATAGAGAGCTGTTTGATTTGTTACGCTAAGAAGCACATTCCCGGGATTTTGCGTTCTAACCGGAAACCGCCACCGTCATCCTCAACCGCAGCTTCGGAGAATGAACAGAGAGATTTACTGGAGACGATAACCTCTCACCTTCCAATGGATAAGAGCTCAATCTCGGCAACCACGAGGTTCCTCTTCGGTCTATTACGAACGGCCATCATCCTCAACGCCTCCGATACCTGCCGTGATACGCTCGAGAGAAAGATCGGATCGCAGCTGGAGCGAGCCACGCTCGACGATTTGCTCGTCCCTAGTTACTCTTACCTCAACGAGACACTATACGACGTCGATTTGGTAGAGAGGATCCTGAGCCACTTTCTCGACACCTTGGAGCAGTCGAGCACCGCCATTGTCGAAGCCGACGGACGATCTCCGTCGCTGATGCTAGTCGGGAAATTGATTGACGGATTCCTCGCGGAGATTGCATCAGACGCCAATCTCAAATCGGATAAATTCTACAATCTGGCGATCTCACTCCCCGATCAAGCTCGACTCTACGATGACGGACTTTACAGAGCCATCGACGTATATCTCAAGGTAATCTAATTACATGTATAGATAGAGTTTCACCGGTGATGTGATCGGAGAATTGGATCTGACTTTTTTGTACTTGCGACTGTAGGCGCATCCATGGATATCGGAAGCAGAGAGGGAGAAGATATGCGGCGTGATGGATTGTCAAAAACTGACGCTAGAAGCGTGCACGCACGCCGCACAAAACGAGCGACTTCCACTACGAGCCGTCGTACAAGTCCTCTTCTTCGAGCAGTTACAGCTCCGCCATGCGATCGCCGGGACGCTACTAGCGGCTCAATCGCCCTCTCCGTCTCACTCAACGGAGCCGCGACCGTCAACAACAGCAGCAAGAAGGAATCTAACGATAACGGAAGCAGTAGCGGAAGAGGACGGTGAAGAAACGAGGGGAGAAGGACAGGTGGATGCTGGGAAATGGAAGAAGACGGTGAGAGAGAATCAAGTGCTTCGCTTGGACATGGATACGATGAGGACACGCGTTCACAGATTAGAGAGAGAGTGCTCGAGCATGAAGAAAGTGATCGCGAAGATCGATAAAGAAGGTTCGCCGGCGACGACGACGACCGATCGGCCGAGAAGTTGGTCGATTACGAAGAAATTCGGATGCAAATTCAAGACACAGGTCTGCGATTCGCAAGAGGCAACGATGGTTGATCATAGATCACGACGTTCTTGAAGTGTTTCTACTCGTTAGTACAGAATCTGAACGCATATGATTCTTGGGATTTTTATTTGCTAATCCTTCGTGATTTCTTGCCATGTCATGTTTGCTTACACAAATGTGAACCTTTTGTGAGTTTTCAGTTTTGTTGTATAAGTAAAACGTGTTCGAGTTAATAATTCCAAAATTGACGTAAGGCCCAGAGCCCATTTCTAATTTCCTGACAAAGTGAGAGTCACACGTGTTAACCTGCCATTTAATATGATATCCAACCAAAAGATGACATGTAATAACATCACAAACTGGGCCGTTTTCTTAACTATTTTGTCATGGGCCGTAACTCTGGGTTTCTTAACAAAAGAAGCGACGTAAAACCCTAGCCCTATTTTAATTCTGCTATAAATTAACCGCCTTCCGCCTAATCAAAACATATGCACGATCTGACTTCCGAACCCAACCTATGTCTATGTCAATTCCCTCGTTTTTCGTTTTTCTCGTAAAATTAAGCTCTCTTCGCCCCTTCTTTTTGATTTCATATGAATCATCGGATCTTCAGTATTTCCAATTGTGTGCAAATAATCTGTTTCGATTGAATTATTCTTCTTTCATCCGGTCGTTTTGTTTTTATCAAGCTTTCAGTTTTTTTTTTTAAAAAAGAAGAAAACATTCTCAGTGATGAAGAACCAATAGATGACGAGTCCGAAATCCATTCATAAAATCGTGGGGACAAACGAGGCATTTGTCTGAGAGGATGATTTTTTCTTGTTAAATCTGAGTTTTTATTTTTATGAACGAGTAGAAGGGTTTCTCAGTGATGAACAACCAATAGATGACGAGTCCGATCAATCCATTCTTTAAATCGTGGGGACAATCTAGGCATTTGTCTGAGAGGAATTCCTTTATTCAACTTACAAGTTTTTAATCTAAAAAAAATGTTGAGAAAAAAGGCATAATGAGGATTGTTTATTGTCATCTGATTCATCTTGATGATTCAAAACCTCCTACTCATTCTGAGTGCCTTTTCTTTCCTTAAATTTACGATCCTTATTTTCCAGGAGTCGACGATATTAGTAGTATTCTGTAATTCGGATTCTCCTAAGAGTGACAAACAGCATATGCTGTACGTTTTGCATCAAGAACAACTCTGTGTCGAACTAGCGAACTACCAACAAAGTGGACTAAATTCAGCTTATTGCAAATGACAATTCACAACTGTTGCTTAATTGTAATAACTAGTTAAATTATAAGATTTATGAAACGTTTTGGAGAACAAATATTTTGAACATCGTATCGTTGTGGACATAGGCTACTTCAAAAAATACATAGGCTATACATCCCTTACTACTAAAACATCGAGATATAGAAGTCGCAATTCATGCTGTACATAATTATATCCCTTCAAACATTAGTACCTAGTTGATTAAACATTGGTCTGCCCAGCCAATTAGCTCACTGACAATTGCAATTAGGAATTCTCAAAACAAGCAAAAAAAAACATAATGGCCATACAATTTTGAATGTTCAACAGCAAAGGCCCATTAGCTCAGTTGGTTAGACCCCGAAGGTCGCAGGTTCGAAAACTGCATGGGCCAATCTTTTTGTTTTGACAATTGTGCTATACAAGTCAGCATCCCTGACTGAGACAGTATCCATATCTGCCACTTAAGTTTTCGACACGTGGCAACAGAAGAAACCAGTCACTCCGATTCTCAGAAAACAAACCAATGAAAATGCTCGCCTTATCCCAATCTTATCTCTCTGCTTGGATTGATTATTACTCTTTAGTCTTTTCTTTCTTCCTCAGCTTTGGATCACAAACACCAAAACCATCTGAGAGACTCTGTGGCCATGGCAGCCTCTATCCAGTCCGCCGCCACATTCCTCCAGTCGGCGAAGATCGCCACCGCTCCTTCTCGCGGAACTGCTAACCTCCGCTCCACTCAGACCGTCGGCAAATGTTTCGGGCTAGAAACTTCCTCTGCTCGCCTCACTTGCTCCTACCAATCTGAGTTCAAGGACTTCGCCGGTAAATGCTCCGACGCTGTCAAAATCGCCGGATTCGCTCTCGCCACCTCTGCTCTCGTTGTCTCGGTAACTTTCTTTTATCTCCTACGAACTATATAGACTGAGCAAGAAACATAGTGAAAATTGAGTAACAGAGAAGAAGAGCTTACCTGTGTGTGTCATAAATCGTTTCTGATTCGTATTACTATTCGAAATCGTCAAATGAGTTTTGAATTAGACCAACAACATTGCAGAACACGTAAACCAGTAACATTTTCAGATTGGCATAATAGAATGCGAAAAGGAATCTTCCTAATCTTGTAATCTTCGATTCGTATAGATCAAATCTATTAATAATATCTTCTTCATTAGTATCATACTTAGTTGTTTATGACTTGTGCCAATGAAAGGGAGCAAGTGCAGAGGGAGCTCCAAAGAGGCTGACATACGACGAGATCCAGAGCAAGACATACATGGAAGTGAAGGGAACTGGAACAGCGAACCAGTGCCCAACTATCGACGGTGGCTCTGAGACGTTCTCGTTCAAGCCCGGAAAGTACGCAGGCAAGAAGTTCTGCTTCGAGCCTACTTCCTTCACCGTCAAGGCTGATAGTGTTAGCAAGAACGCACCTCCCGATTTCCAAAACACCAAACTCATGACCCGTCTCACCTACACCCTTGACGAGATCGAAGGACCCTTCGAGGTTTGTTTCCAAACCCTTTGCTTCCACCGCAAGAATCACTCTGCTTTGGGTTAGGGTTTGTGACTGATGATAGTATTTGATTGGTTTTGAGCAGGTTTCTGCAGACGGAAGCGTCAATTTCAAGGAAGAAGACGGAATCGACTACGCTGCAGTCACTGTCCAGCTTCCAGGAGGCGAGCGTGTGCCATTCCTCTTCACAGTCAAACAGCTTGACGCCTCAGGCAAACCAGATAAATTCACCGGAAAGTTCTTAGTCCCATCATACCGTGGCTCGTCTTTCTTGGACCCAAAGGGTCGTGGTGGATCCACAGGATATGACAACGCTGTGGCGTTGCCAGCTGGAGGCAGAGGAGACGAGGAAGAGCTTTCAAAGGAGAACGTGAAGAACACTGCAGCTTCGGTTGGAGAGATCACTCTGAAAGTTACAAAGAGCAAACCAGAGACAGGAGAAGTGATCGGAGTGTTTGAGAGTCTTCAGCCGTCGGATACTGACTTGGGTGCTAAGGTACCGAAGGATGTGAAGATCCAAGGGGTGTGGTATGGTCAACTTGAGTGATCTTGTTGTTATATTAAAACTTCTTCTGTTCATTGTATTTTGTGATAATGAGAACATCTTTCAATGCTTTCTTCGTTTAGCTCCTATAAAAAAACAAAAAATGCACATGTCCTTTATGCAAGAATCATCATAAACACACACACAAATGGAGCCAAATTTAATCTTATGGTTTAGTGATGAGAAATAACATATTTTGTTTAGTTAGGAGTGAATTGGAAGCGATTTTAGCTTAGGACTCTCTCTCCCTCAATGTGGAGCAAACTGAATCCGTATGTTGCTGTAACATTGTATAACGTTTGGGCCTTGAAACATGCCATCAGACCCAAATTCTATTGTGAAGCCTCCTTCAACATTGAACCACATTCAAAGAAAGAAAATAAGATACCACCCTTAGTTGGTTAACTCCGCAATTATATAATTAGAAGTATTTAATAGAAGTACTTTGATAATCGATGAATATACAAATGGCTGAAACAGTTGGATTGTATGGTACTCTTGTGATACATCTATATGAAATTAGCTGAATAGACTGGTGAGTTGCAAGTTGAAACAATGTTTTATATTTCTTGTAAACAATTTAGTCGAATCTCATCTTGCTTGTGGACCTTACTCTGTATTTAATGTGCATGGGTGTGAATATTAGACAAAACAGTGTTTAGCTTGTAAATTAAAAATAGGTTGGTCTGTGCTTGGTCTTGAATCTCGTGACATGAAAGAACAGTGACAATTGCGTTGGCGTGGGACAGCACATAACAATGCAGACCGCAGACAGATTCTCTCTTAAGTATTCAACCACTGGAATTAGTACCATTATTTAGATTTATTGGGGACATAATCTATTTTATATACTAGAGAGATCGGATACATCGCTAAGAGTAGTACAGATCTTAAATCCACTAGCCCTGATCTTGTAACAGTAGATTGTAAGAGTGTGTGTTAGTACCACCTAATCACATGTTCTAAATCTAAAATCACCATTGTTTTTGAAGCAAATTAAATTCCATTTTACGGGTAATCAATCAGTTCATTTTAAAGAAAAAAATACACTAAAGAGGTAGAGACAGTTATAAAGATCTTAAAATAAATTACCATTAAAAAGATGAGAATTTCAAATACTAGCGACAAGAATATGCCTCGTGCTCAAAATGGTGAACATCGTAAGCAAAATTGTACTATTGTAAAACCAAAAAAATTATATATTGTACTATTGTCCAATTTCACCTCATGTGATAACTGTTTGTTGGCCTTATGTATATGTATGTCACCACCGTGGGCGATCAGTATCCACTCGATTCTGATCTGACATAATAAAATGGTAAAATATGAACTTGGGACAAGTTCTACGTATGTTAAAAGGGAAAACAAAAAAGGTACGTCAGCCACAATATAAAATTTATTACACAAATTTGCCATCTGCTGTTTAGTAATCGGTGGAGACGTGGTTCATTTGATTCCACACCCACACAAGCATAGGGAAGAGATTTTACTCAAAGATATTTATCTGTGTGAGTGTATGAGTAAATAACCAGTCTGAGCTATTTTCTGTTCAGAAAGTATAATATGGTAGGGCAATAAGATATTTACTTATGATCTTTTATAGCTTAAAGTATGCAGTACATAGCCAATGACTTTATCACTTGTTCGATACAACATCAATTCAAATAAATATCTAAAAAAGTAGATCAATAGAGACGATACTCTTCAACAAATCAATCTGAATTACACTTATATAATATTGTAAACAAAACACTAAACAAATCTCGATACAGCTTTTGCATTGCATACCGTCCAACATAGAAATTAGGCACACAATAATTCATAGGTTTCCAATTAATGACACATTCATGCAAACTTAAAAGTAATAATTAAAAAATCAAACGTTAGGTGGTGACTCTTGTATCTACTAACCAAAAAAGGGTCCAAAAGAATCTAATGGGACCTTCTCACACAGATGGGTCCCGCTCACACATGCTAGGCTCAGTCCCTGATGTCTTCTTCACGTGATTGATCGAATTCGAACCCACCGGAGACGCGAAACCTCCCGGCCAACTCAATCTTGTCTGCTTGCCGGCCATGCTTTTGTCCGCCACGTGGCCCGCTCCTCCTTCACCACCTATGCTCCTTCCTATCTCGTTCTCCCGCCACGTTCATCTCTCCGTATTTCCCGAAATACCCCTCGCGCGAGGGTCCGTTTTGTCAAACAGTAACCAAACCATGAGCTGTCATGTTTCCCTGTTATAACTACGCGACAAATCCGACGTGGACTTTAGATTCTCGAGGTTGTCTTCTTCTTCCTCACATTCATATATATAAACTCCTCACAAGGTCTCTCTCAATTCACAATCACAACACAACACAACACAGCACAAGATTAAGATCTTTCTTCATAACACTGTTCTACACAAACCTCAAACTCACGAGTCAACTGAGAAATGGGAGCGTGTGTTTCACGTGAATCTATGAGTGGGGATTCAGCGAAGGTTATATTGTTCGATGGAACTCTACAAGAGTTCTCATCTCCGGTTAAAGTTTGGCAGATCTTGCAGAAGAACCCCACGAGTTTCGTCTGTAACTCAGACGAAATGGACTTCGACGACGCCGTTACTGCTGTCGCCGGAAATGAGGAGTTACGATCGGGGCAGCTTTACTTCGTTTTACCGCTGACGTGGCTCAATCATCCGCTACGAGCGGAGGAAATGGCGGCGCTGGCTGTTAAAGCTAGCTCGGCGTTGACCAAGAGCGGTGGCGTTGGTTGGGATTCCGGCGACGGCGAATCGGAAAAAACTTACCAATCGAAAAACGTCGCCGTAGTGAAGACAAACGGCGGTGGCGGAAGAGGTTGTGGTAGAGGGAAGAGGAGATTTACCGCGAATTTGACCACCATCGCCGAGTAGGGTCAATTTAGTCTTTTTGAGAAAATTTCGACCGATCGTATAAATTGTAATTAGAGACGTTTGACTTTTTTTTTTATGGAGAACAAATTAGATTTTACTCTTCTTTTTTAGTTGCTTGGGATTTAAGAAATGGGCACGAGGATGATGATATTCCAGTGATGTGATTCAAATCTTAATACAATGCAATTTCGTAGTTAAACTACTTCTCTAATGCGCATTGGTTCGTCTAACAACTTTATGATTCTCCATTGTCATTATAATCGACCGAATCAACCACAATTGAGTCTAGAATGGAGTAGTTTTTAATCGTGCATTACAAGATGCAAAGCTATAACGGGCCTCTTTACGATCATCCAAATTCTTCGTTCTGAGTAAGGACGTGAAGCTTATTCTTTCTCCAATTAATTATTTAGACGGCAAAGAAAACAAAAAGAGTTAAGGCAAAGATATGCTGTGGTCTATTTTTTACATATCTTTTTCAAAATTATTACTTCTGTTTCTCATTTCTTATGTTATGCATTTATGACTACAATCGCAAAAATACAACGTGGCAAATCAAAACGATTGAGTGAAAAACTGAAAACTGATAAGTAAAGAAAACAACATTTTAAATTATTTGTCGCCACTAAAAATGAAGTCCTTTTTTCTCTCTCTAATGTGGATTGTATTTGCACCACATAAGAAAGAACCCACTCAGTCTCAATTATACAAGAGGAACAGACGAACAGTGGTGGAGAAAACAAAGACGTGATTGGATTTTCTTTGATTAGATGTCGAACTAACAATAATCAAAAGGTTTAAATTATTGCAAAACATGTGAGTAGGAAAAGGCCGGCCCCATTGGCCCTAGAAACATTAATGGGCCTTGAAAGCAACAAACGTAATTAAAATATCGTTGGTTATCTGTCTGTCACATGCAAGTTTGCAAACACAGACAACTTCAGGGGATCGGTCACAATTTCACGTGCTATGATCCTCTCATTTGGAGTATTATTATTTTGTCACCTTCCACCAATTCACATCTTCCTCCATTATACATCTCTAATTATCTCGTTTTAACATATTATATTGTTTATTATATCACCTTTTTTTGTTACTTATAACTTTAATGGCTATATAAAACGAATAGTGATCGATCTTACCAAGTTGCGAAATCCATCAAAATGGCTATCATTCATCACATCATCCTCGTGGCACTTCTTGTCATCTCCGTCGCCGCCGTCTCTATGCCGTCGAAATTAAAACCCACACAAACCGTTCCTGCAGTCTCTGCGGCGGCTAAAGCATTCACCGACGCGCACAACAAGGCCAGAGCCATGGTCGGTGTTTCGCCTCTAGCTTGGAGCCTCACGCTCGAGGCGGCGGCGAGTCGGCTGGCTCGTTACCAGAGGAACCAGAAGAAGTGTGAGTTCGCGAGTCTCAACCCTGGAAAATACGGCGCGAACCAGCTTTGGGCGAAGGGTTTGGCCGTGCCGCCGTCTCTCGCGGTGGAGACTTGGGTGAAGGAGAAACCTTTCTACGATTACAAGGCTGACTCGTGTGCTGCGAACCACACGTGCGGGGTCTATAAACAAGTCGTGTGGAGGAACTCCAAGGAGCTCGGCTGTGCTCAAGCCACGTGTGCTAACGAGTCAACGGTTTTGACCATTTGTTTTTATAATCCTCCGGGGAATATAATTGGCCAAAAGCCATACTAGAAGAAGAAATGTATTATTATTGGAAGAATGTTAACGAGTTGTTGAGATACAGTTTTGAAATTATAAATCGATAATTATATGGTTTGCTTTTATCTTTTGACAACAAAGGATATTATTATCTATGTTGTGTTTGTTTTTTACCAAAAATAAATTTTGGCCCAATAAATTTAAGGTGAATTGCAGATTTTCTTTCATACCTTTAAGGATGGGCATTAGAAAAAAAAAAGAGCCAACAGAACCAATTTGGAGATAATTGTCTTAGTCCTAAAATTGTATGAATAGTTAGAGTAAATAATTTACTAAAATTATGTTAAATATATGTTTTAAATGGAAACTAAACTTGAGATCAAACTAGTTATATGTCTAACCCAATTTGTTACGTATTCTTCATTTAGGTTTCTGTACAAATATGATATGATAAAGTGTATAATGTTAAAACACAAATGTTGAGAGGTTTTGCTTATTTATTGAAATTTCAAATTGGTTTAAACTGGTAAAACATGTCAGAATAAATCTCATAAACTAGACAAATACACATGTACGGATTTGTAGTTTATTATTGCTAAGGGTTATATTTGCCTATGCAAGTGGTGCTACCTCTACCACATTTTCTCTCGTTTTTTGTTTTTTTGGTTTGGTTCATACGTTACGTTGTAATCGCCTTAGCTTCTACAAACTCTAGTTTTTACATAACAACAAAACCTGTTTTTCATTCTCAAAGTTACCTTCTAAAGATTCAGTTTCGGAATTGTAAATTGAAAATTATATGGTTTGCATCTGCCTGATCGATCAAGTAGAAGTACAAAACTGAATAGACAAGATCCAATATATAGATCCAATAAATTAAGATCTCAAAATATTGGTTTTTATCAGAAATTGGGGTCAACATAGCCAACGATCTTTTTTATATATACAAATTTTTAGTTTTTAAAAATAAAATTCATTTGGCAGCTTCTCTAAGAATAAGATATCTGAATGTAAAGCTGTGAGGGATCCAATCAATGTGCTTGCGTGATTTACTACTAGATTGACATCTCTTAAGACATTTCCTTGAAGATTCCGGTATACTCCGGTTCACCATCTCCATCAAACCCGCCGGACATAAACCGGAGTCTTTTGCAAACGTCTCCACAAGCTTTGGCAATTGGATTTTCTTATTCCTCATGGTTAAGCTCATTCTTATGTACTCTTCTTTCGATGTCTCGAGCTCTTGCTGGATTCTTTTCGGTGTATATACACGAACCTGTTTGAAACAAAACAAACCATTATAAGAATGATTAAGCTTCAATACCATTAATGGGTTTCACAGAAGCGTTTTGCTAAAAGTAGGATCAATACCGCAGGATCGGAGTGGCTGCCTGAAGTGAGTGCAAAATGTAGGAGAGGTTCGGGATGATCGATTGCGTAAGCTAATCTTTCATCTCCTGCTCTGAATTTCCTTGAAGCAAATAGTAGTCTAAGCCACTAAAAGAGAAATGAAAAAAGACAAATGTCTTTACTTTTAAGCTGTTGTGTGTTTTTAAGAGGAGAAACGTTTCAAAATGTCATGAGTTCTATTAAGTACCTGTCCAGGATGAGACATTTTGCATCCAAGAATCGAACTTTGTATCGCTTCAGCGCTAACTGTGTGTCCACCAACGTTATATGCAGCCTGCAACAATGCAAAAACACCATATATAATTGATGGTTTATGTGTCTTGTCCGTGAAAGAGATGTTGTTACCTTGAGTAGCAGTAGGACTCTCTTCACATTGTTCTGTGGAACCCCATAAGCTAAATAAGCCTACAGAGATTGAAAGAAATGCCAATAAGAAATCAAAGTCGAAAGCGCCAAAAGAAAAAAAAATGAGATTGGTTCATGGAAGAAAGTGATATTACATGCATCACAAGTGCATTGTGCACATTTATCCAGAACGCTAGCTTCTCTTCGTGTTTCAGCTTCCTTGGATCAACCTCCTCCAATCTACTGATGAGCGACCTGCAAGAGTTTAAACATGTCAAGACTATACATAAATGGATCCCTTATACACTAGAAGAACCAACTCTAGTCTCTAAGCAAACTCACTTGAAGTTTTGCAGAAGATCTTCGACCTCAGTGGCCTTTTTGGCGTCTCTGTAAAGGCAAAGAACTTCAACCATGGTGCTGCTGTAACTGTAAGGTCCACTGAAATCCTTTTCTCCTTCTACATGGAAAGAGTTATCTAACCGAACATCGAAAGAGTTGTTTCCAAATCCAGGGCTCGATGTATCGTAATTGTCAGAGGGGGAAAATGCACTTGATGACAAAGACGAGTTTGGAGATGAAAGTCTGCGATGTAGCACAGAAGGAGGCTCTGCAAGTTTGCAGTATATTTCTGACATACACTTAACCATTCCTTCAGATAACTTGTTGGGAGTCTCTGGAACATGATCCGAGATTCGGGTGCCAAGATGTTCAGCTAGACTTATTAGATTCTCTCCATTCTGCGCATACAGCGGTTGAGAGTGGCATGAGCGGATGGCTTTGCTCCAAGAATCTTCTGGAGAAGCTTTTCTACTTCCAAATTCAGAATGCTGAGAGTGGCTTCGACGGAAACTGGGGTCCGTTTGGTCTGTTTCCTTCGGTTGATTTTGATTATCATCAAGCAGAGGATTAGTAGGGTGATCTGTTTTAGGTGCTGTATCATCATCTTCAGAAAAGTCAAGACGCCTTCTAGGGGTTGTAACTGTTACGGATGGAGGAGACTTTGGCTTCTTGTTGTCTGTATTTGGGGACACGGAAGAGATTTGCTGGTCAAAGGCTTTTCGATATAATGAAAGAAGGTACTGCTCTAAATGTATGACTTCCATCTCCAGAACCGCAATGTCTTTGATCAGATCAGTAGCTGGCTGAAGAAGAAAACAAAAACAAGAACGTATCCTTATGTGCAACAAGCTCATTTCTAAAGGATATACAGTTTTGGAGGAAATGTAAGTAACTGACCTTAGGCATGGGAATGTCGTTTGTTTCAGTCAGTAAGTACGAAGAAGCTGTTCGATAACCTAACGCCTTCTCTAATGCACAACGAACCTTAAACTGATCTTCTAATCTTGTCTCAAGCTGATCAATCTGTGATTCCAATCACAATAATAAGGTAACTGAGCCTAATACACGGAACAAGGACATGAACCAAGTTGAAAAACCGTATACATTATTACCTCTTGCGTCAATGAAGTTTCAGTGTTTGAATGACATTGAGTATGCTTGGTTCTGGCTGATTCCTTTGAACGACCCATGTCCTAAACCAAGTCAGACAAAATACACAAACGTTAATTTGTCTCAGAAGAGGTTTTATAGGAATTAGAAACAGCCTTGGACTCTTAGAGATTAGTTTATAAGAACTTAATACCAGAAAGCAAATTGCTTCAAAAAAACATAAGACAAACAAGAAGGATACAAAGAAGTATAGCGAAACAATTGTGTAAAGGCTTTTTTTTTTTCACAAAAAGATGCAAAAGAAAAAAGCAGCCTGGGAAGAAAAAAAGAGAGAGAAAAAGATACTAATGAGTCAAAGAAACAGAGAGATAAATCCAACAAGGCAAGAATCATGTCTCAGCGTCTTAGGCTGTTCTTTAACAAATACCGATACACTTTATCACAACTTTTACATGTAAAACTGTAAAAGCAAAAGATGATTGTACTCACCAGCTTGATGCGTTGAGAGGCTTCAAGAGAACTATTCGATGGTTTATCTCCCTCAGCTCTTTTCTTTTCTGGAAAGCTGGCACTGTTCAGAAAGATCAATTCAGAAGAATCAATGGAAACGATAAGAACAAAAAAAATATTATACTCTTGGAGATTTATTTCACCTTTTGGAAACCGATTTCATGAAAGCCAGACTAAAAAACATAGTTTTTACCCTTTTATCACCACACAAGCATTTAACCAAAAGGTCTCTTAAATCCATTTTGTATCAGAATAGCTTTCACCATAAATTCTTGACCCACACTACACTAGCAAGTTTTCATAGACTCGTTATCTTGTTCAGGACCACAAAACCGTAATTTATGCTACGGAAAACAAAAGATCTGTGTGGTTTTGCCACCACAACACTCAAATTTCCAGTTTCTGCCATTAAACATTGCAGCAAGGGATTCCATTAACAGAAGATAGGGAAACATTTATAGAAATCTATAAAAATCACAAGGAAAAGAGAAGTTGTTAATAACGAACAATAGAGTCGACAGTTTACCTCTTGGAACGCTTGTGATTTTGGACCATCCTCAAATCCAACATTCTACTAGCCACACCACCAACTTCAAATCCCATTTGTCTTCACAAGATTAAAAATTACCACAGAGGAGCTCTCTCTCTCTCTCTCTCTCTCTCTCTCTCTTTAACAGTCCCCAGAAGTCAGAGAAAACAAAGGAGTTACAGTAAATGCTTCAAAGGCTCCAAGCAAAAATCGCATGGCTTTGATCAAAACTGGAGCTTTCAGCTCAGATAAACTGAAAGTTGAGGGCTTTTGCGGAAAAGTCAAGTGAATATTCGTCACCTGAAAGATGGCAACCGAAACTATAAACTTGCGAATCTTGTAGCTTTAGGCAATAAAGGAGGAAGCTTTTTGACATTAAAAGGGACAGAATAAGCGTGGTGACTGGGTTTCAATTGAAGAAGAGAAAAGTTAGCTATGGCTCATGTTTCATGGAAAATGGTAGCGAGAAGAAGAAAGTCGTCTCGTGTCGAAAAAACAGTCACCAATGTGTAAAAGACCCCACGAGTCGTCAAATTTCCAACCAAATCGGCTAAAAATAAAATAAGAAAGCTAGAGATGTACATAGAGATTGTCAAAATGGACATGGTGACAAAAGTGTTTTTGCATTAAAAAAAACAAAGTTACTGTTGGTGCTTAAGGTGATGTAATGTATCTAAATAAACATTAATACTAAATTTTAATTTTGTAAACTATAAATTTATATTCTTGATGGATTAGATGATGGTCTATTCAATATCCATGAGCTTTCAGTCTTTAACCACTAAAGATGGATGAAATTAAGGAAAAAGAAGGAATATTTGTTAACTAAATTAGTGGGTTTATAAATTTCCTGCGCTTGTTGGCAAGAAGTCGGAGTTGTTGACCGTCCCTCTACCTCCTCCACAGTTCTTGAATCACATTTCACATGGCCCATTGGCACAAAAATATATTATTTTGGTTTCTTAATTATATCTTGAATGTTCATATGTTTACTTTTATATCTAGAAAATCTGAATCAGGACTTATTTTCCAGTAAATTTGATAGTAAAAGAGTCCATAAAAAATTACCAGATGGTAGAGATAAAGAGAGGTAGCAGGAGCCATAACATAGGAAGATGAAGGTACAAGGAGACATTTCAACGAACAGTTAGTCTGCAATAAACCCGTGAACCCATATGTCTAGTTTCTGAAAAGCCAAAAGTCACTAATACACATTAAACTCAATCCCACCAGAAACCAAGGACACACCGAATGCATCCAAACATCAAAAGGATTTTAATTTGCAGCAGAATTAATAAAAATAAATAAAAAAGGATGAGGAAGAAGAAAGTGATAAAATTCCAAATGTAACACGCTGAGCAGAAACAGAACAAGGAAGACGACAGAAAAAACTGACCTCAAAAGAAATGAAAGTAAAAGGGCTAAAAAGGAAACATCATATTTTTGAAAGAAGATGATAGCTTTTGTGCTCTTCTCACTTGTCTATGTCTCTCTCTCTCTTTCTCTTTCTCTTTCTCTTTCTCTTTCTTTCGAAAAATTGACAAAATGCGATGTCCGAAAAATTGTTTGTGTCTGAGAAGTCGGCTTCCGTTTGTCAAAGCATCACACGATTAAAAGGGCACTCAAATTTTGGAATGTGAACTCATTATTAAGTCCTCTTTTTTTTCCTCCAAAGATCAATGCTTAAAGAAAGGTGGGGCAATCCATAATTCCATACAGGTCCTCTCTATATTATTGTCGTCATATTTCAACTAGTCGTTACAGATTTTTTTTTTTTTTTTTTTTAACTATGTAACATATCCGATCCGATTTTAGTTTTGGAAATCTATTATTTTATATAAAATGTCTTGGGTTGCAGACTTGCATAAACAGTAGATGAATAGTTGCGTTTGCTAAGTTTGGTGAGCTATGGTAAGAGACATAAAGGATTTTTTGGTAAGAAACAAAAGAGAGTATTGGTAATGGGTGAACTAACATTGCCCTTGTTTTGTAGCCTACCACTAATCTCCTCGAATTTGGAACAACGTTGGACACACCGACACACTGTATGTATTATGTTTTGTTTACTCATCTCTTGATTTGATCTTAGCAAGAGTCCAAAATGCGATTGTTTAAAAAACTTTATCGGGTTGGTTAATTAGTATTACGGGCTCACATTCTAAGAAGAACTATGGTCTTAACGGGCCTTTGGCAATGGGTCTAAAGCATGATTGTTTGTAAGAAAGATATTATACTCTCACTCAATAGCCTAAAAATATCACTTTGATTACGAGTATTGTCTGGTCATCGATCGCGACAGACCAACTAACCCAGCACACGTCTCTCTCTATCCATTATACTTCGTATTTTGGAAAAAGCTGAATTTATCCTTAGAATATTCTTTTTTTTTTAATATTCGATGACAGAGTAATACTACTCCCTCTGTCCCAAATTATAAACACCCAAATTATAAACAGTTTGGGACAAAAATGGCAAATTAAGAAAAGTAACTTTTTAAATAAAATATCATTTAAAATACAAATAAATTATAATCTAGCCAATGCTGAAAAAAATCTCTATAATCTAATTGGGTACACAGTATTATATAAAGTAAACAGTTTATATTATAGGACAAATTTTTTCCCCAAAACTGTCTACATTGTGGAACAGAGGGAGTATTATTTATTTATACGTATACATTAACCATGAGTCAACTCTCTCTCGAATGAAAAATGCGTTTGTAATTAATATAACGAATTCTATTTGAAGAAAGAAAGTTTCTGATAATTCGACTGTATTGCCGACTCACAAGTCACAACATTAGTATAACGAATTCTATTAAATAAACAAATTTAATTATTCTCACGCCAGGAAACAGACCAGCTACATTCAGTCTGTCAATTTTCATTAGTATATGCAATACAGAAAAAGAAGAATTACATGTTTACTGAATCCAAAATATTAACGCGATATTGGAATTCAATTTTGTAGAGCTTATACAAGGAGTTCGAAATTATTCCAAAGGCAAAGTGAAAACAGACTGAAATTAAGAAGAAAATGGAAACGATCGTACATATGCAAGAATCAGACATGGAAGCAAGATAACAAGACCCTGAGACAAGACTTGAGCGAGTTCCCAAGCGAATCACTCGTCTTCTTCATCTTCATCTTCATCACCTTCTTGTTTCTGAACCACTTCCTCTGTTTCTCGTCTGAAAAAATTGTTTCGTCCTCGTAGTTTTTGAACGTGTAGCTTCTGAGATATTTCTGTCTGTTGGATTTGTAAACCTGGGGGCTTATGAACTTGACATAATCTCCAGGAGACTCAAGAGGTGCGTCGTTGGCACTCTTCTCCATTCTGACTGCGTTTTGGAAATCGTTGATCATCATTTTTGTTATGTATATTGTTTTGTCGATCCTCAAATAAGTCTGTACCTAACTACCTTTATATATATATCGTGGCCTTCTGGAACGGAAAATGATTATAAAACTAACTGTCCTTTTAGTGATTGAATCAGTCACTCTGGTTAATACGACTTTTTGTAGTCGGTACAGCGAAAGATAATTGTTTTCTTTTTTTTTGGCATACACGTGGAGCTGTAAACGTGGGTTTACGACAAACGTCAAGAGAGCCAAACGTCACTCGCGCGTTTACGCATTTACGACATGATACACATTTGATATGGGCCTAGGCCCATTTGTCCAGAGAAGTAAAAAAGGTAGTCTTTGGCTCTTTGCCTTGTGCCGATGACTTCGAGCTAACTCTACGCTATTTGTTTCTCAAATTGGTCAGTTGGTCTTAACTCTTAACTAATTCAGTTTTGCTTGTCTCAAATTTATTCGCTGTTGGTCTCGTTTTCACTTATCGTTTCAAGTAAAAAGGAAAATCAAGAAGCAAAAGGGGGAAAAACATACAAAAAAGGAAATCATGAAGATAAGGCAAACAATGAGAAAATAAATTGTAACAATATACCATCCTTGTTTAAAATCACATTTCTATAAATAGAAGTATAGGCTTAAGGTTTATTGTATCACAAACATGATAAGATGAAAGAGAAAAACCATCCCCAATAATGTCTAGTTTTGTTAGTTAAGAAGAAAGGTTGGTATGTTTTGTTAGTTAGAAAACCGATTTAGTTTCCGTTAGGACTGAGGAGAACAAAACTTAGTTTGGTAGCTCAGGATAAGGTTTCTTGATTGCCAAATTAAGTAAAGAAACATGGGTGTTGAATTGCATTTATGTGAAAAACATATTGGACATGGATCCAGTCTTTTGATGGTTAGAGATTCCACTTGTTTGTTATGTTTTCACATTGAAATGTTGTCTCTTCACTCTGTTTTTTAATTAATTTGGTAATTGAACTCTCCAACACCGGAACCTATAAGTAAATTTTGCATTGGTAGATTAGTTAAACAACTACGGATGCTAAGTTGCATACTTTTGGACTAGTTTAGATTCTGGAATTTGATGGATAAACAAGTTTTGATTTGCACATACGGATAAATGCCAAATCTCTAAGATCACTTTGTAAAATGGTAGTTTGGTAATTTTCACAACTTTGGTAGGTTGTAAAATTTACTTGAAACGGCAACGTTTCGAAAAGGAGGGAAACTGCCCCCGACAGAATCGTCTCTGAAAGCTTTAAACAGATTACGAAAAATGGGACTGAGAAATGCGATTGCGCCACGTGTTCATAAAACAGCTGGAAGCCAGGCAGGGACCACAAAGTGTTTGAGTTTCTCTTTCTTGTCGACGCCGACTCCTTTTTCTTTCTTCTTCTCTCACGACCGATTCAATTCAACACATTTAGAGTGAAAGTGGGTATAAATATATTTTGTTTCTGGAAATTTCTGGAAACTCTCTCGGAAGATCCGGCGAAGTTTCCACTTGTAGAAAAGAAAAGGAAACAGCTTTGATTTTTTTTTTTGGGCTGCAACGAAACCCAAAAGCCATGGCTTTCATTTCTCCTGGTTTACCATCGCTTCTCACCAGCGGTTTTGGTAACTATTTTTTTTACTTGTTTGAATTATTGATCTCAGTTCGTTCTAAATTACGAGTCGTTGTTCTCGTTAGTTATTAAAGCCTGACGGCCTTATAAATAGATTCTCTCCTCAAGCTTCAAATCTCTTACGCAACCTCAAAAATTGGATAATTCTATAAAACACATGTGAAATTTGGTGCTTATAGAGTTATAGTCTCTCTGCATTCCACTTTCAGTTCAAGTTCCGTGCTTTTGGCGAATCTTGGGTTTGTCTCACTCTTTTTGCCTTTGGATATCTTATTCCTCTCATGTTCCGTTAAATCGTTTCACACATTTTCAGTCACCAGTAGCCACAGATTTTACTTATTCATCTGTTTTTGCGTCCATCTTGCTCTGTATCTAATGTCCATGTCCTAATTCACCGAAATGATCGCCAATTTGTTTCCTAATGATCTTGTGAACCCAAGTTTTCGTTTTATTGAGTAAATTCGAACTCATTTTGCCTTTGCTTGATGTATGTAAAGATGTTTGGCTCGGAAAAGTTGAAATTTTTGATGTTCATTTCGATCCTTGGGACGAAATTTTTGTCATTGATGATAAAATGGTTGATCCACTTGCAGGGGAAAGGAGCCAGATCGGTGAAGAATTGGGAGTCAGAGGATGTGGTGCTTCTCCTGCTTCAAACCCTCTGTGGTAATATGTCCTTGTTTCTCTGTCTATGTGAACGTTTAAACTTTAAAGTTGAAATGACTCAACTTTTGGCGTCTGAATTCTGTAGGATCCTTTTGAAGCAGAAACTGATCTCGCCTTAACGGTTTCACGGCATGAAGCTGACGTTCAAGAAGCTGCAGAGCTTGCTTCGGCCTATCAAGAATCTTCTCGTCTTCGTCAACTGCAGGAGGAAGAGGAAAGAAGGCGCGCCAAAGTGATAGAAGAGGATGCGCAGATAGCTAATGGTTTTCTGTACGAGGAAAGAGAGAGGCAGATTCATAATAAATCTGCACTGGAAGACGACGAGCGGCTTGCTAAGACTGTTGCGGAGAGTCTTAAGGAGAAAGGCAAAAGAAAACAAGTGAAGAGGGATGAAGAGCTTGCTCTGATTGTTCAGGAGAGTCTGAACATGGAGCCCTCTCCTCCTCCTCCTCGAACTGAAAAACGTAAAAGTATTTCTCGTAGAGCTTCGTTGGATGTTGATGAGGAGATTGCTAAGGCTGTCAAGGAGAGTTTGAAGGACAAAGGCAAAGGAAAGCAACTTGCTGTGGTTGTTCAGGAGAGTCTAAACAATGTAGAGCCTCCTCCTCAGCTTGAAGGAACCAAACACAATTCCACTGGAGCTCCGGAAGATGAAGATGAGCAGCTTGAGAAGGTTATATGGGAGAGTCTGAAGGGGAAGGGACTAATAAACCAAGCCAAAGATGAAGTGGAAGAAGTTGGAAATCTCCCAATAGTAATTCCTTCTCGTAGGTAAGCTTCTGCGTCTGTTGCTACTTAGTTTTCTTCTTTTCAGTTTAGAAAGTTGTCCTCACCTGTTTAGGAATGGTCACTTGTAGCATGTGTGGTGGTTGCAACTCTGAGATTGAACATGGAAGGTCTGTGGATATCTCAGGTGTGCTTTGGCATCCTGAGTGTCTCTGGTGTGATGCTTGCCACAAACCAATTGCTATCCACGAGGTCAAAAACCATGTATGGAACCAAAACTCCTTATGAATTTGCTCAGTGAATGTTAACACATTTGTATTTTCTCATGCAAAATCTAAATTCTTGAAAACTCATTTAAGGTTTCAAACTCAAGAGGCAAGTTTCACAAATCCTGCTATGAACGGTACTGCTACGTCTGCAAAGAGAAGAAGGTATACACAAACACAACTTGTGCATACTTTCTCATAGTATCTCTGAATGTAAATGTAACTGTACTCTTTTCAGATGAAAACGTACAATCAACATCATTTCTGGGAGGAGAGGTACTGCCGTGCTCATGAATCTGATGGAACTCCCAAGTGTTGCAGTTGCGAGAGGTTAGAGGTGAGTTTACCTTCAAATAACATAAACACGCAAAAGGGAATGAGATGAGATGAAATATCAACCAAAAGAGATATGTAATCCTCGGTTTTGAGTGAGTTCTTTGTCTAATTTTCTTTTGCAGGCTAGGGGAACGAACTATGTAATGCTTGGTGATGGACGATGGCTTTGCCTAGAATGTATGGAATCAGCGGTTATGGATTCAGATGAATGCCAGCCTTTGCACTTTGATATGCGTGAATTCTTCGAAGGCTTAAATATGAAGATTGAGAAACAGTTTCCTTTTCTTTTGGTGGAGAAACAAGCTCTCAATAAAGCTGAGAAGGAAGAGAAGATTGTGAGTAACATTTTCTTTCTAGTTGAAACGAAACTCCCATCTCTCTCTCTCTCTCTCTCTCTCTGTGTCTCTCATGTGTTGTTTTACACAAGCAGGAGGACAATGAGTATGAGGTGATAACTAGAGGTATATGCCTGTCTGAAGCGCAGACCGTCACAAGTGTAAGCTCACTTTTACGCATTTTAGAGTCTAAAACCAAAGCTATACTAGAATACATGACTTTAAACATTGCAAGTTCCATATACATTATACAGGTATCGAAAAGGCCAAGGATGGGGCCGCACAAGCAGCTAATAGGCATGGCAACAGAATCTCAAAGGGTTGTTCGTGACTGCGAGGTCACTGCCATTCTCATCCTATATGGGCTTCCTAGGTACTGTAACACCTCTTCCTCCTGAGTACTTGCTCTCTCTCTTGCGGCAAATTGTCTCAAATCAAAGCTCTCTTCACATACTCAGGTTACTAACTGGATATATCTTGGCTCATGAAATGATGCATGCCTATCTTAGGCTCAATGGTACGTATTGATATTGATCAAGTATTCCCCACCAAGAAACATGAGGGAGAGGTCTCTCAGATTGTTTTGGTTTTGACACTTTTAACTACAGGGCATATGAATCTTGACAAGGTTCTGGAAGAAGGAATATGTCAAGTGCTTGGACACATGTGGTTGGAGTCTCAGACATACGCCACTATTGATGCTGCAGCTTCATCATCAGCTTCTTCTTCTTCCCGCACTCCAGCTGCTACTGTATCAAAGAAAGGGCAGTGGTCTGATTTCGAGAAGAAACTGGTGGCGTTTTGCAAGAATCAGATAGAGACAGATGATTCGCCAACGTACGGTGTCGGATTCAGGAGAGTTAACCAGATGGTGACAAATTCCAGCCTCCAAGAAACCCTCAAAGAGATTACTCGCTGGGGCTGAAGACAATACCCACATTCAATACGACACGTCGACACATAACGATACTATACCACATACATATATATGTAGTTATACAGAGACTCAGGCTTTTAAACCATCACCAAGTACCCTTTTTTTGTTCCGCTTCATTCTTTGGTGTGTTTCATTCTCGCTTTGTTTTGTTTGCTGTGTGTGAACTGGTCCTTCTTCGTTTTCCCGTAAAGTTGGAACCTTTACCCACTGACACTAAAAGAATTGCCTTTTCTTCATCAGATTTCTTCTGGTGCTAATTTCCGTCAAACATATACTACTATATTTCCACACGCAATTCGTCTTCTACAGTCAAGTTTGTTCTTCTGTGTAGAGTCATTTCTCGCGTCGTATCACCAACGCACGCTAGGTGTTCGACCATTTGCCCCAACCACCAGTTTCTTCCTAGTGTGATTACAAATGTTTTCTCTGAGATTCTCCAACTCAGCTAAGCTCATCGACTCCATAACTACACTGCAAATTCGAGTCTTTTCCCGCGAGCCATTCCCCAACAAAGTCCAGCATTACCTTTACCGAGCAAACCTCATCGACTCCATCCGTCTCAGCCTCCGCTCCACAACCTCCGAGAACGATCTGACTTCTCTTTTAAACCACCGTCTTCTCGATTCCTTTGTCGCGAAGAACGCTTTACGCTCATCTCCTTCCCTCGCTTCCGCTTGGTCTATCTTCAAAACCCTCGGCAAAAAAAATCCTCACTTTTCATATGAAAATGAGACACTTCACGCCTTTGCCACTGTTCTCGCAAAGTTCCAGCGATCTTCAGAGCTTAAGTCTCTTATCGGACTTGTCAATGCTGGGAAATTCGGCCAGGTTCAGTTCAGCTTTATGAACCTCATGAACTTGTACGCGACTGCTGGTGATTTTGACTCTGTTCTCAAGACGTGGGACGAGTATAGATGCTCAGGAGAGGAGGAGAAGAAAGGCTGCACTGAGTCCTATAACATTGTGATGCAAGTTTACATGCGTTTAGATCAAGACTATGAGGCTGTGCAAACTTTTGATCAGATGATTAACGAAGGAGGGATTCCCAATTCAAGAACATTCACGATTATGATTGAGCATCTGGTGAAACTGGGTGATCTTGATGCAGCCATGAATGTTTTCAAGACCTTGCCTTTGATGAGGATCACGCGGACTCTGAAGCATTACTCGGTTCTCATTGAAGCGTTTGTTGGCGCGCAACGGTTCGGTGAAGTCAAAGCTCTGCTTGCTGAGATGAAGGCTGATGGGAAATTCCCAAGTAGACGCATGCTTGAGCCTCTGAAATGCATGAGAGAGGCTGGATTTGAGCAAGAAACTGAAGAGTTCTTGCGAGAAATGTTGCCTGATGAGAGAATCAAAGACATTTCTATCTACTCTATGGACAGTCACAGCGATAGCGAAGAGGACGAAGGAGATGATGACAAAGATGAAGGTCAAGTTAAGTTGAAGCCATGGCTGGACCCAAAAGCTTTAGCGAATTCGTTAAAGAAGTGGAGCTCTGATGTAGTCACTACTTTAGAAGAAGCTAACTTTGTGTGGACAAATCTTTTGGTCTGCAAGATGCTAAGAAACTTCAGATCAGCTGAAACAGCATGGAGTTTCTTCTGCTGGGTAGCGACTCAACCAGGATTCACACACGACGCTTACACGATCGAGAGAATGATGGCAATGTTAGCACGCAATGGCCAAGTTGAATTAGTCGATAAGCTCATCTCGAAAGTGAGGATGGAAGGGATCAAACTACCATTCAGCACCATCAGATTGATCATTGATCTCTACGGGGTTTCAAAGAAAGCAGACGCAGCCATCAAGGTCTTTCGCCAAGACAGGACACTCTGCGGCGGTTCGATTTCGGATTTCAACCTCATGCTGTTGTACTCGTCTCTGTTGAGAACACTGACAAAGTGCAAGAGAACCGCAGAAGCTTTGGAAACGCTAGAAGAGATGATTTCGAGCGGAGTTTTGCCGGATATCCAGACGTTTTCGGGTTTGATGTATCACTTTGCATTGCAGGGAGAGATTCAGACAGTTCAGAGACTTTTCTCAATGGTGAGACAGATTGGTCTGGAGCCAGATCCTTACATGTTGAAGCTTCTTGTTCAAGCTTACTGCAGATGCGAAAGATCAGTGCTTGCTTTCAGAGTGTTCCAAGAAATGAAGGATTTGAATCTGATGCCTGACAGAGAGACGAAAGAGTTGCTTGTGAGGAGTCTGTGGAGAGAAGAGAAGCGAAAAGAGGCGGCTGCGGTTGAAGAGAGCAGCAGCGGCGAGGAAGGGAATCATAGTAATAGCGTTTTGCGTTTGGCGTTGAAGGGTCATGTTTGGAATATTAGTTCTACAGACATCGCTCGAGTCTACAGTCTCTACCGCGATTGTGTTCTCAGAGTGACCACTTCGAGTTAACTGTTAGTTAACCTTTGGGTTATATATGTTTGTTTTCAACTGTTCTGTTTTGTTTTTGCAGTTGGAACTGTAAGTTGTATTGGGCCTAATGATGTGATTAAGGCTCATGTACCTTGTTGCTCATATCTCAAATCTCATGGTATTAATGGGTTTGTTTTATGGTCAAGCACGCCATTCAAATTATTAGTCAAGCAAGAAGGCGACGTGCGCTCGTTTTGGTAGATGTTTGCTTTGATAGTAACTTTTTCGTCAGTATTCGGACTCTGACTAGTGGAACCATGTGATGGTGTATCATCTTTTTGAATGTGAGCTTAGGATCATACTAAATATTTACCAACACTAATAAAATAAATTTTCCATATCACTTGACATTGTCCATCTAAATGGGATGAATCTACACTACAAGGTGCCCAAAAAAAAAACCCTGAAAACCTTTTGTATTCAACTTTTCTTAATTAATTAATTCTCTGCAAATGATGTGCAACTTTCTCTTCATTAACATTTTTATAATATAGTTTTCTCTTTCCCTTTATATATAAAGAGCTTATTATAAAAAAAAAAGGTAGACCACTAGTGTTTTTTAACTCTCACTCCTCTGCTTCTCCTAATATCTCTCTGTCCCTCACTGTTAGGTAAATTCAAACATGAATGCAAAGTGGCTCTAATATCTCTGAAACCTCTCATGGAAACAGTGACCAAGTTTCCAATTAGAGGAAAGCAAAGAGCTTTTGTGTTTCTTGGACGGTGAAGACTTGAAGTCTCAGAGGATGCGGTGCTTCTCCTGCTTCAATCCATCTACTACACATGATCCATCTGAGGTTGTCGATCTTACTTCTTTGTTTGCTTATCTTGTTACAAGTTTTAATGCTAAAAGAAGCCTAGACCTTTCTTGCTTTCTGGGCTTATAACTTTTGGCGATCTGAAACCTGCAGGATCATTATAAAACCGCCATCAAACTCTCGCGGCATGAAGAAGAAGATCGCATCGTGCGTCTGAGAAGAGAAAAAGATGAACAGATTGAATTTGAGAGGGTCAAGGAAGAAAGTTTGAAGTTAGCTAAGGAAGAGGAGGAAAAGAGAAGATTGGAAGAAGAGTCAAAGGAGAAAGGCAAAACTAAGCAAGTGGACGATGATCAAGTGGAGGATAAGGGACAGATTAACGATTCCAAAGACAAAGATGTGAATCCTCCTCCTCCTCCTCCTCCTCCTCCTAGGTAAACTTTATGTGCTTCTGCAAGTGTGTATCCTAAAAGGGATTTTTGCCTTCTAACAATCTCTATCTCTAATGTAATAATATGTTTTTTTTTTTAACTTTAATTTGTAGCATATGCAATGGTTGCAAATCTGAGATCAAAGATGGATCATCTGTCAATGCCTTTGGTGATCTTTGGCATCCTGAATGTGTGTGTTGCCTTCATTGCCACAAACCAGTTGCTATGGACGAGGTTTTAAGATCATAAGATACCAATTTTAAATTGCTTTAGTATAATTTTACTTCTGGACATGGATGTTGTTTTCTTATGTATACAACTCCTTAGATTTCAAGAAAAGGAAAATTTCACAGACCTTGCTATAAGGAGCACCGTCATCCCAACTGCTACGTCTGCAAAAATAAGGTAGAATAAAGTCTCATTAATTAGTTGGGTTTTTAAGAAATGAAAGTACACTGATAAACAATTGGTTATGGCTTCATTATTATGGGTATATAGTTTAATTATTCTGTTTTGTTTTTCAGTTTCCTTCAACAGAGAAAGGTAGAGAGTACAAGGAGCATCCGTTCTGGAAGGAGAAATACTGTCCTTGCCATGAAGATGATGGAACTGCCAAGTGTTGCAGCTGTGAAAGATTAGAGGTTCCTTAACATATTGAGTTTGGTTAAAATTTACAAGATACATATATACAAGATATATATATATATATATATACAAGATATAGCCTTAATTTCTTTTTGTGCAGCCTAGGGGAACAAACTATGTGATGCTTGGTGATGATCGGTGGCTATGTCTAGAGTGTATGGGATCTTCGGTTATGGATACTTACGAGTGCCATTCTTTGCATTTGGAAATCCGTGAGTTCTTGGAAGGCTTATTCTTGAAAGTTGACAAAGAGTTTCCTCTTCTTCTTGTTGAGAAACAAGCTCTCAACAAAGCTGAGGAAGAAGAGAAGATTGTCAGTACACACACATTCCCTTCTTACGTTGTATAATTTCCATCACTCTCACTCCTCTCTCTGTGTCTCATAAGTTTTCACTAAAAAACAGGACTATCATCATGCAGTGGTAACAAGAGGCCTCTGCTTGTCTGAAGAGCAAATTGTCACAAGCGTAAGACACTAAAATAGCTATATAAACACACTTTTAGAGGCTATATTGGTCTATGTCACATGATCATTTCCGATATGGAGCTGATGAGTTTCAGTATGTTCCACATAAATAAAACAGGTAAAAAAAGGGCCAAAGATGGGATCAAACAAAAAGCTAGTAGACTTGGTTACAGAGACTCAAACGGTGAGTACTGGATGCGAGGTCACTGCAATTCTCATCATATATGGACTTCCTAGGTTACTCACAGGATCTATCTTGGCTCACGAGATGATGCATGCTTGGCTTAGACTCAACGGTACGTCCTTACATATATGATTTCATCAAGACCAAGAAATTAACATGGAGAGATCTCTCAAATTACGTTTGAGTCACTTTCTTTTTGGTTTTGATAACAGGTTATAGGAAGCTTAAGTTAGAGCTGGAAGAAGGATTATGCCAAGTGTTAGCCCTTAGGTGGTTGGAGTCTCAGACATTTGCCTCTGCTGATGCTGCTGCTGCTTCTTCTTCTTCTTCTTCCCGCACTCCTCCTGCTGCAACCACGTCAAAGAAAAGTGACGACTGGTCCGATTACGAGAAGAAGCTTCTCGAGTTTTGCATGTACCAGATCAAAGAAGATGATTCACCGGTCTACGGTCTCGGATTCAAACAGGTTTATGAGATGATGGTCTTGAATCATGACAACCTTAAGGATACTCTAAAAGACATTGTTAGAGATTCAAATATTTGAATCACCCATATATTATACCAATTATATACACATACACATACCCATATACGTATATATTATTCCTTCTTTGGTGTGAAGTGTGAACACTGCTTCTTCTTCTTCTGGATTGATCTTTGTTCCTTTGCTAAACAGTTTCTTCTTCTTTTGTTTGAATCTTTAAAACGTGTTATACAAATGTATTTTCGTTGGATTGAATTTTTGCTTGATGAAACTAAAGGAGTCCTTAGCTCTGAGCTCAAGCAACCATGAGTAGGCTTTTCAATCTCTTTTTACGGTCATTGCCTATTTGCCTCAACAAATGCCCACAACTTGATTGTTTTTGCATGTTTAGATTTCGAAAAAAAAAAAAAAAAAATCTTGTGAATACTTAGAAATAATAGTGTTCCAGTTGTATAGTCCATACTTTTCAGTTTTCTAACAAACTCTTTCTTCTCTTAGGTAACGCTATAACAAGCCTATAACGTGTGATCAAATGTTTATTACGTATCTCTCTTTACATGGCTGGCACATTTAACTCAGCTAATCCAGAATTAAAATATACTTATTTTAATTTTGTTAGTTCAGTAATTGGGTTATATGATTATACCTATTTGTTGCCATCCGATTCCATTATATGATGTCATTAAATGACTCAAAGCTCAAAGTCAAAGTGTATCTCTTTTTACCCTCTAATGTTAAAATATTCTCTAGGATTCTTTTCGACGATTATACATTTAATTAGTATCCGATTAAAACGTAAAAAGAATTAATTACGATCAATTCAACAACCGGGTTTAGCAAAGTCCGGACGATGCATCTTATGTAGCTTGGTAAACCGATCGATATCGAAGTCAAGCATTTTAATCAACCGTCTCTGCTTGGCCTCGAACCGGCTTTTGTAAAACCCTTCGAAGGAAGGTTCCTTGGAGGTTCGGAGGAAGAAGGCGTAACCAGCCATGAAATACGTCGAAGTTACGTAGAAGCATATGGGCTCCATCACGTCCCACGACAGTTCCCAAAACGTCAGCCTAAAAAATCCAACGGTTTGGGCCATTATTAGGCCTAATCCAGCCCATAATTCTCGCCGTACCATATCGTCGGCTCTTTTGTCGATATCTGATTTTATTATCTCAAGTTGCTCAAACTCTTGTCTTGTTGCGGCGTCGAGAGTGGACTCGTGTGTCGGAATTAGGCCAGACACGGCGCTTGTTAGCTGTAATTAAGAAGAAAATTAAAAAAAATTAGATCTTAGTTAAAATTTAGCTGACAATTGCATTGTTAATTTGTAATGCATGCGTTTGTTAATTACCTCTTCGGGTTTAAGACAGACGAATTTTCCCAAAACGATGACGTTGCCAGCTTCGTCAAGCATATTCGCGACCCGGTTCCCTTGTTCAGGATCCGAACTGTTTTCTCCGCACACCCGAACAAACTCCGAATACGGAACCCAATTTTTCCCAATCTCTCTCAGCCTCGATTTCACCATCTCCATTTCCGCTGCTCTCATAAGCTTCTTCACGTCTGCCACCGTAACCGCCGGGAAAAAATCCGGAGACGTCTTCTCCGGCGTCGGCGGCGGTAACATCTCGTCAAGACGAATTCGATTATTCGGAAAACTCAGTTCTCTGAGTTTCTCCAGCAAATTACCTCCTCTTGGAACTACCTCCGGCGAGAAAAATGCCCGTTTGTGGAGAAATCTCCGGCGGATTCCAGAGTCTCCGGCGTCCGAAGTAATGCCGGATTTGGTCGGACGCATTCGGGTAAGGCCCGAAATCCGGGAATATGTTTTGGAAATGTTGAAGAGATTGCGAACTAGGGTTTTCTTCGACGCCATCGTCGTTAGAATTTAGAAAGAAAAAAAAAAGGAAAAAAAAAATGAAAGAAGAAAAGAATTGGTTTGATTTTCTGGGGAAAGACAAAAGAGAAAAGAACACGGTTTGAAATGTAAATTGGTCCGAGATTAAAACTCAAG